GTCCTCGCTTCGTAGTCCGGACTCCGTATACCAATGCACCTTCATTAGGCTAAGTCAAGCTGGTCTCTTCAAATTTTCTCCATGCTGTTGTCTTATCGTGAAGCATCCTGCAACTAACATCACGCCCCCCGGATACGAGCTAGTTGCAAACGGGTAGCCCCCTGTTAAAAAAGACCATCGTAGCTCGTGTTTCATACGGGTCTCCTGTGCTCTTGCAAGCTGGTCCTTGGCTTATCAGTTCAAGACAGGCTCTATCCTCGTAAGCCGACACAGATCGATACGATGCCGTCTTAAGAGCAAGGGGTGCTGTGTGTGCTCGATTTGACAACCATCGTATCGAAGAGCCCACTATATCTCCACAGATCTAGAGAGGATGTTACATCATCAGATGAGCTCCGTGTAGGCAGTTGAACCAAGAGATTCAGTCTAAGATGTGCCATTGACGTTGATGAGAGGCGATATTCAGCTTCAAGATGCTTAGATGGCATCCGGGGCCTCAATGTCGGTGTGCATCTCCTACCTGAGAGGCATCACGAGCCGCCGGAAGAGCTTCCACTTGGTCAAGTAAACAGCCCACCAAACCCCGCCATCCAGCAATCGCCCTTATACGAAGCCCCAAAAAGACCAGCTGAGATCGAAGTCATGCTCAGATATTCCATACAATCTACCTGTCAGACCGAACAAATGGGGCAACTTGACCTGATAGACGACAGTGAGCAGAGGTTGCGGTGAGAAAACTAAGGCGAAACAGAGCGGCTAGCTGACCAACTTTCGTTGTGATTCGCCTCCTAGTGGATGCTGGATGGAAGGGCCTGAACGTCTTCAGAGCAACAATTGCGAAAAGATCTTCTAGCTCGTCCTTGGACCGGCAGTTATCGTGGCTTGTAAGTGAAGATGTGCGGTGTGGTTGGAGTTGGATGTTGACAGCCGCAAGTCACTTGATCAGGATAGTTCCCCAATATCACCTCCTTGGACGTCAGACGTCGAACGACAGAGACACCAACACCGACACAGACGGTCAAGAGAACCACGCAGCCAACCGCTTTGCTTTGCGAGATGAAGTCAAAGATTCATAATGTTGCAGGAGAGAGAAGAGGCAGAAAAAGCATTTTCTCAGCCTTCCTTCGTCACTGTTTACCGGATCCAGGCAGCTTAGCGACAGGGCGCATTGTATAGTCAATGGCTCGCATTATTTTTGATGACGACGAAGACAATGGACCTAGGAGAGACCAGACACGGTCCAGAGATATTTTTTGCAGTTCCCTTCGACCTGGGGAGCGTTCTCTGTCAGCTGGAGGTTCGCATCTTGACTGGTACCAGGACATCAACTGCTGGCCTGTTACGTATCCTCAGCCCTGCTCAGCCTCCCACGAACTCAGCTCCAGGCAACCGTTTTACTTATTTATTTTTTATTTTTTGTTCTTTTTTTATTCACACCCTTAGTTATCGGTAAATCAACGGTGACGACGTGTCGACTTCGAGGAAAATATTCCAAACTGGCAGACTCAGGGGCGCCAAAGGGTTTTTGCAGTCTTCAGGCAGACGGGTATAGTTACGTCGGTTACTCTGCAGGAAGGCAAAGGGGTTCAGCCAAAGACAGGACTTGAGATTCGGCTCCTCCAGGTGGGATCTCAAGCAAGATCTCACAGAAGCCTCGTCATGTCCTTCATTTTGCAGCCGATCGAGGAGGATGAAATCAGGCTAATGTCACGGTCAGCCGACCGCACTATACCGCGGACAAGAGTGATGAGGAGAAAAAGTACTTCCTATCAAGTACGTCTGCCTATCACTGCTTTTGATGCCTCAAATATCTACATACAATCAAATGTCAAGAATTCCGTATAGAAAACTACAGTACATCATACATCAGCTTTGATAGATACCAAAAGTATCAGATACAACGTCATATCAGCTTCGAGATCACCAGATCTCTCCGATTACGGACCGAGCATATCAGATCAATGGGGCATGGGTAACCCCCCGGCAGCTCCGCATCGGCATCAGCGCCAGCAAGTATGCTAAAGTACATTCTTTTTACATAGAAGACCCAACCCCCTCGCCACTAGATCCTTGGAGGTGCCTTTACCACGTTATAACGTAAAAATACGCTATACGCCGTCATATCAGCAAGGAACAGCGCATGGCAACGCATAGCGATCAAATAGGAAGAAGATATGTCGGTTGCTAACTCTATGAGGGAACGTGCAAAATAGCCGTGACCACCTCCCCTGCCCCTAAAATATGGAACAACTTTCGAACACTATGGAACGCTTGCCGAAGTGTTCGGATATGGCAAAGTTCGGCGATCATATGGGGTTCACCATGATTTCCTTTGGAACAAGGGTCATCCGTGACCGAAGGAAGGAGGGGTTGGGGATGGGCATCAAAATATACATATGGATGTGCGTTCGGGTTTAGGCACGAAGTCGATCATATATTCTGTCGGATATCACGAGAACTGGTGAACCGAGCCAAGCAAGGGGTTGTCAGGGTCAGGGTTCGAATTATATTGTGATGTATGCATGCAGTTATACATTCACCCTTGGAGAGGGAAGGGATTGATAGTACATATTCCATATATGTACAGACGGAGAAGGCAGTGTTGTGGCTTCGTGCTGGCCGTTTAGCGGCAAAAGATAGCCAGAAAGGTTTGCTAGGAACAACCACCCCGAACCTGACCTGGACCTGGATGTCTTTGCAACCAGAACTCTTGAACCAAATATTGAACCAGACTGACCCTGACATGAACCTGGGGAACCCTGAAGGGGGCAGAGATAAAGAGTGCCAAGATCCGAACGGAGTTAGCGATGGTCAAACTCGGTTTTCCTGAGGATAGGGAGTCGGTGACGGCCTCAACCGATCAACAGACATTATATTATTCATTTTTGATCGAAATCGACGGCAAGAGGCACGGTCCATGAGTCGTGCGCTTCAACCCCATGCTATGGAGTCTCTGTTCCAGCAAAGCTTCTGTGGAGAGCAAGATGGATAATGTGGTGCTAATACTAAGAAAACTGCTTGATCGAGCTAGAGCAGCAGTATAACGGGGCCCCTAACTAGTTTCAGAGCAAGATGGCAAAAACGGGGGGGTCTCACCTTGGCTGGCGATCAATGAGCCTCAGGTTTCATGCTAAGTAAGTGTACCTAAGTGGGAGCGTTCCATGTCCAGAGTTGATGATTTTTTTTATGGAGATGTGGATGCGGATAGCCGTTAACCAGAGTCTAGGATAGGAGATTCTCCGAAGATATCCTGATGGCCATCTTGGCGAGGGGCGCCAGGGAGGAGCAGACAGAGAGACAGCGGTGATAAGGAGCTTGACTGAGAAGATGGTATATGTCATGGTATGTCATCAACGCATAATTGCCCTTTGCCACGTCCGCTGCTTGTCCATGCATATATTATTATGGATAATTTTGGCCGCCCCCATCTCGCTTGATTTTCCTCCCCCGTTCACCGAGTTTCCCTTGATCGTGGTGGGAACTCTGATAACTAGCGGACAGAGTGATAACGTCGCAGTTGCATATTCATAAACCAGATATGTAAGAAAAACTATTCAATCGTGGCTGAACAACCCCTTATCCCTGACGCAGAATGCAAGGTCTAAAAGAGTGTTAGAAAAACCGTAAGTAAGCGGCAAGACCTCTAACTTCATCGAGAAGGTCAGCGCTAATCAGATAACAATCTTCCAGGCTGGGAGTTTGAAAGTGTCAAGATATTCAGGTCATGCTTCAGGGCTTAGGGGGGATGGATTTTTTGCAGAACAGGGTGCGACTGGACCAAGAGAATGCCTCGGAGGACCCACGGACTGGCAAAGAAACTAAGGCAGGTATAAACCTAGTCAAACCTGGAGTGAGTTTGCGAGGGAGTTTAAGTAAGTTAAGTAAGATTATCACCAAGAGAGAGCAGAGACTATCCCATCTCGCTGAACTCCAGAGTCGCATCGACATTCGTCTGGGGTTCACGAGGGAAGAGCATGAACATGGGATCGGAAACTTCGGTCGGCATGCCATATACGGGACAAGGAGTGCCTATACGGGAGTATGGGGGAGGGGAAAGGGGACGGGGTTTGGAATACGGCACGAGCGGGTTCGCTGGGAGATTGTACCGTTTTCCATAGATGAACCGCGGGAATATGGAAGACGTCTCCACGGCAAGGGGGAGAGGCAAGAGGGACTCCCGCCATCTGGTACATAGGCGGCGTATCCGTAGCACTGAAACTTATCACGTCCCGGATGAAGACATTTAACTACTCCGTAAGAGTATCCGAGTATCCGTATGTAGCGAATATATCACCTCGTGGTAACTGTTGAGGACGAGGAGAATATAGTGAGAGTCGGAGGTTAAGTAAAGTGTCAGATATGAGGATCAGCTGGAAGATCACTAGGAAGAGCTAATCTCCGCACGCTCCAAGGGCCGGCGCATCAGCGATCGTCGTTCATGGCTGGGAGGGGAGAAATAGAGAGAGACAAGGGGAGAGGCCTTCTGGAAAAGTTCGACTGTGTTCACGTTGGCCCTGCAGGCTCGTGTTTCGCCTGTTTCGATATTATATGGGCGAGGGGGCCCAGGATAATGGAATATAGGACATGGATCATGGATTATTGCGGATAGCCTGGTTGTCATGGTAGGCGTTGGCATGCAAAACAAGTGGCCAGCTAGCGTAGTGAGGCCACGAGAAAAGAGTTGAAAAAAAAGGAGACCGAGAGCATGTTCATCAAGGTTAGCTCTGCAGACAGGTGGACGATCATCCGAGACTAAGCATTGCCACAGAGCCATCAAGGTCAAGCAATGTCTAGCAAGCCCAGCATAGCCCAACAGGTTCGTATTATTATTAGTATTATTAGTTAGTTCGTTGTTATAGACGGGTGGCCCAGGTCGAGGTTCGAGATGGCTCTTCAGGAGGTTGTCCGTAGCGTCGTTTGAAGGAAGCCTGATATCCACCAGAAGGATTACGAAGATTAGTTCGTGTCAATATATCGAGCTCCCTGCCAGGGCCAAAATAATGAAACGAACCGTCTCTCCGTCGTCTTCGTCTTCGTCTCCATCCCATATTCCATACCTAGTCTCGGACGGTGGAGATGGAAACGAGGAATGGTTGAAACTTCTTGCTCCATCTCCAAGACAGTCGAGCCCGTCGTGGAGGCTCCATGCCCACCATGCCCACCAGCTCTCCATCTCGATTCCGTTCCTGTCTCCCCCTTCCACGCGGGGTGCAGGAAGGGAGGATTCGCTGCCCAGGGAAAAATTGTCTTGTCTTCACGCCTTGAATGTTGAAGCCGAAGTTGTAATTGCTGGGTCTGTCATCCATGCAACGCTCGATGGAATCATTACCAGGCCAGATAAAAATACCAAGCGAGCACGCAGGCTAAGCATCTGCCCAGCCAGGCAGCTTGTCCGTCTCTCGGTCCGTCCTCGCTCAGCTGCCTCGCTCGCTGCCAGCATGTTATGCGTACCCATATGTGAGCGAGAAGGGAGGCCGAAGAATGCGGTCCGCAAGGGATGCCGAGTCACTTGCAAAAATAGCCCTGGTTGCTAAGTATATGCTGGCCGTAGCAGGTTCTCTGCAGGCCAAGCTCTGGGCGCATCAGGCACGATGGACATGGTGTTTCTTTTTGCTTATCGTTTTTTGCAGCCGTCCAGATACGAGGTGGACGTGGGTGTTGCTGGTTGAGGTTCGCCTGTTGGTTGCCCTGTGGACTTTGGTCGATGCACCAGCAACGAGCAGCAGAGAAGAAGCAGATAATATTATAAAATTAGACGAAAAGGCAGCAGGAGAACGAGACAGAAGGGTTACATCTGCAACGTCGTTCTGTCGCCTGTTCTATTAATATACGGACAGGGCCGGATCGGCTTCGTCTTCGTCGTTTCTTTTTGCATGCTCGCTCGGGGCCTCGAGGACGAACTGCGATACGAGTCGTTCGCCTTCGCCAGGTTGCGTCGCAGTCAACAGCGAGGACTCATAGGCAGATAGACGAACTGACTGGCTCGTTGACGGTGCGAGTCATCACCAGTCAAGCAGAGACTAGAGGGTTTAAGCCTGTGTGGGCTTCGCCTCGTCCGTATACAAGGCATGCAGCGCCAGTCTGCCCTCGCTCTTCTCCCGTAGCCAGCGTCGATCGAGCAGCCTGTCAAGAGTCAGAGCTTCTGCTTCTGCTTCTTCTCTCGATGCTTGCTTTTTTTTTTTCTTCTCTGCTTGCTTCCCGCTCGTTCGTTCGTTGGGCTGGCGGCGCTGGCGGTGCTCGCGGCGGTGCTGCAAAACCCCCTATTCGCCCTCTGCAGCCCCCCCCGATCAGCAAACAGGAATTATAAAAAGATCCCATGTGTGTGAGACACAGCCAATGATACCACATCGTAGGAGTCTGGAAAGAAACGAAGCAGGTCGGCGAAATTGTGACTCGGACTGATTCTAGGTATACGGAACGCGCTCCATACGATAGTTAGTTAGCGACCTGAGCAGACGTCAGTTTGTACACATCAGCCAGATACCGCTTATAATAGAGCAATTATTACTTTAGGAAATGAGCAGTTTGACATCTGGAACATCTCATATCATATTTCATTTCATTTCGCCGTCCGGTTGTCTGCTGCCTGACGTGTGGGATAATTGCACGGTGGAGGAATAAAGGATGGAATGTTATATGTAGGAGGCGGCAGGGATGCCACAGGGGACATCCAAGTACAGGGAACATGGGTATCAATCCTGCTCAGCTCAACCAGCAGGCAAGGAATTCGAGCGAGCCTGTGTAGGAGTACTTTCATGGATATGGCGCTGATCTGTACCACGAAGAATGCTTGATCGATCATCCGCAGACGTTGCTGGGTGTCACCGCATTTCGCCAGCATCATCAGCCGCAAGCAGAAACAAGCGATTCGATGAGCTCAAGCGACCTCCAGTGTTATTATTATTATAAAGACAGAAAAGGAAGTATTTTTGAAATGCTTTTCCATTGGAGGATTAAGGAACATTCTAAGTATATATGAGTAATAGATAATATGTATAAAATCGCCAATTCCAGAGAGGCGAAGGAGAGCGAGCAGACACCGAAAGGAAAAAAAAATGAAATAAAATCATAGAAATCTTAAACGCCGGGAACTCAGTGTATCGTAGAAAGGAAATAAGGCGAATTGGGGGAATATGGACATGAAGAGAATAATATGCAAGAAATAAAATGCGTTAGAAGGCAAAAAAAGGGACGGACGAGAGAAGACCAGTTTGTTTTAGACGGTGGTTTTGAGGGCCTCCTCTTCTTGCTTCTTTCGTTCCTGTTCCATGAGGAACTGGGCATACTTGGATCGAGGGTTGTGGATGCCGCACTCGGTCTTGGCCTGGCCCTTCCATCGGCCGGAACGCTCGTCCTCACCCTGAGCAACGGGCTGGGTGGAGTGCCAGTCACCGACGGACTTGTAGCCCCGGTCGAGAAGAGCGTTGTATCGAAGGTTGCGGCGGCTGACGTACTCCTTAACCTGGTCGAAGTTCCAGTTGGCGAGAGGGTTGATCTTGATGAGACCGGCCTCGTCGACCTCGATAATGTCCATGTTGCCGCGCTTAGCACCCTGGCTGCGGCGGCGGCCAGTAAGCATAGCAGTGACACCAAGCTCGCGGTAAGCACGCTGGGCGGGCTCGACCTTGGCCAGCCAGTCGTAGAGCTCGTCGTTGGTCTCCCACAGCTTCTCACCGTGCTTGGCGGCAAACTCGGCAGCGGTGTTGCAGCCCTGAGGCTTGTAGACGTGAAGAGTGAGGTGGGGGTAGTCCTTTTGGATTCCGTCACGGAGATCAATGGTCTCCTGGAAGTGGTGCAGGGTGTCGAAGAAGATGAGATCTACCTGCTGGTGGCGGGGGATATCAAGCTTGGAGAGCATGTCCAAGATAACAAGTCCGGTCAGACCGAAGGAGGTCGACTGGAAGAGGCCGGGAAGAGAGGTAACACACCACTTGAGGACCTCTGCTCATTGTTAGTACAGAAGATCTTCGTTTTATTAATATAAAATATTGGGAAGTATAACGTACCCTGTGGCTCGAGGAACTGAAGACGCTGGTTGAGGAATTGAAGATGTTGCTTGGTGAAGATGAGCTCTGGGATGGGCTCTTCGTTGGCAGCAGCAGAGCCGGAGCCGCTGGCGTATCCGGACTCGAGTTCCTTCTCCTTAGCGTCTTCTACGGGAGCAGGAGCAGCTGGCTTCTCGAAGATCTCGTCAGCGGTAACGACGGGAGCTGAGACCGGCTCAGCAGCAACATCGTTAATCTCCTGGACAGTGGCTGGGGCAGCCTCGACAATGGGGGCGGTCTCGACGACGGTGACCTCCTTGACAGCCTCGACTGGGCCGTCAACGACAGCAGCAGGAGCGTCAACAGCTGGGGCAGCAACTGGTTCCTGGACAGGAGCAGCGAAGCCCTCGACAACCTTGGTGACGACAATCTCGTCGACTGGCTCGTTGGAGTGAACTGAGGCAGGCATGGTGGTGGTGGTGGTGGTGGTGGTGGTGGTTGTAGTGGTGGTGAATTTGTTATAAGTGTGGTGTAATAGGAGGATTGGTATGAAAGCAAAGAAGATCAGCCAGACTAGCTGTTGCTGAAGGGATATAATTGCAAAGGCTGTTTTGAGGAGAGGAGAGTCTTGGTCTGTCGTTAATTGCTTGTTGATGATGGAGAAAAGAGAGAGAAAAAGTAGGATCCAGATGGAGAGGAGACCCGTCCTATATAGACCACCGACGGGAAGGGTTTTTGGTTTTTGATACGAACACATCAGAGTGCTCCAAAGTGACGAAACGAGCGAAACCGACGAACGAGGACGAAACCTTGTCACAGCCTAGTCCCAGACCCTGGTCTTGCTGGCACTTTCTCCTTCTCCTTCTCGTTCTTTTTTGCGGGACGAGATGAAGGACCATCGGCTCGCCGTGGACCTCGTCTTCATCCTGCCCTCTTTTTTTTTTTTTTGCATCTCGACATTTTTCAGAGCTTCTCCTTGTGTTTCCGGGCCAGGGGCTGATGGGATCATGCTTGCTGCTTATCACGCAATCCACAAAAAAGACTTTCACGCTAGACCAGGGCATCATTTTTATGTTTTTGCTTTTTCATTGCTTTTTCTCGTTTCTTTTTGCAGGCCTGAGTCAGCGAGACGGTGGACGCTGGCAGGCAGAGAGAGAGAGGCAGTGGCAGGAGCGCCAGATGCTATTCATAGAAAAGTGGTTCGTGGTTCGTGAAGAGCTTTCTGAGCTTTGAGGACGAACTGGTTCGAGTGTCCACAGCTGAAAGGTACATCAGCCACGAAGGATCCAGTAGGCAGACAGCAGGAGGAGCAAAGACATGCACTCACCGTCTGCCTGGAATCGAGAGTGCCAGAGGGGAGGTGGCGGCCTCGTGTTGGGCTACTGACGGTCCTGGAACGGCATCCATGTCTGGCAGCGTCTTCTTCATCTCTTGGTGCGTTTCTGTTTCTTCTCTGTTTCTGCTTTTCTCTGCTGTTTCTGCTGCTCCAACTTCCATGTCGTCGAATTTTTCCTTTTTTTTTTGCAAAAAAAGTGTTATTCTTTTTTGCAAAGCTAAACTTTCTTTTTTTCTGCCACTTCTCACCGGCGGTGGCCGCGTGGGCCGAGGCTGAAAGTTAGACAGGTCACATGGCCAGGATAAAGCAGCGCGTTTGTCATAAAACGGTACTTACCTAAGACGCCCCGCCTTATCTAAGCGCTTATCTAAGCCGACCCCTGCTTGCACGAAAGTTTTTTTTTTTTTGGTCGCCCTTTTTTTTGCTTCTTGCGATGCTTCGAGCGGTTTTGCGACAGACCTGACACTGCAGATACGGATATCCCAGGCGAAGAGGAAAGAGGGAGAACAGGCGAACTGCTCTTTGGGCCCTGTTGCAGGTTTTGCGGCTAGGTCGGGGGCTCTCTTCTCAGCTCTGGGAGACGCAGGTCGGCCTGCAACCTCGATCGCTGTCTGCTGCCCGTTTCGTCCTTTGCTCCGAACACCCCCCATACATACCTCTCTGACTCTGATACATATCGACAGAGAGGTTATACTTAGATCGGCCAGGAGAACGAGACTACTACTGTAAGAGCCAGGAGACACACAGAGGGAGAGAGGACTTGAAGTCAGGATGTCGGAGCGAGCTCCTCGTGGCACCCGCCCCAGTCTCCGCCGCAGTGCCGTCTCGCACTCGTTCATCCATGATCACCAGCAGTACAAGCCTGCGGCGGCCTCCCCGCCTTCCTACCAGCCAGAGCTTGGCGCCTCCATCTCGGGTACCCTGGAGGATCCCAAGGTCAAGGAGAGCGGCATCGTTCACTCGCTCTTCGGTGATGCTCTGGCTGCGCTGCCAGCAGACACACCCAAGCTAGTCGCAACCATCTTCTATGTCGGCGACCAGGGCAAGAATGGCGGCAGGAGCAATAATAGCAACAGCAACAGCAACAGCAACAAGAACTCTTCGGCTGACCTGCCTACAGCAGAAGATCCCCTTGAGCCAGCTGCTCCATCCTTGCCTCTAGATGCGCTGTATGGCTGTCATGTCTCCCAGCTGTGTCTGACGAGCTTCATACAGATGATCGAAAGTCTCTCGCATCCGTACAGGCGCATGTCCAGCTCGCACAAATGTCTTGACAGGCAGGATAACCCTCGCGTTGTTGAGGTCACCATCACCCCGCCGCCCAGTGGTGAATACCTCTCCTTTGACGAGCTGCGCAAACATGAGAGCATCTGGAGGTTTGAGCGGACCTGGAACGTGGAGGTTGTGCTGCAGATGGAGAATGTCTGGCGGCGTTACAAGCGCCTTGCCGTATTTGATATGGACAGTACCCTCATCCAACAAGAGGTCATCGACGAGATTGCCAGAGTCACTGGAGTAGAAAAGGAGGTCTCCGTACGTCTTGACACCTTGCGTTCCCTGTTCCGACACTTGGTATGAAGTAATAGCGGGCTAACGGGCACTAGGAGATAACCGAGCGTGCTATGAACGGCGAGCTAGACTTTGAGGCTTCTCTTAAAGCTAGGGTAGCTCTTCTCAAAGGAACATCTGCAGATGTATTTGACAAGCTCAAGTCCGTCATTACCATCTCTCCAGGTGCCCGAGAGCTCTGCACCGCGCTCAGGAAACTTGGGTACAAGACTGCAGTTCTCAGCGGTGGATTCCAGCCACTCGCTGACTTTCTCGCCGATCAACTGGGCCTGGACTACGCAGTTGCAAACCACGTACATCTCACCTTGTTTGTTGTGCTCTGTGCCATTTTGCCTCTTTGCTATCCGGGTTGGTGCCTGCATTTTTACTAATTAATATTTTCGTACTCTAGCTCGTAATCGACGAGGCCACCCAGACACTCACCGGCACCCTCTCACCGGATCATCCCATAGTAGACGCTAAGCAAAAACGCTCGCTACTCCGAGCTCTTGCACTTAAAAATGGCATAGATATGCCTCAGACTCTCGCGGTAGGTGACGGTGCTAACGATCTTCTGATGCTAAAGGAGGCGGGGTTGGGAGTTGCCTGGTGCGCAAAAAGCATGGTGCAGTTGGAAGCACCAACGAAGCTGAATGGAGAGTCTCTCACTGATATCTTGTACCTTCTCGGGTTGAGCGAGCAGGAGGCCCAGTCGTTGATAGCGAGTCCGTCTGTCGACGAGTCGTCGATGAAGGAGCTGACCATAACGGAGCGGTCATCGTAGAAAAACTTTCTCTGCTTGATATCCAAAACAACAATGTACATGATTAAAGCGCTACTATACAACTCTCATATAAACTCATAGCAGAGCATTCTTCTCCTTTGTGTCGTCCTTTGCTTTCTCTGCTGAACTGCCAACTCTCTCCTTGGCTCTCTTCTTCAGCACGTTTTCGATAAACGCCTCCCCAGCCTTGTAACTGCTTCTTACCAACGGGCCGCTGGCACAGTATAAGAAGCCCATCTCCAAGGCTTTCTCCTTCCACATATCAAACACATCTGGCCTCACGTACTCGTGTACAGCCATATGTCTCTTTGTAGGCCTCATATACTGTCCAAAGGTAACAACGTCAACCTGTGACGCACGTAACTGTCTCAATGCATCCAGAACTTGCTCCTCAGTCTCCCCGAGCCCCAGCATCATACTCGTCTTCGTAATAAGATCCGGGTTCGCAGCCTTAGCCGCACGAAGGACAGAAAGAGACTTTTGGAACCCTGCTCGTCTATCCCGAACAAATGGCGTCAGAGCCTCAACAGTCTCAACGTTATGCGCAAACACATCCAAGCCAGACTTGGCCATCAACGACACCATGTCCAAATTTCCGTCAAAATCACCAGTAAGGCATTCAACAAGGATACTAGGTGCCTTGCCCTTGATTCGTCGTACTGTCTCTGCAAAATGTCTTGCTCCGGAATCTGCTAGATCATCTCTGTCCACGGCTGTAAGAACGACGTAGCCGAGTCCCCATCTCGATAGTGCCTCAGCCGTATTCTCTGGTTCATGCGGATCAAGCGGTGGAGGAGTGCGGGAAGTCTTCACGCTGCAGAATCGGCATCCGCGTGTACATGTGTCACCCATCAACATAATAGTGGCCGTTGCCGCCGCCTTGGAGCCTCCTCCCCAACACTCGGAGATATTCGGACATCTAGCTTCCTCGCAGACTGTATGCAGGTTCAATCCTCTAAGATCATTCTTAATCTTCTTATATGACGATGAATCTGGGATGGATGTTTTCAACCATGACGGGAGACGGGTAATTTCTTTCTTTTTGCCGGGAGGGCCAACAAGGGCGGTTTTGAGAGCGTATGCTTCTTCGGGTGAGAGAGGAGGTTCGGCTGCACCGCCTACAAAGTCGGAGAATGATGGACCTTTGTTCAGCTTATCTTTGAATGTTGTTGGGGTTCTTCTGGTTGTCGGCTTTGACTCTCCGATGGATGACTCCGGGGTAGTCGTTGCGTATGTGCGGGTGCTTGTGATGGATCTGAGGACTTGAGAACCAGCCACGCGCACTCGCGCCGCCGTACAAACTGTAGTCGATACCATGGCAGTTGATGGTGTTCAATTCTCGCTGTTTGCTGTGGCAGGCATCCGGTTAATCCTCTTCGGGAAGAAAAAAAAAGTCGAGGCCGGGGGAGTTGAAATGGCGCCGATTTGATTGGCGGATTATATATTTTCCACTAAACTTCCGGGGCCGTCAGGGCCATGCACTACAGATGGCTCGGAAAGTAGTCAATGGCTGTATACAAGGCCCTTTCTATTGATATATTGAGATTGCCAAGTGTACTTGTCTCGTTTACTTCTTCACTTTGTCGTTAGAATAAAAGTATGAAGGTTGAAAAAAGCTTTTGAGGAACTGATTGATAAGATCTGAGGTTGGCCTTATCAGCGGATCTAAATTGATCCGATAAACTCTAAATTTAGCAGTGGACCTTCATATCTGAGCCAAAGAAAAAAAAAACCGTTTAGAGCTTGATGATGGACAACATCTTTCTTCTCAACCCCGATATAGTGCGATATTCTTCTCGTGATGCTGTCCGAGTCGTTTATCGCGTCCTTTCTGACGTCTAATTCCACGCACACGACATCCTCCAGCCTGAAAGATGTCGGCATCTGCTTGCACGAGTTCAGACCAAACCCGACCATTCAGCTGGGCTTGAAGAAAAGCACCACAGAGCCCAATTGCTTAGCCGTAAATGAAGGTCACATATTCGCGGCGCAATCAGGGAAGGCTGTTTTACACGTGTATAGCAGAGAAAGAAGCAACCATGAAGCTACGGTGCCGTTTCCGGAGAAGATACGGAGTATTGCCCTTGCGGGGGAGGGTATACTGGTTCTAGGGACCGAAGGGGGTAAGCTGATTCTGTGGGAGGTATGCAGTCATCAATTGAACCCCAGTTTGCTGGAAGTTACTAATTTCATGGACTAGATCTGCACTGGAAGACAAGTAATGACGCCTGCAACCCACCTACAACCTATCACATCCCTTGTCGTCGATCCAACGAATAACTTCATTCTCTCTGGTTCGGAGGACTCCAGCGTGCATGTCTGGTCTCTTCCAGATCTCATCACCTTCTCCAAGCAGTCATCAGCCGATAAAAGCCTGTCAGCAATATATTCTTGTTCTCCAATAAGAACCATCTCCAACCACACATCCGCAGTTACTAGCATTGCAGTGGGACACAGCATAAACCGATCAAATATTGCCATAACTACTTCTCAGGATGGAACGGCACTTGTTTGGGAATACCGAACTGGGAAAATCCTACACACCTACCTACTTCCCTCGCGGCCTCTGTGTATCACAGTCGACCCTGCGGATCGCGCGTTCTATGTTGGCTACGAGGATGGCAGTGTGCAGTTGGTCGATTTTTTCAAAACTCCATCCGTACAACACATTCTCCACGACACAGACCACCAGAGCACACCTACACAACTATCAGCTAGCGATAAATGGCTCCCTCCATCCTCTGAGTTGGGCGCCACCCTTTGCTTGTCCCTGTCGTACGATGGAACAAGCATTTTGACGGGTCACAGGAGCGGCGCCGTCGCATCCTGGGATGTCGGCCGAGCGAGATATGCAGCGTCAATCGCAAGCCTAAACTCCCCTGTCACTAACCTACACATGCTTATGCCCGAAGGCTTAGCCCAGAAAGTAAGCAGAGTCGCCATCCATCAAATAGTTAAACCACGATTAGACCACACCATGGGGGGTGGGCAGGCATCAGATGCAGTGCCCGCGACATACCACGTCAATGTGCATTTGAATGGACCACAGTCCACCGATCCTAGTATTCCTTCATCTGTACTTGATGAGTTTTCAGCTGCCTTGTCCCACCCAATCTTTCCCGGGTCATTGATATCCGAGAGTCTGATCGAGCTCAATTCACCTTCCGAAAATACCCCTACCAATAACATCGCCGCCCCAGTTACTCCTACAGAAGCTTCTATATGGCCAGCCAAGAAGAAAGATCGAAAGGCACTCGAAACAGAAATTACATCCCTAAAAAGACAGATTTCTGTTCACAAGGCTACCCACCAGGCAGATCTGGATGAGATTATCGCGTTGCGCAAAGATGTTCGCTATTTATCAGATATGAGTATCGAGTTGCTTGAAGAGCAGCAGATAGCACTGGATAAGGAAGCTAAAGAGCGATCTCTAAAAAAAGTCAGTGACTCGGCAGGACGAAAATTATGGTTTAGTTCAGAAAAGGATGGAACGAATGGTGATCATTACAGAATAAAGCGAGTTTATGGGAACTCAGCATATGATGATGAAGATGACGATGAGGACTTGGATGATGAGGACCTGGATGATGAGGATGAAGAGATGGATGGCTAAATCACGGCTACGGAGAAGGAATTTGAAGTTAATCTTTTTGCAAATGATACCTGGATATACCCCTGGTGAATTTGGAATGAACTTGAAACCAATTGGCAGGAAAATACTATATCCCCTGTTCAGTTTGGCACCATGGTCTTCAATATAACAGGGCATGGTATCTTCGATTCTCCCCAGTCCCCAGTAGGGACCGTATTGTTCCCAGATCAAGGCCTCCAGAGTGCAATCATTCCAGTTCCATTTTAAAGAGACCTGCACTAAAAAGCTTATCCCCAAGGCATTCAGACCCCCCGATATTCATTCGAATCTATTGGAAACCAACGATTCACCACGGCGATCTCAGCTGCGCATCCACCATCTTACTTCACAAATGACCACCGCATATACCTTCATCCCCTAGCCTTGAATAGCAGAATGTGAATCAAAATCCCACGTCATTGTTGTAATCCAGGCGTGGCTCGAGACTTCTAAGCCAGAAGTGAAAATCGCCACACAGAGTTACCAGGTGTATTGGAAAACCCACCACTATCCACAACCAATATGAATGATCTTGATCTCTCGCTTCATGAATTTCATCACAGTCTAGTATCACTGTTTATCAGTCACTTGTAGCTGTAAAAGGGGTAGAAAGGGGTAGGGAGTCAATATTGCACGTGATAGCCTACTTTGTATACAAAAAGCCTGCGTCTTCTCACCAACAACACCAGAAGTCGATGCCATGGATAACTCAGGACAGCAGCAGCAACAGCAAGATATGGGATTCCTGCTGATAACCCAAGACAGATGGCCATAAAAGGGATCTTGGATGGCTTTCTGACCACTCTAGGGGGCTTTGGGGGTGGCCTAGGCCATCTTCTCCTCTTTGGCAGCAGGTTCCTGAAGATGTATCTCCTAAATCAAAGAAGAAAGGGGCCGTTATTCTCTTGTTGGACCCATGGATACCCAAAAGGACAATACTTACAGCCATACCATATCCATCTCACTTACTCTGATGGGCCCTCTCATCTTTATTGCCTGGTGTTCTGGGTCTCACTGTCTGGCTGATGAAGATATACCATTTACTCAAGAGGTTGACAAGAATATCTTGCTCTTAACTGTGAAAAAACAACATCAGACTGACGACTAAGCGATGAGAAGATTCACCTAATACTAACAGGAGGAGGTATATAACCCCCTAGGAATCGAGGCGTGTCATCTTCCTTTGCACATGTTACCAGTTCTCCAGTTCTCCAGTTCTCCAGGTATCGAGTTTCCTGTTATTTACGCCAGATCGAACTATATACCGATCATCAGATTCATTTCATACAGGATTAAGGCATACCTATGATATACTAACGCCCACAAGCCGGATATCTATAGAAGCATACTACCACAGTGCTTCAGATCCAATACCAAGGTATACAACATTATTGGAATATTCCCAAGTCTCACCCATATCAAGCGGAAAATAGAGAATACTTACTTGAAAGAGGATCACATAACTTACACTGCCACGGGCGGAACCTACCATACCTCTAGATATAAATCGATCTCCCCCCGAAGTGGACAAAATAACCAGTCCCACCAACGAAGTTACCATGCCGAAACCCATAGCTCCCGGGGATCCTGGATATTCTAGCACAAGAAGTACACGCCTGCACTACATAATGAGGATATTTCTTATCAAGCTACTCCTGGGAATAGCCAGATTACTGCTAGATATCGTTTCTATACTCTTAGCAGAGGAAGAGGCACATAGGTGCCAGTATACAGCACGCACCGAGCCGCCGGATGCTCCTAGTATCGATACAACCATGGAAAACCTCCAAGAAAACGTTGGAGTCGTCGAGGCGGAAACTCCTGAAAATGAAATATGGATAATGGAGTACCCTACAAACCAATCTCTATACTCCTCTTCCAATACTTTGTCCGATGACTCCTTAGAAGAGACCGAAGAAGAGGTTATTCCAACGTTGGAAGCCTTGTGGGCTAATTGGAATCCAGAGCCAGATCAAATAGACTATCCTGATCGACCAACTACTCCAGGGATCCTGGAAACCACCTTGGCCAACGATACGGACACTATCTGGCCGGTATCAGAGATTGACGAGGAATCAAATCAACCTGAGTCACATCGATCAGATACCCCGGATGGCATAGAGTGCATCTTCAACCCAACTGGGAGGTTAGAGATAAACGACATTGAGTGATAATACGCCTGGAGGTACCCACAGGAGCAAGGAATACATGATTATCTTTTGTCCAGCATGGCCTCGTTGTCTCCATTTTCCATTGATAACAGGATAACATCTATTATCTGCCCTTAATATTCCCCCCTAATAGGTTTATGCCCGAGTTCCTTTAATTATGCTGTTATTTTAGCAGAATACCTTGGTTTTTTGGACCTACTCCATTATATTTCCTAAATGCTGGCGCTATGTATTTCCAAATTCCCCCATTTGTTGAAGGGTATATATGGACGGATAGAGAGAGCCTTAGGAAATCTGAGGACTAAGTTTTTTTCCATTGAAAATTCCGCTTAAGCAGCTCTCTGGTGCCCGGCCCAGCCGACACCATGCATCATAACTTGCCCTAAAAATTCATAAACGAAATAAAGAAAGAGGTAAGAGTCCTGTTTTGCAATCCTAGTAGCCACTAGCAGTCGTGGCATCGGCTTCCCCATTGGAATCACCTAGAGCCTCCTTGACGATCTTTATTCCGGAACTAGCTCCAATTCTGGTTGCACCAGCTTGGATCATCTTGATGCAATCGTCGGCAGTTCTGATTCCGCCGCTCGCCTTGATCTCCACGGCGCCGTTCGAGCACGATTCTACGACCGCACGCATCAAGGCCACATTCTCCACTGTTGCTCCGGCCCCGTTGAAACCGGTGCTGGTTTTGACGAAATTCACGCCAGCAGCGCATGAGAGTACACATCCAGCAATGATATCATCCCTGCTAAGCTGTGAAGTTTCCAGAATAACCTTGAGTTTTACCACAGGGCGTCTCTCCTTGGTGGAGGTCCTAAGCATGATGACAGACTGGAAGGCGTCGCTGTAGCGGCCGCTCCTGAGAAAGGGGTAGTTGATCACCATGTCAAGCTCGGTGGCGCCCTTTTCCAGCGCAGTTCTCGCCTCTGCAACCATTTCGGGAATGGGATGCGTGCCTTCGTGGAATCCAATGACACAAGCGACTGGAATACCCGTTCCCTTAAGGTTTTCCACCGCACGTGTAACCCACTCCAGCCTAACGCAAACGGCAGCGAAACCATATTCCTTGGCTTCGGCGCACAATGCATCAATCTGGTCCTGGGTGGCAGATTGATCAAGGAGGGTATGGTCTATTGCTTTGGCAATATCGGAGGGCTCAGGTTTAGGGTACTGTGAGACGTTAAGGGGCCCGGAAACGCTAGACTTTGCGCGTTGTATAAGGACCCTCCATTTTGCGTCTGTGCGGGAAATAAGCTCCATGAGCTCAGTTGCTTCCTTGGACGGTTCGGCCATCTCGAATGGTCAGCTATCGGCTTTCTCAGTGGCCTTGATCACAGATGCTGGATGGGTAGATGTGCGATGGGGACGGGATAAGTGGAGGTAAACAAGTGTCGAAGTAGAAGTAGAAGTAGAAGAAAGAGGAGAGGAGGAAACTCCCCCACCTCTATTTAAGTTCCCCACGACAGCGGCTAGTGAGGCACGTGACATGTCATACGAACGATAAGCTTTGGACCTCGAACGCTGCTTATATCGGGCGTTATTTTGCCTATTTGACGGCTTTTGTTATAGCTGTCGTGGCTATACTGCTCTTGTTCTTGCTGTAACTATTGCTGCTGCCATCGCTCGTCATGTTCATGTAATTTTGTCCTATTTATTCGATCGCATGCTGGAGATATTAGCCACTTTGGCAAAGAATCCATACCCGTTTCAGGGGTAAATATCCACATAGGCCGGTAGTAACTCACAAATATCTAACGAAAAAAAATTAATAATGTATATTATATTTATATATTTAATACGCTCATTTCACCCATTCATGTTGATTTGTACATATTATCCGCCTACGAATATAGACCCATCACTGACAACTCTTGCATTCTGGACCACGGACATCGTCCACCCTTCCAATTCGCTTTGAAGGGCCACCTCCTCCTCCGCCTCGCCTATCGTAACCTCCTCCACCACCACCGCCGCCTCTGCCTATACCTCTATTCCTATTTCTAGGATCACGGTTTGAAGGATTCTTGATATTGAACTGGGAAGCCTCGGCGGCAGCATATGGAGTAAACTAGAGCCTTTGTTAGACGTTGTCATATCTGTCTTCTCCAACCAAGTCCTAGGTTGTAAGGGTTCCTTCTCTAGTCCACCAGCTGCTGGCAGTAGCAGTTACTTACCGAGAAAAGGCTGACAAAATAAAGACCAAAAAACATATATAACCATTGGAACAAGCGGCGCATCTTGGCCGAGAGCGGCGGACTTGATCGTAGCAGCAGTTAGATGGCCTGTATCTCCCATTTGCATGGCCAGAGTGGGGGTATCAAGAACTGCTTACTTCTCGAGTACGTGGCCATTGGACACGTATGGTCTATTGAATAAAGACATCTCGACGCGCAGTGTTGTGGCGCCTTTTCGTGCTCCTTCAGACTTGTTCTTGTGATAACTAGAGGATGAAGAAGATGGATGGGTAGATGACTAGTACAGGCTCTGGTGGTGAGGCTGCCAGCCTTTCTCGTGTCTGTCGATCGTTGGAGAGAAAGCTGGATATGTTGCAAGTTTCGGTTGCGCCTCAAAAAGTCCAATAAACTCTACCTCAACTTTAAGGTTTCTAGTCCCGCCAATCGCCAGGCAACCATATTAGTCATAAATTATATAATTCTTTAATAATCAGTCACGTGAAATATTTAATCTTCCAACGTTAATGGAAGAAAAACACGCCACCCGAAAATGTGAAGATCTAATTATTTTTGACGGGTCGAAGAAACACTACCAATATCCCGAGATGTGCATGCGCCAGTGGTGATATGATACTCTGTACTCCGTAATAAATCGCAGCTGCATAGTTTGAAAGACTTATATACCCAACTATTCGCCGTAAATTCCCCCCAATGCAGCAATGGCGTTAATATTCAAATCATTGTTCAGACCGTCCAGCGTCTTGAATCCATCCTCAACGATCCATTTCCGGCCTGGCTGATGAAGAACTTCACAACTTGTTCCTACTACAAGCAGGCCTGGCGGCCGTGAACCCTCTTCCTGGACAGCCAAACACACATGCTCCAATGTTGACCTTATTACCCGTTGGTCAGCGCAGGATGCCCTTTCTATTACTGCGCACGGCGTGTCTTTTGGCCAGAGACTTCTAGATGGAGTTACATCGCCTGTACCATCGCCGGTGTAAGTTGTCATAGATTCTATTAGTGACGCCAACCGATGCAATGCCATGAGGAAAACAACTGTTTGGGTAGGTATATAATTCGGTGGGGAGGGTGCCACGCCATGGCGACCAGTCCCAGTGCATATCAGGACTTGGTCAGCCACTCCTCTATGGGTTGGTGGTATATCCGCAAACAAAGGTGCACTCAGAGCACTTGTGATGCCAGGAAGAACAATAGGCTCGTATCCCTTTGCTCGGAAATAGGAGAATTCCTCGGCCCCCCGTCCATAGAGGTATGGATCTCCCTGTTTCAGCCGAAGGACAATTCTACCGGCTGATAAGCCCTCGGATGCCAGTTCTAGCAATTCTTGCTGTGCTTTGTCTGCATTACCCGGGAATTTTCGTGCAATGTGCACTTCCGTTCGTCGTGGAATGAGGTCGAGAACTGCAGCCGGCACTAGTTTGTCGGAGAGTATAAGGTCTGCTGTTTTAATTGCGTGATATGTTGCCCGTGTCAGCAAGTCGGGGTGACCTGGTCCAGAGCCTGCTAGGATGATTTTTCCCCTTTTAGCCTCCAGACCAGTACTATTTCCGTTGGTGAGAGGGTTCTTCCCCGCTCCATAAGCTTCCAACATCTTCTCTACACCAGGAAGCGTTACGCTGGCAAGCTGGCGAAGGGGCCAGTATTCGCAGATTTGTGAGAGCCAGCGTATTCTCCTTGTCTTCGATGTAGCAGCTGCATCCACTACTAATGTGTTGAATGTGTGCTTCTGAGCAGTCGAGTCGTCAGAATCATCCTCAAAGCTATCCTTGTCTGCCTCTTCCTCGATCGCATCCTCTTCCCAAATTCGTTTCCTTAATATGCCCAGATTTTCAACTGCTGTCCCAAGCCCAGGCGGAAGGAATGAGGCAATTTCTCGCCTTATCCGAGAAGCCAAAGAGCCTCCTTTTCCTGACGTTGTAACCCCAATATGCAAAGGCCCGTCAGAATAGGTTGACAGTAGTGTGAAAGAGCAAAGCTCTGGTGCATCTGACACATTTACAGGGATTCGAAGCCGCCGACATGTTTTTGATATGTGATGGGCTACAATCTCTTGTTAGCGCTCTTCCCGCTCCCATCGTGTACTGATACCTACTTAAGGGGTACGCCTTGTCCAAGGTTATGAATACGGCATCAACAACACACTCTACTTCCTCCCGGCCCAATGTGAGGAGATCGCTGTCCTGGAATTCTCTCTGAATCCATTGGACCTGTCCGGCCTCAATTCTCTCGGAAAGAGTCGATGGAAGCTTGTTCTCAGGAGACGAAATTAAAATCGGAGTTGCTCCTGAGTCGATAGACTTGGTAATGCGTGCAGCTGCCAATGGATTAGATCCAATGATCAAATGGATATGAGATCCTGAGTCTATTGCAGCCAGAAGAGGGATTCGCCTCCCAAATCTGGCGGGTGAACCAGTCATTGCCACCGTCTAAACCCGACGCTCCTCTTCTTGGGCCACGGTAAATGTTAATTCAATGGTGATAGGAAGATCGTCTTGGAATGTATAAGTCCAGAATTTGGTCACGGTAGCTGTTGATGCCAGCAATATCGAAAGTTGCAACCACCACGGACGAGATCTGATAAAAAGATTGACAAGAGGGTTAAGAGTCGCCAATGGATTCATAAAGCAGGATATTTGATATTAAAATTTTGTTTTTGGTTCCTGGAGAAATTGTTTTCTCCTTGCTCTGAACCCGAATGATGGGTATCAAGATAGTGATCTATATGGCGGCTGAACCCTCTCCACAGGCAATGCAGGGGGTGGTATCGGTGTTTGGGAATGAGGTATAGATGGGATATAGCCATTCACACAGCCTTTGGACTGTAGGTGATGAATGTTTAAGATACTTAGACGGCCTAGCCTTTTATATATATACTTGCCTTCTCGTACTTTTTTTCATTCAGCTCGATTGCGTGATTCTTTTGGGAAGTGGGCAATAATAAGCGCGCGCCTAACGCTTACTATTAGTAATACAACCACATGCTTATGTGATCAATGCCAAGATATAGAGACCTGTTTGGTTTGACGCTGGGAAAGGCGAAGCTGGAGAGCAACAAGCGACAGCTTCAGACGACCAAGCAAGCGGACAAGGAGCTCTTCCAACAACCACGCTCAGTTCCCTTGATACTCAACTCTGGCGGGAGACAACCTTCACTATCCGTTACATTTTTCTCGCACCTGTCATTCATTATCTAATAATCCAGTCGTTGGAGTAGTCAGGTCCGCAAGATACTCATCATGTCGGATGGCACATTGTTCAAGCCTGAGAAGGACTTCACGAAGGATGTCGACCAGCAGATCCCCGAGGCCGAAGCGCTTGCTAAGGTATGCCAAATTCTCGCCGTGCTTACTAGCTGTAGTACTAACAGATGGTGTTGATAGACAAACGTACAAGGCGCTATCGACAAGCTCCTCGTGTTAGAGAAACAAGCACGACAGGTACGGAATATATAACCCACATTTTGTGAATACAGGGGTTAATAAAGTGTTTTTGTTTAAGGCGTCCGATCTTCCTTCGACCTCGAGACTGTTGGTGGGCATTGTTACAATCTGCAAAAATGCCCGCGAGTGGGAGCTCCTGAACGAACAAGTCATTGCTCTCTCGAAGAAGCATGGCCAGCTCAAACAGGCGATAACAAAGATGGTCCAGGTGGTGATGGAGTTCTTGGATAAGACACCAAATTTGGAGACTAAATTGGCCTTGATCGAAACGTTAAGGACAGTAACGGAGGGGAAGGTACGTGATTCTTCAGACGGCCACGTGTTGACGAATACTAACGGGGGGACTTGTTAGATCTTTGTTGAAGTTGAGAGAGCGCGGGTAACTCGGGCTTTATCCGATATTAAGAAGAGTCAGGGCGATATCGATGCTGCCGCCGACATTCTTTGCGAACTACAGGTTGAGACGTTCGGATCTATGGCCAGAAGAGAGAAGACGGAATTCATCCTGGAACAGGTTGCTCTTTGCATAAAAAGGAAGGATTGGACACAGGCGAATATCCTCAGTCGCAAGATTACCACGAAATTCTTCGCCCGAAAACCCAAACGGACTCCGGAACAAATTGAAAAGGACAATAAAGAGGCTGAAGAGAAAGAAAAGAAACGTAGCCCCGATGATCCTCCAGTGGAGAAGCCAGAGGATGTTACAGATCTGAAGCTTCTTTACTATGAACAGCAAATTATCCTTGCAAATCATGAGAGCAAGTATCTTGATGTGTGCAAACATTACCGACAGGTTCTCGACACTGAGTCTGTTGAAGAAAACCCTGAACAGCTGCGTGCAGTAAGTTTAAGATCATCTGTATTATTTATGGCACGCAAAGGAATTAATCAAAGTTACAGGTTTTGCAACGGGTCATCTACTATGTTATCCTTTCACCTTTCGACAATGAGCAGTCAGATCTTTTGCACCGTATTCAAGCCGATACGCGGAACTCTCTTGTTCCCGTGGAGGCCCGGCTGGTCAAACTCTTCACAATCAACGAGTTGATGCGTTGGCCCATGGTTGCAGAACAATTCGGGCCCCATCTCTGCAGCACTGATGTATTCAGCGCCAAAACTAACCACACAGCTGACGACCAGGCCTACCAACGCTGGCAAGATCTCCGGAAGCGTGTCATTGAACACAACGTCCGTGTCATTGCCAAATACTATACTCGCATCGAGATGGGCCGATTAACTCAGCTTCTCGACCTAGACGAGGAGGAGACGGAGAAATACATCAGTGATCTCGTTACATCCAAGACAATCTACGCTAAAATTGATCGCCCGGCCCGACTTGTCAACTTTGCCAAACCACGGGATGCAGATGACGTTCTGAACGAATGGAGCAGTAACATGAAGAGCTTGCTTGGATTGCTGGAGAGAATTGACCACTTGATCACTAAGGAGGAGATGATGGCCAGGATTCTTCCGTCCAAGGCTGGAAGGTCGAAGGCACGTTGATAGATATGTTTGTTAGCAAATGTGCATTGATATGTACAACAAATAAGATGCCCATAGACAAGCAACCATTGGCCAACTGCCCTTGCTTCTCATGATAGTATTCCGTTCTAACCAGTTCCTCGCATATGTGTAATATACCGCAGAACCACCAATGGTCTGGTCTAGTCCCATCCTGTCCAAATATTCACATTGTCTATAATCTCTAAGATCAAGGTTCTCTCTTGTCATCGTTCAACGGGGCCGCATGTCTGTCTAGAACGGCATGTCCATATTCTCAACATCGTCATCGCCCGAATTTTTGTTACCATTGCCGTCTAATCCTTCTATGTGTAGCCTGATAAACTGCACCGCTCCGTCCAAATATGGTCTCTGGCTAGGTAAAAAATGGCCACCAGGATGCCACAAGACCCTACCATCAGACTCAGGGTTTCCAGCACAAGACTCGATCAATTTCCTGCTCCTTGCTTCTTCAACTATCATATCCAAAGTCCCTAGAACATGCAGCACGGGCGTCTGAATCTTGGGATGCTCATAAAATGCCCTATACCGGGTGCCAGGTGCTATAAAACCTCCGTAACATATCGCAAATTTCATCGGCGGGTGTGAGATGCCGGTAAAAGAAGGTGGAATTGGAATACCAGTCACCATATTCTTATCCTCTGGCCCTTGCGGTGGCTTTTGAGGATCTCGCTGGTTTCCGCCGAGAGACTTGTTGACGAGTTCTTGCTGATTGTTTGCCGGGTCAGACATATAGCTGAATGCTTTACTTCGGTCTGGCTCGAGTAAACTGGCTACCATTGCTGCTAGACAAGCACCCTGAGAGAAGCCAATGACACCATCAAACGGCCCTTCATCTGCAAGCACACTGGCGACAGTTTCCAGGCCTTTCTCCATCCCCATGTATTCAGGCGGATCAACGATATCTGAACGACGCCACCATGCAAATGCTTCAGGTGCTTCATCGGCTACTGAACCGCCATTGGAAACTGGTGTATAATTGGGTATATCGGAGGGGCTTAGCCCTATAGGACCGGATGGATATGATAGAGTAACAGAGTATGCAGGGAAGTTCTTTTGTATGTGCTTCTCTAGAGCGCGGGATTTGGCATGGAAGAGCGAGCCAGACTGAGTGTATCCATGAAGCATGAGGATTTTGAGTGGTTTTCTTGTTGACTTCGCCATGTTTGAATCTAATCAACGCAGCCGCATTAGCTAGGAGGGTATTATTTCCTCAGGGGATTGCAAATATTGACCACTCTTTTCAATTTATATGGAGGAGGAATAAAGATGGATGTTTCTAATGTCCCACCTGGGCAGCATCTCCATAGGTTACCTAGCGCAAGGGCCACTTTTCGGGATCCGGAGCGTCTTTTATCCGATATCTGCCGCCCGGACGGGACCTGAGCTGCCTGGGCGCTATATAATATCGACGTCGGCAAGGGTAGTTTGGATTCGATTATCGCAGAGCTACTTACGTCAAACTGGTAGCTTTTGGTGGTAAAAAATAAAATAAAATAAAATGACTCCTACTCGAACCGAGGGGCCCGAAGACAAAAACGAAGTGAGAACCTACTATGTAGGTTCCCAGTAACTTCTGCGTTATTTGTAGCCTCTTCGTTGACATGTCAAGGGAATCAACTGCTTTCAACCCGCTAACCTGCAGCTAGATTTGGCGGAGTCCCAAATTGGATAGAATCAACATCGGATGGATTGGATGTCTCCCGGATCATTTATCTTCCAGGGTCTTGGCTACAAAAATACGGGGGAAAAAAAGGTCATTGAGATTCGAACCTGGGGCAAAAAGCGAAGTTGAGACGAGGTCTCGAGTTCTTCAACTTATGAGTAAAGGTTATTTGGCCTCTTCGCTGGAAAAAGAGGCCGTCAACTCGACCTTAAACCCCCCAAAAGTGACCAAAAGCAAGGTGTTGCGGCTCATTTTCACGTGACTAACCTAAAATAAACTCATGGTCATGATGACATAATCATTGGCTTCAAGTGGGCTTGTTTTTGGTTCTTGCATGTGAAGAGAGGAAGCGCAGCGATGGGACGGAGATTGAGGTTGAAAAGGACAGGTGGACAGGACAGGATCGAGCTCTCTGACGTCTATACCGCAGCATAACCCCAAGCTGTATCCCAAGGAAAAGTGCCTTGTACAGTTGGCTGTTACCCCCGAGGGCACATAATGACCAACGACCCGACGCGATTCACGACACACCTTTTTTGCGACTGAGAGAGTGGGCTTTGTGGATAAATTAATTAGTTAGGGGCAGAGGAGCGCTGGCTGAAATATATCGACTGTGGAAGGTATGTTGCTTTCCCAAAGCATGGAGGAGTATAACCGGTGACCACATCTTCTAACCAGCTCGTGTAGCCAGTTATGGAGAAGTACTCCCAGTTCCGGGATCGAGGTGCGTTCTCTTGCAACTACGGTGTTTATGAATCCAGTGCTCGAGAGGCTCTGACAATATACAGCTTCGGGAATCGCTCCGTTCCTACCTATCGTGGGACAGACACCGACGATATCAGTTTTATTTCATACCTTTCTGTTCGTTGTGCGATTCCCGCTGTTAATATCAGCCTGTCTCTTCTATTTCTGCATACTGCAGTGGCTTCCCATAGGAAGTCTAGGGACGAAGATATCTCTTTGGACAATACTGGGCATACCGGGCATATGGTGGGTAGACCTACAGATTGAAGGGGTTAAGAAAGGGTGAGTTGGATCTATTCGTCCACCAGCGGCAATGTACTTTGAACTGCTTCATTGACACCACTACACAGATCACTGGCGAAGCATATACAAACCCGTCTTCCCGGACCAGGAACAGTAATTGCTTCGTCGTTCACTAGCCCCATTGACGTTGTCTACCTGGCGGCTATATTCAATCCAGTGTTTACCACCTCTTACCCCGGGACACGGAAAGTGAAGCAGGTTTCGCTTCTGCAAGCTATTATTCATGCTTTTGACTCGCCAGAGCCAACGCCACCCCATTCGTCCAAAGCGGATCTAACCGATATATCGACGCTTATTAAACGGAATCCAGACCGCTGTATCGTCGTCTTCCCTGAATGCACTACCACCAACGGCAAGGGAATTCTTGAGCTCAGCCCTTCTCTATGTTCAGCGTCACCATCTACCAAGATATTCCCTATCAATCTTCGCTATGAGCCGGCCGACGTTACGACACCGATCCCGGGATCCTATGCGCGGTTTGTTTGGAACCTGCTGAGCAAACCAAGTCATTTTATTCGGGTGCGTATTGCCGAAAGTGTCAGCCAAGAAAGCGCTGCAAACATGCCAGCCCAGAACAAGCAAGACGGGTCCGATGCAACCTTGAATCCTGAACAGCAGAAAATGATGTTCTTGGTCGGAGATTCGCTTGCCCGGCTGGGACGGGTGAAGAGGGTTGGGCTGGGGGTTAGACAAAAGCAGGAGTTCGTCAGAATGTGGGATAAAACTAGAAAGTGAAAATCCGGATAGGTTATTAATATGAACGATTACATATTTCAACACATCATTTTCAATGACTTCGAAATATAATTGAGGCCTACTGGCATTGATTTAAGAGGTAAACAGGCTAGTGCTAAAATGTTGCAAACTTAGAGAAGAGAGTTCTCTTCCAACAAGGCGCGGCGTTGAAATACTCCGTGTTGCTCATAGAAAATGACCCAGAAGCTCATCAAGCCGTATAGTCACTAGGGAACCCATCTATTTCTTTCCGCTGGGGGGAGTGTAGACGGAGCCACCCTGGCCATTGTTGTAGTAAGTGCTTCCGTTTGGGTTGCTGTAGTAGTACGATCCATCACTACCAAGGCAACACTGTCAGCCTCAATCTTTTGTATGCTCTAAATGGGGAAAGCATTGACTTACGAGTTGGAGTAATGGTAAGAATTGGAGTTGACAGCGGACGAGCCATAGTCACGGGCACAATAATGGTTTCCCTAGATCTGGTCAACAGTACGCTCTCGAATGATGAAAAATACACAATTGACCAGGTTGTCAGCTTGTCATTGCCCATCAAGGGCCTTCTGGTTAACATATCAACAAAAGCATGCTCTGTAACCAAAGAATACAGCATGGCAGTAGCCCGGTATATCTACGGGTATCTCTGCCTACATCGAAGACACAACTAGTTTCACTAGTGGCCAAAGAGGAGTAGCCATTGGCATATCTCATCTTCTAGCAAACGGAACCTTGTTGAGGTCGGAAGAAAATTGGAAGTGCAGACGTCACGGATAGTACAAACCTGGCTGTTGGTGCCGGAAGACTTGTAGGTGTAGCCACCGTTGCTGCTAGAAGAGTTCTCAGGCATTTTGTTTGCGCTCAGAGTATAGATGGATGATTCCGTTGAGTGATATACGCCGTGACTCGGATACAGAGTTGAACAGTGGTCCTAAATGCTGGCAGGCTAGGGGACGTGTTGGGGAGGAGTTTCCCTTATATAGGCCGATCTAGCCTCTCCGTTATTGGGCCCTCCCTTCATCCTTTGTCTGGCGACCTGGCGCTGACGGTGCGAAGGGGACGGCACAGAGTTACTTTCCCTTCTTCCACTTGAGGTCCCATAATTATTCTGAAACAAGCTATTCATCTTCCAATCCTGGAGAGGTATCACAGAATTCCTTAGTTGTATACTAAGGTTTTGAGCTGCGAATAAGACCAAAATATCTGCCACAGGAGGGAAGTATATTCAGGGAATATCCCAAACCAGCCTGGACTATATGTGTCGGAGGAATGCCAAATGGTCTTAACCAAGGGCGATCAAATTTGCCCAGCAATTATTGCTGCTCTGTATCTTGCGTCTGCGGCTTCTGGGAGTAACTCGGCATAACGGCACTGTGCAAGGCGACTTGCAATATAAAGAAGAATGCATTCCAACGTCGTAAGTAGTTAGCTACTTTGTAAGGGCTATCTCATTCAAATCAATATGTTATTCTTACGCCTTGACGGCCTATTCTATATCTCTAACCAACGTCTTTTGTTGACGTCGTCGTTGCTTTTTCTCTTTTCGGAAGTCAACCTCGGGACGGGAAGAGGGCTATCACGTGACCAAAACAAACACTGGAATTTACTTTATCCGAGATCACATGTCCGCCGAAAGATTAACATTACGTCAGCAACAACAACAACATCATCATCATTGGAAGGCATCAATATCAATCAATATGACAGCCATTGTTCAATTGAACACTGTTTTGATTTACCCATCATTGTTATCTGCTAGCTTCTGCTAGTCATGAGCTAGGATAACAAGTCTTTGTGATGTCAGTCTGGCTAGGCAGGCTTTCTGGAAAACGCTATTGACTTATACAGAGCCGTTCCTATTCATCAGCAACGCGGTTGGTCCCGAGATACTGGGCCATCATAGCAGCTATAATAGCAGAATGCCTCCATACTAAGCGCTAAGTCGGTGTTTGTCAGCATGACTATTTTCTTTCCCTGACGCGAGCTGTCTTTGAAACTTATTCCATATACCAAGGACATCCATAGCATTCATGTCCTTCTTCTAGGAGATGCTACTATCGAAAATATCCAGGACGTGTTCTATGAACATCCTATACCCGAGCTGATGGAAATTGACGCAATCTAGAAAGGCAAGGAATCACATTCGAACGTGGTCGAAGTGTCTCTTGGATGTCCTACCAGTGGGGTATCCAATATCTTTTGTCAGCCCATGTGTTGCTAGTCCTCTATGCATTGGCCATATCTTCGGAATTCACCACAGCTCACTTCTATTTAAATGAAGTCAAGGTCCCTCACTAACTTGTCTACTCTTTCACTCCTCTCTCTCTGCTCTTCTCCCCCTGCCCACTTGGCTCTCGAGGGAAGAGTTGAGAGTCCATATCTTGCCTATTACATCAGAGGGTTTACTTCTCCTAAACCGCTTCCATTAAACCGAACGAGTCTATCCTCTTTCTATGAGTTCCTGACCACAAGTACGAAAACCGTATCCTGCGTTGCATTTCTTTGCTGATCAAGTTGAAAGCCGGCACACCGTTTACTGGCACCATGGACACCCAACCGGTGGTTCAGTTACCAAATCTGCAGGACATGGCTGCTATTCATCGGCAAACTTGCGGGTTCCACCCCGTAGACTCGCCCAACTGCAATGTCCACACCCTGAAAGGCGAGGCATGCCGCTATAAAGGCAGAAATGGGATTGAACCAGATGGAACCATTCCAGGAAGACTGCCAGTATGTGGGATGCATCGTCCCTTTGCTCCATCATCTGCTCGTTGTAAGGCGATATTGCCTTGTGGCTTTGAGTGCGGGAGATTGTTCAAATGGAGCCCCGGTGAAGTTAGGCTCTGCCCTGATCATGATGATATGTCTCAGCCATGCTACTTCATGATGATCCCAGCAGAACTGCGAATGAAGATTTACCAGCAGCTGTTTCTCGAACCGCAGACCGATAAGCGGCCATATTCTGATTCCCGCAGCAGCAAAGGCAATCGGACCAGCATTCTCCGCGTCAACCGCAAAATTAATGAAGAAGCTACGTCGGTTTTCTATGGATACCCCAAGTTTACCATTGAGGTCGGCCCTGATCATATGCACATGTCTGGCGATCTGTGGAACTGGAAATACTACAAAAACCTGTTGATTGAGAAGGCTCGCCTAAGCAAATCAGAAAACTCTTCGGATCGCCCCGTTGCCCTTCTAGGAGCTCCCTCGCACCCTTTTCTCAAATGTACTACCATAAGCCTGCCAATGGGCGTGGCCAACTTTTCAAAAATGAGATCTTTCCACATCCACATTCACCTCAACCACCCTCAGAAGAAGGGTCAGGGCCGGTCCAACTTAGCTAATGTGTCATTGCAATACACCTGGGAGCGAGAAATGCAAACCAGTTATCATATGGTTGCTGACAATTTACAAAAGCTGGAAGTCTTTCTGAAGTTAGTGAAACCTAACATTCACACCTTATCAATCTCAATCCAGATCGACTACAACTTCACCGGGAAGCTGTCTGATTGCCTGAGATACCCCGTTCACGTTCTCCGCTGGCTCAGCCGCCTCCGATCCGTTACCAATGTGTCTGTCGAGACCGTTGAGTGGGGAAATGAGACTTTCAGCGTTCTCCCGCACGTTAACTACCAGCCGTCTCCTTCCCGACCCACACTTATCCCTCTCAACACCACCCAGATACCCAAGGAAGAAATGAAAAAGTATAATACATTCCGAGCAAAGATTGCTATCTGGGAGAGCCTGGTTTCTACCACAGACAAGTGTGCAACCAACACTCGCATCATGAACGCCTACTGGAGACTAGAAAACTTGCTCTGGATCTTTCAGACTGCTGGAGTCCGCCAGTTTCGAGAAAATGATGACACTCTGCCTGATCTTCTTTATAAAGCTAGATGCGCGCTTCATAATGATGATATGGGTGGCATGAATGATGCGGCGATTGAAGCGGTGAGATACTGGTCTGACCACATTGACATGGAGAGAGACTTAAGACGTTGGGCTTGGAAAGAGTTCCTCATGGTAAACACCCTGACTGCACCGAATACACCCTCTACCCTCGGGGAGTTACTGGAGATGTTGAAAGATGCAGGTATCAGTAGCTCAGTCCTCCCCCAGGTTCCATTGAGACCTGCTGGCCTATCAGCACCATAGTTTGGTATTAAACGGGGAGGTTAGATCACGTCGTGGACAAGTTGGGAGGATAATCTTGGACGGGACTTTTATTCACAACTTTCCCCGTCCGCGCTCTTTCCCCTATTTTCATTTCTTTGTTACTTTGCACGCTGCGTCAGGCTACCAAGGGCGCTTTCTTTGATTTCTTCACTTGACTATCCATTCACCGCTAGCCCTTAGCTGCGAGCACTATCTAAGAATAAGTGAAGATAGTGATAACTACCTTACAGATTGTCCTGTTATTAGAGAAGTGAATAGGATTGTGAAGGCAACATCCATCTTTTAATTAATTTCTCTTAGCTTAACTGAAGATGAGCAGGTAAAATATACTCGTAGCTGAGGCAAGATACCAATTCATTTACAAGAGAGTGCAAGCGATAAGTATACAGTATACAGCATTTGAATTCCTAGCAAGGCCAGATATAAGCAATGGAGGCACTAGAGAAAAGATTACTTCAAGCTACCGTGCTCTCGTCCACAACGTGGTTTCCGGAGAAAGTCATATTATCCAGGCCAGGAGGCTCAGACATATATCAACCTTCCACTCCCGAATATATATGTTAGAAGTTGGAAAACCCATGTGTCCACAACAGTAAGTTTGAATTATTCGACTCAGGTCCCCTCCCCCATGTCTGACGCACTGCCAGTCGAAACAAAAAGACCGACTTGAAAGGCACTCGAGAATTGCCCAGCATGGCTTGGAGAAGCCGACTAGGTAGATATCTCATGCGAAGATCGAAGATTAACAGTGAAGAGTCAAGAACAAGAAGCAACAAAAGCAAGAAAGCAAAGGTTCTGATTTGATTGCCAGATATCCGGAACTCCCGCCATCCATCAAATTTTGTGCCAACCCTGAAAAGGTGTCGACATGCGGAAACAAGAAGGTAACAGGGTGATGATCTCCATCTTCTATCTGTCTGGTATCATCGAGTAAGAAATTTCGAAAGCGGAAGCATGGAAAGTCGGGATATTGGGAGAAAAAGAATCGACAACGACAACGCTGCCATATTGCATTAAATAAGCTCTTTTCACATTTTTTGGTATTTGGAGAATGTTATGTTGTTGGGTGTGGTGCGGTGTGGTATGGTGAGAAAAGGGGGTTGAGGTCTGCGGGCGGGTTGCCTTGGTTCGTCGTAAAGAAAGCTATTTTATGACAGGTTGCATTGTGATCCTTTTGCATTCATATCCCATTTTTAACACTTTTTTTTTTGGTATTGGCGTTAAGTCATCCTCTACTTTCTCCTGAAAGAGCATCCCTCGGTCAATCTGGCCTTTCCACCGGTGGGTTGGCAAAGGACGGTAGAGCAGCCAGCGCAGATGACGACGGTCTGGGCATGCGAGAAGACTGTGGTGATTGTGAAGCAGCCGGGGCACTTGACGTCCATGAAGAAGGATCGGGGAGCAGGCACAAGGGTCTGTAGAAGGTAGAAGTCCGACAGTTAGATATTTTTCGATGACTTTTCACTCCGGCCGTATAACTTCGCTTAAAGGGTGATGCGACGGTGCAACGGCGATGCCGACAGCACATACCTTGAGCTTGTGCTTGCGAGCCTCCGACTGGGGCTGGGGGTTAAGAAGATCGACCGCGAGAACCTATTCATCGATATCCGTCAGCAATTTTTGTCCATATGGCTGCCATATTCAGAGCCCTAGTCGACGCCATCATAGGTTTTGACTCATGCAGCTCATCTCGCGGCGAAAGAGCAGGTTCGGCGCTGTCAGGGAAACGGGAAGACATACCATGTTGACTCAATATGCCTTGTCTGGAGGATGAGATGTGTCGAGGGAGCGCTTCTAGAGGTGGTTTTGCGAAAGAGTCGACGGTCGAGCAGGAGAAGAAGCGAGGAAGAAGAGGAAGAAGCGAGGTTGAAGTCAAGATCGTGTGAGAAGTTGCGAGTTTTCGCACACTGAAAATTTGACGGGCCCCGAAAGCGGTTAGCGTGGATAGAGGTCGCTTAGCTAGCCTGTTCCGGTTTAGCGGATTAGGTAATGTTACTAGTCTGTTTTAGGCAAGAAGGACTACCATCTCGAAAACACGAAAAAGACGCGAAAGATGAAGAAGACATGGTCGATGATCCAAGGGATAGGGACGAGATGAACTTGGACAGACGGCCAGGTAGTGAAGATGTTTGTTGCTTGCTTCATCCTTGTTTGTTGGAGTCTGACTCTGGGGTTTGCTGGATGCCAGCAAACTCGAAGGGACATGACTATATAAGGGCGGCTCTCTACCCCTTTTTTCTCGGGGATAACTACAAGAAGCAAGGCTACATGGTTTGATATTCTTATACAACTTTGATACCCTTTTTAATCCTGAACAAGAGTGATTCTGCTTGCTGGGCTTGATTGTCATTGGTATATTGATCAAGTTGAACAAATACTATACCTCTGAAACTCCAACGGAGTGAATACTCTCTTTCTATTATACACCTACCAACCTGAAATAAGCAACTTTGATAATGGGAGATAGACTGCATTACTTGCGGTGGAAGCCTACTATCACGGCTCTTTCCCACAATAACCCATCTAATAACGCACGACTCAGACCACAAGTGCCTGTTTCAAGTTCGTCGACCCGCGCGACCAGTGGTCTCCAAGGCCAAGGTCTTGCTCGGTATGTGAGGGGCTCATATACATTGTTCTCTGGCTATAATATAGACCAGATCAATGGCATCTTAGTCAGCGATGACGGCAATGGCTTTTTGCTAGCTGTTCCTCCTGAAGCCTCGTTACGTTCAACCGCTCCCGAGGCTGGGTCAAGCTCCGCTCGAAGGGAAACAATTAGGCCTACAGGACATCCTTCAACAATATCTGATTATGAGATAGCAAAAGAGGAACAGGATTTCGAGGACGCTATCCAGAACTCACTCAAAGACCACAGGACTCCTGCCGCAGCTCCTCATGTGCGTGGTCAGCATGGTAATAATGTTGCCGATCGGCCTTCTGCGGCTTCCCGTCGTTCCCAACAGCCCTTAAACATCCAGACGCTCTGGAGATCGTACCAAGAACAGCACGAGACCAGCGTTGATAGGCATCAACAGGTCCCAGGGATTCGGCCCGCCGTGCTGCACCCCCCAGCACATAGGATAACCTGCACTATCTGCAATGGCAGTCGAGCTGTCCGTCAGGATGAAGCTATCGCCGATGGCCTGCCTATTTGCGAAAGTTGCTGTGATGAAATATTACGAGCCGAGCAGTCGAGAGCCGAGCAAGTGGAAAGAGAGAGGCGAGTTCGTTTTGCTTAACGTTGCCAATCTTTCATTTCATTTTTTGCGATCAAGTCAAACGATATTTGCTCTTTCTACCCATTATCATTTCCGGGATTTGGATGGAGATTGTTGGAGAACAAGGGTTCACAGTAATGACTTCTGGGAAACACTAGTCGAGAGCTGATTAGGAATAATGTCATGGCTAAACTACAGTCGCTGAAATGCCATTCATTAATGGCTGAACGAAGACAAATTTACTTGAGTAAAAAAAAAAGAAAGAAATTACACATACGAAAGTCGGGATTCGCTGGTGGTCACCCACCCAACTACTAACCGACCGGCAAGTGGCTTAAGTACAGCTGAGCGGACGGGAAGCTCTGTTTTCCACTTCCTGTGATCGTATGTGCTAGATACATAGACGGGAGGATTGATATAGGACAGACCCAGCTTGGTAACTAGTCACTCTGTATTTTCATTGATATAATTCGTGAGAGATTTCATTTGTATAACTAATCTTCATTATGAAGCTACCATTACATAGAAGTAGCATTTATATTCTATTCTGAAGACACGCTATATCTTGGTATGAAGCAGCTCTTCTTTCAAACGTAAGCTAGTAGATGCGTAAAGATGCGTAAAATTGATAAGTGAACCTCCCTTCGTTAACGGATGCATTGCGTTCCTGCCGAGAGTCCTGGCCTCCTAAGGATTTTTGGCTTTCAGGGGATCCGTGTCGACGCAGGGGTACTTGATGGTCAGGCACCAGATATCCAGATAATCGCATATGCTGGTAATCACATCGAACTATATATACAGTGGTTAACGATAAGCCATAGAGTATTCATCAAACGTAGGTAAACTCACCACAAAACTTCCGTATATACCAACGGCAAGGCCCAGACATGTAAAGACGAACGCAACTTGGTTCTGCCCAGTGCCTATGAAGCTCTTCTCTAATAACCCAAGTCTCGGAATCAAACCGTCGATAACACCCACGGCAAGAGGAAGGTTAAGCACGTTGTGATATGGGAAATCCAGCTTAACAAGGTGAGCGACAATCATCTGCCCGACCGAGTAGGCGTTAAGGATACCAGTGAATAGGATGATGGGGACGAGGTGGTTTTGCAGTATGTCCGGATGCATGTATAGGTACGGCACTAGCAACGTCCATGGTAAAATTGCAGGCAACAAGCCGTAAAGCGGAGTATATTTACTGTCTTCGCCACTGTCCCTGTTACCACCAACTGCCTTCTTGGCCATATAGGCCTGTGGATCTAGTCGGCGGTCAACGATGCGTTTCTCAACAACTTTCAGAACGTTCATGATACTGGTCACTGTGCTGAAGAGTAGAACAAATCCGCCGTAGATCAACCACCAGGTAGTGAACGGGAGATTGTAAGCGGAATCCGAAAGTACTGAGAAGTGTGGGATTCCTAGAGTTGGCAGCATTGGTCGGTGCCAGAAGCTTCCCCCTCCAAGAAGAGCAGTGGTAAGGAAAACGAAGCAGAGCGACAGGATACCTTCAACAGGGCCGGAGACAATACCAAGTGTGAGGAAATGAGTATGGTATTCCTCCCATGTTTGGACGTAGAACGTAAAGACCGCTGGTATTATGTTAGACTGGTCAATTATATAGGTCGGCTGGGCACAACTCACCGCCGAAAAGAGTGAGGACAGTTGCCCAGCTCTGTCCCAAGTTCACTGCACCGGCAAATATAAGGACTCCAAGGCCAGTGTTGCAGGCATCAACACCTATATAGCGGTCAGTATAAGCCTGCGTTTCCTATAACAAGACCAAGCTTACCATGGTCGAACAATTCTCCCAAAGGCCCGCTCTGTTTTGTTCGTCGACTTTGGCTCAGTTAGCAAGATAGTCTGCCCTGATTAAGAGTAGATTAAGAGTAGTATGACATACGCTTGAGTACCGTCAACAGCGTCGAAAGTCTGGTATAAGAAGAGCCCTACGGCCCAGCTGAGGTATACCCAGGGAGGACAATCCTTGTCCAGAGTAGGGTTGTACCACAGTAGAGTCAAGAAATTCACAACGACGAATGAGAAACCTGTCAGTGTAATCTATGATATTCCAGTAAGTATACCTCTAGCTTGTGGCTAATTCCATAGAGCTTGCTTACAAGATTCGGCCTGTAACATCGTGTCAGTGTGCCCCATCAATCCAGCGAAGGGAAGCTATTGACTTACGCCATCGACATGGGGAAGAGATTAATAACATAGTTCGTATAAAAGGGCTTCAGAATGTATTTTGAGGTCAACGACTTGTCAACAGAAGCGTATTTGTATTGTTTCAGGCCATCGAGGGCCTCCGCTCGAATATAGGTCATCTTTGGTCTTGGGTCTCCTCGGCTGTGTATTAAAAGTAATAACCGAGAAGAAAAAGAAGGCAAATTTAAGCAACAGAGCCAGTAACTATCAAAGCCAGCAAAGGAAATATTAAAGGGCTCTTTTCCAAGAAAAAACCGTCGATATTATGTCCAATTTCGCAAAGGGAGGCGGGAACTGGGGGTGGTCGTGTATATAAGACCCTTGCTCGGGGATTGCCCGAGTATATAAACAAGGTAGACGGGCTGTTCTAGTCAGCCACAGCGATCAGGCGACAAAAGAAAGAAAGGAAAAGCCCAGTGAATGCACGAAAGCCACGCGCTGCTTGATTGCTTCTTCATCACTTGGCCTCTTTTTGGTCGTTCTTGAAGCGACGGAAAAAAGAAGGAAAAAAGGAAAAAAAAGTGACGTTTTTTGTGTTGACCTGCCAAGACCGGGATCGGCTTGGCAGGGACCGAGCGCCGGCGGGAAAGTTATCAGATCACACGATCGGGATGGACTAGAAGACGGGAGGGCGAAGATAAAACGAGGATGCTGGGCTGGTTTGATACTTGATATATATTCTGAAATGAGCTTCAGTGGTGGCAGGATGCTAAGATATACATGTATAAAAAAAAGAAGGACCCAGAACTCGGTGTACTACTATCCCAGCCATCTGCTGCTGGCTGCAGTGTTCGACGAAGGGAATTAAGTCCCTCAGAACGCCTCTCGGCTTGCATGGTTTCCATCCATCTCCTTCCCGGAAAGATACCACGAATCGACATTCATTCTTGATTCCCCTTCCTATCCATACGGAAGAGCAAATACATCATGTAGAATTTCTCTAGCAGTTTAGACAGCGAACGGCCGAATTAACCGACAGGGCTCCATGGCATTGGGATAAGAATCCTGCTCTTCATCGTCTGGATCAATGGAACAGTCTTGTGTACCGTGTCAGCCCAGCCCTCGAGTTCCCACGACTGTTCACGTCTCTTCTTTCGTTCTTCCAGGTCTGCAAATTGCCACAGATGGTGGACGGTGTTGAGGTCGCCAATCTGCACGAACCATGCACCAACTCCTTCCATGATCTGTCGTCTGGCGGCTAGACCTCGCCTCCAGTGGCTCTCCCACTCTAGAAGATTACCCGGATGCAGGGTGTATGATCGAAGCTCGAAGACACCTCCAAGCCGGCGTGGAGGCGTAGTAGGCCAGAAGGAGAATTCTTGCATGAGCGAAGTCTTCTTACTCTTGATTAGGGACTTGAGTTTACGATCGAACTCAATAAAACCGGGCTGTTGACCAATCTCATGAAGAGATGCGTGATATCCAGTGTATCTCTGGTACTCCCAAATGTGGACTAAGACGCCAGTTAGCAATTGCAATTTTTCAAGGTGCAGGGAGCCTTAAAGGGTGCTGGTGCGCTGGATACCGAAAGTGTCATTATCTCCGACTTGAGTACGCCAACTGCCGACGAGGTTGACCCTGTTCTGTTCCATCCCGGCCATCTTGGGATACCATTCACCCACCAGCCCTACATACTCGTCGACCTTGTCCGGCTTGACCTCGTGAAAGACAATCGAATGGACATATTTTCCTCGTGCCAAGACTTCGGAGAAGGACCGCTCGATATCCTTGTCTAACTGTTGACCTTCTTTAGTTCCGTAAATGAGACTGGAAAGACGGCCACGGCCCGGAGTGCTGTTATTCTCTGCCTGTTGCCGTTCTCCTACAATGCGGTGGGTTGATAGTGAGCCTAATGCCTGGCGGTCCAGAGAGGACGCAGCATCAACAACGGTGGAAGGCCCGCTCGCATTGCTCGCATCTGGAGCAGTGGGAGGGGTTTGGGCAGAGGAAGAAGAGGAGGAGGAAGGAGAAACAGGGGCAGAAGCATCAAGCGACTGACTGTCTTGCTCTGCTTTTCTTTTCCGAGCAGCTTCTAGATTATCACGGAACTCCTTCTGACGGGTGTTGAACGATGAGGCATTGTCTGGGGTAATGTCTCGGATGGAGGGGGCACGCAACCGGGTACATGAGGTGCTGAACGGACGAAGAAGAGAGGGAGAGGTGCCGGATCGAAGCAGACGCGATGCCAACATGATGACAGGACGGCACGCGAGCGAATATGACGGTTCGTGTGAGGTAGAAGAGGAACCGGACAGAGGCAGGGTGTTGTTTCGAGCTGGAGCTTGAGATGGAGCGGTTGCGGGACAGGTACAAGAACGAAAGGTGGACACCTGAAGGTCTCCGCAGATGTGTTTCGAGAAAAGGGCTGAGGGAAAGTGAAGAAGTCGAAAGGGAAGCAAGGCTTTGAAATTGCACGCAGCTGTATGGAAAGAGGGGAAGCTAGCTCAGGTTCAGGCTCAGGCTCAGGGCAAGGAGGTCAGGCAGGGATAAGTAACTATGTATACGGGGAGCATGCAGCAAGCCGCTCGACCGATAAGAGCGTACAGACAAAGGGAAGGCACAGCTCCCTGGAAAGGCAAAGGAAAGACAGTGGATTGGCCCTCGGATAGCTGCCAGAACGCGCGAGAAAGACCGCAGAAGATGAGGATGCGAAGTGGATGGAGTTGAAGTTGACGTTGGAGTTGACGAAGTTGCCGGAAGTTGAAAAAGAAAACAAGAAAAGAAGAAAAAAGAAAGTAGAGTCACGTGATAAAAAGCGGGAGGACCCCAGACGCTAGTCCTTCTTGGGTTAGACTGGTGGTTACGTCATAGGAACGCGGGAAATATGTTGTTCCGGTGAAGCTTAGTCAGCCCGTCGGGATCGACCACTCGTGGGCGTAACAAAAGTAATAATCATCAAACAAGGCGGCGCAAGTTTAATACAGCAACAACCAGCGGAAAAGACGCTGTTAGAGACAGACAGCCAGAGGTTGATGGAAGCTGTTCTGTGTACACCGATAGCGAAATGACGAGCCTACAGCACCCCCCGTTGAGCTATGAGGCCTCGGCCACCACCACGCACCCTCACTTCGCTACATGCCTGCCGCAGGAAGTGGTCTCTTGCCTGAAGAACTCTCGATTCGTAAGTTCTCCCACGCGACCATATGGACGGGGGATAAGAAAGATAACTAACAGTGTATGCTAGCTGCATCTTGCAACATGCGACGGACTCAATCCTCACATCTCCCTTATGAGCTACACCTTTCTTCCCTCCACGCCATTCTCCCCCACCCCGACCATTATCATGACCACCAACCCCTCATCCAAAAAGACACTCAATCTCCGCTCGAATCCACGGGTCTCCCTCCTGGTACATGACTGGGTTTCTCACAGACCTCCCACCCGGACCCGAGATGCCGGACGGGAAGGGTCTCCGCCTCCCGCAGCCACGCAGTCCAGTCTTGCCACCTTACTTCTAAACCTCAACACTAGTGCCATGAGCAGTATCAGCACCACCATAATCGGGGAAGCCCGAGTCCTTGATGTAGGTAGTGAGGAAGAGAAGTGGTGTAGAGAACGCCACTTGGAGAGCAATACGTTTATTGCGGACGAAGGGGGAATTGGCGTCTTTAGTAGCAGTGGCCAGGCGCGGCAGGGAGGCACAGGAGAACAGGAACGCCGGCCATCTATTATGGATGACGATGTCAACGTCGTCGTGGTAGCCGTCAAGGAAGGCAGGATTGCGGATTTAAAAGGTGGGGTGAGAGATTGGGCTGTTGTCACAGAAGGGCAGATGAATGGAGTAGCTCCAGGTAGCTAAACTACCTCTAAATTTCTCTAGGTCAGCGCCATAGCTCCTGAACTAGTTACAAGCTAAGTTTACCATAGATTCTCCTCCCTACTGCCCTTCTTTACTACGATGAAAATGACAGAAAGTGCCTTCTACCTAATAATAGCCTTGGTATGTATTGCCCTCTCTACCCGTCATGGGAATGACCATGACGCAACAGCCGACAACAGAGGCAAAATCTCTCGAATTAAATGAGGTATCTCAATCCCACCGGCTTAAAGGAGGGGACAGTCAAGGATCTTCCCGTTAGTGCTGATCTATGAACTCACATTGTCAGAGAAAGAGAACCGGACATGAACCGTCCAAATGCTTATCTATTCTTATTTAACATTCCATGCTTATATCTCTACCGGCAGCCGGCTCACGGCAAAGCCATAAACTAACGGAATTACGCTAAGTCTTGTTCGCAGATGCTATCGCACAACCACTTCCTTCCGGCTCGTCTGCGGAGCATCCGGTGAAGCGTTATTAGCCCCTCTTCTAAGGCCCCCAATGTCACGCGATTCGTAGAGCGAACCTTACTACGGCCGGACAGCCGGCTTTATATACAATTACACTACCTAGTACAAGGCAGTTCCATGAGGTTCCCCGTTCAAAGGAGGATTCGCCTTGCTTGATGCACTACCGCCGTAGGCGGCATCAGATCCCTGTTTCCTTTCGCAGCAGTTCTCTACGCAGAGCACCGTTAGCGCTATAACTATAGCATGTGCAAGGATCTAGCCATTCTGAAACTTTTTCCATGCTCTTGAGAAATAGGGGGTTGGCGAGGCGGAAGTTTCTCGATTACGGAGATGACTAAGTTAAGTGCGGGTTGGACTTGGTAAATGGGCTAGCCCCCATAATGGACGCATACGGTTGAAGGTGACACAGGGCCAGAATATATCCTCCATCCATTTCGAGACCGGATGAAAGAAAATTGGCCGTCATTCAATTGAACCTCCGATATCACAAAACTTGGCGCATCATCTCCGACGCTTGGCTTTGCTTGGCTGCTCCCTAACTGAAGAGCCGTTGGAAGAGTTTACTATATACAAGCAACGATATAGGGGGAGTCAAAGCGTCGTCTCATGGGATATAAGTTATGATCTCAGAAGTTAGATTTGAGCTCCTGATCTTCATTATATTTAGCTATCACTAGCTACATTCCGAGACATCCTGGAGAGTAAAAGCTGGTTTGGAGCTAATTGATATTACTACATGAGCTTGCTGCATGGCGTGCGTCAAGCGTTGGTGGGGAGTTCACTGGTAGTTCTCTCTTTCACAAACAAGCTAAGCAAGGGGTTAAAAGTGGGATTGGAATTCGAGCGTTCACTGGGCGTGGAAATGCCCCAGGCCCGTCACGAGAGGTATCCATACAGTGAAAAGCGGAGATGGCGAGGAGCTGCACATTATAGCGTGCGATAACTAAAGTAGTTGCATATGTAGCTACTGCACGTATGTACTAAAATATGATGTTAAAGGAGCTGGAACCGGATTCTCTGGTTTAAGGGGCTGATAGACCCGTTTCAACCGTTGCAAGGGAGCAAAATTGACCTGTCATAATCAGCGTCAGTCGCTTGAAAGGATAACTAATTAAGCATGGTTGTGATTCCTTGCTACATATACGAAGGCGCGCACTCAGCGCCAGAGTAGTGGCTTTGGGACGACAGGGACTCAGAACAGTGGAAAACTGTCTCTCACCGCATGCCAACTTCGTCTCCAATCTAGACACGAGAAAACACCAATTCGTTCGCTACCAAAGGATGCAGTCAGTATAAAAGCTAGATTTAGAGTTTACGGGAAGGCCCGTCCGCCATAGTGGGGCCGTAATAATGCTTAGTCAGCATGGCTTTTTCCGCGAGGAGAGCTGTGCTTTTTCGTGATACTAATTCTCGAAAGGCGTCGGGTGGGTGAAGGGAGGAGGCTGTTTTACAATGGTCGGGGCGCGCATAAAGTGGATATATTTTGTTTTTTAGCAGTTAATAATATGGTTGTATAAAGAAATGAAAAAGTGAGGCAACGATGCGAGGATGCTCTAACTAGCTCTCCCGCCAAGGACAGAACGAAGTGAAATGGAAACGGAACGGTTCGTGGGCGGCACCATATCGGTGAATAATGAAAGAGACCGGCGGGAAAGGGGATATAGAAATATAACACGAAACAGGGTGCATAAGAGATATTCGCCGTTCTAACAGGAAACATGGCAGGAGACGGAAAGTACAGGGAACTGGGGAAACATGTAACAACGGTTTCACTTAAGAAAAAAAATCATGTGGGCGGGGGAATAATAAACCGAAATAACACGATATAGTCCGGCAATCTTGACTGAAAGGGGGAATAATAATAAAACAAGGAAAACCGAGGTAAAACTCGATAAGAAAAGCGAAATAACTATCTTGAAGGAGAAAACCGAAACGTATCGCTTTGTGATGGTTACTCGGAGGAAGATCCGGAACGGCTAGAGGGTTTCTTTTCTCGTTTGTAGATCTCGCTGGGGTCCCATTGGGAAGGCTGAAACTCAGCATTGAGGAAGTGTGCTTGGTTGAAATGCGAGCTTAAGGAACGTAAGCAAGTAGACAAGTACCCGATTGATTTGGATACGTACTTTCTGAATGGAATGGTCAATGGCAGACAGTTCATGTCTGGATCAACAAGTGGGTTCATTCGGATAAGTAGTTCAGAGGACCTATCCTCTGTTGGAGGAGGAGGAGGAGGGGAGCGGAGAGGGAGGTTGATGGTTGCAACTCTAGGCGGGGCGGGTTCAGGGAGAGGTATTGTGTGATGGGGTATCATATTTTCTGGAGGATTGATGGGATAGGAGTACTCGTACGGAGACGGAGCTGGAGCTGGAGCTGGGTGCGGAGGAGAATCTGCCGGGTCTAGAGGAAGACTGGGAACGGCCATTAAGACTGGATTAAGGTCAAAGTTGAGGGAGTTAGGATACCAAGGAGAGAAGTCGCAGGTCATGGAGTACTGGTAATTTACGGGAGTCGGCGACTGGGCTGTACCATAGAGGAGATCATAGTGGCCACTGATTCATAATATTAGTCGGGAGATCTTAAACCTGGTAGGTATGCGGGGTACTTACGGCCTGTACAGGAGTTTGATAACCCCAAGGGAATCAGTGCGTTGTGGCGTAAGTTGATGTGCATTAACTTGGTCACCCTGACTGCGATCAAGGTAGAGAATCTGAACATCAAAACCAGACGCTGCGATAACTCCGTCAACCAAGGCCTGGAGACCGATTTCGTCAATCTCGGTTCTCACGGTATCGACTGTTCTCGAACAGTACTGCTCTATCGGCATGGGCAGGAAAGCTTCGTATCTCTCCCGGTTGAGCTGCATCCAGGCGCTCGTCATCAACTGGAGGAAAGTTAGCACAACCAAAATAATGGTAGATACATGAGCAAAAGTTAAGAAACCAACCCTAAAGTGTGTGATGATTGCGTTTGAGTTCCATTCATTGTTGAAGGCATCGACAATGAAAGTCTCGTCCTGGTTGTTGTTCGCAATCTGTTCAGCCACGCTTTTCAAGAGCTCTTCTGTAGCATCAACAAAAATCTCGTACAAATGCTCTTGCTGGCCTACAGCATCGAACATGGCGTTGAAGCTCTTGATACGGGCTAGCTCTTGAGCAATTTTGGCCTGATCGCGCAGAGCAAACAGGCTTTCAAAATAGCCAAAGGCCACAGCTAAAAAAAAAAAAAAAAGCAGATTGATTAGCGTTATGTGGTTCCCAGCAGTTGAACCGGACGAGCGAGTCAAACCTCTCCATCCACAATTGCCATCTCCCTTCATGATACGATAGTGGGAGTGTGTCTGTGCCAGAGACTATTACTTCCCGTTAGTTAAACTGCTGGCTTCAATGAGCTTCAATAGTGGGAGAATTACCGCGGTCTTCGCGACATAGATGGGGTCGGCCTGCGCATACTCCTGGCTCAGCGCAACGCTGGCTTGCTTGATGCCGACGAGAGGGCCCTTCAACAAGGCATCAGCAAGTCCATGATAAAAAGGAATAAAACGCCGGGCCACCCACCTGCAGATCCGGCTCGTACTCGTTGGAGAGCTTCTGGAACTCGGCCATGTCGTCCGGTGCTAAGTTGGCCATGATGGGCTGGTGGTGGGCCAGATAGTCGCTACACGGCGGCTGGTAGACCCGGGACAGGAGCAGGTCCGGGCGGCACTGGTGGATGGCGCTGTAGCCGTCGCTGAAGCTGTCGTTGAAGCCGGCGCTGAAGCTGTGCTGGTGGTGCAGCTGGAGCTGGTGCTGGAGGTGCTGCTGGTGGAGGTGAGGTTGATAGTGGAAGGGCATCGGCACTTCTCGCGCTGTGGGGAAAAAAGAGTAAACATTGGCTCGCTCGGCCTCCATCATCATCTTCACGGCCTGAGGGAAGACAAGGCCCCCCATGCGCACGGCAACTTCGCAACGACGGGCAACGAAGAAGGGAAGAAAAAAAGGGAGAGAGGCCGTCTGTTCGTTCTTCTAGTCTTTATTTCTCTTCCTTCTCTCTGGCTGGCAGCAGGATCGCTCGAGACACACTCTGGGCCAGCGAGTTTTCCGTCGTGACAGCGCGGGGATCAGGGCAAGCAAGGCGCGGACAAGGACAAGGGCACAAAGGACACTCGACAGTGAGGAACTGCAGTACAAGGAAGACTCTGGTCGACGGAGACAGACACTGATTCGAGCACCAGGGCCGGCACCCAAGGGTGCTTTATAGACTTGAACAGACGCTACGGACGGGGATTGGGTTTCTGGCCATGTAACTATGCAGCATATGGGACGATGATCGGGAAATGAACCAAACAGCTGAGCCTGCTTACGACACGATGCTGTAACCCGCTAGTTAACGAACGGAAACGCATAATGCTCTATACAAGAGGGCCCGGGAAACAAAAGCAAAAGAAATAAGCCAGGGACACAAAAAGTTATAGCCGATTTAGCGGGTTGGGGCATAGAAACTAGAACACCAAGCAGCAGCAGCACGAGAAGAAGAAAAAAAAAAAAAAAGAAGAACTGAAAAAAAAAAGGAGGAGGAGGAGAAGGAGGAGGGAGAGAGAGACACTGCTGCTAGTAGTGCTGGCGGAGCGTTAGGCGGGTGGGGAGTCTGGCAGGGCCTCGCAGCAGGTCAAAGGAGCCGGCGTCGATTGACAAACAGACGGGGGGAGACATGACACAGGGCCAACGAGACGAATTCCAGAACATACAGGCCCGCCGGAGTTGCGATGAATCTACGGCGCCACGGTATCAATCATGTCTACAGAGTACATCTCTGCCGCTTCTGCAGGCCTACACGGGTACCAGCAGACGACTCTGTGTGACACGGCCTGGCAGGCGAGGATCCAAAAAGAAAGTTACCAGGAAAGAGTGACAACTGACACATACGCACACACAGAGAGAGAGAGAGAGATGGCAGACTCGCACACTCACACTCACACACACGCAGATACTCCGTACATTCTTTTTTTACGGGGAGGATCCTCTTGTTTTGATTGATCAATGGAAGTCTGCATAAATTCCTGCAAGGGAGCAAGCAGGCGGGCAACGGACTTGGGGCCCCCTGTCTTCCGGTAGCCAGCACCAAGGGCCTTTTTTTGGTTTCTTTTTCCTTTTCTTCTCCTTTTCCTCTTGCTTGTCTGTCACACCGAGTGACTGCAGCCCAAGTTGATGGACCGAGAAGGAGGAAGAGAGAGGGTGTTGACTGTATAATGAGTGATGGGAGACAGAGCTGGCCAGCGTCAGTGAGAGCATACTCCTTGAACGTGGGGGTTATAGTTATAGGGAAGGGCTGTCATATATTCTGCGTATATGACTTTTGATAACTAATTACGTTAGCCAGCCAATCGTCCGATGCACATTTATAGAATCTTGCTGGAATAATGGGGCCTTGCAACCCCGTCGACAAGGGTACAGCTGTCTTCCCCCCTCCGGTACTGAGGAACCGGTCTCAGGCCTGACCAGATAAGATTTCTCAAGACTCCCAGCGACCAGCACTCTAGCCACGAATGACCCCCGGCGCAGGTTGATATCATTTGTCAAACCTCTCCTTGGCACAGGACCTCTTTTCCTGCCACTTTTTCTTTTTTCACTCTCTCTTGCAGACATCAATAATAGTAATAGTGCTATTATTACTATACAAACACAACGAAGCATCCTGCCTGCTGCATGAAATGCCAATACTCCTCGGGCGTTCCCAGCCCAAATCGCATTCGCTACCTCCTTATGGGGGGTACCATCATCACATCGGCAGGAGTATCCCGCATACCAACTTACAGGATCATCCCCTCCTTTTTTCCCCCATGCCGGGCCATTACAGGATATTCTGTCCTGTGACATGCGTCAAGGACGAGGAGCTAGCTGTCCAAAGACAGAAGCTTTTCTACAATCGTAGTGTCTAGAAGGGAAAAAAAAGTGGGAAAAAAAACTCTTTTCTCCACAGCCCGTTGTCTCCAGGAACTCCTGCTAGTTCCCTAGTGGCACTGTTTTTGGCAAATAATACCTTGTTGCTGATCCGATGATGGAGATTGCATATTTTGTCGGCATTGCGCATCATCTTCCATCTTCAAGCTAGCTTAATACGAGGCAATAAGTGGCTCTATTCTGGGGTTGCACAAGAGCTCGAGTACGAACGGGCAAGCATACTGTGCCGGTGTTGGTCCTGATGCATATTCCCAACCTCCGCCTTATCGGGATGATGAGCCGACTGCTATTAAAATTGCGGAGTAGCGTCCATTGAAGCTATAGCCGATGGCGGCCAAGCCTTGACCGCCATGTTGCAGCTCATAAATCAAAAAAGAAAAAGCTGCTACACAGGTAGCCGGTGTCAGAGTACGGGAATTAGGACCCATCAGGGGAGCAGGAACTTGCAAGATACCTTCTTCAGCTCTGCACGCACTAGCGGATTGGGAAACTGAGGGTCCCTTTTTTTAGCGTTGATACCATTGCTCACAAACACGATATGCTGAAACTGCCAGTCATTGAAGAATCTGACCTGGAGAATCGTTCCTGGCCGTATAGGAGGGAGAATAAAACGAATGGGAAAAAGAAAAAGAGCCTCATGGGAAATACCTGTTGGTCAAAGGCTTGGTTTCATCATACATGGAGTATGACTCAGGGGAATAGCTCTTGCTGTCCGAGCTATACCCGGCTGCATGTCTAGTTTGCGGGTGTGTTACAGGGCCAGTCCTAGTCTTCATATTCCTAAAAAAGATACAGGGAATAGCAATGACGTCCGGAGCATAGCTGTGCCACAAAAAAATGGATGGAATGGAAAAGAAAAAAAAAAAAAAAATCAAATACTGCATGTACGAAGGTGTTGCCCTGGAGTCACACAAGACAAATTCCCCATCATGACCAGTGAAATTTTCCTATACATTGTGCATGCATGCACAAGCGTGTACCTCAACTTCTGATTATATCGGACAATATAATCGTCATTGAGCTTATACGAATATCCAACCGGACCGATCACCTTCAGTTGTGCGACCATCCTCTTGAAGCGGATAATGGTTTGTACCAAGTGAATGCGCCCCGGGGTCCATGAATTCTTCTCTCCATGTTTTAGCAGTTGGTTGAGGAACGTCACATCTGACAATGGAATGGTTTTCGGCGCCCCTCGTGCTTTACCTGTACCTTACTTACTCCAGGAGGTATGACCCAGCCCCATTTCAGAACTTTGGTATTCTATTCATTGCAAAGCGGCAGCTAACCGATGAGCTGCTAAAATGTTTCACTCTCTTCGTTGGCGCTAAAGGCGGGCGCACCGGTGCTCCGCACATTTGATATCGAAGTTTATTTAACCCGTCAAGGACAGCAGATAAAAGAAACGAAGAGTAGAGACCAGAAAAGGGCAAAATAAGATGAAAAAGCAAAATACCTCTCTGCTGCGTATCAGAGTAACGCAGCAGATAGAAAAACCAGTGGATACAAATGCAAGTACCCTAGGATAAAAAGGGGGTTGAATGGGTATTATCAGAGGTATCGGATATACCTCTTTCCTTCGCCTCATTGTTTCTCTTCCTGACCGTCATTCGGATGGCACGCATTGGTGGGATACATACGGCAGCCCCATAGACGCTGCATGTAAGGGGGAAAAATGGATTATGGCTATTTCCCCAATTCGGATAGTTAAGGTTCTAAACGATTGATCATGTATGGATGTACATGTCATGTCTGAACATACCGGGTCGGATATTGGTATGTTGATTAGGGCCGTTTGCTGGAATGTCCACGGGTACTAGCAGCATGCATGCATGCCACGACAGCGACTTGACGGGTACGTACATGAGTGGCGTTGAACCACCGCCTGTTTTTGAATATTTTTCGCCCCTTCTTACCGAGTATATGGCTATTGTACCTTGACCTCCGGCTGCTTGTGCGCCGTATATCATTAGCCGTCCGGGTACGTACCTCGTTTAACTTGCAGGTACATACGCATTTCTACGTACATACGTACATGCATGCCGTCCGTTTGCTTTCTCCAGAGCGCCCACGGGCGCAGCCAGAGTCGTGCAGCTAGCAGTATGATTAGGGCCAGCTGCGCGTAAGCGAGTATGGACTGGTGGGTATATCGTTCAATTTGTCCCGACCCGAAGACGGGTCGGTATTTGGTACAAATGCCAAAGCTATCAGAAAAACTAATACATCCTTTCATTAGACATTACATTCAATATGTACATGCATCCTTCAGCTCCCCTGACAACATAGGTGTGAGGATGGCTTCTCTGGCTTCCTGCAAGACGTGTCATCCAGCACTCGCCCGTCTGTCGTGTATATTCCACAACATCTCCTTCTTCCCCGCCCATTAAATTGGATTGTGCACTTTTCTTTGGTCATCAGGACGAAGGGCTTGTCGAATCAGTAAGGCCAGAAAATTCACGCCTTCATTTCGGTATCACCGTCACTTGAGGTCCCGTCCACCGCCTTCTTGCCCAATTTCCAGTGATGGACTGCGGCGCAGGAGAATCCGAAGTAAGCCAGGTATAGCAGTGTGATCAGGTATCCAGTCACCTGTCGAGCCCAGAATAAGCCGTACCATGCATCTGGGAATTTCTGTTCGACGCAGGCATCGATCAACGGAGCCAGGACGGAGAAGGACACCCACAACCCCATGAAGCAAAATGATAGTACCAAGGCAGCGATGGGATGCAGTAGATTCCTGGCATACAGCCATAGCTGAATTGGAACATGAAATGTCTCAATTGCAATGGGAATAAACAGCCATATTATTTGTCCTCTAAGGCAGAAGTTCATGGTTAGTTTCCTATTCATTTTGCAACTAAGGAGTCGGGCAGCTAAAAATACTAACGGGTCGCAGTCTTCCAGCGTATCTTTCCATCGAATTGGGGGATAATCATCACGAGAGCTTGCGCTCTTCTCATAAACAGCAGAGAAAATGCTGGCAGCAATTACGAAGACCCAGAGAAGACCGCATAACACTGCTATCGGTACGAGGAACCATTTCCCTATGTTCAAGGCTCTGAGATATCCGCACGGTCGCTGCTGGAGGCTGGGGATTTTCGACTCCGCCATGTTCAAGGTTTATTATATTATATCAGGAAGCAGTTATGATATTGCCCTTCTTCATGCAATAATCTTACCATCTGGAAAGCGGGCCGCTAAGCTGATATATATATCTCATCGAGTATAATGGTGGAAGGCTGGCTTCTTGGCCCTATGCCGCCATGTACTCCGCAGGATTCTGATGATGGGCGCTCAGCGGGTCTTTATAAGAACATGACATGGTTGGTATTCGTGAAAGACGTCGTATCGACCAAGCATATTCATCTTAACACGAGAAATGCAAAACAGTTCCATGAACGGCGGGTGATGAAGCCAAAAGCCGACCGTGATTTGGCGACTGGAGAAGGAGGCTGGAGAAGATCAACCGCCAAGCGCTGCTGCGCCTTGGACGGAAGTCGACGTCATAGTTTTTTTATATAGCATACAAAGGACGATGACTTGAAGATAATATGAAGAGACACTGAAGGAGGATGACAAGAAGCACACTGTGGCACGGAATGTGGTCTTTGATATTAAGGTAGGACGGCACTTTCATACCCAGCTATCTAATAGTCAACAGACAGAGAACATGAGTCACTTGCTTTTCATCAGTCGTAACAATATAAACACCCCATCGCAAACTCCAAAAGAACTCATTAGTTTTAAGACGTAAGCTTGCCCCAGGAAGATCGACCCGTTTTCCCTTTAGGATACTTGAATGATCTATCTCCCATTCCAAAGTTCGTGCCCGATATTGCCGATTCATGGGAATAAAGATTGGCGTATCTCATTCCACCAAAACCTCCCATCAAGGGGTGCATGTTGTGGGCATTTTCGGGCCTGAATCCTTCGGCCTGGCTAAAGGTGGAATCATAGAGCATTCTAAGATTATTGTTCCATAATAGCAGGGCGTTGGAGCGCTCCTTGTCGATATCGCACCTTCGGGTGATTTCCACAATGCCATCTTCTTCGTTTATTTTTGCATCAGCGAGCTCTCCATCGAGAATCAGGAAACTGAGGATGTCTTGGACTTCTGCAACCGAGATCTTGAGCTTCTTGGAGACAAATGCAAGGGTGAAGCGAGTGTAGGGCTGTATGAGTTTCATAACGGCCTTGGTGCGCATGTTACGGCTGACTTCACCGATGTTTTCAGCGATGAAATGGTCCTCCAAAAGATCTGGTTTGTTCCGGAGGACTGCCTCGTAGGCATGGATGTCATCGCGTTGGAAGGCATCTACAAGGTCAGTCATGCCAGAAACTCGAGGATCATCTTTGTATGGCTTCGTCTCTTGTGAGTCGAAGGGGTTGATGTCTGACTTCATCAGCATTGTGGCTAGAACCATATACTTCAACACTTGGATGCGTTGCATCGATCCGGCTTCGTCGTAGTTGCGGAACGATTCAAAAAAGTCGCTGTGAGCTTCCTTCCAATTCTCTTCGCTCATATGCATTTTGCCGCCGCACTCACGTATAATACCCATGATTTTTGGATGCGGAACAGCAGACCTAACTTTAAGCGCCCTTTGGTATAGCGCCTTCAGCCTCTTATTATTCTTGGTATTGGCATACATTTGGATCTCCAGGGCGTATATCTCCAGCGAATAGGTTCCCTTGGATGGATCATCGGTTCCGTCTGACCGTTGGCAGGCCTTGTGGAGCTCTTTAAGCTTCCTGCTAAGTTGTGCATATTCCTTCTTATCCAACCAAAGCTTTGCAAGTTTTATGTTTGTCTTCAGCCAGAGACGTTCATTGTTGGTATTCTGGAACGATTCAAGTGTCAACGAATAGAACTCCTCCATGCAATGGTATGCCGTTACGTCATCGGATGACTTTTCAATGTAGTCTAGCATGTTGTTGATCGACTTCTCCGAGTAGTTTCGAGTAACGGCCGACTTGACATAGGTGAGGAGCTCTTTGTAATGGGTAATTGCCTATTAATCATGGTAGTGTCAATGTGTCAGATCCCTAGAGGTGATATTATTGGAATTTTGTGGGAGGACGTACGTCGTCGTATCGACCGAGCCGAAATTCCAGTTTGATGGCCTGTTTTAGTCCCTTGAATCCCCTTGAATACGATTAACAATGTATCTACATAAAAGTAGAGAGTGTAAGGGAAAGAAAACCAATGATAACCTTACCAGTCGCCTTTATCTTGCTCCAGCGGGGGGATCCCTAGAAACTCTTCTATCGCCTCCTCTGGATTGTCGACCTTTATTTGCTTCGCATTATAATATTTGTTCTCGATGCCGATATCGCCAGAATCATCGTCATCTTCATCCTCGTACTCGAAGTCATACCTATTGGCGGTCTCAGTTAGTTATAGTCGTACGCACACGAGGGGTGCAATGGATAGCTCACTCCTCCTGATCGGAGTCCTGCATAAAGTCATCATCATCCGACATGGTGGCGGGTAAAAGGTCGATGGGTTAATTAAGCAGTAACGTATTTGTCCTTTAAAACGGGAATAACAAGTAAAAGAAACGAAGGAGCAGTAACATGTAGTCTTGTATGTCTTCAATGCCGACGATTTGACGTTTTGCTCCAAAGTTGATGTTGATCGCTGTTATTGACAATAAAGATGCTGATTAGGTAATTATGAGGTCATCGGTTTAATATTACATCAGTCATTATATAACCTTTCACGTGATATACTTAGTCATCGCCTAGACTCAGCCTCTTTTTAGCTTTTTATGTTTTTATTTCTATTTTGACGAAGGCAAAACATCAACCGGAGGGAAAACGAAGGGAGGACAGAAGGAAAAGAAGAGCAAAAGGACGAGATACGAGAGTCAAGATGGGAGGCGACCTTAACGTGAAGAAGAGCTGGCATCCAGTGCTGCTCAAGAACCAGGAGCGAGTATGGGTCGAGCAGAAGAAAGCGCTCGAGGAGCGCAAGCGGATCGACCAGATGATGAAAGAGCGCCAGGAAGAGAGGCAGATACAAGAGCTACAGGAGATGCAGGAGGCCGCTGGTGGCAAGAAACGACTAAACCGAGTCGACTGGATGTACTCTGGCCCAGCTGCGGGACAGACTGGCACGACAGAGGAGATGGAAGGATACCTCCTAGGCAGAAGGCGAATCGACGGACTGCTCAAGGGGTCAGAGAACTCGAAGCTGGAGAAGGCTGCGCCCGAGGAATCGTTTATGCTGGCTCAGAATGCGAATACTGCGCGGGATACAGCGGCGAAGATCAGGGAGGACCCCATGTTGGCCATCAAGAAACAAGAACAGGCTGCATATGAGGCTATGATGAATGACCCAGCTCGGCGGAGGGCGTTGCTGAAGGCTGCCGGAATGGACGAGGACAGGTCAACGGCTCATACGGAGAAGGAGAGAAGACATCGACGACACCGACACAGAGACGAGCGAGATCGTGACCGTGACCGTGACCGTGACCGGGACAGGGACAGGGATCGTGATCGAGACGAGGAGAGACGGTCGAGTCGTCGGTCGAGGAGACATCATGATGAAGATGACCGTCGGAGCAGACATCATCGCAGGGATCGTTCGCGTAGCGCCTCCCACAGCCGTTCACCACCACCATCATCGTCACGAAGGTCATACCGTTCACCTTCACCTCATCGGCGAAAGCGGTCCTTTTCACCACGTCAAAGGGATAGAGACAGGGACAGGTCGCGATCCCCGTATAGACGCCGTGAAGAAGAAGAGTCCTCAAGGAGACATACTAGCAGTTATCGAAGTCACCGGTCTACTGGCCCGCGCCGGCCCAAGCCAGAGATCCATCAAAGCCGTCCTCCCCAGCCATCGTCTGCTGATCTAGAACGAGAGCGCGCAGCACGCCTTGCAGCCATGCAGCAAAACGCAAACGAGCTCGATGAAGAGCGCACGCGACGTATCAACGCAGCAGAGGAACGCGAGAAGGCAGAGAGAGAGGCAGAAGAGGCCGCTAGAGCAGAGTCGAGCAAATACGGCGGACGGGGGGCCTTTGTCAACAATATTCACCGAAAGGCGGGAGACATCGATCTAGCAGATCGACTGCAGCGAGGCAAGAAGAACCTCGAAAAGGAACAGGAAGCTTACTGATTACGACAAGAGTTATTTTATTATTATTATTATTTTTTGTCTCTTATTTTTGGCATTGGTTTGTTTTCTTTTGGCTCGGGATTATGCATTTGGGCGTCAGCATACATATTCTGGTTCTAGCATTACGGATATCAAATATGGAATACCATGGACAACAATAACATTAATGACAACAGACATTGCTCTTCCTCTGCTCCATCTTCTTTTGGTCGTTCGTCAGTCCATGTTTTCTTCTTTCTGACCCCGGCCGCTGCATCCGCTACGCCACTCGCGATCCAGGCCAACAGGAGACCTTGTACCTGCGCAACAAGCGCCATGTCATGCCAACACAAGACGAGGCTTTCGATCGTCACGCTGACAGGTCAAGTTCCTCTCTTGGGCTTGCGGTCCCGTTCCATAATTATCGGTTGCGTTCGTTCGTTGCTAGGCCTGTCCGCCAAACGGCCACCAAACGACCAGACCCGAAGTCGAAATCCATCCAAGGATCTCTGGCTGCGCCGTTCCTGCAGGTCAAGGTTTGATTCCTTATCTCTCCTTTCCTGCAGAAACGTCACCAGTTATAAATAGACATTCGGTTATAAAGAAGAGTTCTGGCTCTGAAGAACTTCTTTGCTGTAAAACTCTTTCGCTTGTCCAAATATTTCGCCTCCTCGCCGTTGGGGCTCACCTGCTGCTGCGGAATATAACTACAACACTGTCTAGAAAAAAAGCTCCAAAACTCCACATACGCAAACACCCACCTCTCAGCTTCATCTTCCATCGGCCAACACAAGCAGTAATTCGCCTTTGCTAGTTTTGCTAGGGCTTCTTCCTCCCGTCACGGGGCAGTCCATAATACGAGCACCTTAGTATCCCTGATCCCGGCCGCGGCAGATGGAATCGACTGATTTTCTTGGACAACATCATCGATAGTCCTGCGCTTCTCCCGGGTCCTCCACTTATTCTGCTCCATTTCTTCTTCTTCCCTTCTGCTTCTCTTCTTCTTCTCGACGATCTATTGGCAGCGAGAGCATTGAAATATTTTATCCGGCTTCGAGTCGCCAGGGTTACTTGAAAATCCAGCTTGTTTTCCCTCTTCTCCAGCCTTATCCGGACGATCCCGTGTATTTTACCCCTGATTGGAATCCCATCCCGCTAGCATCGACTCGACCGTTTGCATTTACAAGACTTAACTACTTATCTCCAGCCCGTCTGGCTCTCTTTTGCGAGCCGTTGCCTCGTTTCGATCTCGCTCGTATCGCCGCTCGCTGTGCTCCCCACATTCTTCGCTTTTGGATCCTGGGGTACATACATTTCAACGTCCTCGCAGGCTGTGTGATTTGTTGCTCAAGCTTCGACTGAACGGTTTCCAGGATGCCTCTCTGTGGAGGAGAGAAGACCGAGAAGCGCAAGCTGGTGCTCCTGTGAGTTGGAGCTGATCGGGACACTGTGAGGGTTAAATAGCTGGACTGACGTGGTGGCGATATTTAGAGGAGACGGTGCATGCGGCAAGACTTCGTTGCTAAACGTCTTCACCAGAGGGTGAGTATAAGGAATACCTGCTTCAAATGAGGCGAGAGAAAATTGTAAGCTTATATCGGCTAACATTACCCTAGATTTTTTCCCACCGTCTAGTATGCTTTCCTTCCGAGCTCTGCGTTTTTTTACTGTTGCTAACATATTGTCCCCCTTAAAGTGAACCCACTGTATTTGGTATGTCTGGACTTGGTGTCGAAACCATTTAGGAGTATATACGCTAATACGAAATATTACTTATATAGAGAACTATGTCCATGGTAGACCTCTCTCGCCGCCTCACGATCAAGAAAGACAGACGCTTACGAGATGACAAACAGATATATATGTTGACAACATCCACATGGAGCTATCCCTCTGGGATACCGCCGGACAAGAGGAATTCGACCGCCTCCGTGCTCTATCATACGATGACACCCAAGCTATAATGCTCTGTTTCAGTGTATGTTACAGAATTCAACAAGCCAGTTGTACCTACTAAGGACGACGGCTAACGTTTACATGCGCACAGGTTGATAGCAAAGATTCTCTCGAGAATGTTGAGTCGAAATGGCTAGCTGAAATTGGCGAGAACTGCCCTGGCGCAAAGATCGTGGTCGTTGCGCTGAAATGTGACCTTCGAGAAGAAGCCAGTGACGAAAAAGATGATGGCAGTAACACCCAACAACAGCCAAAGCCAGTCATTACCTACAGCGAAGGCCTCGAAGTTGCAAAAAGAATAAATGCTCTACGATACCTAGGTGTGTTTACTCGACCTTGATACAGAGAGCTCAAGTACTGACTAGAGATAGAATGTTCGGCTATGAGAAATCGCGGAGTCAACGAAGCCTTTACTGAAGCGGCTCGAGTCGCTCTTTCGGTAAAACCAGCGAAAGCGTCTGATAGAAGCGGCAAATGCGTGATCCAGTAGGATCCGTACCCTCGACATTTTCTTACGAGTTTCTTTTTGTCTCGTCTTTCTTCATGCTCGAGCTGTTTGTCCTCTTCGCTTTCGCCTCTTCCCTGTATTATCTTGTCGTCTACTTCTACTTGTGCTACTGGACAATCCGCCTGTCTTGCCCTTTCTTAATGTTTGATGTTTCTAATTCTTTTCCCGGGCGCAAATGTGGAACCCTGCAATGTCTCTGAAGACATTCATTTGCTACCGCTTTCTACGAATGTGATGGTGTCTCTTTAAGATGCCCTCTGTATATAACTATTTATACCCTCCATCGTCTAGCTGGAAGGCCTGCTTTGTCCCTGTCTTTTTCCATCTTATGACCTTTCTCCTTTTTACTTTGAATTCTTTCTGTTCTCGTCCCTTCCCTGGAACATTTACCTTTCTGGATATCAATTTGTCCATGCAATGCAACTGAAACATCATCTCATGTTATCTAGAGACGACCCAGTTGATGCGTGATGGCTGATGTCTGTGTTATATGCTCTTTGCCTGGAAATACTCTCATATCTCACACCTCTATATCTACACTTTATCTACATATTCCCTTTCTACCTTAGATTTTTCACTCCGTGTCTGGACGGAGAATTTATGCATATGAACAGGGGGTATCAAATAAAGCACAATACTAACCAAGTACGTCCTCCTCTTGGATCCTATATACCTCGTCCAGCCTCGGGCCCTGACCACCACTAGGACCCCCGGAATTCACCCGGTCGACAAACGCCTGGACAAACCGTGTACCAATCTCCTCCATCGTTACATCCCTTACATCCACACCCACACCCTCTAGGCTCGTGGATTCTTTGCCCTCAAGCCCACACGCAACTATCTGCCGCAGATACCACAGTGGCTCCTCGGTGATGCAGAATCCGACGCCATAACTGCTCACGAACCGTCGCAAATGCACACCAACCGCGGCAACTTTGCGAGGCATACCGCTGTGCCCGGCATCAGGTTTCACCCATACACCCGGATCTTCAGTAGTTGTTCCACCTTTCACACCAAACCCTTTTAACACATCGAGTACACTGTTTTCAAGTAGCCTGATGTGACATCTCGGCCCGATACGTAAGGCCCGGAGATCCAGTATGGTATATATAACTAGCTGGCCGGGGCCATGGTATGTAGTTTGCCCACCACGTAGAGTAGGATAATATTCAGCTAGATGTTGGGCGGCATTGGTAGGAGAAGAAGTCGGCGTTAGGATATTACGAATCGGTTCGAGGGGAGTGGGAAGGGAAAGGTCCGATGCCTTGGTAGCGAAGGTGTTTGACGACTCATCGTTCGGCGAGCATGATGTAGGTAGATCGCGTCTTCCAGTCGTATATACGGGGCGAGGAGTGAATGTTAAGATCGTAGGATCTGGGGCGGATGTAGGTGGAAACAGAGCCGGAGATTCAGACTGTTTCCTTTTATGGGTGAGTAGGCGTGAGACGAGTATCTGCTGCAGAAGTGAAGCCTGTCTAAATGGTATAATATTCGGTATATGCAAATGAGCAAGACGCATGTTTATATCCCCACTGTCATGTCCCCTGGCCGGAGGTGTAGACTTCTTGCGCTGTCCCTTGACGTTTTTCTCGACTTCAAATGCGACTCAAAGAGATATTTGATTATATAATCAATATCAGTCATGTGATTATTAGTATTTAATTCTGGTCTGTGCCCAACTTAATTTTGTCTTTTTGCCGCAACCTTAACTGGATCAAGCTTAACCTTCGTTATCCTTAAAATTATCAAAAACACCTCCAGACAACATCAATCAACCCCATACAGCGAGGCAGACTTGATGTTGGTAGTGGCCGCTTATATTGACATTACATATCCGTTATTCCACACGATCGGAATACATTTTGAACTCGACCCGCAGTAGTTAGTCAAAGGTTCTTGACGGCAACCCCGCATTTATTTCTCCCAAGGCCCCCCACCAAACTTGACAAAATAGCTAGAACTGCTTTGATAAAGAGAGACACTTCTTTGACCATGGCTTACATTCTTGACTTACCTGCCGAGCTCATTTTTCCAATTCTCGATGACCTGCATACCACCCATCCACCATCCCTGGTCGCTTTTGCGTGTACAAACAAACGCAGTCATCATCTCTCGAAGCCGGCGCTCACTCGTGGTCGCTATCACACCCTTGCATTTAAAGTTGATTTAACGAGACTACAGGACGATGTAAAGAAGTGTACTCTTGAGCTAGAAAGGGACAAGGGTGCCTTCGATGCTGTACGCTGCCTGATTATAGAGACAATAGAGTGGCGATCTCTAAAGATCTACGACGACGAAGTAAGTGACGAGGACTTATCTCAAAGGCCATTATTTCGCTGGAAACGTTATGATACTCTGGAACGCCAAGAAATTGATTCACTCACCCGCTATCACACTGAACGATGGCCTGAATCGGATCGCTGTGACCTTGATGACGGCTCATGGATGCCATTGGCGGACCTTCTTCGTCGCCTTCCTCAGCTAGGAGACCTAGTCTACCTGGGCCTGACCCAATTTCCCCCGTGTATGCTTGATGCCCTTCATACCTCTATACCATCTTGCAGACTATTTCTGCATAACTTCATGCTACGCTCCATTGTTGAGGGGGATAGGCTAGACGAATATGACTATACACTGGTTACCTCACCCTGTCTATATGGTCTCACAATTTCATGCGACGATGTACAAATCTCTGAGGAGTTATACAGCTTCCATCAGGAAGCCATTCAGCGTATGGTATATGGGCTCTCGCCAAACCTGAAAGAAATTCATATAGATCGTGACCGCCTAGGTGGTTTCGCAGCACGGTTTCCCTTGAAACCTGCCTATAGTTGGAACCAACACTGGCAGGGTTTTACCTTGGACAAAAAACTTCCGGGGACATTTCAAAAGGGTGCGCTAGAGCGCATAGTGTTGTCCAAGACAGAAACAGACATCATCAAACGGGATATAGAACCGTGGAGTGAGTATACAGATTTCTCAAAGTTGCGTGTCTTGAGGCTCTGTACCTATGTCTGTAACATTCAGGAAGACGTGCTAGAGTACCTTTTGACCTTTAACTTTGCATCTCTTGAGACATTTGAACTATGCATGGGAAAATTTAGTCGGACCTCCTTTTTTCTTCTGCCATGCTCATCTTCCTTTGCCCGTGCTACTACACGGTTTCTCGAACAAGTACCTGCTCTATCGACTCTTAAGCTTCAGGATTGGGACCCAAAACTTGAGCTGGATGTTCTCCAATATTCCAACCTACGCAAACTTCATTTAAAGCCAGTGGTTGGTTCGTCTGTATCCCTCAACAACCTCAACCATATAGCCAAATACTGCCCTTTACTTTCGACCCTTGTCATAACCCTCCGCCGCCTTCGGGGAAACGCAGATGAGGTCAAAATGTATAAAGTTCTAGGCTCTATGGCCAGACTAGCCTACCTGGATCTCTTATTGGATGTGGAAGACCCCAAGTTTCGCTTGGGAGGTTGCGGGAAGGCGCCTGATATTCCTAGCGATCCTTCTTTTGATGACTTTGACAAGGAATTTTATCCCCAGATAACCCTCGGATCTTACAAATGCCCCCGTAAAGGACATTTGCGGGATGGGTTCATAAATAGTGCTCTTGACGCCGACCTGGTTTCCTCTATTTTTCGCACGATAAATTCGGCTAAGCCAGATATATCGGTCCTACTCAAAAAGATGACCATTAGAGTCGACACAACGGAATTCACAAATGATATATATGACAGGGGCGCAAGTACGCTTTACTACAATGTCCTCAGATATCTCGGTGTAGAGTGGACAGTAGAACGAAATTACTCAGATCTTACTATGGATAACCTCATCGCGATCAGAACAGGGAAGAACAGAATCGAGTGGAATAGATGTTTGCAGTCCTTTGATGATACGTGCCGTGACCTAGGCGCTGTATTCCATAATCTGTGGCCTTCAAAAGGGGGATCTAGCGAAGAAAATGACTGGCATAGCTTCCCACTGGCCACGGGTGATAATGAAGCAGAAATCGAGCGATGGCTCAACAGAAACAAGTCAGGTTAAATGTCTCGATTATGGGATCTAGGCCTAGGAGAAGTGGATTTTTCCCCCGGTCTTCAGAAGTTATGACAAGCGGGATGCTCTAGATTTAGTCCCCCCCCCAATTTAGCAGTGGATATATCAACATTTATACAAATTGTTATCAGTGGAATTATAAATGTCAGGTTGCTAGAATTTTTGTATCATGATTTGCATCAAGTCAGAGAGTTCGTCGCTCATGGAAACTGCTTCCTCCCCATCCACTTGCTATGTAAAGCTAAGTGGAAGGGATTGGTGGCAGTCATTGAGTATTGAGTACTTATAGACTAATTCCACCTGCCACGCCAATGATGACTGACGATGTGCATGAGAAGTGGTAGTGAGGTTAGGCGGGAGGGAGCATATTCTCCCAGATCCAAGCTGAGTATGCCGGGACATTGCTATAGGTATCTTAATGCGCGTATCGTCCACATACAGCGTATGAGATAACCCCAATCTGCTTCATAAACGCCTCGTCGACAACTGGACCACCATCATCCTCTTTACAGGCACCTTTTCCTCCGGCTTTGACAGGAGTACACAATACTGAGTCAGTGACTTGAGGCGGTCATGTATAGCTTTTATTGCAGTCTTCGAGGCTTATTAAGTCGATATCCGTGACAAGAAAATTTGCGGGAGGGAACCGCTGCCGCTGCTAGTAGTTTCCCAGCCAGTAAGAGAGCATTTTGTTCCTATTTCTGGGACTGCGTCGTCGGAGGATAGAAGGAGCATGGCTGAGATCGAAGGTCCAAACTCCAGGCTATTCTGTAGCTAGAGGATAGCGATATCGTTTTGTTTGGTCTTAGCGTCGAATTAGGGATGCATAGTTACTTTCACTACCCGCACTAGTTGCTTACCAGAAGCATTTTGCACTGAGACCCGGACCCTGATCTGGCTTGGTGTTAGATCTTTGAGGCAATGGGCAGCGGTAAGGATATGGTCTTTGCTGATGATGCTGCCGCCACATCTATGGGAGCTCGTTTGAATAGAAACCTGGAAAGGGTAGGCTTCCTTTGCTGCTTGCCGCCCGACAACTATAGCTTGAGCTAGGCCTGAGCGATAAGCTCATAGAATAAGGATAGAAACGGAGAGCTTGATGGTGAGTTAAGCAGGTGAGAAGGTCCGTAAATAGAACTTGGATACCAATAAGTGTCCAGAAAATAAGGTCCCTCCATAACACACACCCCAAGCTATTCGGCAGGTTGCTGGAGGTATATATACTGTGTCTGAAAGAGTGGATTCTATGGCCTACCACTCAAGGATCCCAATCTCTCTTCTGGAATAAATCGAGAGCCAGACGGTGGCCATCTTCACGATGGCCTGGCAGCCAGAGTTATAGTCTATTGACCCTTGAGATGATTATTGGTATATGTCCGACAGGTCTTCAGTCTAAGAAAAACAAATTGTTCATAACAAGTGTGAAGATTTGCTTTCAATGCCATCTCATAAGTGCGATGCCAAACGAGACCACTTATTCGTTCAGGATTCCCAAAAATAAGAGCTCGCTTAAGCCCGCGGCTAAAAATATTAGCGCGAAAATCTGATGACTAACAAACCTAATTATTGCCAAGCCCCATGACCTAGCCGCGATCACGTGTAAATAATGACGCTCGGGCTCGAGTTTCGCGACTCCAAAAGGATGGCAACAAAAGATAAGAGGACCAAGCGAAAGAGACCGCAAGGTGAACTTGATAAAGTGTCGTCAAAGCTCTTCTGGCCTCCGAACCGGAGTATACCGAGATTTGGAAGCTAGCCGCACCATGTAGAAGAAATGTAAGTCTTCTTGGTCCTTACACTTGATGTGCATTTGGAGACATGGCTGACTGTCAACAAGGTACGACTTACCGGTTCAACTCCGCCTGCGCCGGGCCATTCTCGAAGGCGATGCTCTGCTAGTCAAACGGATAGCTAAGAAATATCCAAAATACTTGCATAACCCCGACTTTGACGACAAAAGCAACACCTCTCTTCACCTGGCCGCAATACTAGGCAACCTCGAAGTAGTCAAGCTGCTGGTCAGTCTGGGCCATGATTCATGCGAGCCAGATATAGCTTTCATGGACTTTGATGGGGCCCCCGGAATAAGTCTGAATACGGATTCTTCGACACCGCTTCACCTAGCGGCTGCAAATTCACACGCGGATTGTGCGGATTACCTGGCTACCGTCTTCAAACATTCTATCGACTGGCAGGATAAGAACGGAGCTACGGCATTAATGCTTGCGTCACAGGGCTCCAATATTTCAAGCCAGACATCGAATACATCTTCATTGGTACCACCGAGACAAAGACCAAGGGCATCTTCATCAGCTTCGAACCCAACTTCGTTCGAGGATACAAGTACTGTCTCCAAACTTATTAAACGCGGAGCGTCCTTGACAATGACTGATTCAGTGGGCAACACTGTACTTCATTACGCGAGTGCGTGGGGGAACTTGAAAACGTTTCGACTTCTAGTATCTGCTGGTGCCCCTCCACTGGCAAGGAACCATGCTAAATGTGCGCCAGCTGATTATGCGTTGAGTGTTCAGGCTGCGGCGTATTGTCGGTCTTTAGTGGCTGAATACGAGCGGGCAAGGAAAGGGCAGTACGAGCAGGATAAACCGAGCCTGAAAGTTAGATCGAATGATATCCCTCCAGGCGATTCCCACTTGTCCCCGATATCTCCGGCCAGCGGCCTTAGACCAAAGATGAGTCTTGATAGTCAAAGAACCTCCCAGAGTTATGGAATTGGAGGCGTAAGATTGGTCTCACAGGATGAGAGTGATCAGGAGAATGAATTGAGGCCATCTGTTTCTTGGAGTAACCCGGGAACACCTATCTAATGGCTTCCCCATGAATGTGTATGATATTAATGAGCAGTTACTAGAGCAATCACTGCACCTATTCCAGCTTGATATTACATTGAAACACAGCAGTTAGCGATAAAGAAGGCATTGATCCTCTATCCTACAGAACATATATATGTACAGATAGACCACCTCACCGTTCCCAGCCACTTTTGCCCGTCTATATCTTCCGTTAATCTTGCACCATGATTCCCAGGGTGACAGGTTCACAGTAATAATAAGTTCAGGAAAAAGAATCCTCAAAAACGCCAAAGCGGTGTTCTACATGAGCGTCTACCCTCATGCGCTCATCCCATTTTTTTCCGTTGATTTTGTTTCTCCAACAGGAGACGAACATATATGGATCAGGCCACCACGGGACGCCAGACTTCGCGAACATATTACATCCATCCCTCTGCGCGTGCCATTTGTAGGCAGGCGATTTATATCCTGTGGTTGGTGATATTTTTGAGTAACTTTTTTCTTTTCTTTTGTGATAAATTACTTTCTTCGGTTGATGGTCTTGCGGCAGATTTCGATTAAACCGTCCTTTGCTTCACTGTCGGGGAATTTGCTGATGGCTGCAACGGCGTCGTCGGCATATTGTTGGGCAAGAGCCCGAGTTTGTTCGAGACCATCAGATTGTGAAACAATTTGACGGGCCTACATAGATGTTAGAGCGCGTAATAACGGCTTCGTATCAATGGATGGGTATTAACATACCAACTGGACATCTCCTTCACGAGAGAATTTTCTGCCTACGAGTTTTCCAAGCTCTGGCCGTTGTTTCCAGGCAAATAACAAGGGTGAAGTAGCTAATCCTAGCTCTAGGTCGGCACCGGCAGGTTTACCCAGCTCCTCTCCACTGATGGTATAATCTAGCATATCATCAACAAGTTGGAAGGCCAATCCGAGGTTCCTTCCAAAGAGATAAGCTGCTTCCGCGACGTCGGGGCCACTCTGGTTCAGCAACGCAGCTGCACGGCAGGACTTGCTGATCAAACTGGCAGATTTCAAATATGTCTTTTGCAGGTAATATGAGATGATATCTTCGGACCATACCGGGTTTGATTCATCAAGCATGGTGTTTTTCAATTGCATGAATTCACCTTCGACCAGGTTGGCCATGACGGTTCCTAGCAACTCGATGACTTCGGGATCACGTAACCTGGCGATGAAGACGGATGCACGGCCAAGAAGGAAATCTCCAGCCAGCACAGCCATCTTGTTTCCAAACGCAAGGTTGGCAGAGAGATTTGATCGGCGAGTCACAGCGTTATCAATGACATCGTCATGTAGGAGGGAAGCAGTATGAATCAGCTCAGTGATTTCAGCCAAGCGGCGTTGCGAAGGGAGGACGTTGGTAAAGTTATCCTTGGAATCTTCCTTGGTAGGCGCATATACGGTATCTCGGGTAGGTGAGCTAAGTGGCATGAGATCGGGATTTGTATCAGCCAGAATAGCCGGGGAATTGATCGAATCGTTAATGTACGCTCCTGACGAGCTCGAAGAAGGGGTAGATAGTAGCGAGCTAAGCAGTTGGTCTCGTTCTCGACGCTTTTCACAGCTGGGCGTCAATGCTGTGGCTTGAGACATAAGCAGCACCAACATGGGCCGGACCTGCTTTCCTTCACTCTGAGCGTAGTATTTCGCAACTTGGTCTAGAATTGGGTGTCCGGAGCCCAGAAGACAGCGCAAATTCTTCTTGAGAAACTTCAACTCCTTGCCTACCATCCTGAGCGGGTCAACAGAGACGTTGGCAGGTAGCGAGCCTGGATTCGACGGCAGCGGAGGCGGAGGAGCCTTTGATATCTCCTTTGAAAACAGGTTCTGGGCCGCAGACATGGCTGATGCGAGTGCAGACTGGTCTTTTCGGCGCGAGGGATGGTAATTGCGAGCTGTGATGTGGGCTGGAGGTATGGAGAGAGAGATGGTGAAGCGGCTGTGAAGACATCGCGAGCATATTGAGGCCGGTCGGAAGGTCTGTGAAGCTCGCAGAGACAGCCCGTGGGCCGCTAAGCTTGGTCGAGCTCTCATTTCTTCGAGAGTTGCGAGTTATTTTATTCTGGTCTTTTCGCTGGTTGATCTGTTGAAGATGAGTACTCGCGGTAGAAGTCGGGACGGGCTCTTGGGTCCGTCGGGCGGGTAGAGACGAGACGGAAATATAACAGGTACCTGCAGCAGTGTCTCTTATAGACAATTGAGGCAGGATATATGGTGTATATACCAGGCCATGCGTTGTGGTGCAAGCTGGTGCACCGTGATGCTCTGTTGTTGCACGTCAAGTGTTGTACTTTTTTTTCAACGTCCAAAACTTGGCTGCGGAAAAAAGCTTCATTTGGGTGTTTGCATTTCTCCGTGCCGAACGCCGCAGCCAACCTCACCGAGGCCCCATAACTATGCAACTAAACGATTTAATTTATTTACTTGCTTCTTACTGCTTGATATGAAGACGGATAAATGGAATGCAGATGGATTCGAGCTTGGTGTCTAGGCAAAGGGACAGACAAAGGCAGGCAGAAAATTACATCGGGATGTTGTTGTAGCAAAGACACAGGAGAGAAGAGAGAAAGGGGGAAAAAAAAGTAGTAGGCCCTGGCTTGTCGGTTGAAGGACTGTACATACATCCAAGCTGGCTCTCGAGCTCGCCAGAGGTGCATGTCTCTTGATTGTTAGCCGTTGGTCTCTAGTCGACGGCTAGGAAGAAGACAGCAGCCCTGAGAGGCGTGAGATGAGGTAGCACGGATGAGGTAACGAGAACCAGGTCGAGAGCGAGGGAGAGCTTGGGGATGTGGATGTAGGTGGATGTGATGGAGGAGGAGGATGTTCAGGGATTGTGTCTTGTCCATGTACAGGTACAGGTCGACTAGATACCCTCGAAGTCGCCACCGGCGTCATCGTCGTCCATGTCTCCCTCCACAATCTCCTTGGCCAGCTCCCTCTCTCGCTCGCGGGCCTCCTGGGCGTTCTTCAGCTCAAGACGGTGCTGGTTCATGGGGAACCTCATTGCCTGAGACAGATATTAGTATGCATACATCGTAAAAAGAACCAGATAGCGATTTTATCAAAAGAGCAAACATACCTTGACACTCTCGTCGTGGAGGCCAAGACAAGCTTGGATACGCTCGTGGAAGACCTCTCCCGGCTCCTGGGTAGCGTACACGTCGCCAATATCCTTGCTCTTCATGTAGCCCTTCTCATGGTCCAACGATGCCTCTATAACACCGTCCCTTATAGCCTTTGCGACAATGTACTCGGCAGACTCTTCACTATCCAGGCCGAGGCGAAGGCAGATGTCACGTAGGGAGATACGAGTGTATGACAACGACATCATGCGGATGCCGGTCTTTATGACATTCTGTCGTAGTCGGAGAATAAGCGTGTACGTGCTGTCCTTTCGGAAGACGGGGCCGTAGGTCTGGACGATCTTCTGGAAGCCGTCTAGATCACCCACGCTGACGGCTCGTACGAGCAAGAAGTAAGGATGCATTGCACGCTCAAGAGCTGCCTGGCGGAAGATGGCACGGTCAGGTATGTCTCCCATGAGCAGCTCGACGACAACAAGTAGCTTCATCGATGCCTGGTAGAAGCCACCTGCGCTCAGAGTCGACGGAGACTTCCGGGTGGCGCCCACCAGGTGTTGGTGTGCATCGGTATAGCGCAGCTGGATGGCTCGGATCCGACCCAGATAGTAGAGATATCGAGCAATCTGGTTGTTGGACGCACCGACAGGGAATTCGGAGTGAGAGATGAAGAGATCGGCTTGCGAGATGTGGGAGGTAGACAGGTAGTTGCGAAGCAAGAGAGTGGTGACAGTTGCCTGAATGTCGGTGTCCTTACGAAGAACCGCGGTCCGGAGAGCTGCAAGGAGCGAGGGTCTGATGGATATGACGGCTGCAGTCGGCGAAGGCGGAAGCGGTTTTAGCTGTTCGAAAAAGAGAGAATAATAAAAGTACACTCGAGCAGCCAAACAGTCCAGAGTCCTTCGGTTATGCGTCCTCAGTTTCTCGACCAGCTTCTGCGAGAACTGAGCACCTTTCTCTATGCGTTTTGCATCATACAGGTGAATTTGAACCAGAATGGAAAGATAGACGTCGATCTCGGGCAGGGTCTCTTTGGATGAAGCGGCTGTTTTTGTGGCGGGCGTAGCTGACGATTTCAAGTCCGAGGCATCTTCCATATCAATATCTTCGGCAACGTTATCAAACGCAGACTGTCTATCAAGGGCAGCCAGAAGGAAGGAAGCGGTAGGATCCGAACGTTGATAGGCAGATGTGATGACGCTGGCGAGTAGGTCTGCAGATAGGTGTTTACGCATAGACGAGATTGTTCGGAGTACCCTAAGGGTAAAGCGTAGATCAAAATGCATCACAGCCCTCTCGAGTAATGTGAAATTTGTCCGGATATCTGTAGATTTGTCAGTATCCATAACCATCATGATTCTTATCACGAAATACAGAAGTGTAGAGAGACATACCAGACTTCGCTTTCTCAGCCGGGTCAACCACTTCATCCTGCTGAACATCCTCATCCTGATCTGTGTCCATCTTGGACTCGCTTCGGCTCTTCTCAGGCTCTCCCGACAGTCTTGAAGCTTTCGACGGAGGAACAACAACAGTCATCTCTTCGTCGCCGTCGTTGTCGTCGCGCTGCTTGGGTGATACAGAGCCGTTCAGATGCTCTTCACTCATCTGCACGTCCTCGGGACCGTTCACACCATTCTCGACAGCGTCAGAGCCCTCAGGGGTGGCCTTTTTTGAGCCTGAGGCCGGTTTCCTGGCTGGCGCTGCCTTGCCTCGTGACGCCGCCGAGCGAGTCGGAGCAGCTTTATCTTTGTTGGAGCTAGAGCTCTGCGAGTTCGAACGCGGTTTCTCGCCGTCCGCCGAGGCGTCTGACCGGTTAGAGCGAAGCGTTCGCTTCTCTGCTGGCATCGTGTCTGAAGCTATTGAGCAGCTCCCTACGGCGAGAGCTTCTTCTGGGGGCCGGGCGTTTAAAGGACAGCAGAGCCGGGAGGCGAAGTGACTAAGGCGTGCTAGAGAGAGGAAGACGGCGTTTCAGCAGGCAAGCACGGGCAAAACGAGAACAAAACAGGCACGGCGAAGCTCCAAAGACGGCTGGCAAAGACGGGGAAACGAGGCTGCGGGCGTTTGCAACTGAAGACGCTGACGGTGATGTTTTTGGTTGTTTTTCTTGATGTTGCGAAGAGGTTAAGATGATGCGAAGAGAACGTCGCAGAAGGGCTTAGCGTGGATGACTAAGCAGTGAGTAAGCAGTGCAGCTGAGCTGAGACGGCGCGGAAGATGGAAGACGACGACAGAAGACGGCAGAGACACGAGACCGAAGAACAGCGAGGGAAGACGGGGAGGGCGGGCGATGGACGATGGGCGAGGCGGTAGGAGGGGGGTGGAAAGGCCGGGCTATGGCGGCGAGGGAGGGCGCTGAGAGGACAGACGGCGAGGGGAGGCGGAAGAAGAAGAGACTCGATTGGTACAGCGCACACATCGATGAGCAAGCAGACAGCATTCTAATCACGGCTTGGAAGGCTCGTAGCTGCAGGCTGGCGCGAGAGAGGTGGCAGCAGGCTTCATACTGGCCGACTACCGCGTCAGACGGTCGGACAGGAAGTAGTCCGGCTGTTATTGGCATCAGTCGTCCCAGCGTTGGTAGTGAGAATACAGAATACTCTGAGCACAGGACAGGCTCGAGACCAAGATCCTTGATGATACCCTATACTCGATCCTAGCCGATTGCCTCCTTAAACTTCTGCTCGGTTTTCACGGTTACACCAGATGCTGACCCGGCCATTACCTCTATATACAGGTACTGGCCCTCGGTACATTTTTCAATATGAGGTTTATCTCTGTCTTTTCTCGCTGATGCCGACAATCTGAAATACCAACGGGGCTGGAAGAATATGTCTGCTATGGATATAGATCTTCTCAGAAATCAATCGGTAGGCAGACCACTTAGAGACGCTTGGCCTGATTAACACATAGAGTAGCCGCTAGTACTCGCACGTATCTGGTCAATGGCACTGTGTGAATAACTCAACTCGAGCTCATACAAGGTAGGACTTACCAAGCATTTGATAATATTTTATATCTCTATTCCCTTCCTCTGATTATATCGTCGGTAATCCCTTTTTTGTATAGAGCAAACTTGATGACTAAGCCAAGAACTACACCAACGCTTATCTTTTTTGTTTACCTCGGGGCAGAAAAGAATCAAAGTCGAGATGAAGAAGAAATGATAATAGAAATTGAATAACCAAGCTCTTTATAAGTGGTATTCTTGAATTGTCACGGCGTAAATTGGATATCTCCCTCGTTGATGTCACAATGAGCTTGTTACAGAACCACCTAGAGCAGATCTCTCTCTCCGCGTCCGCGATAGCAGACTTATCGTAAGAGTCGACCTCTATATACAGACAAGTACTCGATCTGATACGTCCGTCTCTAGATTCCCTCCTCCGAAACCATTTGTCAATGCACTTCTCGGCCAGCATGACATCACCACTCTTATCCGTGACACGGAGGCCCATGAACGAGCCCTCTTCTCTGTCGATAACACCACCAAGTCCCAGCGCAGAGCCACTCGTCGAGGTACGATGTTCGTAGCAGAGACCGAACGAGAGTCTATGATCAGCCGCATATACGCCGTTAGAGACCGTACGAACCAGTCCGCTGTTGCGCGGGTACTTGGCGGTGATATGATGGATGCTATCAAACGGTCCACTGCCCCAACATCAGATAGAACCACAAAGAGCGGGTTGGACATTGAGGTTCTGTTACGCGGTGCAGAAATGCTTTGCAACGTATAGTACGTTTTCGCTTGATACCAAAGGGACTTGACCGCCTACTAAACCCTTGAATAGTCCGGTAGCAGGAGCCAAGGAGAAGATTGCTTCTATACGATCTCGACACCGCGAAATAACGGCTTCCCTCGAATATCTTGAAAAGCGTGTTGCTGACCAGGCAGAAGAGCTGGAACGAATGAATCTCTCCCAATATGATGACAGTGATTACCATAAGACAGAGGATACCACTGAGGCCGTGGAAGTCACGGATGAAGACATCGAGCTGGAACTTGAAGCTATTCGAGAACTGGAGGCGAAGAAACGGCGTCTAGAGGCTAGGGTTACGGGGATGGAGAAAGATTTAGGAGGGCTGCTAAGGTGAACCAAACTGTTGAGGCCATATACCCGTTTATTGGACTGGGTATTTACTACCTACATATGTGGTACCGACCACAACTTCGCTCCATGCCCACTCAATATGGCAATACTACTGCTTTGAAGTGGCTGGAAACACATCTCGTGGAAGCTTAACTGACATCTAGGATATACATTCCAAAGATGGTGGCCTAGCACCCCTCTATGCCCAGCTGCCGTCTCTAATCCTAGAGATTGGTACGAGATATTGAGGGGCGAGATGTGAGGAAACAAAGTCACATCTGCCTTCTGGAAAAAGTGTCACTGCCCAGGCAGGATTATGCATGCTCTAACGGTATGATGCCGTACGAAATATCAAGAACGAACCGAAATATGGCATACCAATGGCTTGTTTAACAAGGGAAAGTCATAAGATCTAATAGTAGGAAGAGTATATGATAATGGGGCCATGTCAATCGAAATTGCCGTATTACTAGTCATCACTATCTTCTTCTTGTTCTTCGTCAAGGTCAGTCGTAATAATCGGGATACGGGCTTGGGCGATAACACATTTCCTTTCTCCGGTACCAATGATAGCACACCACTGAGGTCCGTTAAACGCGGTTGGAAAGTCATCAAAATGGCGGCAGGGCTGTGCAACCGTTGCTATTTTCATATCCTTGAATGTGAACGTACCAAAAGGGACCAATTGATGATAGGACCTCGGCTTATCTTCTTCACCGTCTATAGTCTCGAATTTAGTGACTAGTCCATCGGGGGTAGTCACTTGTGCCTGGCAGATGCTACGAAAAACGGGAGAGACTTTGCTGCAGGCAAGTTCGGTACAGGGGTCGACATACGAGAGGATTTCAGCGTATATCTCTGGCGGGAACACACCTCGGCTGAATTGTTGAAGGTCCTTCTGGACCTGTTGTTCAAACATTATTTGAAGGATTGCAAATCCCGGATGTGCCTGTAGGGCTGACTCTGTACCGGCAACAGGGGGAAATGGAGCTGCGCCTCCATTGGTGACCGGTAGTACCCCTGAATGTGCGACTGATGTCACATCGCCCTCCACGGATACTTTCACCACAATCATACACTTGATTGAGAAAAGTATTATTTCAAACTCCTTGTTTCCACTCTGAAGCCCAACCTCCACGGCCTTTGCTATAGCAGCATTCCTCTCGTGAAAAAGTGCCTCTGCAGTGACAAGACTGATAAGGATACCCTGAAAGTAGTACGTAGTCTCTAAGGGCGCGCATCCAGGTTTGGTAACTGAGGTATGGCATCCTGCCCCGAGGATGGGTAGAACCTCCGTTCTATCATGAGCGTCATCTTGAACTAAAAATCCACGTGAGGAAGATTGATGTCTGTAGTGACCATGTAACTTCTGGACATCAGTAAGGTGAAATTCACTAGCTGCTAGTGATAGGATAGCAAATGCCAATTCTCGAAAGGCAAAGTCTGTATATCCCCATTGGGGAACATAATCCCACATGGCTGAGTGAGAAGGGTGTAGTAGGTATTCGTACAGCATTAGAGCCATTACATTGCGCGGATTATAATCGACGCCAGCCGAAAATTCATACAGGTCGGAGTGCTGATATCTTTTGTACATCTCGTTATACCTGTCGCGCTCAGCATCGTCGGCGAAATAGTCGGGAATGAGTGGCTCTAATGAAGCTTCAGGACATTTCTCAGTGGAGAGGTCCCATGACTCAAAAGGTGTAATCCAGGTATCCCGAGGGATATTCCAAAGTCTGAAGAAGACACGATTATTCACAGAGAATACCTGCTCATCAAGATCGATGAGATACACCCATTCAATAAACACAGTGTTTGAAGCGTCGCCAAAATGGGACGGAAGCACCTCAAGCTCACGTATATTCGCCCATGGCTCCGATTTGGCATCACCCTCTTCGCTCTTTAGGATACGTACGCGTTCCTCTGTAATGCAAAAGTGTTCTTCAAGTTCGACCAATCTGCGTTCATAGGTATCACGCTTTTGCTGTAGCCATACTATCACCGCATGAAACAGGTTTAGTATGCGACTCCATTCCGAGGTGAAAATGTGCCACACGGCCTTAAGAACCCCTATATTCTTTCTCAATAGTGATCAAAAGGTTGCATCTCAAGCCTTACACTGATACATGTAAAGACGAGCTAAAGGCCGCGTTTACCTAGCGCCTATATGGTTTGACAGAATATAGAGGTTCCTAAGGGCCATGGAAACAGTATTAGGTATGGATCGTAAGTCCTCACCTTCGTATTCTTTTCGATCAACTGGCACTCCGGCAACGATCCCGGCGCCCAAATGTTCAGGGTAGCTATCATAGTGGTTGTAATAAATCCAGTACCTGCCGCGATAGCGAACTATACGATAACCTCTAGTTCCCATTCTGACGCTGTGTCCGTCAACGCGTGACTTCAGAAGTTAGTAGATTAGCAAACCGTGTAGCGTAGCCCAGCATCTATGAGTGCAGGCGAGGCTGAGAGCGTAGAGACGCAGAGATGCAGTCGTTCAACTGACGTGTTGTTGTTGCGATGATGTTGAATGGATGTGAATATAAAGTTAAAGTGATTAGTAATTTATGACTAATAAGATAATGCCAAGACATCTCGTCGTTTGCGATTTTGACGTCGATGAAAAGAAAAGGCGACGAGAGTGAAGACGAAGAAGCCAGCTCGACGGTTGAAGACGCCCCGAACCGCCTGCAAATATATTATTATTATCAACAGCATATATTTATTCACAGTCTCACGGATATTATTATTATATAACGGGGCGTTTGGTGCGCCAAAGTTGGAAAGAACTGAGAAGCTGAGCTTCATCGCAATCAACCATGGATAACTCGTCGACCCCAGCCAACACGGCGCAGCAGCAGCAACAACAACAGCAACAACAGCAGCAGCAGCAGTCACAACAGCAAACTCTCCAGCAGCAACAACAACAACAGCTGTCGAGCCTTATACGAACGGAACAGGTCCAGAAACTGCCCCATCTCGCCGACTCCCAGAAGGCGGTCCACACTCAGGCTGTTCGGAGCTGCTGGGAAGTTCTCCATTCACATCCTCCCACGTCCAACGAATACGCGAAAGCACAGCAGAAGCTGACGCAGATGTCTACTCAGCTAATGAGGGGGATGAGGATGTACCAACAGAACAGGTCACAGATGCAGGCGCAAGCTCAAGCTCAAGCTCAAGCTCAAGCTCAGCAGCAACAGCAGCAACAACAGCAACAGAAGCAAGGGCAAACACAACAGGACCAGCAACCGCAAATAAGCCGGGGTCCGGTTGGAGTCAACCCTGCGCAGCAGAAACCACAGAACTTCCAGCCGCTTTACCCTCAGATCCAGGCCAAAGTTAACAGCCTGACGTTCATACCCCCTCCCTCGATAAGCAAGGACCAGGTGGATAGCTGGCTACAGGAAGCAAAGAACAGATACGGTGCGGCGTTGCAGAAACAAGAGCTGGGAAAAGTGAAGCTGGCTGAAGTTCGACAATCGTACCAGCAGCGTCAAGGTGCTGGAAACCTCACTGCTGAGGAGATTCAGGAATTCAAGAACAGACAGCTTTTTGCCGATAAATTATATAGAGAAGGAAATGAGTTTCTTTCCAAATTCAAGGATCAACAGGAGAGCTTCCGTCTCCAGCACCAGCAGGCGGCAGCAGCTGCGGCTTCCGGCCAGCAGGCAGGCCAGGGAGGGCAGACGCAAACTTCTGGTGCTGGAGATCAACAGGGTGTCGTTAGCCAGGCAGCCGTCCAGCAGCCTGTATCAGCGGCAGCCGGAACACCCGCTCCGCATACTATAAATTCCGCCGTTGTTGCAGCGCGCCACCAGGCCGGTCAAGCCCCTCAGGGACAGTCAGCTCCTGGGTCTGGAGGGACACACCCTCCGGCTCAGCAACAAGGACAGCCAGGACAGCCTCAACAACAACCACAGCAACAACCACAACAGCAACAGCAACAGCAGCAGCAGCAGCAACAACAGACTCAACACACTCAGCAACAGCAACAGCCTCAACAGCAACAAAGTCAACTAGGACAGCAGCAAGCAGCTTCACAACAACAAGCACAGGTTGCAGGAATGAAACAACAACTTCCAGAAAGTGCTGGAGCTACTACTCTCTCTCAAACACCACAAAATCAGGGTCCACCACGTGCACTCTCCCAACAAGGAGCAGTGAACCAAGCGCGTAGCAGCTATGATGTGAATTCAAACATCCACCAGTCCAACCAGACATCAAACCACGCGCATCCCCAGGCCTACATTGGCGACCGTAACATGGATACCCGAAAGATCAACATGGCTATTCCCAAGAACCTCAGCATTTCTACCACTCCCGAACCCGTTACTATGGGGGCCGCCCGACCCACCCTCACCACTGGAGCCAGCCATGGGTCCATGGGAATGATGGGCCAGCCGGCCATCCAAAAGCATCCTGGTTACGTGTTGGAGGGAGAAGGTCAACGTGTTCTCAGCAAGAAGAAGCTTGACGACCTGGTCAGACAGGTTACCGGAGGCGGCGAGGGAGAAAAGCTCACCCCTGACGCAGAAGAGGTACAGTCCCTCCCCCAAATATTTCCTCCTATTCAACTTGTAAATCACATCTAACGACTTCTATAGTTTGTTCTCCAGATGGCTGACGACTTCGTCGACGATGTGATCACCGCTGCCTGTCGTCTTGCCAAACTCCGTCCATCTTCGACCTTGGACATCCGCGACATCCAGCTCGTCCTAGAACGCAACTACAACATGCGTATCCCTGGCTTCTCGTCTGATGATCTGCGTACCGTTAAAAAGCCCCATCCCACTCAGGGCTGGATCCAGAAGATGACTGCCGTCCAGGCTGCCAAGGTCACCCAAAGCCGCACTGAGTAGATATGATACGTGACAGCACACCCGCTCTCTTCGGCGTGAAACGGGCTGCTTTACTAACACAGCAAATATTTGTTTTCTTCGCTTTTTGATTTTTATCTTACGCACTGGAAGTTCGGGGTGAAAGGTTTTTCTCTTCTTGCCGAGCTTTCTACGGAGTATTATCTTCTACTTCGAGGGAGCTGGTTCACGGTGGTCATCTGTCGACTGGCGAAGGGGGTTTCTAGTTAGTTTCTCTTATTCTACGGGTGGAAAAATGGGTGGCATAGGGCAGGCAGGTCGTCAGGAGTTGTGTACCATAAATATCTAGCACCATCCACCATAATAATACACGGCCTCACTATGAGTCTCTCTTATTCCACTCGCCCTAGCAGCTGTATGACTCGCAGTCTCCATCAGGCGGAAAAAGCAATAACAAGGGCGACATCATCCTCGGAGCCTTGCCAGTGGTCTTGTGATGCAGGCCGTCCACTATATAAGTACCCTAATATACCAGCAAGATACACTGGAGTCGCATCAGATGAGCGTAATCAGCTGGAATCTAGCAGTGTTATCCGTCATGCCCAAGATGCTCCATGATATCTCCTGCTCAGCCTCAGCAGCTCCCTCGTATAGCTATAATAATAATGTAAATCCTTCGCTGCAGCTGCATGCGATCTGCATCCTGAGCGCATTTCTCATCGACGTTTCCGCTCAACCCGATCTGATATTTGACTGTATCAATGTCCAGACATGATCTGAAGCTGGTCTCGTCCTGCATTCCATTCCAGCGTTCTGTTTGTCCTTTTTTTTTCTTTCTGTTCTCTCTCGTTTTACCATCGCCGTTGTCGTCGGATATAGGTCAGGATGGCTGAGCCTACAGCTCGTCCGGCGATGGTTTCAGAGGAACGTCCACGCAGCAGATCTCGAATACCTCGTCTGCAGACAGGAGACCCTATCCCTCCGTCGACGAGGCCATCGAGACCCGGTATGTGAAGAAATTCGTCGTTCTTAAGCTGCGGTTTAACGTACCCGAAACCGAGCTGGGCGTCGTTCCGTTGTTTGTTTACGAGCATAACTAGATCGTCTGGTTTGGGCTAACAAGCAACTCGACGACAGAGCAGTTGACGCCCTCAACGCGGCTGGCGGAACAGCTACCGACTGTTGGACAGCCTAGAAGTAAGACGCCATGGTTACGCTGGTGCTGCAGTCAGCCAGGGACAGCTCTCCGATTGGATAGCTGAGTTCTGGCTTGGTGGTGATGGTTGTTGACATGTTATCATCTGCAGAACGACAATCACGGCGACATGACCTGGGCCCCAAATGGCACAAGGAGTACTCGGAGATCGATCAGCACTGCGGGCGGGTCCTGATTATCGATTTTGTGAAGCAAGGTAGGCTACTGGATGTACATTTGCTGGAGATGATAACTATAGGATGCTAACTGGACCACCAGAGGCGAGCAAAACTCGAATGCGCAAAGTCAGTGCAGAAGAGATATTCGATCTTCAATCCCTCCGCAAAGTGTACAACAACCCTGATCGAACCAACGAGGCCGTCCTGCGTGTCTTCCACGTTCAAAACGCCGACTGGGCTAAGGAGTATCTCCTGAGGAAGTTCAACATCGACAACCGGGATGATCTCGTTGGCAACGATTTTGGGAAGTATGTCCGACATAAGAACCCGGAGAGACGTGGTGGACGGCCGTTTCTGAACGGGAAGACATGGAAAGTCCAGTACGATCCGTGGCGAGGAATCAGTAAGACCTCGTTTGGACTGGATTATCTGAAGCAGTACCATAAATCTGCGCATCTTACTCCACGCCACCGTCGGAGTCCGGAGGATGATACCCTCAAGATGATGGAACTGGACTCCTGGGGAGACCAAGGTAGGTACTTCATTGCATACATACTCATTACTTTGAAAAATAGTGAATCCTTCGCTTACTCCGACAACAGATAATCCAAGCCGTGGCTATGATGTATATGTACAGCGGTTCAGCTGCTATATTCAACACAAACAAGCTACAGGGCTGCCCTCCCTGGAAATGGAGGATTCGGATATCAAAAATCCGTATCATGTAGAGGATTGCCAGACCGGTGACTCCCCAGAAAAGCGGAAAGACGTATACGTCCCATGTCTCAGCTCTCTGGACAACGGCAATGCGATCCTTATATTCGACAATTCTCACACTGGATGTCTAGAAGACACTCTCATCCCGCCCCGTCAAACATGGGAGGAGAGATGGAGACGACTTCCTTTCTTCCTTGCCTTTGAGTCAAAGGATCTTGTTGAAAGTGACGAGCAGCTCGCCTACCACAGCACCAGAATTATTTTAGACGATATTTTCAAGGTCCTGACAGCAAACTGGGATTCATTCCTAAATTTAGCAATGGACCATGTTAGTATTTTGGAGGACAAGATTTATGAGCGGCCGGCAGATGAAACTCGCGCCCCATTGCTTTGGACCAACTCGAGTCTGTGGCTCAAAGTTGAAAAGTTACTGTTCATCCACCTTGATATCGTCAAAGAGATGATAACACGGCTACAAGACCTGACTGGTGGGTTGATCGTGGTTATTGAGTGTCTTGATAAGACAGTATGGCTAATCTGGTATGAGCAGATGACGTAGAATCCGATACTCCTTGGCTGGAAAGCATACCCGGCGACTTTGAGCGGCTGGGCACCACTATTACTGAAGATCTGATAAAGCCGACTGAGAACCTAATATCCCTTTTGTATCAGTCAGTCTCTATCAGGGACAGTCGGCATAGCATTCAACTAAACGTCAGCAGTAAGTAGAAGCGCTAGTGCCTTTTATTTGAGCATAGAATCGGCTGGCTAATTATTTATAGTGTGGCGTCTGAGCTGGATCACTTTCATCTTCCTCCCGATGACTTTCATCACTGGATTCTTTGGCATGAACGTTGATACCTTTAAAGACGATCCCGATATTAAATGGTACTTCATAGCCACTGTACCATTCATGTTCCTGGTCCTCATCCTTTGGTACATAATCAAGCATTACCTCGCAAGCAGACGCCAAACTCCGCATCAACGAGGTATCTATGAGAATTTCTTCAATGAGATGGCCGATCGCAACCCCTCACTCTGGTCTAGAATGGGTCCGCGTGATTATGTTGTTCCACAGGGTATTCTATCACGCATTAAATGGCATTTCATCAAGGTTTGGAGTGCCCCTGAACGTACAATCTTGTTGGATGCCGACAGTGATGGGTCGGGTGGTGATATGGGCACCATGTTCAAGATAAAGCAATATTTAATTCGCAGATGGACCTCGCAGCTCCGAAATAACAAGGCAGTCAAGGAAACAGCACTTGAAGATGGGTTAATAGTGCCTGAGGATGATACCGTTAGTGAAGCACACAGCATTGCCGACGGGTTGGCAGGAGCTACTGAAATGCTTGTGATACCCGCCACTCCAGCCGTTGAGTCTCGAATAGTGCCTGAGATAGTGACGTTGCATACCACTACTCAAACTCAGCCAGATGCCCCTGAGGCTATAGCTCCTCGCTCGGCATTGTCGTTGATGAGCAGCGCACATCGTCGAAGTAGCAGCGCCGGAAGGACCAGTGGTTTGTTGGTTGAAGAAGAGGATTATCAATGGTTGAGTGAACGAGGTAGACAGGGGATGCGATGGGCCTGGAGGTCGTCGAGTTCCAGGGGTAGAAGTCCTCACGAAAGCCCCCGACGACACAGTCGAAGCCGTAGCAGGGAGGATAGAGACGTTGAGAAGAGCGGCGGTTCTACTTCGCCCGTCGATCAGGGCACCGAGACGATGCCGCAATCGAATGATGATAACAACGAGTCACCCACAGCCGTTCATGACACATCTAATGCCCATACTTGATCAGCAGTTAAGTATGTTGGATGATTTAGAATGCTTTTGATCTTTACGGGGATGTGCAAACGATAGATATGATACCCCATTAGACTATTTTTTTATTATTTTCCATATTTTCTTTATCTGGACATACCAATGCTCTCTCCGTCTGTTTCGAGAATGTTACTTCGCCAAAATCCCATCCCTTCATGGAACGACCTTGAAAGCAAAACATCCAGGACCCGTGAAATGGACATGTACATATTCTGCCTCCAGCTCAGGGTCGCCAAACACTTCCGTCTTCAACGTTTCCATCAACTTTGCTCCCTCCACCACTTTGCTCCAGACCATCATGTTTCCAGCGTCATATGCCCTCGCCGTAAGTGATCGAGCATGGTACTTCGCTGGAATACCGAATTCGTTGTCTTCAGTGCCATCGTACCAGGGACACACATCTGCGTGCACGAATATCGGTCCGGGGCCACTATATGGCGTATCCCTGTTCTCGGGGAGGAACGGATTGTACGAGACCAGTAGGACGTCTTCGTTTAGGGCCGCATTTTTGAGACAGCGACGACATGGGGCACCGCCGAATGTTGGTGTCACTGTTGATCGGATGGTGGTGGGCTGGTTGACTTCCACCGGTGTAGGGAGAGGGACGATCTTCATGTTGATTGTTTCGCAGAGTTAAGATAATTGTAGGGTGGGTTTTGATATGTTATGTAGATTGAATCGTTAGAGTTGATTTGAGAGACATGAGGACATGAGCTGGTTTATATATTTCATCGTGGTAGTGTACTATATTTGATCTCGGGCTGCTTGCTGCTAATGTGTTCAATTACATCGACACCTGGACAGACCGTATGGAGGAGCCGAGTTGCTCTCAATATATTCAATTAGATTATTGCCGGCGTTGCATTTCCCTGGTCGCTAACATACTTTAATGCTATGGGATTATACTTTAGAGTGTTCGTATTCGCCCCTTGCTGCCAATATGACCAAATACAAAGATCGTGAAGCGGTGATCAAAGAGTTTCGGGAATAATTTCATTCCTATGCTATCATATGAAAACAAAACAAACAGCAGTACAAGTAGAGCTTACACACGAGACAGCTTCTCCCAACCATCTAGCTGACCGATAAAACGGCCCCTATTTGTCGTTCTGATACCTGATCAGACAGACCAACCATATCAAATACAGAAAGCAAGGAAGCGAGAACACAGCTGCATTTGATCCGAAAAGGAAGAAAAAAAAGAAAAAGAAAAAGAGAGAAAGAAACAATGGATCAAAAGGGGACCCAATCATTGACCTTCTTCGTCGCTCTTGACGGGTAGAGGTGACCGGGCGGTGGTGTCGACTATGTCCTCATCGTAGGTCATTCCATCAAGCATTTGTGCATCGACAGCAGCTGCAGCTCGCGAGCCCGGTGCAGATGTGGGTGACTGTGGTGGCTGCTGAGACTGGCTCTGGTGTGTGATTGGGTGGGAGAATCGGCTTGAGGTAGGACTTGAGCCCGCTACTGCAGTATTACTGACGCCCGTCATGGAGGAGGACTGCCTGCTTAGTCCTGCTGCAGCCAGGCGTTGTACGGGGGTGGATATCGGTCCCGAGATGGTGCTGTTTGCTCCCTCACCGAATCCAACGAGACTTGCGTTTCCTTCGTCGCTGAAGGCGTCTGTAGAGCGTGCATCTGCGTCGTCTGGATCGACGTCCTCTTCGTCTATGGTTTCATCTTGTCCGTAGACATCGTCGCTTCCGCTGGCCCAGGTGGTGCGTGTGCGTCCACCAAGACTGCCACGACTTATACTTTCCGTCGCACTAGCACTGCCGACTGTGCTGCGCTCCTTGAGCATATGAGGATGTGTGTCAAAGTACTCTCCTTGCGAGAGCCCGCTGGAGTTGTGTGCGTGAAGAGGATTACCACCTGCAGCCGTGCGAGCGGAGAGGCGCTCCAGGCCAGCAAGGCGCGAGATGCGGTCTGCGCGCTCAGCGTCGAGAGTCGTTGTGGACGTTTCAGAAGCGTTGGAGGAGGACCGATGTGGCCGGTGGCTGTGGGGTCGGCGAGCGCCCTGGTGGCCGTCCTTGATGGCTACGGTGGACAGCGCGGAGAGAGAGGTTGTCCCTGAGTTGGGAGTGCTCCTGTGCCCATGGTCAGCGAGAGGGTTCTCAGGTGTGTATGGGCCAATGGAACAGGGACACTTACGGGCCCATCTCCGAAGGGGTGACGGGGTCCGACGGAGGAGGAGGGAGGTTGATGAGTGTAGGAGTGGTCATGTTGAAGGTCCCCGAAGTGATGAAAGCAGAGCAGAGCCGTGGATCTGTGTATCTTGTGTGTCTTTTGGCAGAAAGGTATCTCTGGGGCGGCCTTTTGTCTACTTATCCAGGAGTCAGTATTCTTCTGGCTGTGGCGTATGAGACATACATGCGGAAGCCAACCCACCTGAGAGATGTGAAGCAGTCGTCTGCCAGCAGCCAGCTCTCTGCAGTGCCCTGTCAGCGCTCTGTCCGCCACTCGAGCAAGCAGCAAATCGTCCTTCTGTCGGTCGTCTTTTCGCGGCGTCCCTGTCGTTGATCTATCGCTGTGGTTTGTCTTTCTGGCTTGCCCGAAGCGAGGGAGAAAAAAGAAGGACGTCATCGCCAGGAGGCCCGTGATATTATGTAAGCATGTCTATCAAACCTTATTTCTTTTCTTCTTTATTAGTAATCACGCCGGCAGCAATTGGCAGACAAGAAAGACAAGAAAGACAATAAAATAGCACAGTAACAGGCTGAAAGGCCTTTGTCAGACTGGTCTTTTATAGCAGTAGGTAACTCAATGTTCTAGGCAGTAATAAATATAGTATCGCTATCGCTATGCGCTGTCCACTCCACACTGCCAGCACAGCTCTACAGACACCTAACCTCTACCATCGCCATCTACGCCCCCTGTATACTCTTCCCTGAGCCCCTTTATCTTCGACTATGGCATGTCTTTTATCCTCCTCGCCGTCTTCTTTCTCTGCTTTTCTCTTCATATTTAACTGCTGACTAAGCACGCACGTACCACTCCCTTTTTTCGCTTCTTCCCACTTTGGGAATAAAAAAAACCTTCGACTTTTCTTCTTTTTTTCTTCTTCTTCTTCCTTTTTTGACGCCCTCACGACCTCCAGCTTCACCTTCACCTTCACCCTCACCCTCGCCGTCGCCGTCACCTTCGCTCTCTCGGCCTCTCTCGCCGTCTCGTCCGCCTTTTCCGCTGTCTCCAGCCCAGCGTCCGTGGAGGATTCATCGAGCCTGTCGCGTTCAAGCAAGCCAAACATCGTTGAGTCCAGGCGGTGAAACAGTGCAACAGTTGTTATCTCAAGCTATCTACATCTGCAACCTATCCTCGCGCACTTGAAATCGGTGACTTTTCGACCCTCGACTTCTCGCTGGCATTCACTTGTCTAGCAGATTTCGACCGGAGAGAGAAGAAGAAGGGATTTGGCCAGCTGCGAGCAAGCAAGCAGCCAAAAGGGAGAAGACAAAAAAAAAAAAGGGAGCCGCACAAACGGGTTACAGCAAACTGCAACAAGGCGCCCTCTTCATCGCACAAAGAGGACTGCAGAACATTTAAAGAACCTTCGATCAGATATTCTCGAGAACCTGTTCGGGTCTACCTAGGACGAATTACCGTTTATTATTTTTATTCTTGGTTATTCTTCTATATATCGGAGCCTTCTCTCTGCTTTTTGGGGAGGAGGGAATATCGCTGCCTGGGAAAACCCTTGTCATATAGTGTTGGTCTCTGTTCTGTGGCTTTGAGTAGTCATGGCAGCTCCAACTCAGCTTGCTTGTAAGATCTGCAGCCTGGTGTTGACTGCATCGAATATATACTGACTGGATACCAGACCGTACGGTGAAGGGCATCGGCATCTTGGATGCTGCCCCGGTCTACGAATCCTTGCCTGGCTTCGTTAGGTATATACCATCTGCACTCCCCTCACCACAAGACTAAACCCAGATCTAATCCATTGTCCAGACCTGAAGGGAACCTCCGGTGTTCCGCATACTCTGCCTGTGGCCGATATTTCGCCTGGGCTGCCCCAGAAGGGTAAGCCACTGCCCCCGCCGAGATTGAGAATCACTATCACTAACGACCAGCTACAGTGTCACCGTCATCGACGCTTCGGTGGGCCACATAGTCAATCAGATTCCCGCCGAGAACGTCTACGAGATAGATTTTTCGCCCCTGGGCACATATGTCATCACCTGGCAACGGCCATCCAAGGACGAGAACGGTGATGCGGTCCGGAATCTTAAGGTGTGGAAGGTTGCCACCGAGAGTGAAACCCAAGACCAGCAAACCCCGATCGGCAGCTTCGTTCAGAAGTCACAGACAGGCTGGAATCTGCAGTATGCCTCGGACGAACAGTACTGTGCCCGTGTCGTGACAAACGAGGTGCAGTTCTACGAGAGCGGGAACCTCGGATCCGTTTGGAAGAAATTGAGGGTAGAGGGGGTCGCGGACTTTGCTCTTTCACCGGGCAAGGGCCACGCTGTCGCCACCTTTATTCCAGAGAGAAAGGTAGCCTCCGCAATCGACCTGGTTCTCAAATGGGAGGCATAGACTAATCCTTTATGATAGGGCCAACCTGCCTCCGTCAGGATATTTGATATGCCCAACTTCAATGCGCCTGTTTCGCAAAAGTCATTCTACAAGGGTGACAAGGTGCAGCTGAAGTGGAACAATACTGGAACCACTCTCATCGTCCTCGCTCAGACCGATGTCGATAAGAGTGGTAAGAGTTATTATGGAGAGACCACTCTGTATCTCCTCAGTGTTAGTGGAACGTTTGATTCTAGGATCGACCTAGGTATGTTGGTTGGCCTTTCATCTAATCCCCCCCTATTTTCCTCACAGACAACATGGCTGATTGTTAAATAGACAAGGAGGGCCCAATCCATGATGTTACATGGTCCCCTACCTCCAAAGAATTTGGTGTCGTGTACGGCTATATGCCTGCAAAGACAACCATCTTCAACACCCGTGCTGTAGCCACGCATTCTTTCCAGCTTGGCCCACGAAATACGATCTTATTCTCTCCACACGGCCGCTTTGTCCTTGTTGCTGGCTTTGGTAACCTGGCAGGTCAGATGGACATCTACGACGTAGAGAAGGACTACAAGAAGATCGTCACCATTGAGGCATCGAACGCCAGTGTCTGTGAATGGAGTCCAGATGGAAGACACATTCTCACTGCTACCACCAGCCCACGTCTACGTGTTGACAACGGTGTCCGCATCTGGCACGTTACTGGAGCTCTGATGTACAACGAGGATATGAATGAGCTGTATTCCGTGTCGTGGCGGCCACAGTCTCCCAACAGCCATCCACTAACATCAAATCCTCTGAACCCAGTGCCAACCCCGCACCCATCTGCTACAGCATATCTAAGCACCAAGAAGGCTCCCACCAAGCCAGCAGGTGCGTATCGTCCTCCAGGTGCCCGAGGGCAGAGCACTCCACTGGCCTTCCGCCGTGAGGATGAAGGCGGTGCCGCATTTGTCCGTGAGGACTCGTCCTCGTTTGCGTCGAATGGCGGGTCAGCCCCAAGTCCCTTTGGCAAGCCCCGTCGTCGTGCTGTACCTGGTGCCGAGCCTGTGGAAGAGTTCCTACCACCCGGAGCCGCTCCGGGAGGCGGAGTTGCTCTTCCCCCTGGGGCCGAAGCCAGTGCGCCTGGACCAGAGAAGCTGTCCAAGTCTGCTGCGAAGAATAAAAAGAAGCGAGAGGCCAAGAAGGCTAAGGAGGCCAGCGCTGGCGGCCAAGGGGACGGCGGTGAGAATTCCATGGCTGCTACTCCCAACTCGGGTAGGCGAGATCGCAGTCGCTCCAGGCACCGACAGCAAGCCAGCGGCGGTGCCAACGGTGCCAACGGCGCAAACCTGGACCCTAACTACCCCCGTGGAGGCCGTGACAGGAGCAGAAGCGCCCACCGCCGCCAGCGCAGCGATGGCCGTAATAGCACGCCAAACCGCAACGGTAATGGCAACCAGCCTCATGACCGCCGTTCACCGGCCGTCAACACCACTGGCCGCCAACAAGCCGCACCACCAGACCTGACCGTTACCTCTCCCGACGGTGGTAACACTGCCAATGCTGCCCCCGATGCAGCGGCCATTGCCCGTGACAAGAAAATGCGCAGTCTCTTGAAGAAGGTCCGCGCCATCGACGAGCTAAAGATGCGTGTTGCCAGCGGTGAGAAGCTGGAAGAGACTCAGATGAAGAAGATTCATACTGAGGATTCTGTTAGGAGCGAGCTGGAGGCTTTGGGATGGACTGGCTGAGCGAGAGGTGAAAGTCGAAGTATATAAAGCTATATAAATCAGTGGAGGATATAAATAAATAAACAAGAAAAAAAAATTAATACAATCTCAGTATTGGAGTACTATATACTGTCTCTACTCATTACTGCTTCGATGATTCAATAGATGTAGACTGATATCTTATGTGATGTGTTAGTGAATAAGTCAAGGCGGTGGGACGTCATTCTCTAGAGATCTTCGTATCACAGCATCACAGCAGTAAACACCAACAACCAACGAACTACCAACCACTAGCAAACTAACAACAGTTACTGACAAACGGCTAATAACACTCTTCACTGCCACCGTCTACTCCGTGACGTCTAGCCTTCGCCTCGATAATCCCTGTCTCTGCATCTGTCTCCTGGTGGCTTTTCCTGCGCGTTCATTGGGCAAAAGCATGGCCCGTCACAGGCTTAAGCGCCGTGTCTGAGACGCAGGAACAGAGCACACCCAGGGAAGAAACGGGACCGGCGCAGGGTCAGAAGATGAATATAAGTCTCAAAATAGCTACTTATGGCCAGCTATCCATGTTATCTTCAGCCTGAAGGTGGCATGTTATATCATTCCAGGTCTTATCTATGACCGATTAATCGCCTTATGAAGGACAATATCGACTACAAACAGACCATAGAGGACTGCATACTTGGCTCAGATTGACCACTTGGCTTTGATACCCGTATTCTCCTTACGGATCAGCGCTTTGGCAGTTTCCAAACCTACTTCGGTGGCATGAATCGAGCACCGCATGGCAGTGGCAGGAGTCGCCTGCGCGGCGGCATCGAAATGTCCCATATACCATGGCAGTCGCATGAACAAGAACGGTCAAGGATTCCCCCGTTGGCCAGGATGTTGATGTCCGGTGAGATGAGCGGAGATCCACCCAGGAATCTGAACATGAAGGAGAAATTTGATAGATGGTACGCACTATCATCCTGGCCAGATAATGATGTACATTTGGCTAACGTTGTTACTGCAGGATGGTTAACGATGGGTGGAGAAGACTGTAAGTCTCCTATACACGTACATACTTGTGCATTGCTGACGAGTTCAGATTCGTTGCGATATTTGCTTTGGTGCATGTTTTACTGTTTGTAGTGGGCATGCTTAACTATAGCTTGAAGGTAAGTATCTATTGCGCTCTCCCGGAAGAAAGGATGGGCTCGGTGATTGACATTGAATAGGACAATCTTATCAAAGCTAGAGGATTGCTTGGATCTAGTTACGCTGTTGCCAGAGCTGCTGCTTTAGTGTTGCATTTTGATGTTGCCGTGATCCTATTTCGTATGTTTACCCTTCGGGAGACTGTCTGTTCATGATGCTAATGGAGAACAGCTGTGTCTCGCACACTTATTTCTCTTCTGAGACAAACACCCTTGAACGGCGTTATACCCTTTGGTACGCTACATTTTACCTATTAGTCTAAATTTGAAAAGTGTAAAATGTGACGACTAATTCTTCCATAGATAAGAGCATAGCATTCCACCAAAGTATGCCTGATCATCCTATGTCCATTACAACTGGCTAACAGGCATAGTAACCGCATGGTCCATCGTATTTTTCTCACTACTACACACCATTGCCCACTGGGTCAACTTTGCTCGCATTGCAGCCTCCGAAGGCCTAGGAATCAAAGGCTTCCTCCAGTTAAACGTCACCACGGGCCCTGGATGGACTGGATATGTTATGCTAGCAGCCCTTGTGGCAATTGCACTAACGTCTTTGGAAGGTCCACGAAGAGCAAACCATGAGCGATTCTGGAATACCCACCATCTCTTCATTGTCTTTTTTCTATTTTGGTCCTTCCATGGAGCATTTTGCATGATCAAACCTGACCTGCCCCCTTTTTGTGAGGGAACGGGCGTATTCTACCTCTACTGGATATTTGGAGGCTCTGTGTATCTGCTCGAGCGGCTCATGCGAGAAGTTAGGGGTAAACACCGAACGATTATCACCAAAGTGATTCAGCATCCAAGCAACGTCTTTGAGATCCAGCTTCAAAAGGAGAAAACAAAGATGAGACCTGGCCAGGTATGTAGCCCACTTTTATTGTAGTTATTGCTATGCTTACCATCAGTTAGTATATCTTCATCAACTGCCCGGTAGTATCAATATGGCAATACCATCCCTTCACTCTTACTAGTGCTCCTGAGGAGGATTATATATCCGTGCACATACGCTGCGTTGGCAACTTCACAAAGGACCTGGCAAAGGCAGTTGGCTGTGACTTTGACGAGAAAGAACAGCCCTCCTACGAGCGACGTACCAGGCGTGAGTCGACAGTGATAGGCGTCGATGCCAACACAAGTGAGCAGGATGTCGACCCAAGACTGCGTCGTATACTGCCACGCATTTTCATCGATGGGCCATTCGGCAGTGCATCTGAAGACGTGTTTAAATTCGAAGTAGCGGTGTTAGTCGGTGCTGGAATCGGCGTTACCCCGTTCGCCTCCATTTTAAAAAGTATATGGTATCGCATGAGCCAGCGACAGAACAAGACACGGTTGAAGAAAGTGTACTTCTTCTGGGTCTGTCGAGATTTTGGCTCGTTTGAGTGGTTCAGCTCGTTGCTGCTTGCCATAGAGGCCCAGGACAGGTATAGTAACATTGAGATCCACACGGTACGTTTTACAATTACAATGAATCCTCATCATGCAGATTGGCCTAGTTTGATTCCTAACCTTCTTCCAGTATCTCACGGCCAAAATCCAATCTGATGATGCAACGAATATTATGATCAATGACGCCGACGCTGACCGAGACGCCATCACTGGTCTCCGTGCCCCCACCAATTTCGGCCGGCCCAACTGGGACATGGTTTTCCGGTCAATCCGGAAGATTCATGCCCCAGCTGAGGCGGGAGTATTTTTCTGTGGACCAAAGGCGTTGGGCAGCGTACTGCATGTGAAATGCAACATGTACTCTGAGCCAGGTTTCAACTTTGTGTGGGGGGAGGAGAATTTTTAATACTGCATATCATTTATAGTCTGGTTTTAATTGAGCAGATCTCGTGAATAATCGTTTTATCGGGCGTATCCTTTTTGATGTAAATTGTGAGAGCTCGACTTTGCGCGAAATCTGATATGTATCCGCCGCACTTTGATAACTTTACACAAAAGAGCCCAAAAACACTGCTATTACGTCATCCCGCATTTCTCCACTAAACAAAGTTCGCCAGCGGCAGGCGAACCTTCTTTTCGTTTTCGTCTTTTCTTTGTCTTTTTGAGATGCAAACAATGAGGAATCGTAGGGCGTCTTTGTAACTACCAGAGCGCGTTTGGCTGCTAAAGTAGTGGTATGATTAAAGGTGGCTGTCAATTTAGAGGCTACTTTCTTTGAATGAACTTGTATTGTCCTTGGCAGGCGTAGTTGACATTCTCTCCAGCAGTGGGTCATAAGTATGGGCTTGAGTTACTTCAAAGCGCAGCTTCTATGCTTGAAGGAGTATGTTTTTGACGAGCTTGAGAGGAATTATACTTGAGCAGTGTGATACTATAACTTGGTCTATGATTGTCATCCTCAGAGGTAGACATTGATGAAGGTCAACAATAGCTTCAAAGCTTAGAGTAATCAATCATAAACATAATATTATTGTTCGTGAGAACTGGGACTATAGTAGTTGGCCACCGCCAAAGCTAAAACTGGAGAAGGAAAATATCATCGCGTCATCGCTAATGCTAAGAAACCAAAGCATGCTGCGTGTTGTATAATCAGGGCGTGGAAAGGGAGTACTCAACCAGGCCAGCTAAGGGAAATGTATATATGAGCCGCTCACAGCACAATTCTTCACTTCTTTTGACTACGGTCTCGGTCACCATCTCCATACTGGCCGCGAAACTCGTCTAGGTCGTGCTGAAGCTGGGAGAGATTGGCTAGTATATCATTTGCGTTTGATGGAGGCGAGATGTCGGGTTCTGGCGGGTTGCTGCCTCGACTTGTTTTGCGATGGGGTGGAGGAGGCGGTGGTATAGGATGGTCTTCTGTCTCCGCTGATATTGAAGATGGCCTTCTGGTGGAAGTGGAGGTGGAAGAAGGGTGGTTTGTTTCTGCTGAATGAGACGAGTGAGTTGAACCGGCTGTTCGGCGTGGTGGGGGAGGTTGTGGTCTTGCTGTTGATGTTGGTGGATGGGTGTGGGTATGGCTTGGAGCCTGAAGGTGTGGGTTATGCGGTGGAGAGGTTTCTGATTCTGCCTTTTGGTTTTGTATAGGGGTATCAACTGATGAGGTATCGTGTATAGACGACGCGGTTGATCCGTGATCTGTGGTGCTGCCTGTTCCGGTCCTCCTAGACGGCGGTGGTGGAGGGGTCTTGGGATGTGTAGCGCTGTTCAAGGAAGCAGATCTATTCAAAGGCTTGATAGAGCCGAGCGGTAGGGCTAGTCTTGAGGTATTTGTACCGCTCCGTTTCATCTGGCTGTGCCGACGTGTTATGGGAGGCGTTGGAGGTCTCTTATGCTGTGCATGAGCAGGCGGAACTGGCTCTGATTGTGCTGCCTGACGTCGGGCAGGGGGTGAAGGGGGTTGAGCTCCATGTACGGAAGAAGCGGGTGACTTGGTATGGCTTGTTGCCTGGGGAGAAACGGGAGCAGTAGCTTCCGTAGACTTTTCAGTAGACTCTGAGCTGCGAGAGGAGGAGGATATGGCTTTCCCCCTCCGGGACTTTGGGGGAGGTGGCTTCTGCGGCTTCTTGTCACCGGCAGACATCTCTTGTGTGGTAGAGGCGGCAGTGGCGGCAGCAGACAAATCTCTGCTGTCCTTGGTGTCCCCAGCCGTATCCCCCGTGAGTAGCAGCCTCTTAAACGCATCAACGTCCATCGTTGCTCTCTCCTTCGTAGCTCCGGCTTCAGCATGCTCCTGGTCCTGTCCTTTGCTCCGCAGATCCCCCTGGTACGACACCCTTCGTAGAGACGGCACATCAGCAACGGGACCTAACCCGAGTCCCAGACCGTCTTGTCCCCGCGCATTCAGGCGTTCTATCTCGTCATCTTCGCCATCATCGTCATCGTCGTCCTCGTCGGAGCTCCCGGAGCTACCGATAGCAGCATTGAACGGGTCCTCGGCTGGCTGAACACCCGGCGTCGAAGGGCGATGGCCCGACATCTGTCGCCCCACTGGCCCTGCAGACGTATATCCAGAGACATCAGAGCCAAAATATCCTTCTTCGGCGTCATTGGCATCGTTGTTGTCGGGAGAAGGTATCTGTTTTGCGGGGGGAGAAGCAATGCGAACGGTCTTTGAATTTGAAGCCGGACGAGAAGCGGGGAGTTCACCTGCCATACAGCACGTTAGATAAAAGTCTCCTTCAGCAGTACAATGTACAGCTGTATCACCGAATATATATATATATATATATCTTCATGGTAGAAGCGAAGCGGGTATATAAGCTGTGGTATCTAGAGTATATCTAGAGTAGACGTACTGTTCTCAAACAGCGGCCTGGACAAGCCGTGGTGCTGCTGTGTTTGGGCCTGTTTCTTCTGCCTGGCAACGTCTACCTCGAGGCCGGCAAGCCATTCCTCAGCTGGCCCCGGCCGTCTGCCCGCATCGTCCTGCCCTGTCTGCCGCTTGTCCTGGCCGCGAGGTCTGTTGCCTGGCTGTGCCGTGGAGAGGGATGCGGAGTCACTTGCGGCCGTTTGCGAAGAAAGCGACGAAGACGCCGCCGCATCTGGCGCAGCAACGGCTCCGGGAGCAGCAGTAGAGGCGGTTTTCTTATGGCGGAAAGGATTTAGTCCAGACATCGTACATGAGGGCGCTGGCGGGTGCGGGCGTGGGCATGAGTGCGATGCGCGGCGTGTTGGAAGCTGAAGAGTTGGTTTAGTTAGCTGCCTTGGTTGGTTTGCGCGGGCGAAGAACGACGGAGTATTATTTAGTTAGACACACCCAGCAGCGTCTACCACGACGGCGACTACGATACGACCATGGCTATAGTATACATCATGTATTTAATAAGACTAATGATATTAGGTAGAGACGGATAAGTGACGTATTTTCCATCCTAAAGCGCATGCAGATCTCAGTAGCTAGATAAACCGAAGCCCTATGGCAATGAAACTCCATCCGTCCGTCCAGAGCAAAGCCGTTGTCCGTCCAAACCGCCAGTTCCATAATAATAATAAATAACTGATGAATATGACAATATAAAAGAAAGATATAGATGTAGAAGAAGAAGAAGAAGAAGAAGTGATCCCCCGCCGAGTTTGACCCTCCTAGGGTTGAGCCTAATAGTACAATTTCACCACCAAAGCCCCTTATTTGCAGAAAGACGTCAACAGCTTCCAGGGTAGAATCTGAAGAAAGACGTGTGTTTTAACAGCTTCCAGTGTAGATTCTCCAGTCCTTGTCTCCGTAAAAGGTCCTCATCAAGGCACAGCCGCACTCCGTCGGCTGGCTGAAGGCCACCTGTGTGCGGGCCATCTCCATGCCGTAGAAGTAGTTGCTGACCACGCAGTCGAGCAGGTCGAGGGCTATGCCTTTCCGGCGGGACATCCGGCACGTCCAGATGCGGGATATGCCCACGAGGACGGGGTATGTTTCCTTGGTGAGGGAGAGAGAGCAGCTGAGGCTTGAAGGGCGCTTTGGGATCAGCTTGGACGGCTTGGAGGTGATGCCGTGGGCTTCCCAGATGCGTTCGGCCAGGGCGAGGCCAACGCATCTGCTGCCCTTCATGTGCAGGAAGAACTTGAACCGGTCGACTTCCTCTCCGCCCTGTTTGGCCTCGACCTTGCTCCAGAGGACGCTGTCGTCGATGTCCACGGCGCCCAGGTCGAGGTTTGCTATCTCCAGCACGCGTTTGGCATGGTTTTTCGTTCCAGCCGAGCTCTTCCGGTCCACGATGACGACGTATCCTTCCTCGAAGCGGGAGGCCTCGTATACCCACCGCGAGGCATTTGCTCGGACAAACGACTTGCCAAACTCGACGCCGCCGCCATACGCTGAGTTGTGGTCATGGTATCTGCGGTGTATGGAGCGGTCTAGTTCTGACGAGGGGATATAGTGCATGCCACATGTATCGCACTCTATGCGTACCGTGTTGGACGCTACACCAAGGTCTAGTGTTGTCTGTTTCAGGGCCGGCCGGGGCGCTGTTGTCGTTGTTGTCGTTGCTGTCGTTGTCGATGTTGCTGTTGTTGTCGTCGATGTTGTTGTTGTTGTTGATGATGCTGTGGTTGGTGATGTTGATGTAGTTGGTGTTGACTCCGATGCAGCCTGAGTCTGCTTCTTCTTAGCCGGGGGATCCATCGACCGCATGCTGGCACTGCCCCCGTTGACCTCGAGCTCCGTCAGCGGTGTATCGTTCGCAGACCGCTTGCGTTTCAGGAAACTAAAGGTCGGCTTGCGGGTGCTGGCGGGGGGCGGCGTCAGGGCGAGCTTGAGCTTCACCTGCTCGGCCTCGTGCTCCCGCGGCGGCGGCGAGCTGGGCGGCGTCGACAGGTCATCGTCCAGCTCCGGGATGTCCTCTGAGTAGACCGTGGCGGCCGTAGAAGTGTGCCGCGACGGGCTGGACAGGACCGCAGCGGAGGACTCGCGAATCGCACAGACGAGGTTGTTCTCGCTGCCCATGTCGCCCGCCAGGGGCGCCTGGAGATGGCGGTCTCCGTCATTCTCGCCGGCACTGCCGTTGATGTTGATGACGATGCTGCTGCTGCCACTGTTGCTGGCGGTGTTTTCGTCTGCTGGCATGCTGGTTATCCGGCGTCTCTTCAGCGCTGGATCAGGACGCGACTCCGGACACAGCACGCGCCGGAGCGGCCGCGCATACGTTTTCATGAGTAGACCTCTGCAGGCAGTCAGTATCTATCCCCAGTAATAATAACAATAATCATAATAATAGCAGTAGAATAATGTATTCACCGACCTCTTGAACGAGTTGGTCACGGTGTAGGGCGTGTCCCGCGCGGAAACCATGAGGCCTGCGACGTCTGGTTCTTAGCAGCGAGTGGCGGCGGCGGCGAGCATGTACGAAGAGCTGGAGATGCAACTCCCGGTCCCTCTCGTGTACGGCGGATGGATGAACTGGTCTCGACAGCGAAGACGGAGATGGCGATGGTCTCTTTTTTTCTCTCTTCCTGCTGGTCTGCGTTGTTGGTTGTTTTTGTGTTGTTTTCTTTTTCGCTCTTAATAAAACTGCCTGATATTAAGTGGTTAACGCAGGCTGGTCCTTGGCCGTTGACCCGCGACGAGACGAGGCAGAAGGACGGCAAGAGAAAGCAGAGACCGAGACCGAGACGGAGATGGAGATGACGATGAGTATTTTCGTCTGCCTGGAGAGATTTTATGCTGACTCGGTTTTTTTCTTCTTCAGGTCGGAAAGGGGCTGCTCGTCGCTGCAAGGGTGCCTGTAGTCGACGGAGCTTTCAGCCAGCCAGACAGATAGACAGAGAGATAGACAGCTATACAGAGGGCAATTCTACAGCCAGGGCAGGTAGACAGACGGCAGACGGCGCTTGATATATATGAAAAAAGGCCGCAGTCGTACCCGTCGAGGTCAGCATCACCGTCGACCTTCTTCTCTTTTGCTGCAGCAGATGTGGCGCCCTATTCGTGTGCAGGGCCGCATATCAACGTCCAACCCCCAGCCAGCCAATAGAGACGGACACGAAGGCTTCGACAGGGACTTGCAAGGGGGGAGAGATGCTCCAGGAGGCTATAGGCACATATAGGCTATGGGCAGCACCACTAGCACGCCGACTATCGACAGGGATCTCTGCCCTGCTCGCGCTGCCCGACCTGCATCATGCGACGTTTAACCTTGACAAATAAGAAAAGGACGCAGCCAGAGAGACAGAGAGACAGTCGAGGGCAGACGAGACGATACAAACACGTAAATACGCGGGCCAGCGGATCTTCACTGGCTGCCTGCGTTGTAGCCCTGGTTACGGTTACGGTTACGGCCCTACTTACTTACATACAGAGCTGCAGTTCTCCTGGTGCTGTGCCACCGTTGAGTAACTCCATTCTTTGATGAGGGAGCCAGACCCAGAAAGAGAGAGAAAGAGAGAGAGAGAGGATGCCAGAAACAAGAAGAATACAGTCATACTTGTTTCGATGTTTCTCGTCTGCGTGATTAGCAATTTCACGCGGCCAGCTCGGGATGCGGATTGTTATTCTAGATGCTTCAGCGCTTTCCATGCCATTGGCCCGTCTGGAAGTGCCCCAGAGGAAGAGCAGCTAAAGCCCCGACATATGTCCGTCTGGCCGGCCGTCGTCCTGCTGGCCGGATCGAAGTGCCAGTTCTGGTCTTCTACAGCCGTCTCTCTATCTACACTGCCCGGCTGGGTGGGTAAGCCGGCATATCATTTTATTAGGAAGCCAGCTGGCGTTTTCGATGTTTTGATATTATTGCCAGCTTTCATGAACCGGCCTGGACTACTCCGTACAGCGCATAACTTAAGAAGACGATGTGAGACATGCCAGATGATCACCGCTCAGGATGAACAAACACTACCGAGAAGGGATATGGAGTCCTGGACATACCGTCATTCTCGTCTATCCGGCCTCTTCTGCCAATCACGCTCTGATATACTTATCTTCTCATCTTAGGAATCCTGCATCTCTAGCTATCAGTCATATCTAGTCCTCGAAGGTCTTCTGATAAGCAGATACAGAGCATGCAGGATATAATTGCAATATAAGAATAGCATATCTTGATCAGATGGATAGCTGAGATGACTCCTTATACAGAGTAGTTAAAAGGCTGAGATTCCGCAGATGATGATATTAGACAGTAAGGTAGAATCTCACCTCAGACAGCTACACAGCATCAACAGCTATCAACAGCTATCAACAACTACCAAGTCATTAATATATACATATATATTGATATTAGTTACCGTCTATAATGATATCGAGTCTCGTAGTTGATAACGACAGCCGAGGTTTGCTGCCAAAACCCCGAAACACCACGAAAACTCCGCAACAACCGCGACTTTTTGAGCCGAAACCCGGGATCTCTTCTCTGCTGCCACCTGGATGCCATTCAATTGATCCATTAATTCTTAATTGACACTGTGTACGGGATACTGGCTGCAAGATGAACGCTGCGCTGAGAAGAGGCACTCTGAGGGCTGCGCTGGGAGCCGCGAGACGGCCAGCAGACACCGCAGGCCCACGACGCAGCGCACACTCAGCAGCAGCGAGCTTCAGGTGGACAGACCCGCTGGACGCAGAGAGTCTCTACACGGCAGACGAGCTGGCTATCCAGGACACGGCCCGGCGGTACTGCCAGGAGCAGCTGGCCCCGAGAGTCCTAGGTGCGTCGTTCAGTTAACAACTGTGTTATATATACTAACTGAAATATATAGAGGCATATCGGAATGAGGCCTACGACCCGGAGATCCTGCGCGAGATGGGCTCGCTGGGCCTGCTGGGCGCTACGATCCAGGGCTACGGCTGCGCAGGCGTGTCGACGGTGGCCTCGGGCCTGATCACCAAGGAAGTCGAGCGAGTCGACTCGGGCTTCCGCAGCGGCATGTCCGTGCAGTCCAGCCTGATCATGACGGGCATCCACGAGTTTGGATCCGAGGAGCTGAAGCAGAGACTGCTCCCGCAGCTGGCCCAGGGCAAACTGCTGGGCTGCTTCGGCCTGACCGAGCCCAACCACGGCTCCGACCCAGGCAGCATGGAGACCGTCGCCAGACCTCATCCTACCAAGAAGGGATTTTACAGTCTCTCTGGCACCAAGACCTGGATCACCAACTCGCCCATCTCAGACGCCTTTTTGGTCTGGGCCAAACTCGACGGCAAGATACGCGGGTTTGTGGTCGAGCGAGACCAGTGTCCCGAGGGAACGCTCCGGACGCCTGCTATCAAGAACAAGACTGCCCTGCGAGCTTCGATCACAGGCATGATCCAGATGGACAACTGTCCTGTCCCCGAGACTAACATGTTTCCCGAAGTAACGGGGCTGGTGGGACCGTTTACCTGTCTGAACAGCGCCAGGCTGGGCATCGCGTTTGGCACGATGGGGGCGCTGGAGGATTGTATTAGCCGAGCACGAGAGTATGCGCTGGAGAGGAAGCAGTTCAAGGGCAACCCGCTGGCCAAGTACCAGCTGGTGCAGAAGAAGCTGGCGGACGCTGCTACGGATGCGGCGTATGGCACGCTGGCGGCGGTGCAGGTGGCCCGGCTGAAGGACGAGGGCAAGGCTGTGCCGGAGATGATATCCATGATCAAGCGGCAGAACTGTGACCGGGCCCTGGCTGGCTCGCGGACGCTGCAGGAGATCTTTGGCGGCAATGCTGCGAGTGACGAGTATCATATTGGCAGACATGTAGCCAACCTGTTCGTCACCCAGACCTACGAAGGCCAGAGTGATATCCATAGTAAGTTCACTGTATTTACTCTATACTTACACTATATCTTCTACCACACCATGCTAACTTACTGACTATCCAGGTCTGATCCTTGGACGAGCCATCACCGGCGTCCAGGCTTTTGTATAGTACTCTGTACCCCTATATAGTCCATCCATATCCATATCCATATCCATATACATATACATACATATACATATACATAGACAGCACTCTACCACATCCACTTCTACATCCACATCCACGTCCACCATCTTCTACCAACCGTCTACTACCTTCATCTACTCCATCTCTCTTCTCTTCTACTATCTTCTTCTATCATCTTCTTCTCTTCTCTTCTCTACTCTACCCCTATCCCTACTCCATCTTGTTATCTTATCTATTAGTCATCTCTTAGTCAGCCTTCACCTTTTCTTCGCTTTTTCTCGCTTTTTCTTCTCTTTCTTTTTCTTCACCAGCAAAAAAACATCAACAGCGACGACGAACCGACCTTCACGATAGTCCAGGCTTCTCCCGCAGGTATATAAAGGCCTCTCCTTGCTGTCTGCCTCGCTGCCAGGCTGCTTCTCCCTCTCCCTCTCTCCTCGTTCGTCCTCTGCTGGCTGCAAGAAGAGGGAAAACACGCTTGTCTCGGAACCAGCTAACACCCAACCCCGCCATAGCCACCGAAGAGAGAAAAAACTCACCACCGCCGGAACGCACACGACCACGACCACCCCAGGTCTCGCTCGCTCCTCTCCCTCAGACACTTCACCTTCAGACAGCCGTCATGGCCCTCAAGCGCATCAACAAGGAACTCACAGACTTGGGACGGTCAGCCTCTCCTTACCCCCCATCCGCTTCCTTGCTTCCCCAGCCCCCGTGGAGTCCGGCGTCTAGCAGGAGACCACCCGGTTCCCAGACAGATACACACAGATATACACAGCATACAACTTGATATGGACTGCCTCTGACTGTTCTGATATAGTGATCCCCCCTCTTCCTGCTCTGCTGGTCCCATAGGAGACGATCTGGTACGCACCCCCGCTCTGTTCTGCAGCTACGGACTATATAACTCCGAGATGCTAACATATGGCAGTTCCACTGGCAAGCTACGATCATGGGCCCCGAGGGCAGTCCCTACGCTGGCGGTGTCTTCTTCCTCGCCATACATTTCCCCACAGACTACCCTTTCAAGCCGCCAAAGGTCAACTTCACCACGCCCGTGTACCACCCAAATATCAACTCAAACGGCAGCATCTGCCTCGACATCCTGAGAGACCAGTGGAGTCCTGCTCTCACCATATCAAAGGGTTAGCCTAGTTTTGTTTTTCTCCTCTTTGCTTTTGCTTGGATGCTAACTTCCGCTAGTCCTTCTCTCGATCTGCTCGATGCTCACAGACCCCAACCCAGACGACCCGCTCGTTCCAGAGATAGCTCACCTGTACAAGAAGAAGGATGGAGAATATGAGAGAATCGCCGCCGAGTGGACACGCAAACATGCTATTGGTTGATACCCTTGTCTCCCTATGATGCTATGACTAGGGGGCTGTTCTTTTCTTTTCACTCTACTCAAACAAACCAACGGGCCCAACTGCTTACCTGGCTACCCTGAGTGCCAAAAACCTACCTACCAACCAACCCTGCCCTCCACGCGCAACCATCCACTTTGAGCCATACACACACACCTTTTTCTCTCTTCCCTTTCTTTAGTTGTAACTCGTGCGAGAAAATAAGGCGTTGATCGTTTACATGGATTGAAGCATGGTTTAACCGAGGAGTTCGCCCTATTCTACTTTTACTGCCTACTTCTGCTTACTACTAGCTTTGAGACGTTGCGGTGCAGTGGTGTGACAGACAGTAACGGGAACGGACGGGAGGCGATTATTCGTTTTATTCAACCATGGTCGAAGCATGCAATAACTTTTTTGTCTGCTACGAAATCAAACTGCAAAAACTATCCCTCTAGTTCTTCTCTCTCCCTTCTGTCTTACCTTCAACCGCACCCTTCTCGCTCTTTGCCTAGAATACATGCCTTGTGGGCGTCAGCTCTTCCCTTCTCTTGTTCCCCCCATCCCCCTACCTATCCCCCCTTTTCATCGGTGCAATCATGCTACGTTAGTTATGCTATGTTACGTCTGCCCATGCCAACCAAGAAATATTAACGCTTGCTACGTCTTATGTCTTCTTCTCGGGTCATTAAATGCCGTAGTTCTCATTAATCTTTCGTATTCATTTCGCTGGTCATGCTGAAAGTACTCAATCATAGTACACCATTAGTAGACAATCTAATCACAAACATATATGAAAACAACAGAAACTCCTTCAGGCAAATATGTATAGGATGAATAACTATGTAAAATGAAATGAGAAAACAGAAAAGAAATAACTCCCCATCGCCTCCCGTCCCAGCCCACCACGGCGATTCTTCAATCATCAATCACCACGTAAATGCATGGAGAACATGGACATGGACATCAACTCCGACTCCGACACCTTTGAACATGCATTGCAACGGAGGGTAGAAGGGCATTCAACTACCTCCTGCTCCTACTGCTCTTCTTCGATACACAGCTGCCGACCTGGCTCACGCTATCACTCGGCAGCACCGGATCGTCAAACTTGCTGCGTCCACTGCTCGAATGGCCCGACTGGCTTGCCCGACTGCTCGACTTGGACCGCTTATGCTTGGACTTTTTGGATGAAGTCGAGGCGGTCTCGAATATGGGCCGCGGAGTGACGTGTGAGCCGGCGTCGATGTCCTCCAAGTACAACGCACTGCCACCCGCTACACTAGGCGGGAGCGGGATCTGGTGGGCGTGCGAGGAGGAGCGGTGACTAGATGAAGCTGATGAGCGGCGGTCCCGCTCACGCTCGCGGTCGTACTCATGATGCGAGTGCTTGCTGTGACTGCTGCTAGTGTGCGAGTGTTTGGAACGGATGGATAGCTTGGAGACGGTCGTGGTCGAGCCGGCGGGCAAGGGGATGTTGCGGGCCGAGTGGACGGACGAGTGCACGCTGGGCTCGAAGTCGTAGCCGTAGTCTTCCTCGATGGTGCGCATCCCGCGGTCTCGATCGTTCTTACTGCTATGCTTCGAGTGGCTGGAGTAGCTTGACTTGGCCTTGGTGGATTTGGCCTTGATGGTCGAGCCCGAGGCCTGGCTGGAGGCTACGCTCTTTGCATAGTGCTGCTGGCCGTGGCGGCGCTGCGAGCCACAGCTGCCGGAGCTACAGGCGCTGCCGGCGTCGCCGCGGTCTCGGTCAGGATGGTCGTGGAAGCTGCTGACGAAGCTCGGGCTGGGCTGGTAGTGAGGGTATGTGCGAGAGTAGGAGGATCTGCTGTCGTCAGCAGCGCCGCCGGGCACGCCCTCGATGGCTCGGATCTCTAGATCCCCTGAGGCGCCGCTGTACATGCTTCCGTCTGATGGGCGGCGTTCAGAGCCAGAGGTCGATCCAGGGGTGCCCGGCAAGAAACCACCGGCAGCAGCAGCACTGCCGGTGAAGCTCTTGGCCTGCTCGAGGATGCGGCTGGTTTGTTCTAGGCCCTCGAAGACGGTGCTGGCCCAGGGGTTTTTCGAGGCGGCGCTGCGAGCGTACCCGTCTTCGAGCTGGCCCTGTTGCTGGCCGGCTTCAATGCCACGGTAGCCAGCATTACTCCCGCCCGAGATCGAGGGGCTGGATTGGGGCGGCGCAGCTTCGATGTAGCGGGTGGTGGTGACTGGCGTGATGGTTTCCTGCTGGCTCTGCGAGTCTCCCTTGACCATGGCGTATGCAAGAGCAGCTCCAGCAGCGGCGCCGAGGAGGGTCCCCACCACCGCCTTTGCCCCGGACAAGTTGTCACCGCTCTTTTCCTTGGTGACGATGTAGTGGACATTCGTCGTGGTCGTCGTGCTGGTGGTTTCCTGTCTGGATAGCTGCGGGCGTGGGGCCTGTGGCTGCTGGGGCGCGGGAGCCATGACGGACTTGGAAGACATCCTCTTTGCAGTCGAGGCAGAGCTTACTTCTGACTTTGCAGGAGCAGCAACTGTCATGGCTCTGGATTTGGCAACGCTGACTTCGGACTTTGCGGGGGCTACGGTCATGGCCCTTGACTTGGTGGAATGTTTCGAGACCACGGAGCCATTGTCGACGACGGTGAGGGCCTTGTCGTTGACGACGCTGCCCTTGCGGCTGGGGGCAACGCTGGGAGCGTCGTTGCGGTGGACGGCCTCGATGCTGTTGCCGTCAAAGTCGATCACGGCCGCGCTGAAGTAGTTCCGCTCGGCGTCTCGCACGCATGGCTCGCCGTGGATCTTTCCGCCGGCCTTGAGAGCGGCAATGAAGAATGCACTGACTGCATCTCGAGATGGAGCCGGAAAGGCAATATGTGCAGCTCCAGCAGGGACTCTACTAGCAGTTAGTATTTATATATCAATTGGTTGGTATGGGTTGAAATAAGTCATACCCAGGTCTCTCCTCTGCAATCCAGAAATCAGCAGGCTTGCCAGGCTCGGTGCCGAAGCCGACGCTGTTCTCATGGCGGCCCATGAAGCAGTATCCCAATGGCTGGAGACATGATAGGAAGAAGGAGGTGGAGGTAGGCAGATTCGAGACAGTGAGAGTAAGGTGGGAGACGGGCATTTTAGATTTATGAGCTAGTGTCGAGGATAGGGAGTGTAGAGTGAGTTTCTCGGAGTAGGGAGTGTTGATATATGTAACTATGACCGAGCAAACGAATGCCTGGTGGGACAACGAGGGTCTTGAACGAGGGATAGAAGTAATATAAGCAAGACAAGACAACAAACAGAAAAGGGGAGAAAACTGTTCTGTTTGCAGCCGTATATACACCCGTATATACGCAGGATATATAGAGTAGAGCAAGAAGGCAGGAAGACAAAGAGACAAGGAGGGAGAGCAATATAATACTTTCGACCAAGGGCGGAAGTATTAAATATATCAACCAATTCTTCTCCGTATGCAAGGGAAGAAAAAGGAAGCAAGAAAAAAAGAGGCCAGCAAGCAAGCGGACGGAAGCCCACCAATCCACTCATTCATGCAGAGAGTGATATATCAAAATAAGTTGAGTTGACTTGAGCATCGCAAAAAAAAGAAGCGCAATGCAGTGCCTGTCTGCGTCTGGGTCCACGCATCGATTGTCATCCAGGGGCCGGGAAAGGCGTGAGGCATCGCATAAGCGTGAGTACCCAGCCGTAACTCTCAAGTAACTAAAGGAAGGCTCTGGCCAGCTAATTCCTCCGTTCGCATTAATTTAGCATTGACGAGGCATCCCATCCCATCCCATCGCGAGGGCAAGGGGAGTGTTCCGTGGACCAATCGAGCGGTGTCTGGCGGATACACGTAGTAACTATGTGCCTAGCAGTGAAGTATGCTTTGCCATCCCCGGCCGGGGAGGGGCCTTGAGTTGGACTCTGCCCACTGCCCATCAGACGCTCATGCATGGAGCAAAGCAGGAGAAGACGAGCCAGAAGCAGAATCGAAGGAGGATGAAGGGGAGGGCGGATCTCCGTCGGGTCGGCTGGCTCTAGTAACTAGTTCTGGCGGAAGTTGGTTGCAGCCAGCCAACCAGCCAGCCAGCCGGCGAGTACAAGCGTACTAGTAGTTAGCAGGATGAATGCCCGACGGTATGTCTTTGGCCCAGTGGACAACACCGTGAATCGTCTATCTTGTCTTGTCTTGTCCGTTGTTTGGGGGTTCGCTGGTTGATGCGCAGTGTATGGCTGGCGATGTCCGTGGCGAGCAAGACAGCGGTAAGAAGCCGGAGACGACGCCCCAGTCAGTAACTAGCTACCTGGCTATCCGTAGAGTATCCATAGAGTAGACCAAGAGTTCAGAGTTTCAGATGCAAGCGTCAAGAGAGAGTAAGAGATGGGTAAGGCGGTCCATCCTCTATTGGCTGGCGGGCGGTCTTGAGGTGCAGCAAAGATGAGGCGGTGGCCTTGCTCGACCTGCATCCACGCCTGACGAAGCCGGGGTCAGGGTCGGGATAGGCAGAGGGACAAGTCGGAGGGAGCGTTTCTTTTTTGCCAGCTCCATTGACTGACTCACTGGCTCGCTAACTCAGTAAACCCGATGGAGCTGTTTGTTTGATTGTCATTATTATTATCTGGAAGAAGCGGTAACTTGGGTGGATTGCGGGTGGTGGAGCGAGTTGAAGGTGAGGATCCGGTGGAAAAGGAGGCTGGTCCAGTCGGATGCCGGTTATTTTTATATTAATATAGACAGCGTTACTTTAGCCGAGCAGCGGTGAGATGGATTACAGTGAGGAAGTCGAAATAGTCGAAGTTGAAGTTGTAGTAGTTGAAGTCGAAGTAGTTGAAGAAATTGTAGTAGTTGGAGTAGTATATCAGTGTGGAGTGCTGAGGCAGCCCTATAGACAGACAGACAGATATGAATAGGTAGACAAAAATTAGAGACCACTCCAACGCCGTGATGCTGTTTTCCCATTTTTCCAAATCCAATTTTTTGCGTTTTGTGAGTTGTGCTTGTGAGTTGTGTTTGTATGTTGTTGACCCAGGGCTGTTGAACCGCCCGTGTTCGTGTTTTGGTTGCAAAAACAGAACGAGACCCAGCAACATCATCATTTCATGTCATATTCAAAAAGCGAGGAAGAATAGAGAAAGAGAAAGAGAAAGAGAGAAAGAAAGAAAAGTCCAGTGGTAGACAACTCCCACCGCCAGACGCTCCCAGGCCAGATAGAGTACATGAATCATATCAAATGGAAATATTTGCAGCCGTTGATGTTGGTATCATTGGCTCGAGCCTCGCCAGTTTGGTGGACAATCTGGCCTGGGGAACACTGGCGAGTGGAGAATTGCGTGTTGGTATCTTGTCTTTTGTCGGTGGGTGGGTGGTATACGAGTATCCTCGGATGTTGAAGAGACAGATGCCGGTCGACCTACGTTAGCATTCAAACAACAAACCGTTAACTAGTACACTGTTAGTATATATCTCCCTCTGATATAAGAGTATAAAGAGCATACTTAGACAATGTTCCATGCGTCCTCGGCGGCGTGGCAGAACTTGCTGCAGGCGACGCTGGCGCTGAGACTGAAGTTGCTGATGGAGATGGTGTCGTCCTTGAAGGCGTCTGCAAAGTCGTCTCGCCCCTTGGCCATGGCTCCGACAAACACGCAGATGCTCTCCTTGGGCCCCAGGGTCTTGACGTAGTCGTTCACCCGCACGATGGGGGCGTCGAAGCTCAGCGTGACCTTCCTGCAGTTGGGCGGCAGGTGGTCTGTGATGGGGTTCTTGATGACCTTGAGCAGCTTCTCTTCGGAGTTGGTGGAGCGGATGGAGAGCCGGTGCAGCAGCTGGACCATGAGACCCGCGAACCGCTTGAAGGTGCGAGGGATGCGGACGGTGGGGGAGACCTCGATGAGCACCCCCTTGGCCGTGTGGATGTATATCTGCAGCTTCCCGGCCTTGTTGACGGGCGAGTCGAGCAGGGTGAGCAGGCACTACAAACCATTACTACCAGTCTGTACGTAGATAAAAAGAAGAAAAAAGAGATAAGTGTATATCGCCTGAGACGATGAGGGCAAACCTGGTGGGTGATGTCCGGCCGGGCCTCGCTGATGTCGCGGTTCATCTTGCGCATGATGCCGATGTGCTCGTCGGAGTTGAGCAGCGAGTACTTCTCCTCGCGGCCGTTCGCGGCACGTCCGGGCCCTCCGCTGCCGCCGCCGCCGTGCGAGGAGCGGTAGGTCTCGAGGCTGGCGTTGGAGAGGACGACGATGAGGCGCTTGCTGTCCTTGTCCTGGGCGGAGACGGGGACGTGCTGCTCCGCGACGAGCTGGGGCAGTTCGGGCGGCGGGCAGGACTGGGTTCCTAAGACCGGCGGCTTTAGCTGGGCCATCTTGTTGAAGCGATGGCTGGAGTGTTGACAGGCAGATGTTGGTGATGAGAAGAGATGTTGGTGATAGATGAGGTTGGTGATAGATGAAGTTGGTGAAGTTGGTGATGTGTCAGTTGGTGGTGGGAAAATCTCTGCCCAACGGCGACTCAGAGCAGCACAGCGCCGACCAGCGAAGAAGCCGACGGACGGCCAAAAAGGACGAGCAGGCAGAGACAAAGGAGATGCGACGGAGGAGTCGGGCTGGCTTACTCGGTCTCTTGCGCTTTGCCATCTCGGCGCTGTTGGCGGCCTTGGACATCTCGCCCATGATGCTGCTGTCTGCGGTCTGCGGGAGTGGGAGTAAGGAGAGGAGTGGGGGGGAGCAGTCAATTGAGACGAAAGCAGTAGAGAAGAAGAAGACAGTGAAGAAGAAGAAGAAGAAGAAGAAGAAGAAGAAGAAGAAGAAGAAGAAGAAGAAGAAGAAGAAGAAGAAGAAGAAGACAGTAACGAAGAGAAGAATATAAAAGACGAAGACGAAGAAGACGACGAGGCGAGCTGAAAAGGCGAGGCTGAGACGGAAGAAAAATGAGAGTCGCTTCGTTGTATTTTTCGTGATTTAATTCCACTTTTTCGCCCTTTTAGTGTCAAAAACCACCGGCTGAGCTTCTTCGGCTTCGCTCACGGCTATTTAAGCGGCTCAGCAGGACGCTCGGGGGGCCGGACAGACGGACGGACAGACTCTCACGCTGCAGACTGGCTGCTCTCTGCGTCTTCCGGGGCGTCACAGGACGAGGTCTGCTGGGTTGGACAGCCTATACCCTGGCTGCCTGCACTGGCACAGAGAGAGGGACAATCGCACGACCGCAGGAGGGAGAAGACAATGGCCGTGGAGTACAGAGAATACAAGCTGCGACGGTCTTAGCCGGTGTTGACTGTTGACTATTCACTGTTGACTGTTGGTAGTTGAAGTCTCAATATATAAAGATGGAGATACTGCTCAATTGATACCACGGACAACAACAATATCTCTCAATCGGTCTCTCTACATCGGTCTACGAGTATCGACACCAACGCTCAAAGATGCAGCTCTACAAGCTCGCCGTCCTCTTCCTCTCGTCCGCGGCCCTGGCGGCACCCGCACCCGCACCAGCCCCAGAACCAGCCCCAGTCCCAGCTCCAGCTCCAGAGACCGCCGTTTCCCCCGAGATGTTCAAGCGGGTTCCTCTGTGCTTCAAGAACGGGTCTCACTGCGAGCACAACGACGAATGCTGCACCAACAGGTGCTTGGTCCCGAATGACCCTCGCAAGGCCTACTGCGGGTAGTCTTTCGACGATTAGATTCAATATATAATAGCGACGGGCGGGGTATCACTGCGGCTTCTCGGCACTTTCGGCTTCTTCAACACGAATTTATGACTTCGACTTTGACTTCAACCAAATCAATCAACTTCTTCCATCAATATCAATCAATATCAATAATATCAATGTCAATCAATAATATTTTATATCAATGAAATATCGATAATGAATTAACTTTGATTATTAATATATTATATAATGGATATCTTAATAATAACTTACTAATAAACACGCTAACCCGTTATGGTAAATTGCATCGCGTCCAAAAGCCTCAACGCGCTTTCGCTTTAATCTTCATACAAGCAGACAGAAGAGAAGAGAAGAGAATCACAGCATTGACAGTCAAGATGGGCATAAAGAGTGAGTATATAGCCTGTCTTGTTAATGTAATAGACTAATGAGGCAGACCTGTACCAGATAATATCGGAAAACGCCCCCGATGCCGTCAAGTCGGGCGAGATCAAGAACCAGTTCGGGCGCAAAGTGGCCATCGTGAGTGCATCTACCCTTACTTTTAAGGACCTAAACTGACCTGTAATAGGATGCGTAGGTCTTGATACCCTAACATAACAAGTGAAAACATGCTTACGTCTACAGATCAATGAGCATATACAGCTTCCTGATCGCCGTGCGGTCCGACGGGCAACAGCTCACCAACGAGTCCGGCGAAACCACCTCGCACCTGATGGGCATGTTCTACCGCACCCTGCGCATGGTCGACAACGGGATCAAGCCACTGTACGTGTTCGACGGGGCCCCTCCCAAACTCAAGTCCGGCGAACTCGCGAAACGAACGATGCGCAAGGCCGAGGCCCAGGAGGCTGCCGAAGAGGCCAAGGAGACCGGCACCACGGAAGACGTAGAGAAGTTCTCGCGGCGGACGGTGCGGGTCACGAAGGAGCATAATGCAGAGTGTAAGCGGCTGCTGGGGCTGATGGGGATACCGTACCTGGATGCGCCGACGGAGGCAGAGGCACAGTGTGCGGTGCTGGCGAAGGCAGGGAAAGTGTTTGGCGCTGCGTCGGAGGATATGGACACGCTGTGCTTTGCGGCGCCGGTGTTGCTGCGCCATTTGACGTTTAGCGAGCAGCGGAAGGAACCTATTCTGGAGATCCATCTGGATAAAGTGCTCGAGGGCTTAGGGATGGACATGACGCAGGTATGTTGTTGCAGAACTTATATATCTATTGTGTTCGTACTGATGAAGTGACAGTTCGTCGATTTGTGTATTCTGCTTGGGTGCGACTATCTCGACCCGATCCCCAAGGTCGGCCCCAACACCGCGTTGAAGATGATCCGCGACCACGGCACGCTCGAAAAGGTCGTCGAGGCCATCCAGTCCGACCCGAAGAAGAAATACGTCATCCCCGACGACTGGCCGTACCTGCAGGCCCGCGAGCTCTTCTTCAACCCGGACGTGAGACCTGCCGACGCGCCCGAGTGCGACTTCAAGTGGTCTGCTCCGGACGTCGAAGGGTTGGTCCGGTTCCTGGTCGAGGAGAAGGGCTTTAGCGAGGACCGGGTGAGGAACGGGGCTGCTCGACTGACGAAGAACCTGAAGAGCGCCCAGCAGTCGCGGCTGGAAGGGTTCTTCAAGCCCGTGGCTAAGACGGAGGAGCAGAAGGCGAGTGCGAAGCGAAAGGCAGAGGAGAAGGCCGAGGCGGCGAAGAAGAAGAAAAAGGAGGACGCGAAGGCCAAGAGGGCGATGACTGCGAAGCCTCGGGGCGCTGGATAGTCTTTTCTTCTTCTCTTCTTCTCTTCTCCTTTTGATCTCTCCTTTTTGATATCACCATTAGTTATGATCTGGTGTTGTTGTTGATGCATCTGCGGGCGTTGGCGTTCTCTACTAGGCTACCTCCCATCTATGTACTCCTCCCACTACGACTTCTGATTATCTTTCTCTCCATGCATGTATTGGGATGAAAGTAGTGCCATCTTGAAGAGCGTCCCTTGCTCTATCTGACCATCTAACTTTTACCTCTTCATCTGTTCTTTGTACACCAAGATCAGCTCTTCTTCCAGCTCGTCTTCTTGTCTCGAAGTACCTTTCTTGTTGTTTTGTTTTTTGGTGAAGGCCGAGCCTGCTGACTAAGACAAGGATCACCAAAACAAAGACGAAGAAAACGCGAAGAGAAGAAGATCGAGAGATGAAGATAGAAGAAGATAGTAGAAGATGATAGTAGATGGTAGAGATGAAGTAGAGATGGTAGAAGAGAAGAAGATAGAGAGAGATGCATGAATGTCGAGCTAGACGCTGGCTAACCATGGAACGAAGGGAGAGAGCACGCGGCAGAAGCAGGAAGATCGCTGCAGTTGGTCGTGATCCTAATGGCTGTCCAGACAAGACTCGCTGCCGGACGAGAGTCTACTTTGATGTCTGTAGAAGTAGATACAGAGATAGAGAGATGATGATATTGTTATACTCATTAATTTCTACGCAGAAGAGAGTCGAAGTTGTGGTGGTGGTTGAAGACATCCCCAGACTCAGGGAGGAATATCTAGATCTAGATAGCTAGAACACTCGCCTGTCCCAGCGACGACGACGAGGTGATGCAGCCTTCAACGTGTCTGAAGACGCAAAAGAAGGCTCCAGCATGACTCTCCGGCCTCTTCTCAGTCGAATTCATGTCTCTTCTCCCTCCGTCGATGCCTCTAGCATCAGAGATCACTGCCTGGAAGTTCCCCCCCTGGCCAGGACAGACAAGAAGAAAGAGAGCGAGAAGAAGGCCAAAGGGAACGACGGCGACGACGAGAAGGAAGAAGAAGAGGCGCGTCCAGCCAGCATGATCTAGATACGAGACTCACTCAACAACGTCGACATGAGAACAGCAGCAGCAGAAGAAGAAGAAGAAGAAGACCGACCAGACTAGAATATAACTAATAATAAGGAGAAGACTTGGAAGCCTGAAGGTGATGCGGGAAGATCAACTCGCCCGTCCCGGCGCGCCTTTATAAGAAGGCCGCCCATGCCCCGCCAGCGCCAGCCTTTTCTCTCTCTCTCTCTTCCTCTTCCTCTTCCTCTTCCTCTTCTCTTCGACAACAACAACAACAACAACAACAACCGTGACTCGACGATAACTCGACTTGAAGACTCATCTTACTCTTCTTCTCCTCTTCTACTTTACTTCTACTTCTACTTCTTCACTTTTCTCAAAGTAATCGATCATCATGCCTGCTAAGAAAGCTGCCTCTGGCAAGTCCGCCACCCACGCTTCATACAAAGGTACGCCGACGACGACCAACATCCCCCCTGCGTGATCCGGCACTTGCGCTCGTCGCTCGTCGCTGAAACGCATATCGCTGTGATCGCGTTCGCCTGCTGACTCGTTTGATATAGATATGATCAAGGATGCCATCATCAACGTGAGTAGATCAGTCCCGGTTCAGGTGGCCTGTCGCTCGGTTGTTGGGTGTTCGGTCGGGAGTTGCTTGTGCGTGTCACGACAACAACAACATGAGACCACAACACCACAGCCAGCGATAGATAGTTGATACCCTTATGATTAAGTGATTGAGTGATTGACGTTAACGTATTCCTCTACAGCTCAAAGAACGCAATGGAAGCAGGTAAGCTGTCGTCGTCTCGTCTCGTCGCTGGTGATGTCGTGATGTCGTGATGCTAACTCGATGCAGCCGTCAAGCGCTGAAGAAGTACGTCCAGAACAACAACGCCATCAGCGTCACCTCCCAGGCCACCTTCGATGCCCAGTTCAACCGCGCTCTCAAGGCCGCCGTCGAGAAGGGAGAGTTCACCCAGCCAAAGGGTACGTCTCCCACTTCCGTTCATCATCTACTGCTATGAATTCATCATCTACTACTATCTACTATGGTGTTGTTAACACGCGTCTAGGTCCCTCCGGCCCAGTGAAGCTCGCTAAGAAGGAGACCAAACCAACTGCTAAGCCAGCTGCCAAGGTACGTTGTTGGTCCATGTTACCGGGCATTGTGTCATTCATTATACTAACACTCCATTATAGAAGTCTGCTAAGCCCGCTGCTAAGACAGCAACCAAGAAGGCCACCACCACCAAGAAGGCCGCTGCAAAGACCGACAAGGCCGATAAGGCCGACAAGGAGGAGAAGAAGCCCAAGAAGGCCGCCGCTACCACCAAGAAGGCTGCTGCCCCCAAGACCCCCAAGCCCAAGGCCAACACCACCAAGCAGCGCAAGGCCACTTCTTCCGTACGTCTTTCTATCTCTTTTGATTCTCTGTCTTTCTCGTTAATATCAACTAACATGTGGTAATAGGCCCCCGCTGTCGTTGATGTCCCCAAGGTGCTAGGCAAGACCAAGTCCGGCAGAGTGACCAAGTCATCTGCTAAGCCCGCCGGTGCTAAGAAGGCCGCCGGTACAAAGAAAAAGGCCGCCTCCTCCACAAAGGGAACACCCAAGAAGGCCGCAGCCGCTGCCACTACCTCCAGCTAAACAAGGCCAAAAAAAAAAAAAAAATAAATAAAAAAGAGGAACCAACACCATCTCCGTCATGAACTTGTAATACGTGTGTGTTGAATTGGGCCCCCTTTTTTTTGTCCGTTTTTTTTTCATTCGTTTTTTCTCATCGTTTGTCTCCCTGGTGGATGGTCTCTTGCACACGCACACTTCAAAATACCCTCTTCATCGTTCCCCTTTTTCCTCGTCTACTTCCTCCATCATCATCACCAGGGAACAACAAACGAACCGGCGTCTCGAGGTGGGGGATCAGGTATGGATGGAACTTGCATTACCTTTCTTTCGTCTTCGTGTTTTGTGTCTGCTGTTTTTTTCGACTTGTTTCTTGCTCTTCGTGTTAATGTTTATGGCTATGTTTTGTTCTCTTTTTTTACTTCAACGTCCGAGTAAGTAACTAGTCAGTTAAGTAGTTCAGCCTCTTTTTGTGTGTATGGATATGAAATCGATTTCTCCTGTCGTCAAGTACGCTCGTCTCGTTTACGACCCAAGCGTTGGCGCATCCGGCGTCAACGTCTCAGCTGATGTCCATCTCGTATATATCCTTTATAAATAGACGTCTTCTCCTGACTCTATCAACTACTCCGTACATTCAAACTAGTTATACTCCTCCGTCAGATCAGTTACGCAACAGCCAAAATGACCAACTCCATCACTTCAACTTCAACCTCCAACTCAACATCTACTTCTACTTCTACTATCGACAAGCTCAAGGCCTTCACGCACTCCTTCACCCGCAACAAAGAAACCAAAGTCGATTTCTACCTCAAAAACTACGGCTTCGTGCCCAAGAACGTCATGACGGAAGCAGAGTGGGCAAAGGCCAGAAGGGATGCACCAAAGGTCAAGTCGGCTACGGGCCTGAAAGCCACTGCTTACCAGGGACATTACTGGTGATATCCTTGCACTACCAACGCGTTCATCGGGGATACATTGTACGCCGCCCCTTCTAGCCCCGTATGCAACATTCAACCAGGGCATACCAGTTAATGTTGGACGTTGGGCGGGACACATTAGCAACATCTGGACATAACAGGAGGTAACTAATATTAACTATTTACTCACCTCACGAAGACAACTTCAAATGGCCTCCTTTCAAGATCTGCCGCACGAGATAGTCCAGCTTATCGGCAGCTACCTATCACCGGCCAGTCTGCACAATTTCTCCCTGGTCAACAGCCTCTGCTGCGCTGTCTCTGACCCAGGCATCTTCCAGCACATCCATCTCGTTCTCTCAGAGAGGAAGAAACTGATCGAAGAGCTGCACCGATGGGACCAGATTCTACATCAAAGCCCAAGGCGAGCAAGCAGACACATCCGTCGTCTCACTATCAGCTGTACCTGCTACCCCCGTGGCTGGACGGATTTTGAATCATGGGCTGAGAATGAGTCCTGGGTCTGCGGGTGTTACTGCGACTGTTGCCCCGATAATGGCGTCCTAGACGACTTTTTCTACTATCCTGCTGGCTCGACTGATCTTACTGCCGCTAAACTTGACCGGGCAGGCCAGGCAGAGCTTGAAGAGGAAGATAAACGATGGCTTTGGCACGAGAAATTCAACTGGAGACCTCTGACTGAGTTTATCGCTCGGCTTCCGGCCCTACATGAGCTGGTGTACTTTAGGTTGAATGTGCCTCCGCCCGGTTTGATGGATGTCCTGCACGACAGACATCCGCGATGCCGTTTACTTATTCTGCATCCTGCCCTTGAAGTGCTGCAAGACAATAGAGGGCGGATAAATAGATACCATCGTCAACTGATTACCTCGCCAAACCTACACCATGCAGCGGTGGATGTATCCAAGACATCCCACGAGCTTCATGCAGCGCCGGATATTCCACCCAGAAGTCTATACTGGCTAGGTATCTCGAACGATAACGTGACAGCGACTTGCTTCGAGGCCCTGGCTAGATACATACTTTTCTCCCGCTTGCGTTGTCTGGTGCTCCTGGGTGACATTCAGAATGATGGGATAGCATGGCTGGTGTCGAATGCAGGCATATTCACATCCCTTGAGGCCCTTACCTGCGACCTAACTACCCACGATGATGACACGGACTCCTTTGAAGTTCGGCAACGCAGGGATCAAGCTGGCGTTGCGGTTCTAGCAGCCTTTCGTCCCCTCAAGAGGTTGACGCTAAACAACTTGTATGGTAGACCGGTGTATAATGCTGCCCTACGGTACCACGGTCCAACATTACAACAACTTTTCTTGCACTCTACAAATCGCAAGATCTTGCTCCATGCGTCTGTCAAGATGATTGACAATATCCGCCTTACTTGTCCCAATTTACGAAAATTACGTCTATCCATCCGCCGCTCCCAGGGCGATCGGCATGAAGTCGAGCATTACCGGGCTTTGGCCAAAATACCCAAGCTGGAACTACTACACCTCTACCTTGATCCCATAAACTATTCAAGGGACCCAGACTCCCCGGAGACATATGATTTGACACGGGCCCCTATTGTAGACGACGCGTATATTCGTCAAAGCCTGGTAAATTGCGCTGTTGACGCTTCTCTGGCCGTCAGCATATTCAAGATCATTGCCAAAAATCCTTTTACTGGTGGGTATTCGGCATTCAAAGACATCACGGTCTATGTACGCACTGGTAGCGCACGGGATATTAGTTCGGGGAACCCGCGTTACGCATCTTACTTCTCTTTTTTCCGCTATTCAACCTACAAGCCATGGAAGTGTACTCGCGGTGAGGGTTATGATGAGGTGGTTGTTAAGAAGATCGACATTGAACATTGGTCTAGTATAAGTGAGGACGAGATTGAAGATCTTGATAGGGACCATGCAGGGTTGTTTAGGAGTATTTGGCCGGAAAGACGAGGGAAAAATTGCTTGGAGGATTGGTATAGCCTGCCTTTGGATGTAGATAGCTAAATCACTAGCTCTCAGGTTGTGCTTTTAGTGGTACATTATATTTGTTTTCACTAGAATTGAATTGGAACTGGCTGTGAAGTTGATATAGTTATTCAAATATCTCATTGGTCGGTGAGTATTTATTCTGGGCTGTAAGAAGCCGCCATGCACTTCATAATATTATTGTCTTGAAGAAAATTTCATGTATGGCTCTTATTTTAATTAATGATTCCACGATATCACCACTAGTCAAGATTCAAGATTTGATAAGCCAGCTTCTTCTATACCCCCATATCAATATATATATTAGGCCAGTGGGTTCGCTGATGGGATGATGAGTGCCAGTTGGGGATTTGCACCTCTTCGATCTGTGTTTCTTCGGTCCATTATCTTTCAACATCATCATCCAAGGCTTCCGAATAAATCTCTACTGACCCGACCTCAACTTGCCAACTATTCAACGGCTGAAATACAACCCCTGGATGCTGAAGAAAGGATATACCACCCTCAGTCAGACGTGGAGGACTTGGAGGGATACAGGCCTGGCGGATACCATCCAACTGTTGTCGGAGACACTCTTTGCGATGGCCGCTATAAGATAATCCACAAGCTGGGATACGGGGGTTATTCCACCATCTGGCTTGCTCGTGACCAACAACGCCAGCGTTATGTCTCACTGAAGATTCTTGTTGCAGCAGCTTCAAGGGAAAGTGATGATAACGAGAGTAAGATTCTTCGTCTATTGTCAAAAAGCGGCCTGGAGCATCCGGGAAGGCGATTTATACCAACCTTGCTGGACCAGTTCTCATTTAATGGGCCTAACGGGCATCATCAGTGTCTTGTGGGCGAACCAGCTGGGTGTAGCATAGCCAGCTCAAAGGAGAACAGTACAAATCTCATGTTTCCTCGAGATGCTGCGAGATCTATTGCGGCACAGCTCGTCATGGGTCTGGACTATTTACACGCGAATGATATATGTCATGGGGGTATGTATCTTTTCCTTAGCTTGGTTTACCTATTCAAGGTATATTAACTACTGAATTGGCAGACCTCCATTTGGGCAACTTTCTTCTACGTGTCCCAGAATTTGATAACCTGAGTCCGGATGAATTGTACGAACGACATGGTAAACCATACGAGGTTCCTACTCATCGGCTTGATGGAAGGCCTAGCACCCCCCATGCACCATTACATGTTGTTTATCCTATGAAGCAGAATATGCCTTCGAACGATATAACAGATCCTGAGATTCTAATTTCAGATTACGGGACCTCTTTTGCTATTTCGAAAACGACGTCTCCAAGACTCCATACCCCGGCTCTCTATGCTCCTCCAGAAGACTTCTTCAACGATAGCATCATCGGCACTGCAGCAGATATATGGACACTGGGAGTAGTCCTGTACGATGCCATGGGTGAACGGCCACTTTTTGAAACGTTTGCATGGGATCCAGACGACATCATGGGTGAGATGGTGAATACACTTGGCTACGAACAGATGCCTGAACGATGGTGGAACTCCTGGAAGTGTCGCTCTGAGTTCTTCAATGAGGACGGTTCCTGGGTCAGCAACTTCCAACGCATTGGCACACCTGCGTTTCGCCGTCTTCACCAGCGGATGTGGGACATGGGACGCGGTGAGACTCCCGAAAGCTGTCAATGGGATGTTGCTGGTGGTGAGCTTAAGGCGTTGGAGGATATGTTGAGATCTATGATGACTTTTGAACCGGCCAAGAGACCCACGGCGAGGCAGCTTATGGAGTCGGAGTACATAGTCAAATGGGCCTTGCCGGCGTGGCAGAAACAGATGCGAAGGAAGCAGTGAAGCCGTAGATACCTCGTATTGTGAGCATCAACAAAGCGGAAGCCCCAAAGGTCCAGCCTCTGTCAATTAAGTTTAGTCGGTTAGTCATCCTTCCGGGCCGATCCGAGAAAATTTAAGGTTTAATTGCTGACTAACATTATTTTTAGCCTCGCTTACCTAACACAGAAGTCCGTCTTAGGGCTGGATCTGAGAGATGAAGCGACCTTTGATAATAGGGGCTACACGATAACATTGACTAGTCCTTATAAAACTGGCCAGCTCAAGCTCTACACTATGCATCTCACTCGTGGACGAGAGAGCGATGGCTGTCCTGAGTATATCATGACGCAGCTTGAAGGCTGGTCAATGACGAGTGATCCTGAGACGTTTTAAACTGTATATCGGAATGCACGAGGCTGGCAAAGAGTAACAGGACAGGTTTATTAGGTATGCAAACGAGAGGCAGGCAGGTCCGGTCCGAATTTCTGTCTATGTCGGAGCCAGAGGCAGCGTCAGATTCAGCTGGAGTCATATCAAGTCGATTCAGCCTAAAAGAGTTGACCTACACTAGTTCGGTGTTCTCGCATGAAGTTTTATCTCTTTAGGAGTGCTTCCAAGTAGCAAGCATTATCATTCTTTCAATCTAGTTAATTGTTTATTTTTATTCCCTTTGCTCGGGACCCAGGCTTGGGGTTATCCCGGACAGATACACCCTGTCAGCTCGTTATAGGTGTCGTAAATACATCTCTCTATAGCTCTCTCTTTCACTATAGAATACGGCAGACTACTACCGGATAGATGCTAGATGCTTTCTTCCAGCTCGCGTCTTTTACTAGGTAGATGGAGATATCAACTCCTATTACCTCCTTCATTGACTCGACCCAGCTATTCATGCCATAAAAAGCTATCATGGAGAGCCTTTCGTACTTGCAGCTCTGGGCTCAGGATGGAAGAAAACTCTGCTACATCCAACACTCCCAAATACGAATACATCGAGGGCTGTGAACGGCTGGAGAGGTACAGTCCCGGTGGCTATCATCCAGTGAAAATCGGTGACCAGCTGTGTCATGGGCGGTACAACATTGTCCAATTTCTAGGGCACGGAGGCTCTTCAACGGTTTGGCTGGCTTTAGACAAGGTGAAGCAACAACTTGTAGCAGTCAAGATAAAAACAGCCGATTCGACTGACCAAGAGGAGGAGATCATGGCTGAACTTCGTGATATGCCCTTGATCAGACAGCTGCAAGACGTCTTTGTCGAACATGGCCCGAATGGAACTCATCGATGCCTTGTCATGGAGACGGGATTATGCAGTCTGAGAGTGTCGAAAGTGATGTCTGCTCATGAACTGTTGTATCTTTCTACTGCTCGAGCCATCATTGCAGAACTGGTGTTGACTGTCCAGTCCTTGCATGATCGGGGGATTGTGCATGGCGGTTAGTTATTGCTACCAACTTATTATATGGCCATATGTCGTTGTTGAGTCGCTGTAGATATCCACGGCGGTAACATTTTACTACGGCTTCCAGAGGATATCAGGCAGATAACAGATGCTACAACGCTGTATCAACGGTTTGGAGAACCCATTACGAAACCTGTTGTCAGAGTCGACCGTCAGCCACTGGATGTGGGTGTCCCTACTCATGTATACTGGCCAATACGGCTATCAGTTCGATCTGACAAGATTATGGACTCTCACCTGCCCATCATGCTATCGGACTTTACTTCCAGCTACTATCCAAGCCAGACGAGGCAGATGATTTCTCGCACCCTCCCTCACATCGTCCCTCCAGAAGCGTTCTCCATTGATGAACACAAAAAGGAAGAGAGTCTGTGCTTTCCTAGCGAAATCTGGACTCTGGCATGCACTGTATTCGACATTCTCGGTGGGGGAGGCCTCTTCAGCGTATGGGAGGCGGTATTCTTCAGGACCAGGCCAGCGCGCTAGGCAAGTTCCCCGAGCCCTGGTGGTCCCGGTGGGAGGAGCGGGCAGAGTTCTTCACCGAAGACGGTGTGAGTATCGAGTTTCCGAATTCTGGAGATAGCCTGGAAGACCGGTATGACTGGTTCGTCACTGCTGCTCGACGACGATATAAAATGGAATATCCGGACGAGGAGGAGAAGAAGGCCTTTCTCCAAATGATTGGACCGATGCTTCGGTATTTCCCTGGCGAGAGGGCGAGTATTCGGGACGTTGTTAATTCGGAGTGGATGCAGAAATGGGCTCTCCCATGCCTGCATCGAAATAGCTAGAGTACCCTCTCTCTTGTAACATATGTAGCTCTGTGTCTCAATGATCCCATCTCCTAGTTATCCACAGTTAAATGGAACACCCCCTTTGACCCGGGAGCCCTAACAGCCAAATCACAGTTTTATATCTTGACTCCAGGTTGTGGCAGTGCAGGCGATGCTAAGTCTCTTGTCCACGCTAAATCCTACCACGCGCCATTGACTTTTGGCCCGCTTCCGCACCAACACGAGGCGAGCAAGACAGCGAGATTGAGGATTGCCCAGGGGTGGACCATGACCGGGCATCCATGTCTGCAGTAATAGCCTGGTAGTATTATTGTGCCTGTCTGTTTGGCTGGCTGGGCTATCTTAGGTTCAATCCTCAGCTGAACTGTGTTGGCCCGGAGACTCGGTAGATTTCGCGGTCTCCTTCAGAGTAGAATCCGTCTGTCTCTCTTCATCCATCACCATCACCGTGACTGTCACAGTCTCGTCTTACTCGCTCTTCGTCTATCAGCCCGTAGTTAGTCCCATCCTGCAGCGAGGGCCAAATCAACGACAACGACCAGCAACGACGACGTACGACTGAACCGACTCCCAGCGTGTCAGTGTCCCGTCAGCCAGCGCGGCCTAGCCTTGCTCGTATCTCGCGCTCACTTGATGGCCCCCTGTTTCTAGTAGTTAGTTAGTGTTTTTCTTCTTTGCTGCCGGAGGGTTCCTTTTTGTGGCTTGACAGCGCAAGAGAGAAAAAAAAAAAAAAAAGAACGACTTTTTATGTTTCTTGCTTGGCGGCCGCCAGCGAACTGACACTCCCCAGCGACGACGACGACGCCGACGACGACGACGAAACCAGCTTCAACGGCCCATCTCCATCGCCAGCTGCTTTGCTCCGACCAGACGACGGCAAGCAAGGTGGAAGACCAGACGAGACGACGAGTCGACGGCCAGAAGCTGCTCGTCCGGCCGGTGAGTCTCCCAGAGTCCTTCTCACTCCCTGCTTTGCTAAGCCAGACCGCACAGTAAACCGTCAAGTCAACTCCGTCATCGACCCTCTGCCGCCTCGCCTCGACTGCATCGCCCTCTCGCGGCGCCTCTTCCGTTTTGCCTGCGTGCGGTGTACATATTGCCTTCTCTCGCCCGGCCTGCCGATGGGCATGAGAGCCTCTGCTCGCTGTGTCTGACCGCATCCCCTCCCCCCCCCCCCCCAGAATCCTCCCCAGTCGAGAGACAGCCCTGCTCGCACTGGAAGCGCACCTTCAAACCGCCCACTACACATGTTAGCCTTCGCCGGCGCAGACGAAAAGGCCGAAGGATCCTGGAGAGTCGATTATCTGGTCATCGAGCAGCCTCCTTCGCCTCGAGCCCTCTCGCAGAGGTCGAGTTTCCCGCAAACCATGCCGGCTCTCTCCTCGCCGGACACCCCAAACAGCCATCAACAGCAGCAGCACAACCAGCATACCCCGGGAACCAAGCAGGCGTCCTCTCTGTTTGCTCATCCTGCGTCCAAACAGCCGCACGAGAAAGCTGCTGCAAACGCCTTTCTGTGGAACCCAGACTTCAACAACGGAGATACCGGAGATGGAGTCACCGCTTCGGCGAATTTCTTTGTTGACAGTCGCTCCAGGGGGCCAAATTCAAAGGCTGGAGCCACGGTTTCCATCTCTCCTTCGCGAGACCAAGATCGAGAGCGAGACCGTACAGAGAGCGTTGACTCGTCGCTGAGGAACGGGCGTGCCGTCTCCTCTCGCAACTCGATGGCGGACAACGCAATAACAACAACGCCCACGACCACCACCAATGGCGCATCCGCCCACAACGAAGCGTACGAAGCGTTTGCCGACGAACACGAACGCTGGATGAACGGGACTGGCCAGGCTCAAGGCCAGCAGGGGACTATCAATGGTGCTGCACTGCCGTACCGACCTAGCTCGAAACCCAGCACTACTACGAACTACCAGGCCTCGCAGCTTCACAACTACACCGGATACCCATCCACAGCGGAACTGACACCCCCAAGCTCCTCGTCCCAACACGAAGACGCAGGGCCTGCTCCAACAAGACCACCACCGCCTATTCCAACCAACGCTACTACGACCACTACTACCACCACCACCACCACCACTTCAGTTTCGAAACCCACAACTCCTACACCCAAACCTCCAACTCTTGATACCAACAACCTCGCTCCAGAGCCACAGCCCATCACCTATCGACACTCCTCTCCAGCACCTCAAGGATCTTCAAACGCACACTCAGAAATACCTACTTCCCCCTCCAGCCCGCCGGGCGGCCGTCTCATCCACCGACACACCCTCCAGGTGCCACGCCATTCCTCATCACGAGCAAGCCGTGAACTCTCTACTCCCATCGCCGTTGACGACACCCTCCTACCCATCGACCGTGTCTCGTCTCCTACCTCTGTTCTCCGCCGTGGCTCGTTTACCATCCCTCGCCTTTCCCAACGCTCAAATCATTCAGAACCTCACTTGGACGAAGCCCTGCACGACGAAGGTGCCGCCAGATGGACGGAAGCGTTCAAGCAGCGCCGGGCCAGCAAACGAAAGCGGCGAGAGGAGGAAGACGATGACCGCGTCATCGTCGGAACAAAAGTCGATCAGCACCACGTCAACTGGGTGACCGCGTATAACATGCTGACAGGTATCCGTTTCACCGTTTCAAGAACCAACGCCAAGCTTGACAGGGACCTCACAGATGCAGACTTTGATGCCAAACATAAGTTTTCCTTTGATATGTATGTATATACACTTATACGTTCATTTGCTTTTAGAGTGTACCGAACTAACAGTTGATAGTACTGGAAACGAGTTGACCCCATCGGCCAAGTATGACTTCAAGTTCAAAGACTATGCACCCTGGGTCTTTCGTCGGCTGCGTGCCAAATTCCAGCTTGACCCGGCAGACTACCTCATGTCCCTCACCAGCAAATACATCCTCTCCGAACTAGGCTCGCCAGGCAAAAGTGGCAGCTTCTTCTACTTCTCCCGTGACTACAAATACATCATCAAAACCATCCACCATGCCGAACACAAACTCCTCCGCAGGATCCTCCGTGAATACTACTCACACATCGAAAACAACCCTAATACCCTCATCTCCCAGTTCTACGGCCTACACCGTGTCAAGATGGCATATGGCCGCAAGATCCACTTTGTTGTCATGAACAACCTCTTCCCGCCCCATCGAGACATCCATCAAATGTATGACTTGAAGGGATCAACAATCGGTCGAGATTTCAAGGAAGAAGACCTAGTAGCAAACCCCCGAGCCACTCTGAAAGATCTCAATTGGCTACGAAGAAACCGCCATATAAATTGCGGTAAGGAGAAGCGAGAGGTCTTCCTTGCCCAGCTCCGTCGTGATGTCAGCCTGCTTCAACGGCTAAAGATTATGGATTATTCCCTCCTGATCGGAATCCATGATGTGGAGAAGGGAAATGAGGAGAAACTCCGTGATCGGACGCTCCAGATCTTCCAGCCTGGAGGTGATTTGGCAGATGAACAGCAACCAAACTTGCTTATGCGAACACCGTCTAGACTGGAAAATGCGCGCAAGGCAAGAGAGCTAAGAGAAATGATTAAACGCGAGAAACCAGTTCCTATGGAACATACCACTGCCAAGATGCCGGACGAAGTGCTGGATGAACGGAAGAACTTGGTCTTCTACTCAGATGACGGTGGATTTAGGGCAACGAACGAGAACGGGGATCCTGGTAACGAGATATATTATCTTGGTGTTATTGACTGTTTAACTCATGTAAGTTTTGCATGCGCCTCACCGCTGAAATTAAACTGGTAAACTATACTAACACACGGCTCAATAGTATGGCATGGTGAAGAAAGCAGAGCATTTCTGGAAGGGACTTTCTCACAACAGCTCCCAAATCTCGCCTATCCCGCCCGAAGCCTACGGAGAGCGTTTCCTAGAGTTCATCACAAGTATCACCAAATCCAAAGACCAGGTAGAACGCGAAAAGCAAACTGCTGAAGCTGCCCAGACCCACACAACCGACGAAGCCGCCTCATCTGCGGAAAAGAAATCCACCGATGCTCAGAAATCACAGTCCGCACACCCGGAGCCATCCCGAACTCTAAAGACTGTGAGTACCCCGGCAGACTTCAACAATGGCGGTGCAGCTGCAACGTTACCTGTTGTTGAAGAAGTCGGTGAGAATAGCAGCACAGGGGGCCGGAGTGGACGAAGCAACGTGAGCAGAGGAGGAGAAGGAGACGGCGCCCCTGCGGATGAAGAACGGTGGACCAGCATGGAATCCAGACGACACAGTTTCCGCACCGCAAGGGAACCAGCTAGCCCGCCGCCGGTATCTGCGCCTCCACCAATTCCCTCCCCAAAGATCGGTGACGGCGAGTATAAATCACAAACCCATTTGGGCAACCCAGCCGACAGTAATGGAACCATCCGTGCTGTAAGGAATAGCTCCGAGAGAGATAAGGAGTTGCCGCCTACACCTGATAGACCTCCTATGCCTCAACGACGACCGCCTCCAACTCCGCCTTCATAGATCTCCTATTCTTCTGCCACTCACCTGGCCTGCCTTTTTGTTTGATTGTTTGTTTTAATTGTACTTTTACTTACCATGCCATACCTCGCAAAGGATTAGACAGCCCCTTTTTTTTCCCAGCTAATTTCATTCCTTTTTTTTACCCTTTCTCTTATCTCTTTTGTTCCATCATTATCATTCCGTTCCATCGTGTCTAGCAATCTTTAAAGCAAGCATGTCTTTCCTTCTTTCTTCTATCCATGGGTATACACACCACATTTGTTTTCCTCTGTCTATTTTTCTCTCCGTGTCGCCTCTCCTATCTTTCAACCAATTTATACCTTTCTGTATATTCCATTTTCTCCTTTCTCCTCTCCCCCACTTCTCTGTTCCTAATACCATCTATCTATACGGCTACTTAGCTGTATTCATACTGTGTTACGACATTGCACTGAAATTGCTTTACAGGCTGCCCTTTCTTTCGTTCAGTTATATTTATCGTACCTTTACTTCTTCTGTTGCATTCGTCTCCTACGCAAGCAATCAAGGATATCCATCCCGCCGTCCACGCAAACTGCGTTCTTTTCTTTTCTTTCAACATATCTGCTTTGAATCCTGACTGGCTAGGTGTTCGGTAGCTTAAGCATAGCTCCGAGCTAAGCTCACCTAGCCCAACCATCACATTGCTTGATACCTCTCTTTTCCCCTTTTCGCTTGTTCCCGTCCGCGCAACCATTTATCGCTTTTCTTTCCTCGCTAGTATAGATATCCCTATGATCGTGTCACTTGTTCTTTATTCTTTGCATTCGCAATTTGTTACGGTGAAGAAAAAAAAACTACTCTCTACACTTGTTGTTCGGGTCTGTGTTCGTTTCCTTCAACTCTCAAACACTCGCTGTAAATCAAATTTGATAGTCGAACAAAAACCAAACAACAAACACGCGACTCAGCCACATCGATGACTAAGACGACGTTTGACCCACTTTTCCGAGTTTCTGGTTAGAGTTTCTTGGCATTTATTATCCAATGTTAATAATAAGGTTTATGTATTACATAAAATGCATAAAAGACATAAAAGTTGTTTCTTATTGGTTGCATATATTTACGACAGCGAAATGTTTCCTAAGATCTGATCTGTATCTCATGGTGTTACCCTTCACGATAGCATAGCCACAAGCGGCCTGGATTGGAGTATGGAGAGTTTCCAATTGTCCTCGTTCCGTCTATCGTGAAGTAACACCAAGCCATGAGGAAAAGCAAAGTTGCCACGCTCAAGCTATACGTGATGAGAACCAGCCCGGCCCCTACCCGGTTAAATGATAAACGAGTATCAATGGAATAGGAAGGGACGGAGTGGGCTGGCTTGTTTGATATATCGCGTCGAATACAGAGCTTATTCACCATTTGCATCCCGAAGGAAGAAATAGTTGAATTTCAAGGCATTGAATCTCGCCTTGTGCTCCACCCTGCGTCGCGAAGGATATGATACATCCAAGGGAGAAAATAGCACAAACAGAGCATGCGGAAGACGTTGGAATATCTGGGGAATATCGTTCAAGATCTGAAATTCTATCGTAAAGTGTAGTCCTAATCATTTAGCCCTTTCAAGCATTATTGAAGAATCGGGGAACATATGGTATCAAAAACGAAGTTAGATCCTGGCTGGTGGAGGGCTAAGAAAACAAGCTGCTGGTTTGCATGCCTCGTCCAAATGATGCTTCACTACTAGCAGCCATACCTGCCAAAACGCGGCCCATGCCAGTGATATCCAGCTCTCCTCGCTGCAGCATGGTTTGGTCATCTTCTTTGACCACAGGAGCATTGCCCTGTTGCTGGGCCTTCTGCTTCGCTTCTGCCGAGTCCAATAGGTTTTCAGCCAGAATGATGAGTCTGCGCTCTGCGGTAATGAGGATGGTTGGTATCGGTGTGAGATTGAACTGGTTTGCAGGCGTTGGTAGAGATAGGAACTGTATTCCCTTTTGAACCTCGCCGAGCAAATTGATGTGTTCAATCAAGGTGGGTTTTGGGCCAGCTTGGTTGTTGCCGAATAACCCCTGCTTACCGTAGTTTCTTCGGAGTCCAGCAAGGCTTGGGATGTATGCATTACGAGTTCCATGCCAAAGGAGCACTGATTCATCGGCGGGTTGATCCCAGGTTTGGTTTGATGGAATTATGCAAATGCTGCCCCTAGTTGCATGTTGAGTTGCTGAATTTGGTACGCCCTTGAACAATGCCTCTTCTCGGATACGTCGTGTAGACGGAGTTAGAGGAGCGAATTGAACGGGTTTGGACTCAGACGTGTCAGCATGGCCTTGAGACCGTACAGTACGTTCTGAGGGCCCCACGCGTCCAGCTATCGCAAAAGAGCTGAGTGAACTCGTTGATCTGCCTTGGTGGGCATTGTCGCCTTGAGAGCTGTCAATGTCCCAGACTCCCCATTCCCCATTAGAGAGCAATGCAAAGACACCTTTGCCACCAAGGGCCCATTTTGCATCGACTATTCCTTTGCGGCGAGGAACTTCTCCAGGAACTTGGTCGAAGTCAGTATAGAGAGTAACGAGCCACCGCCCGGTTGCGTCACCGGTTTCTGCATTTGTCCCAGAGCGTTTCTTATCGAGGTTGGATGCTTGTGGTGTAGAAAGACAGGAGTAAACTTTAACTGAGCCATTTGTAAACGACAAGAGTAGTTGGGAATGGCGCTCTGAAGGGTATTGGCAAGGAGAAAATGATATGCTGCTAGCCGGAGACTTGAGGAATTGTTGCCGAATAGGGAACTGCGGCTCAGTTGAGAGGCTATATAACTTCCCCTGTGCCATTTCTCCATCGAAGGGGATACGGTATACGGAAAGTTTGCCTGACAGATCAGATGTATGGATGGCTACAAGGATTTCCCAACTTCCGACAGATGGTGGAGTATCTTGCATGGCGCGGCCTCGGCTTTGGGACCGACGATTGCCATCCTCGTCTGTTTGGGTTTGCCGAGTAAATGTTATGGCGGCTGTGGCAGGAAGCCCTTGGACAGAGCCTTCTCCGAGGCTGATAATTTGTGGTTTCCAGAATTCCGCATCTACAGTGCCGGGAGGGGGAGGTATAAGCGGGACTGCAACAATGCGCACCGAAGAGTCACTACAGACGGCGGTGGCTACTATCATGTTTGATAGAATAGGCGATATCGAGCTGAGGAAGCGTGCTGCCCCGGGCAGAATGCTGGGTACTGCAATACCCAAAACTTTCGTATCTAGCTTGACATCAAGGTATTGAATGATGTTCTCAAACGGCCGTGAAGGGTCAATTTCTTCTTCATCATCCTCGAACTCTGGAAGCGCGATTTCTGGCTGGGGTGTAGGAGCAGGTTCCTCATCATCTGAGTCGATGATCATGATCGAGTCATTGTTGTCGACGCCATTGACTGGGGCTTTCGCTTCCGCGCCATCCTGCTGAGTCTTCTGCTTTTTGAAGCTCTTGCCTCCTCGCCATAGTATTCTTATGCCAAAGTCATGCCCATATATTATCACAGTTGATCCGTTGGGACTCTGGATTGGATAAACCTTCGAATCGTACACACGATGAGGGAATTGATAGCTAAACAAGCAGCGGTTAGACATGTTAATTCAGGAATCAGCATGCAAATGAGAGAGTACCTTAGCTGGAGGCCATCAGGGCGAGGTCGAACAAGAGGGTCGAAGGCGCCTTTGGACATGTCTGACTGGATGCCCATCCTCGCGAGGTTCGAGTAGTTAGTGACAGCTTCAGATGCACCCTAAAGCATCCCAATTCTTCAAAAAGGACTGAACGATCTGCGCCTTCGTCTCTCAAGCAACGACACTGGCTACTCCGTCTGCTGGGTGTGGTCGACAGTGGTTGTCTCTCTTGTTCAGTCGCAAGCTTGGAGTTCGCCACAAAATCTGCGTTTGGAAGCTCTCGCGTCAAAATCGCATACGCGCGCTTGTTGACGCTTGGCCGAACAACAACCTCCTCCACCACCACCATCACCACCACCCCCATCACTAAGGTTGAAATCCTAGCAAGAAAACGCACTCTCTTTCTCTTCTTTACACAAGCATCTCCGCTGTACGGATATGTGTATAGAATTGAGGGTGGCTTCAAAGCCATTTTTTCGTGGTTAAGAAGCATGGCTACTATAACGTCTCTGGGCCTGCACAAACCTTCAGCTTTCGGATACCTGGTTGCAGAGTCAATACTGCCTGCGGATGCGCCTGAGGATACTTATACCTGGCGATGCTATAATTCAGAAAATGAAAATGGCGGGATAATAGAGGAAGAGCTTCTCTACACGGACAAGTGTGTTGTATGGTCGCGCGGCGGGATTGTTAAGAGGTCCTTCAATTTTGAAGTGGAAGGGGAGAGCATCGTGGAAGCTCTTTTTACCTATTTTCCGGCGGGCAAGTCGAACGCTGCAAAGCAGGCTAGGACCGGGGCCGGCCTAGAAAATAGCGCAGCGGCCCAGGCCGGTGACCAGGGACATACGGCTGCTTCTGTCACAAGCAAGCAAAGCCGTCTAAACGGAAAGATACGCAAAAAGGTGGTTATCCAGGACCAAACGGATTCTAGCAGTGTGCCGGGACTGGGGACCATTGAAAATGAAAATATTACTGAATCTTCTAGAGCACTTGTCGTAGTGCTAAAGTCCCAAGTTCACATATTCTTCATTTCGGGTGACAGCCATGTCGTTCCACTGCCGTTTGAGCTTGACTCGATATGGCCTACCCCAAACGGACTACTATTCCAACGGAAACTGCCTGAGAAACATGAAGCGCCAGTTCCACCAGCTCCTCCGAACTCCTTTGTTTCTTCCCAACCTAGGCATCCCACGTCGAGACACTCTGCTGCATCGTTCAGGCTCTCTGGTGGAACAGGAAACCGGTCCCTACTAGCGATTTCTCCGTCTCAGCCTTCAAAATTCCTTCTCAAGACTGAAAAGGATGACTCCGCACCCCGAGTATTCTCTCTCCTTGACCCTCATTCAGAAATGGGACTCGTGGCAGTCACTTCCTCTCCTCATGATGATGATGAACTACACAAACGAACTGACATCTTAAGCCAAACTGAGGAGCTTCTTTACGTATCCCCTACTAGTGAAATACCCTCGGGGGTGCTCACAAAAGGCGCCTCTCCTCTGATATTACTAGTTACATTAAATCCGAAGTCAGGGTTGCACAATATATGGGTTGCAAAATATAGGCCCAGGGAATCCCCTATATCTTCCTATAATCAGCGGAGAAAGTTGTCAAATACTCGCTCAAAACGACGAAGCTCCCACTTTGATATTACTACCGGTACGTCGACACCCGTCGGCCCAGGGCCATCGAGTTTTAGGGAAAGCTTTGGTGGGCCAGGCCACGGGCGAAATGCGTCTCAGCAACTCAATCTTGAAGGTAAACAGGAGGGAGCTACAGATCTTGCTTCACACCTTGGACAGGAGTTTGAAGATGTCGGTGTGACATCTAAAGCGTCAAGAAGAGTTAGCTCTCTACTTGCCCGTAGTGACCTAATGGCAAACAATGATAGGTCAACATTCTCTGATCTTGCCGGGAGCCAACTAAAATCCTCCTTCCACGGCGGGTCCCGAAGGGGGGAGTCATTTGGAGGTACAGGCCTTCGCCTTAGTCAGAGCTTTAACCGAAGAGGTTCTCTTCCCCCAGGAACTGCGTCTGTCTATAGCAATGGCAGCAGTTTTTTGGACGCGCCTGTTGATAAACTCCTGGAAAGTTTAAATAACGGAGGTGATTTCGACGGGTTTGAAAGCATGGGAATCAAGGAAACTGTGTCCAATCTCCCTCGTGAAGTTATCCTTTCGAAGATAGCGAGTGTGCCTTCAGGAATTATATCAACCAACGCGCTCCCATACAGCCAGAAAACCTGTCCATTTGAAGTTTTTACTCTGGCTTCTTCTGATGAATCTACATTAAAGGATCCCGAATCAATACCCCTGGCAGTCTGCATCCTCAATCGAAACTCAAAAGACTTGATTGTTGTAACCCTAAGTGCTCAGAATTTGGGTTCTCAAGCTCGTCAGTATGAAAATGGGGATAATGATATCTCAACATACAAAGTTCGTGCACTAAATGTTCGTCACGGTTCAAATGTTCTAGACTGCTGCAAATTGGTCGACAGGGGCGTTTCTCGAATGCTTGTACTTTCCTCTACCAGTGATGGTAGAGGTGAACTAACGCTCCAAGCCCCATGGAGCACGCTGGTGAGGGTGGAACTCCCAGATAGTCTAGTTCTATATGAGCCGTCCAATATATCCATGGAGTTAACTCCGTCAAATCTCCGTGAAGAAGGACTTGGACGGGTGCTCTGCAAGACGCCCCTAAATATGCGTCGTCTCACCCAATCAACTGCCGGCGGAAAGGTAGATATCACCGATGAACAGAATAGAAAGCACAGAATACAGATCCAGCTTCAGCCGTTTAACTCTCTTGTGAGAAGAATTCTCTCTCTTTGTCGATATGTTTTACGGCATGCCGAAAGGGCTGGGGATGGAGTCCATATCGGGTGGTGGCAAGCTCTCAGGTGGCTTCGTTCAAGGGATGTGAGGGAAGAAAACCTGGAGTGGACCGCTTTGGTGGTCATCCTTTTCTCAATGGCAGTTTATTTCATCGACGATATTACTACGGAGCCTAAAGTTCTGCCGAAGAAGAAAAAGAGAGGGGCCCTAGTGCGATCCAGCACTGGAAGCTCAATCGACTTGACAGATTGGCACAGTATGATTGACCAGGAATTAGGTTCAGCTGGTATCTGCGCATCATGGATGTCAACCACAGCCTGGGACTGGATACGAGAAGAACATACTAAAAATTCAGCGGAGAGAACCCAAAGTCACCGGACAATTGACGACCACAAAGCAGAAACCCAGCCAAATGACAAGAATACATATATCACCCGGTGCGCACAGCTTGCCCGGGATTTTCTCTCATCACCGCAGGGTGAGGCTGCTACTGGTGGAGATGGTTATCTTCCCATTGCTATTTCGCGAGACCAAGGTACACGAAGGACGGCCCTTGGTACCATCCTAGTTGGAATGCACCTCCTTCGTGAGGAGCTTAAACTATCAGTTGCCAACACCGACAACTCCCGTTCTGAAAAGGGGCTTTTACTTCCTGTGCTTGCTCAGATAGGAGGATGGTTAGGCTGGGATTCCTGGACGTGGAAAGAGGGTAGCTACTACGGCACAGAGATTGCCAGTATTGACGCGTGGACGTTCGAAGATACTCGCATCACCGGGCTGGACCTGCCCCCGGAGCCCTTTACACCTCCGTCTATCTTCAGCTTCGTTGAGAATACTCTTCAGCGTACCCCTTCTTCCTTCCTAACGCTAATGGACGTCGTATCTAGCTCGACTATCGCGCCTGGAAGTGGCAAGATATGGGACCAAGCAGTGAATTTAACTCCTAGATCTTTGGCCCTTACTGGGTTCCTTTCCGAAGTTAGAAATAAGCAATCTGCTCCTGAACGAGTGGCCCTATTACTTCGCTGGGGAATCACATCTTCTTTGATTGATACTCTTCCAGACGGCATCAGCACCCCCCTCCACGAAGCCATTTTCAACTGCCAGGGAGATCCCCCGCTTTCCTGGGGCTCCTCACTACTCGAGCTTGTGGATAGAGAGGACTTGTTTCTTTCTACATCTAGCGAGACTCCACAACTCCCAGCTTCTCGCTCCCAGTTCATCCAGCCTCATGATGCCCATAGAGATGTCCGCAGTATCGGAAATTCAGTTCTTGACAGTAGCTCGACCAATTCGTTTGAGATTTCTGCAGAAGCTGACCGTCACTGGATCACTAAACTGATATTTCGTGATGATAGACGCTATTTTGAGGCTGCAAGGATTCTTAATCAGATGAAAGCTCCAACTGCAGAATGCACACCCGAGCCCGACTGGTCTGAGTCTGATCTTTTGGAAGCACAAAAAGAGCTCGTCCAGCTAGTGACCCTGAGGACGTTGTCCATTCCTGCAGGACGAGCTATGCTTTGTTTCGACGGGCGTGTACCCCTGCTCACAGAAAAGTTACCAATCCCATCTTTCTCACTGCAATGTGTTATGAAGCCATCAAATGTTACAATCAGCGCCGATAGATCAGCTTTTGTGGAAGAAAAGGCATGCTGGGCGTTTTTCCATAACGGAGTTTCCACTGGGTTGGCAATCTCGAAATCCGCCAAGGGGATTGACACCTCATGGATACTCTATAATAAACCAAATGAGCTCACTAACCGACATGCTGGGTTTTTATTGGCTTTGGGGCTAAATGGACATTTGAAAACCCTTGCTAAATGGGTAGCTTTCAAGTACTTGACCCCTAAGCATACCATGACCTCTATTGGCCTACTTTTGGGATTATCCGTATCCTATCTAGGAACAATGGATACCCTGATCACTCGTCTACTCTCTGTCCATGTTACACGAATGCTACCACCAGGCGCAGCTGAGCTCAATCTATCGCCCTTGACACAGACTACTGGTATAATGGGTATAGGGCTACTCTACTGCAATTCCCAACATCGCCGCATGAGCGAAGTGATGCTTTCCGAAATCGAACACATGGAAGAAGAAGAGACTTCGGTTTCCCAGGAGCCTTTGCGATATGAAGGGTACCGACTTGCTGCTGGGTTTGCACTAGGATTTGTTAACTTAGGAAAGGGAAGCGATCTTCAAGGTCTCCAGGATATGCGAATCGTGGAGAGATTGCTTGCATTGGCAGTGGGTACGAAGGAGGTTAATTTAGTCCATATTCTCGACAAAGCAGCAGCAGGAGCCACAGTTGCGATTGCAATAATTTTCATGAAGACGAATGATAAAGCTTTGGCCCAGAAGATTGATATACCGGATACCGAAGTCCAATTCGACTACGTTCGCCCTGATATCTTCCTTCTTCGAACACTGGCAAGACATCTTATCATGTGGGATTCCATCAATGCGAGCCAGAAATGGATACAAAAGAGCTTACCCTCATTTTACCGGCACAAGTACCGTTTGTCTGCCATAAAACGACTTACCACCGACGATATGCCTTACTTCAATATTGTCGCTGGGCTCTGCTTTGCTTTGGGTCTTCGATTTGCAGGGTCGGGGTCCATAGAAGCACGAGACCTTCTTGTTGCACATCTTGACCAATTCATAAGGATTTGCCGAATATCGGCATTGAATTATGACGCCAAATTAACACAGAACTCCGTACGAAATTGTCAAGATATCGTTGCACTCTCGGCTGCGGCAGTTATGGCTGGGTCCGGTGATCTAGTGACACTCCGCCGGCTACGCTCTTTGCATGGACGCGTTGATGGTGATACTCACTACGGCAGCCATATGGCAACTCATATGGCGCTGGGTATGCTCTTCCTGGGTGGAGGGACCTACACCCTTGGTACCTCTAATATCGCTGTTGCCTCCCTTCTCTGCTCGTTATACCCAATTTTCCCGACCAGTGTCCTCGACAACAACTGCCACCTCCAGGCATTCCGTCATCTATGGGTCTTGGCTGCTGAACCTCGATGTTTGATACCCAGGGATATTGATACGCGCCGGCCCGTCACGATTCCAGTGTCATTGACGCTTAGTACGGGGGAGGTGAAAACAGCTACCGCCCCGTGCCTTCTACCTGAGCTGGACGAGGTGTCTTCAATAAAGATCGCCAGTGCTGATCACTGGACCATCACGCTGGACTTTACCAGCAATGAGAGCTTAAGGAATAAGTTCCGGGATGGCGACCAGTCAATCTACTTGCGAAGGCGAGCCAACCATCATGATTCAGAGCGATCAGTTTTCTCTACCACGATTGCTGGGCTTAGCGATGCCCAGGACATTCCGCCACCAGCAGCCATTCCAAGAAACACGCGCCCTTTCTACGCAATGCCTCCTGCAAGTCTACATGCCTCGTTGCAGCCTAGTGAGAAGGGCCCCGGCGAAGCTCGCATGCCACCACGTCACATCTGGGATTTCATATTCGATCTCCCGGCATTTTCGTCGCTGGATATGTCTGAGCGAATGGCTGTACTGCCGCAGATTCCATTCCATGAATCTCTGAAGTTACTCTCCTGCGGAAAGAAGCGAAACAGGACTAGTCCACCATCCTGGCTGCGGCCTACCGCTGTCGATACAAGGCTTGTTCTCAACCGGACTATGCGTAACCTCATCTCTGCAGCAGCCTGCCACGGAGTGAGTGAAGAGGTGGTTCGAGATCGGCTCTGGCAGCTACGGCTGCTCTTCGCATGGATCGACGGTGCAAAGTATAGCAGCAATGACGACGGTGCTGGACATGACAAGGATGGCATTTCCATCTCGATGAGTAGATGGCTCAAGCAAGAAGTCATTGAAGACGCCCGGTGGAAGATCTGGAGGATACAGTCCGGGGACACCAGCGTGATAGATCTAGATTAGGCCCTGCCGCTACGTAGTTATATATACATACATACATACCTACCTACCTACTGCCTCCAAGAATATAGCTGTCATCCTCGCCTTCGGATATCAACCTCCTTTCCAGATGCATGTGCTTAGTCATCAATCGATACGCAAAAGCAACGACATCGAACTTTCGCAGCAGGAAGAAAACGACCTCGCATTCACATTTCTCCCCTACAGGCGGGCTTCTCACTATTTTCATGGCTGGAATGCAAGCTGCGTCTCTTTTGCTCGGCAGACCGCGTGCGACGTCTCAATGACCCGGCGACAGCGCAAGCAGCCCGAAAGTCGACGTCGGACGGGCTGCTGGACATGCAAGGGTACAGTCCATACGAAAACCCCCCCTTTCATGCATCAACGGAGATGCAGCCTCCCTCCCGCCGTGGGAGGGATTCCCTGTATCTCCTCTGTACTCCTCTCCTTTGTGGCTTTGATGATCCTGTTAATGCTGACTGGAAATCTCGGGGTTGATTTGTTGGTCGGCCGCAGAGAAGCATGTGCAATGTACGGAGGAAAAACCGCGCTGCAGTCGATGCGTACGGCTGAATCTCGACTGCGTCCGGGGGCTAAAGCTGCTTTGGAAAGAAGATGCATTGCAGAGAGGGATTCGGTTCGGCCGTGAAGGTGATTTATACTGGACTCCTCCTTTTTCTTTGCTCTTAAAACAATTATTCTGGTAGCTATCGCTACTGTTACTCGAGCAGGCAGACTAATATTCACGAGACAGGTGCCAAACCAGAGTCTGATCGGAAAAATATTGAGCGGAACTTCCAGGCGGTTCCCATCACCCAGTATGCTGGTCGCTGGCTGTTCCTCAACACGACCTACTGGGACTTTGGTCGCTCTCCAGACCGGCCGCTGGAAGAACCCGAAAGTTTAACCCAGTTATACGGGGCGGGAAGATGGACGTGCCCCTTTGTCCCGAGCCTGCGAGCTCCGCCGGGTCACCCACTGACATCCTTTTCCCAGACTGAACGTTATCTGCTAGACTACTTTATTGAGGGTATTGGGCCCAACTGCTCGCTAAGCCCGTTCTATAACCCGTATCTGTCTCTGGTCACCCCGCTCGCTCTGTCGCATGCACCACTTCGCAATACCCTGCTCGCTATCGCGGCGAACCAGTTCTATCGACTCGGAAACGTTAAATTCGAGAAAGAAGCCTACATCTATAAACAGCGCGCCCTTGCCGGTCTCCAAAAGGAAATTAACGAACGTAAACCAAGCTTTGGCGCCGTTGCAACGGTCCTGATGCTCTGCTTTCACGATGTATGCTCCTATTTTCTTTCCTTCCTCCCTTCACCATTTCGACTTTTTTCATTTTTTTCATTTTTCACCTTTCATTCCTTCTTTATGAAAAGTAGATGATCCAACTTCCTGCGTGCAATAATCTTAATCGCGGCTTTTCCCCCTTTTCTGTCTCTATTTAGATATCGGACGGATGCACACCATCATGGAAAACGCACCTTCGCGGCGGTATGCAGCTCCTAAACCTGCTTCCCCTGAAAACGGCAGAAGGCCATATGCTGAAACAGTTCTTCGTCATGTACTTCGTTGCGCATGACATTATGGGACGAACGGCTATGGAAGACAGCTCAGAAGCAGAGACCCTAGAAAATGCATGGCTAGCAGACGACGATTTAGAGGAGGTGCGCGGCCCAAGTTGCTTTCTTCTTTTTTCTTCAAAACCTCTCGCTTACCATCCTGGAAGATTGATATGCTTATGGGCTGCTCTCGCGGGCTAATGAGCCTAATTAGCAAGATCTCAAATCTCGCTACCGAGAAGTCTAAGGTGAGTGTTCATTTCCGAGTAAAAAAATAAAGAAAAAAACAAAGAATATAAAAAAAAAATGAAGGATTCACGTTTGAATCCGTCTGTTTCAACCTCCTAACAATTGTCCGTGCACACATGAAAAGATGTCAAAAAGTCGACCTCTCTCGATCTCAGAGCTCTCGTACTTCAACAATGCTCGTAACAATCTGGAGCTCGAACTCCAAAGTGTTCAACAGACTCTCCCATCGTATGCGAAGGACCGAGACGACTTGCTGCGCGTTGCAGAAGTCAAGAGGTTGACTGCTCTTCTCTACCTGCGACAGCGCCTTGGGACTTCACGCAATTCATCAATCCTGAGCCCTGTAAGTGTGGGTCTATATGCTCGATACCCCATAACTTTTAATACGAATACAACTCGAGCATCGCCCAGCCCAGGGCCGCTGGCCTTGGTCGAGTCTTCTACGCTTGCCTGGAAGGAGAAATTGGTCACAGATATCATTGCGATAATATCGACTCTGCCCGACACAGCGACGCTTCTTTGGCCGCTCTTTGTCGTCGGCAGCGTCGACATTGACAACGAGGAACATCGCCGATTTATACTTGAGAGGCTGCAGAACATTCAAAACTCTCGCAATCTAGGCAATATCCGCCGGGCAAGACTGGCCGTAGAGTCTGCATATCGAGCCAGGGATCTTGATCATCCTCGAGGGAACGACTGGGGGCGTGAAGGGCGTGGAATCAGTCTGGCATGAAAACCGACGAAACGAAAGAAAGATGATAGAAATTGTTTTCCACTATACGGAGTAATTATACACTGGGTAGGGGGCAGGGGGGTGGTATTCCTGGATGTTGAATAGATGGTTTCCATATTGTGACAATGTGTGTACGTTTTGCTCCCCCTGTTGATATTTACTCGCTTAATTATGTAACTGCTGCATTTTTTTTCTTGGTTAAATACTTTGATTTTTGCATTTACCCGATTGTCCTTTTCTTTCCGCTGCCATTGTACCTTTTTGGATTGGGCGTGGGACGGATTATGAACCAGTCTGAGTCTGCAGCATGTCTGCCGATGTGTAGGTTCGCCCATCCCCATTCCACCACCCCTGAGTGCGTTGGCGGCCCGCAAGCGCCGTTTCCGTGTGCTACGGCTCCTTCGCTGACAAGGATACCCAGGCTTCGGCTTGCTTCCACTGACATTTCAAGCTTAACTGATGGAGCATTTCCTGTCACTGCAGCCGGCGGCCTACGATCAACACGGAAAATGGAGATGTGAGCACATGCATACGTGCTAAATGCGTCGCAAGGGCCTCCAGTATACGGGTCGCTCCCCTTGCGGGTTGTTGATGCTGTCAAGCCACGGCCATGTACGAAAAAATTTGGACTAGCCGGTGCCATCCCACACAGGTCAGGGGAAGAATAATATGCGGAAAAAACTCATTCTTGCACTTTTTGAGGTGCGATAGTTTACGCAGATCCGTAGAGAATAGCTGCTATATAGTTATTCACTATGTTCCTTCACTCAAATACCCTTTTATACCCTTTCACCGTGCCATGGCCTCCTCGCGTGAACCCAGTCCATTTCGAGAGCGTCGACTGATATTTTTCTGTCCCTCGGTTATCAAAGTCTTCCAACTTTATACGGAGTTCTATTGACAGAAAGTGCGTCAAAATTTCTCCTAAGATGGCACGCAAACAGGATAATTGCGGCAACGGGGATGTCAATGAGAAGAACCTCGTCCAATCTAATTCAATAGCGTCAGATCTGCCCCCTGGCCTGGAAGACGATATGGTGGATCGAGCAGCTGTATACCTCACACAGGCCATTGAATACCCGCCCTTGACTCCCGAGGCGGAGAGAGCTCTCGTCAGGAAGATCGATTGGATCGTTCTTCCTATGGTCAGTTGTCTAAAATTACCTGTCTGACACCATGATGAAAAACCCCTAAAGAATTACTGACACGTCCTTATAGCTCCTTCTTACTGCTACACTTGGGGCAGTTGATAAAGTGGCACTGGGAACAGCGGCCCTTTATGGATTAAGGGAAGATCTGGGTTTGAAAGGCCAGACATATGCCTGGGCAGGATCTATTCTGCCAATCGGGGTGAGTTACGTTTCCTACAATTCGTACGCAAACGTACGCAGGCTGATAGATTATGACATACACAAAGGCTATTGCAGGCATGTGGCCGTCATCATATCTAGTACATCGATTTCCGTCCGCCAAGTATCTTTGCGTTTGCTCCATTGGGTGGTCAGCCGTTACCCTCCTTCTACCAACGTGCACTGGAGGGCAAAGCCTACTTGCATTAAGATTTATCATGGGTTTGGCTTCAATTCATACATAATATGTGGAAGTTAATGAGTATACTAATATTCTATAATATGTTCGGACAGGGTTCCTTGAAGCTATCATTGTGCCGGGGATATCACTACTGATTGCGGGTTTCTACAAAAAGAGAGAACAGCCGCCGAGAAATGCCATTGTTTTTTCCGCTTTCAGTTCTGTTATCAACGGATTTCTCTCATATACTGTTGGCCGTATCCCTTCGCCTGCACCATTGAGGCTGTGGCAGTACCTCTTCCTTATTGTAGGTAAGTGACGCCCCGTTTGCTACAGTATTTACGTATGCAATGATACGAATATGTTTCCTAGGATCTGTTTCAATGGCATGGTCGATATTTGCATTTATATTTCTCCCAAACTCTCCCATGGATGCCCGTTTCTTGACAGATGAAGAGAAGTACCATGCAGTCAAGCGCTTGGCCGAGAACAAAACTGGAATCGTCAACAAAAGATGGAAATGGAACCAAGTTTTTGAAGCTGTTTTCGACCCAAAGACGTGGATTATTTTCTTATTCAATGTTGCAATTAATATTCCCAACGGAGGTATATCGCCGTTTTATACTCACCAGTTGAAGGAATCAATTCTAACATCTGTACAGGTCTCATAACGTTTGGTGGAATTCTAATAAAAAATTTGGGATTTTCACCCATCCAAGCGTCCCTATTAAACATGCCTACTGGTGTGATGTCAACACTTTCGGCTTTTATCTTCTCTAGTCTTGCTGCTAGATGGGCGAATAGACGGTGCCTTGTCACCATGCTTGCTGCTTCAGTTCCCGTCATTGGATCTATAATCGTTTACACCCTGAAGAGAACGGACATTCCTGCTCAAATTATTGGACTGTACTTTGTGAGTTCATCCTTGGAACTCGCTATGAATATGTGATAAATACTAACATTCCAAAGCTGTATACCTATTTTGGTCCTTATGTTGTTGGTAAGTTTGAACCATGCATTCTCTATGGATACATCTAGCTAATGCATGTCAAGGCATATCCCTCGCCCAAGCAAATACGGCAGGTCATACGAAGAAGAATGTCCAATACTCAATCTTATATATAGGCTATGCAGTTGGTATGTTCTGTCCCTAGGTCGAATGGTCAACATACCTCGTTATACTAACCCCTGACTCCTAGGAAACTTGATCGGACCTCAAACATTTCGTGATAGTCAGGCTCCTGCATACACTGGCGGGTTCATCGCAATGCTTATTTGCTATTGTTCTTGTATACTGCTCATGGGGATGTATTGGATCCTAGCCGCTTGGATGAACAAACGGGCTAGCAGAGCTCGTATGTCAGCTACTTGTGAAGGAGTTTCGGTAGAGAACCATATAGACCAGTTCATGGATAAATCGGACTTTAAGCAAGTGAACTTCAAATATACCACATGACTCGGTGTTGTGCTGGGTATAATTAGGATTCGGTCAGATGGACTTAGACATAGATTTAGGGCAAATGGGACACTGCCTTTAGAGTACTAATTACTTGTTTCATTTTTTGTATAGAAGTACAAGGGAATGCAGTCAAATGATGTAAGTAAACGCAGAAAATAGGTAAGAAAAAGCTGAGCGAAGGCAACCATTTAACCGTTTAGACAGCAGACAAGGACGCTATACATGATCAAAGCAATGAGTCGAAATAATGGAGGTGATGAAAAAGACGTAAGAAAACGAACCATGACCTCCCAAATCAGGACGGGTATTGGGTGTGAGAAGGTATGCGAGGAGGAATGCGTGAAGTTGCAAAACCGAATCACCATACCCATGCCGTCCCATTCCTGACGATAAAAGCCAAAGCCATGCGCAAGCTCCATCCTTTTCAACGCCAAACAAAAGAAGAACAGGGAAAAGAAGGGAAGTTGGAAAGAGAGGCAAAGGGAAGGAAAAGCATCGAATCACACCATACAGTTTGTAGCCCACATCATAATATACTCGCACGTTTTTACCAGAAAACGATATGAATTGAATAAACAAGGAAGAAGCCTTACTTTGCAGCGGCTTTCCCGGAGAGGCCGATGGCCATCTTTTCTCTTTCGATTTTTTCTTTCTCCATCTGAAGTCGGTCGGCTTTGGTGATTCGCGGTTTTCTGGCGCCGCCGCGGCCAGTCCCTGATTTACCAGCTGTAGCACCATCGCCGTTGGGGTGGTTCGTTGTTGAACTGCTACCGGCGTGTCCACCGCGACCGCGAGACGATGTACCAGAGTTTCCATGGGTGGTGCCACTTGCGCCACCACGTCGGCCACGGCCTCGCTTCGTAGTTCCATCGGCTCTATAAAAGATATTTGTTAGTATTGTGATGTAGGGGCCAAGTAGTAGAGGGAGAGAGCGTACTTTTCAACAGAAACCTTGTCGCCCTCCTGGACTAGAAGCCCGGAGTAAACGAAAAATCCATCTTTGCAAGCTGCTGCCTGCTCTTCCCAGATTAACTCACTGTCATCAACAAACGGGTCGTCACGATCGTATTCCTCGATTTTGCGTCGGCGGGGCTTTTTGGCTTCACCATTGGGATTGGGGGCAGCGGTCGCTTCATCAGTTCCAGTGCCGTTTGGTGTGTGAGCGCCCATACCAGACATGTTAACATCGCCATCGCCGTCACTATCGCGATCCACGTCAAGAGAAAGATCGTCTTCGGCTCCGCTTTCCCCCCGGCCAGCTCGTTCAGATTTCTCCAGAACGGCGCTGGCAGCCGCCAGACGTGCACGACGTTCTTTTTGGGCTGCAATGCGTGGATGTAGCGCATCGAAGCCATACTGTTCCTCTGCCATCCGGGCAAAATTTATCACCAGATTTGACTTTCCCTTGATAGGAATGTTTAGAATGATATTTGGTAAGTATTTGGTGTCAGATGATGAGCTAGTGTCGCCGCCGAAGAGAGCATTAGAAAGCAGGCCGGATCCGGTGGAAGGTAGAGGTCGTGGAGGTTCCTTGTTGCGAGACGAAGCGGGTTTGGGGGACAAGGCACCTGAGGAAGCGTTTCCAGTAGAGGATGCAGTATTCTTTTTGGGGCCAGGCTTTGAGCTCGCTGGCTTCGAGTCAATATCCATTGCGTTTGAGTCTTGTGATTTCGAGTGTGTGAGAGGCTGTGCCGATGGTTTAGAGGATTCGGTAGCTCCGTTAGCAGGGTTTTGGGTGGGTGAAAGGGTGGGCTTATTGTCGGACGTAGCCGTGACAGGAGGAGGAATGGAGATAGCAGGAGTAGAGTTGGCAGCCGGAGGATCGATAATGCTGGAAATAGCTGGGGAAGCGCTAGCTCTGAATGGAGTAGTGGCCGGCCGAGGTGGAGGAGTCACTGTATTCGGTGGTGGACTAAAGGATGAGCTTCCCTGGGGAGCTGGTGCGGGCTTCGCTGTGGGTACAGCCGGAGTAGAAACGGATGAGCTGGTCTCGATAGCTGACCGGATAGGGTCATAATTCTGTCCGCTCGAGCGTGGGAGGGAAGCAGGCTGGGCCTGTTGGGGAGGTGGGGGAGGAGGTGCATGGTGAGTATTGTTGGTAGTGGTGGTGGTACTGTTGTTGTTGTTGTAGGCATAAGGTGAGCCAGCAGTGCCACCAGCTTCGTAGGTACCGTTTCTCTGCGAATAAGCTGCTGGATGATGTGGTGAAGGCTGAGGAGAGTGCTGTGAAAGACTCCGCTGCATCGAGTATGCGGGCGTGGGAGATGGTTGTGCGGAGGAAGTCTGCGGAGGGTGCTGGCTAAACTGATGCTGCTGCTGCTGCTGTGAGAGCTGCGGCGGATGTGCCGTCGCCGTCGAAGTCACGGAAACCATGTCTGTGATCTTTGTCTGGCGCGGCGTCACAGAGGGAGTGGCCTCGTCTGCTGTATGCTCCAACTTGGCCTTCTTGCGCGATGCTGCTGTTGCTGCTGCATCACCACCGTCCTGCGGCTTGACATTGCTGTTGCGCTGCCTCCTCGGCTTCGGCTCGCCGCCGTCCTTGCCTCCTGCTGCTCCTGCAACGGCCTTGTCGCCCGTCGAGTTCCGCTCGCGCTTCGGCTTCGCTTTCTCGTCGTCGTCCTTGCGCTTGCGGACTCGCTTCTGCTTCGGCCCTGTGGCTGTGGCTGCCGCCGGCGTCTCTTGCTGACTAAGTATGTGGCTAGTGTCTGTATTTGTGGCTGGTGCTCTGCTGTTGCGGCGGCTCTCTTTGCCACTTTTCCTGCCGGCGTCTTCAGGGACGGCAGGCTTCCTCTCGTCCATCGCGGTGCTGCTGGTGCCGGCGGTGACAGTGACTGTGCCGCAGCCGCTGGCCAGAGGCGCTCCGGAGTCCGCGGCGGGAGCCTGGGGTTCGGGGTTGGGTTTGGATTTTGATCCGGCCTGGGATTGGAATGTTGACGGGATCGCGATACTCTCGCATTCAGAGAGTGAAGTCAGCGATGGCGAGGAGGTCGGGTCCATTATCCAGACATCGTGACCCTCAGCAAAAGCGTGCTCTCGACAAGGAAAAGAAAAGTACGCTGCTGCTGTTTAAATCTTAACCTGGTACGGATATGGGCTCCCTCTATTTCCTTGACAGCTAGGGCGCGGGCGAGAAAAATCGTGGTGTCGGTGTGCGGTTGTTGGTGTTGAGGCGAGGATGTCCAGGAAAGGAAGAGAAAAAAAAAGAACACCCTTTTTTTATGTGTGCGTTGTTCGTTGAAAGAGAAAAGTAAACGAACTGGGTGAGAAGAAGATGGCCTAGTTGCGTGGTTGGCTGTTTGGTTGATGCGGATCGCAGAAAGGGCCAAAAAGTAGGTGACAAGGGGAAGGGAAAAAAAAAGTGACTGCGTTGGCGATGCAAAAAGTTGACGATAAGGAGGATAGCGAGTTGAGATGGGGGATGGTGAAACAAGCACGTTGGCTCTGACGAAAATTCGAGCTTCAAGTTTGGTGTGGTGTGGCGTGGATCGATAGCTGGGGGGATAGCTAGAAGAGTTAAAAAGGGGAGGGAGTATATTACGTTGCCGGGGAAAGACGAAGAAGAGGATGAGGAAAAGCGAAAATGGGGGGGATGAAAGAAGAAGAAAGAGGAAGAGAAAGGAGGAGGAAGAAAAAAAAAGGGATCAGGAGATTAAAAGAAAGCAAGAGGCAGGCGACGGGCAGGCAAGGCTTACGCGAATGATCAATGGATGGAGAAAAAGGCAAAGCAAAGAAATGGACGTGAATGGGGGGGAAGGGGGACGGGCAAATCGCTAATTACACATCCTCTCACTCTTCCCTCAGTCCATCCAGTCCAGTTTCAATATTCGGGCAGTCTGTCGTATCCAGCGTATACATCGTACGGAGCAGCGCCCGGGAAGCGGGCTTACTTACGGAGCCACGGCTGCAGCGAGCGGTATCAGCAGGGGCAGCAGGTGACTGACCGGCTTGACTCGACCTGCCTTGCCTGAATGAGCTTTTTCTCCAGATAGTTTAGGCGGAACCAGAGCAGCAGAGGTTACATAACTCTGTGTCCCGGCGCTGGGACATGGGGAGCTTGGCGGCCACAAGAGCTGGCAGTTCGAGCAAGGGGAGGATCGAGAAGCCGAAGACCTTGATAAGAATGCTGTGGAGGCGGCGCGAGGAACTAGTGGCTAGCGCATAACAGGCGCAATCCCTGATGACTAAGGAGACGCCAGCCTGTCACCCTTAATATCTAATGGGTCAAAAGACCGGCGGCAATCGACAAGACCCGTGGGGATAGGCAAGGGAGCTGCTGAGTCTTTGAGTGGTCCATGCACTGCAGTCGGTGAATTACGTCGTGGGCTAGCACGGATCCTCGCTGTCGACTGTCACCTGGCGTGACTAACTCGCTGTGTGGTTGGTGTGCTGCAGTGTGTACCGGCCGACCAGGGGGGTTACCATCCATTTAGAGACAGGTCTTCCAGATGATGCATCATATTCGACAGCTATATATATGCAACAGTTAGTTTCAGATTTCGATGCCGGCTGCTTTATTCACTCGCCGGAGATGTTTCTTCACTCCGTTCCTCGCCCTATGTCTCTCTCTGTACCTCAAACCTCTCCCCTGCTCACACTCCATTGGCTTCGCCTAGACCGGCTGACGGAGAAGTTCCACCGTCAAACCAGCTAAACGCAGGGCTTACCTCGCTCCCCCACCACAAACTGTCTTTCCTCGTCGGCTTCTCACCCTCTCCGTCCTCTTGCCTGAATCCTCCCGTCGCTGTTCGTTCTTCGATGTTGTTGAATGTTTGTCGTCAGAAGAAGAAGAGTTCCTCCATGCCCCGATCGGGTTTAGCGTCCGGGCCTCGTGCATATCCTTGCGCTAGTCCTCTTTCGGGTTAGCGGCTGCAGGTCCGTCCGCTAGACGCTAGTCCTGATTGGGACTTAGAGTTTTAAGCCGCAGGTCCCGTGCTTGGCCCAGACTGGCGGGACAGAAAGAGAGAAGAAAATCTTCGCCTTTTCGCTGACACTTGACACTTTGCATCAACCAGCCAGCGTCGATACGCCACCACGTTGTCGCGTCGCTCGTACAGCAGATTGCTGACAAGGGAGGAAACGCTGATCTGACCTTGATTGTGATCTGTCTTGGTGACTTCGGCCATGGCATTTCGAGGTGAGAGGTTTCATATCGACCTCTCAGACGACGAGGGCACACCAGCCCAAGCAACAGCTCCAACAGCTTCTCTTCCGTCTCTCAGCAGCTTCGTTAGCGATATACAAGAACGTACACCCTCCGCACCTACTCCTCCCTCTGCCCCGACACCCAAGTCAACCCTTACCTCAACCGGATTCCCGGCACATCGCAAACGCAACAAGGTATCTGCCTTCAAACGGCAGCGTGAAGGTGCAGGCGCGGGCGCTGAAAATGACAAGGCCGCAGTAAAGGAAAATACGGAAGCGGATGAGAAGAGGGCTATTGATGAAGAAAACAGGCGGAGGATTGAGGCTATGTCAGAGGCCGAAATCAACGCTGAACGAGCAGAGCTTACGGCTTCCTTGCCAGCATCACTGATCGAAAGACTGCTGAGAAGGGCGAACATCGAAGAAGATCGCCAGGAAACACAAGGCGAGAAACTAGAGATACCTAAACAACTGGAACCGGGCTCGTCTGATACGCCAGATGAAAAACCAAAGAAGTCAGTTTCGTTCGACATGCCAATTTCTCACCAGGCTACGGTAGAAGAGGTTAAAGACGACGAACGGGAGCAGTCATTTACCCATCCAGATGACCTCCCACCATCAAATCCACCTCCTGGTCTCCATCCGGCCTCCCAGCCGCCGCCGCCAATCCATTTTCCTCGTCCCCCGCCTCGATCTGAGCCGATGCCAAATCTCGATCCATCGTCACCTTCGTTCCTTTCAGATCTCCAAACACACTACTTTCCCGACACCCCTCACTCTGCCTCTAGCTTATCATGGCTACGATCCTCTGACTCCGATTCCGACCCGTCATCTGCCTACCACCCTTCCAGCACCGCCACTTCTATTGCCCCAGCAGCACTCCGCTTTTCACTCAAAGGAGCCATACTCGCACCCCGAACTTCACTATCCATCCCACCATCCAAGGGCCTCCATCACCATGCTGCTGACCCGGAGGCGGCAGGATATACGATTCCAGAACTCGCAATTCTCTCACGTTCCACAGTACCTGCTCAGCGGTGTCTAGCCTGGCAAGTATTGGGCCGCGTGCTCTACCGCCTTGGCAAAGGAGAGTTTGGTGAACAGGATACCCCGTTGGTTAATGGGCTATGGAGCGTGGTTGAACGAGAGGCTGTTGTGGCTGGTATGCTCTCTGAGGCTGGCGCGGATGCCGATATCGACGTTGATGGCAAGAAAGAAACCTCATCCGATGGCAAATCTTCTACAGTTCAGGCAAAGCCTGGAGGTATTGGACGACATGCCAGTGCCAGAGCATGGGCTACAGAGGCAGTCTGGCTCTGGCGGCGAGGAGGAGATGGGAAGAGAGGCCTTAGGCGAGAGTCAGAAGCCATTTAAGCCAGTTTTTATCCAGCTCTTTTTAGGAAGTTTCTGACACTCTTCAACTAAGATAGCATTTACGACTAATGACCTAATGTCTCTTGAGAAAAATTAAAACTGGCATGTTTTGTGGTTTAGCAGATACCATTATCGAAGAAATACTCTATCCATTATAGTTCGAATACATTATCACCTGCTTTAGTCGATTCAACAGCATATTAAGCTCGCTTATAGGTCTAAATTATTAAATATTACAAGGACAAAGGTTTTGCTCCAAAATATATTGTCTGCTTTCCGTAAAAGGATGTCCCCTCAATAGATCTTACCGATCTGTTCCCGTTTTCTAGGACATTTCTCCTTTCTTCCAGTAATAAAAGCTCGACAATATGTTCCAGCCCGGCTAAGGTGATACATAATGACGCTGATTATCCTATTCGGCCGCCCAGAAGACTTCCTCACACGGATCAGATAGTAGAGCGCAACGGTTGCAAAGATATTGAAGACAATATATGCCCATCCGATCCCGAAGTTCCTCCATCTGTCGCTCCAGTGTATTTCGGAGCCTCCTAGGAATTGGTCACCGCTGGATAACGGACAGTATTGACATTGGCTAGTACTCATTGGATTGTACAGCTTGCCTGGAGCACCCGCTTCTACCAACTTCTGTAGGTATTGGGCACAGGTAGCACCGCTCGGAGGGTCGAAAATTGCCAGCTCGTTCTGTGCACATTTAACTTCTCGATCGTGCAGTGAAGTTGCTGCAAGGCCGCCCACCGTGTATGTGATAGGGGAAACTCGCCACATAAATCTCCAGAATCCAGGAAGGGCATTAGGCTTCTGAAGAACACCGTTGAAAGTAACCATCAGACCGAACATAGTTGTGGCGATTCCTCCGGCCGTTTCAGCATCTGGCAAACCGGCAATTATCATTTGTGCAAAGGTGGATGCGAAGATGAAGAATTGGACACAATAGAGTAGCAGGATTCCCTGTCTTTCGGACGATAGATGGGCACCAAATGTGGGATAGAAAAGAGAAGCCCATGCGATTATACCAAGGAGGATCTGATAGGGAATCTCGACGATAATGTTTGCAAGAAGGAATACCTTCCAGCTATATGCGCGAGAGGGACGCTCCCGGACTTCGAACAGGTCTCGCTGTGTGACGAACCGTGGCATAATCTGTAGCCGTGTTAGCCCTGACTCCTGGAGAACGAGCATGTCTTATCTTACCTGCTGGACAAGGGAGCTGAAAATGGTTGTCAGCATGAATATTGAGAACAGGCTGTTCTGAAGACCTGCCATCGAGCTATTCTGTAGGAAAAAGGAGAAACCGCTGTGTTATGTAGGATATTAGCAACTGACAAGTTAATACGATTACCAGACATGTGGGTAACTTACATGAATAATGCCGATGCTAGTCCGAGAAGAAGCTTTCCCCAGATGTACGAAGGCGTCCTCCAATACTGTTGAAATACCCGAGTGGTAACGCAATATAGTTGAGAAGTAAAAGGCATGGCGAATTCGCCAGGCTCCTTTTCAGCTGATTGACCATGGCCCTCATTCCTCTTGCTTGTTTCCGACTGGATTCGGTCAAGTTCTTGTTGAACATGACGGCTTTCCTCACTTTCTTTCCAGACTACTGGCCAGTCAATCTTTGACTTTCCGCTTGGTCCGGCACCGACAATGTTAAGCATATACTCTGCTGGGTTTTCACTTGGACCACATGGCTCTGCTCCGTGGGTTTCGAAGTAGTTCAGCAAGGTTTCTGAGTTCTTGCCTATATCTCCAAAATAGACAGTTCTGCCTCCCTTGGCTAGGAAGAGTAACCGGTCAAACTGCTCGAATAGGATACCGGAAGGCTGATGGATGGTGGAGAGAACTGCCTGGCCGTTGTCCGCAAGTTTTCGAAGGAATGTAACGATAGACCAGGAACTCTGCGAATCAAGTCCGGAGGTTGGCTCATCAAGGAATAGCAGAAGCTGAGGCTTTGCTGCAAGCTCAACTCCAATAGTTAAAAGTTTGCGCTGCTCAACGTTAAGTCCTTCACCTGGATTTCCAACCACGGCTTCGCTGAAATCTTCCATGCTAAGCATCTTTATCACATCCTCAACATATTCGTATTTTTCCTTCCTCGACACTGACTTAGGCTGGCGGAGATCTGCGGAAAACCGAAGTGCCTCCCGGACAGTTGTTGTCTCTAAATGAAGATCTTGTTGCTGGACATAGCCGGTTTTTCGTTGAAAGGATGAGTCTAGTGGTCTACCGTTGACAAGCATATCTCCAGTGATGACACCCATTGTAGTTCGCTGGGCTAATGCATCGAGCAGGGTAGTCTTCCCGGCACCTGAAACTCCCATAAGAGCAGTAAGGGTGCCAGGGCGGACCCAACCCGAGATGTTGTCCAACAGCCGACGGGGTTCTCCTTTGATGGTGATATCATAAGTGACATTTCGCCAGGTAAAAATATCTTTCTGCGGTGGAATAACTGCAACAGCAGAGCCACCAGGCGCGGTCTCTCCCGCTGTGCCATTAGTACTGGTGGGAGGTAAGCGAGCTGGATCATTGGGATGCATGACACCGCCGGCGGCAGCCTCCTCATCCTTGGACCCCTGGAAATTCTTTGGAAGATGTCCACGACGGAAAACTAGGAACTCAGCAGAAGAGGCACTGGAGAGGTTGAGTTCAGAAACCACCAAGTAAACGAAATAGAAAAATGCTAGGAAACCCAGAAGAATCCCTAGGTTTCGCCAAATATGTGCGTAGCTATAGTCGTAGCTGGATTCTACCCATGAATCGCCCGAAACTGACATTTCTCCGGGGACAGCGCCAGCAACGGCACATGCAAAGTTTTTTCCACTGCCGTACGGTGGTACGGGCGTTGCACATCTATAGCGGTTGCCGTGAACTTCATTCACAAGTAATGCTTCATAGGCATAAGCTATAGGGTTGATATAGAGAATCCATTTGAACCAAGGGTGCCTAAACATGTGTTAGCCTGGGAGATGCTTCGAGATATGGAGGATTTTGGGAGGTTATTTCAACTAACATATAGGAAGGCTGCAGGGTAAATCCAGTATATATCACTAGAGCAAGAATCATGACTCCAGCCAGAGCAAGAGCTTGAGGTATAGTCTTGGTTGCCGCAGCCAACGTGCGAAATATAGCCGACATGGTAAGGATGGTGATGAAAGTAAACAGGAAGAAGATGAAAAACTTCGCTGCAGATCTCTCAAGTCCTCCTAAGAAATATATGATTATATTGAATGCCAAAGCTAGGAGAAATTTTATGGGTATATCTGCCACAATTCCTGCCAATGCCTCTGAATATGCATGGTAGAATGCAAAATTGACATGTTTGACAACAATCGGGCGTTGAGCATCTAGGGAGTATTAGTATATTACCCGGAAGGATAGGATCGATATTCTTACATAGTCTGTTTCAAAAAATGTTAGCATCTCCAGTCTTGTAAGTAGTATAGATCTCTAGGGGTTGAACATACCCATTGATTTCAGTGATCGACATAAGGCCGTTAAGAAGGATAGCAAAGAAAATAACAGAGCCCTTTGCGAAGAAACCATCCGTTGTCTGAGGGGTATCGAAGAAAAGAGAACCAATAATCAAGGCCATCATAATTTGACTGATGTTTGTGGCAATTGTAGACGATTTGTCACCCCAAAGGCGTTGATATGCACGGACTGTACATAACTTCACTTGCATGGGCACACTGATTCGGTATGGGGACTTCGATGTCGTATGCTTTGCTTGAGCCTGGCCGTGCGTTTCACGGAGCTTTTGAAGATGTCCCTCTTCAGGAGGGTATTCAGCCTCAAAACGGTCCATGTCAGCGAGAAGTAGCTTGTTATTCTGTGATTGTTTCCAGTATTGTTCAAACTCAACAGCTGTCCGTGGAACTCTGTTCTCATATCCCTCCTTCGCTATTCTCTCTTTGGGGTTTGTCACGGAAGTTAAGAAATCGGCCGTTGTTTGTCGAGGCGGGCAGTACCATCCCATTTCTTCAAAGTATTGCTTTGCAATCCTAGTAGGACCAAAGAAGATCTGCCGCCCTTCGTAAAGTACAATCACTTTATCGAAGATATCATATATAGCCTGACTAGCCTGGTAGATTGCAAGGCACTGAGTGATGCCGCCAACTTGGGAGCCGATCTTCAGAGCCTTGGTGAACTCAAGGGCAGTAGCTGAGTCAAGGCCTCTGGTGGAATTGTCCCAGCAGCAAATTGGAGCACCGGAAAGTGCAATTTCAGCAATACTGACTCGTTTTCTCTCTCCACCGCTAACACCACGGACATAGTCGTCGCCGACTTTTGTGTTATAGGTGTGGCTCAGGCCAAAGACTGACATCATGACCCGCGCCAGGTGCGTTGAAAAGTCCTTACGGCTCAGGCCGAGTACTCTTTTAGAAGGAGTACGGGCAGCCGCAGCGAACTCGAGGGTCTGTCCAACTGTCAAATGAGGGAAGTGATGTTCATCTTCGGCGCTATACACAGCTTCACCACGAAGTTCCTTTTTGAAAGTATGCTGAGACACGCCATTATAGTGAATTATGGACTCCTTTTTCTTCTGAAGGCCATGCAGTTCACCACAGATTGCTTTCAGAAAGGTAGAGCAGCCACTGCCGGGCCGACCTAGAACCATGAGAAGCTCCCCCTCGCGTATTGCTCCATTGAAATCATGTAATATAACCTTCTCGGGATTCCTGCCTTTCCCGCAGAGCTCGCCAGGCCGAAAGGGGGCTGCGAATGGAGATAGGAATGTGTCTTGATATTGCACGGCGGATCCAGAACCTAGGACAGTAAGGTTTCGAAACATGACACCGGTTCTGTTACGTTTGATGCCCTCCTTCTCCATAACATGGGTGAACATACGGGCCCATTTGTAGAAATCAAATTCGGGTTTCGTAGGATCAAGGACGGGGTCACCAATCTTCACGCCAGCAAGAGTATCTCGTCGATTTAGCTGGCCGCCATCCTCTGTAGTGGGTGCGACATCAGGATGGGAGTCCACCCTCGAGAAGACGGAGGCAATTCGAACCAATTCAGGCCGAGACTGAGGCGACCACGTCCTGACAGTTTCGTACATGGCTCCTGATTCATAGTCATCATGTCCATGTTCATATCTATCATCCATGACATCGTTGGTCGGAGTGATTTCGTTTACATCGGCAGCCGGGATGGGGCGATTTGTCGTCTCTGTAATAACTTCGCTTTGATATTCTTCATATTGAGCATCTGGCTGGCCAGAAGGAGGTTGAGGAGGCCGGGAAGCCATTCTAGCGGTATAAACGAGTGAAAAGGTTGATGTGAGGAGAGACCAGATCCAATGTTGCGGTGCTGCTATCTATAAGTATCCAACTTCATACTCAAGAGGCGATAGCGGCGAATGCTCCACACAACACCCCGGTGCATAAACACAGTCGAGTTCCTGAGCATCGGGTTTGATGGGAGATTCCGAGGCCCCCGATGAGCATAATATCCATATGTTTTGTATTTGTGTGCGAAGAGGCCATGGCATCCGGGAAGGTCAAGTACTGGAAGTATAACCTGGTCTGGATCCCACTATGATAGTTAGAATCAAGCTTGGGCGAGCCTGGGTGAGCCAACCAGGAGCCCTTCCATAAAACTTGCGCCTCGGTAGTAAAAGTGCGTTTTGTTCCGTGAGTGGTCCGTCTGAGGAGCGAGGCGAGTCCAAGACAGATAGCTTCATCTGGACGGGGGTTCACGTTGGGCCGACTCCACCACGCAGGATGACGTTAAGCTGCAGAGGCTCCAGACAGGCATAACTAAAATCCGTGAAGATCCTGATGGCCAGTCGGCAAGTACAAGGTCCGATTCCCCTTCACTGGCACTTGGCAGGCGGATTAATGCTGTCTTGGGCCTTGCTTGTCCGAGGTTTCGATCGAGGATGCTCCATAATAACAACTCGCGGCTGGCTATCCACACACACAGCCTCATCTCATGTGAAGAAGGGCCTGGAGTCCCGGAACGCGGATAAGCTGGAATTAGAGTGAAAATTCTCATCCATCCAGGGGCGGAGAGCACAGCTGGCGGCCCGGCATCGCGGTTAGTTAGCGGACCAGGCACAGTCCCTGTGAACGCAGTTAGCAAGACGCGAAACATTTCAGGACTGAATTAATCCCACCAGCTCCCACGGACCTGTTTTTCGGCTATCATATTATCGCCATCTCGAGCTGGCTAAATTAGCTAGCTAGCCTTTGTGCGACAGCTTCATTGTATTCTGTCGATGTGGCTTCAACTCTGACAACGCCACAATGAGACCTGACCAGACAAAAGGGGCCGAGCAGTGGTATGGTGGCAATGATACAAACCCATGAAATTCCCAAGCATTATTGATCAGCTTGTTGATGTGTACCGAGTGCATATTCAGTTTCAGGATCTCGAATTTATCGTATCTTCCGTATTCTGCGCCAATAATATCACCGGTTAACTCGTTAAGACGAAACCCTGCCTCACCCTCCAATCGCTTTATTCTTTACGGCCCACCCCGTCGTAATCTATGCGATTCGGCTCAAGAGCAGTTTTGATCTTCGTCTGCGTGTTGCTGTTGACGATGTCGGCAACAATGGGATTCATGAGCGCCCAATTGTCTCGGTACTCCCCCGAGCCCTTGCCAGCGGCACCACCACTCCGACCAGCGAGTGAGCACGCAAACGATATGACTGAATTTTCCTCGATGGCGTGCCACGTTGTCCCGGACTTCCGCTCCAGGCCCGTTACCTTGGCCGCAGTCTGGGTTGTCAGTAACGGTGTATGCTGTTCTAGCTCTATGGAGCCCCCTAACGATCGAATGTGGGAAAAGAAAAGGACTCGGAGCATTCAGTCCATTGCTATACCCCCTGCGTCCAGTCAGAAAGAAGATTACCCAGCTTGGGGGCATTTTGGATCACCGATGAAATGTGCGAAGGCCGCATAACCTCAATAACCTGGTGCAAGTATCCCCCCCTAGAGAAGATGGAAGAGAATGGGAGATAAACTACTACTATCCTCCATGAGCTAGACGCCCATTGTTACTACAATACCAAGAGAATGAAGATGCTATCACCATAATGGGTCGAAACCGTAATTAAACAGCTGCCAATGATCATTTGGTTCCTGTTCATGCCGTGGCCTGCTTCTGCCGGCATATAGATTTGGCAATGCACCCCCATTTCTGTCGTGATAATCGAACTATCTGGTAGTAGCATCTTCATGCCACAATGCGTCATACCATGCCATATAGTGTGGCAGAGTTGGATGCATGTTGAGATGAGATGCCCAGACCCTAAGACTCCTAAGGAAACTAATGTTTACGGTATTTTGGGATAGGTAGTTCATTACGCCTTACCTAGGACCTGAGATCTGGCCAACTTGCCGCCTAGTTCGCCAAGATGCTGTGAATCCAGAGATCTGGTCTGATATGATATATGGATATAACCCTCCACACGCCACATCGGTGACCCTGCTATAAACCGATGGTACGGTACGATGGCGATGGCGACGTGCAGCCTTTACCACGCATTATCCGCGTTCAGAATTGGCAATACTGAGAGGAATGTGAAGTGAAATTCAATATGCGTGCAGCATCCCTGGGAACTGGTTGGATTACAAGCTGTTTCTGTAGGGTTATGAGATGTAAACATGCGCATACACATCACATTAATCCCGGTCTTGGATGCTGGCTGAGAAGACTCAAGACCCTCTTGGCATTGGCAATGCAGATGGATTAAGCGAGCTTGTGAGATTCTATAAGTATGCCGCCTCAGCTTCTAGCCGGGTGCCTGTCAACAATGGGCCTGGCAACTTCATTACTCTGTTTAAGGATGCCCTTTTGCACTATGATTTTTATTATATTATTCTATCTCTCCGGTGTTCTTCTTGTTCTAATAACAAGTATGTTCTGGATCCGACGCCAAAAGACAGCTGATGAATCTGGCAACCATTCAAGAATACAGCACCTAAAGAATCTCAAGACCCGCCACGAGACTGCATCTGATTTGCTGGAGCTGGTTCAGATAGATGGTGCGGGAGCATGGCCACCGCGCACAGATTTTGAGTCATGGCCAAGTCCATTGCGCCCCTACCATGATATCTACTTCAATATTATACCGCTTCTGTCTACTGCAGAACCCTCACTAGATGATGCTGTCAACAAGAAACTAGTCGGCGACTTTCGATCACGTATGAGAAAGATGCTCGCTGAAAGAATAAATCTTGCACATGTCAAGGAAATTATGGCTGCGGCTGAGGCCGGGAAATGGGATATCTTCCCTCGAGACACCTACAATGGCTTCTACTGCTGCATCGCTGTGTCGCGCCATGCCTATAGGTGAGATGGAAGCCAGACTGTCAGCGGGCCAATCACGACGTCGCGGGACCCACATCCGGCAGTTAAGCTATGTGGGGCCGCCGAAGCTTTGGCCAGTCATGTATCCACAATTTGTGTTGCTCTGGCTTATCAGCTTCACTTTGATTTATTAGCTGGTTGGCTAACCAGTTGGCCGATTTATTTTATCTAGATGGGGAACGATTCCTGTTGTCGAATTTGCCCAAAGAGAGCAGGTACTCGAGCTCCCACCTGAGCTTGACTTGCCCTGGGACTATCTGCAGCGCAACTTTGGCGTCACCGCTGCGAGTGGGAACAATACAGCAAATGTCCTGCTCAATATTAACAAACGAGGCGAAAGAGTGTACAAGATAAATGTTGCAATGTCAAGTCTAATAAGATCATCAGAGGAGACATTTTTCTGAATTTTCTTGGATATTGAGGTTTCGGTATGTATAAAACTTGTCAGACAGAAGTAGTGCTTGAGAAGTACTTGCTGATAGCCATCAATTTACCAGGCTTTCCCCATCTATTATGAGATGGTATGTGCCATCATCAGCTATGAAGACAATAATCGGATGTCTTGTTTGAAATATCTGGAGAGCATCGGTTTCAGGCTTCGCCGCCTTCTGAGGTTGTTCTTCGAAAATCTAATCGAGTCGCGCGTATCGCATTCCGTGTGGTTAAGCTACGTTCAGGGCTTCCAAGCCTGGGGAGTTGGAAGAATAGTCAACGGGGAAGTCGTAAAGTACGACGGTCTTTCGGGAAACCAAGTTTTAATCTTCCAAGCCTTGGATGCTTTCTTGGGCATGGGCAGTTATCTTTCTGACGAACAATCCAACAGGTATATTCCAGTCAACCAGAGAAAGATTTGCCATTCCTTGAGGAAGCATTCTTTTCGAAAAAGTGCTCAAGCCAATGGGTACATAAAAATCGAATATGGTTTCAAAAATATTGTAAACCACCTGAGAGTATGGACTATCCTTTCGTACTATTCCCTACAAATAGACTGTTAATATATAATGCAGGTCTTTAGGTCGGCTCATGGAGCAAGAGCTTTCTCATACCTGGGGCAGCCTGCCCCTGAGCGGCTCGTGATGACGGCAGGGAAGTCCGTCCTCGAGGGAGCCACCAATCAGGAAACGGAGAATAATTTGAGAGCCTTGGACCAAATGCTAGCCACCAGGTTTAAACAGACAACCTAGCCGATACCTTGACATTAGCGTATTATTGGTCTAGGTTAGTTATTGATATAAAAGGCAGGGTCAGTAACTGGTTACTTCGCTGTAGCTAATTGGTGTCAATACGATATCTATTTGTTACCTCATTCCATCGTCAACTTAAGGCGGTTTCATCTGCGGTTAAGCAATTATTTCTCATAATTTTATTAGAAACCGCTTCTGAGCTTACTACTGGGGTTAACCATGAAGGTAAATTAAGCCTACCAAATCATGGCAGATTTGAAGAAGAATCAACGAAAAGTCAGCCATGGATCTAATGATATCCGGAATGGCTGTGACTAGGGCCTCCTCCGATTCCCCTCTCATCTATTTTGGAGTCTAAGCCCAAGCTCATGAAGGAGAGAAATATGACAACCATAAGAATACTGAATAAGGGTGCTGTCCAGATGTTTCACGGAAGGAATGGGTTGTTTGACCTTCATCCCCTAGTATACAAAAGTAGCAAAGTGGATGATTAATGGCATAAGGAGCGTAATCTCCTTAAGACTATCCCAACACGCATGCTATGATCAATAACATAATAGTTATAATATTGTTAGGTGACCTCAGAGTTAACCTAATTGCCCGTTTTTTGTGTCTGTTTCTAAAAAAAGAAAGGTCCGCCCGAGCTTCCCTCACGTGGATTGAGGAAATTAGTTATTCCATTCCATTTTCAGTTTTTCATTATCGGGCAGCCAATAGGATGCAATTTTATTTAGTACAGCCAATTAAAGTTGCGGTTGTCAAGCGCTCATTGGTCCCTTGCGCTCTAACTAACCAATAAAATTAAGATACTGTCCGAAAAGCTTCCGAGCCTCTCAACCTTCAACCTCGTAACGCAATCTTGAAGCTGGGTCGATGGTGTCTCGACTATCTTGACTGGCTATGAATATCGTTGAACTAAGCTTCGTATTCTCTAACTATGCTTCCACTAGCTAGCACCAGCCCGTTTGGGCTGTGTTGGGTGGTAATAATGATGATATAAATAGAGAGATAGGGGATTGTTCCCCTCCCAAGGCACCCATATTTCATACTCACAACAACCTCGCCCTACTGCCATACCACCGATATTTACAGCATCGTATACTCCGTATACCCCCCGCAATATGGCCCGTCTTTCTGAAATATGCATTATCGGAGGGGGAGTGAGTGGCCTGGCATCAGCGCTGGCGTTAGCCAAGTATCTATCGACCAGGGAGGAACACGCCAACATTACTGTTTATGAGCTTCGCGATCTGCCATCCAGCCTGGGTGGTGCTGTGAATCTGACACCTAATGCCCTACGAAATCTTTATAGGCTTGAAGTGTTGCCTCACATTTACAAAAACGAATATGGCGCAGAGGTGGACCGGATCGAGCTGTTCTCCAACTACTCCGGGCCTGAACAGCTTGCCTCGATGGACTTCGTCGACGCCCAGGGCGAATCGATGAGCGGATTGAAGGGCCTTAGGGTGTTGAGACTGCCGTTGCTGTTAGCCATGATTGACGCTATCCATGATACAGCTCTTCCTGGTATCACCTTGAATATCGTCTATGACAAAAAGCTTGTTAAACTCGAAGAAATTTCTCCAGACGCCCAGGGTGACGGAAAGGTACAGGTTTCATTTGAGGATGGAACTGTGGTTGAAGCAGATCTAGTTTTGGGCTGCGATGGGATCCATTCAAAGACGCGAATGAACTATGTCGATCCCGAACGAGAACCTGTATATACCGGCATCTCCGTGGCTCAGGGATACGTTGCTCGCAAAGATATCACGTCCAACCTTCATTTCAAAGATACAGGTATGATTATGGCACGAAGGGGCTCACTGTTGACTTCTTTCTACGAGTCAACTCGAATGTCCATCTACCTAGCCTCAGTTATGGAGGCTAAGGAAGCTCTATCACGAGATGGATGGAAGGCCAAAGGGGAGGACCAAGAGGCTATCAAAGCTGATATCCTTGATCGGTTCGGTGATTCCGTCTTCCCATGTGTAAAAGAGATGATCACCGCATCAAATAGTTGGTACTTGTTCCCGGTCTATAAGCTACCACCCGGCGGAAAATGGTGCACTGAGAGAGTCATGTTGCTGGGAGACGCAGCCCATGCCGTAAGTCCTATCGTACACTATGAATGCCTCTGTATTTGAACATCCCTAACAGTGTGTAATTTACAGATGCCTCCACAGGGAGAAAGTATTGGTATCGCCATAGAAGACGCCATTTTATTTGCTAGAACACTAGCGAAATATCGAGCATCCCCTCTATCCGAGACCTTCAGGGTATACGAAGAGCTGCGCCGTCACCGGATAGATGAGCAGTACCAAGAGGCATCGAGGCGTTGGGAGACTGTTCGTGATTGTGGCTATATCGTGAGCAAGCTCAAGGAGCTTTTCCTCCCATGGTGGATGTGGTGGACAAGCAAGGCCCGAGAAGAGACCTTCCTGTCTGACGCTGAAAGAGTTACAATCCCTTGATCAGCTACACAAGGTCCTAATTATATCGTCCGCAAATATTCAATATTCAAGTGTTTTCCATCTTCTTTCCCGCACTGAAGTTTTGCGACCACCGCAGCCTGGTAACTTAATTTTTTCTCCTCCCCCCTTTTTTTCCCTTGCTTCTTCGCTCGTCAGCGCGCCCGTCTGAAGGCTGAAGGATGCAGGGAAATTAAATCGGGTGGCTGGCGCGAACATGGGTGGTGCATGGCCAGACAAAATCCCGTATGCGGCTCCCTAACGCCCTCTCTGAACACCTTCTTTATCAACCTCTTAGCATATATTCTGGACAACATGAGCTACGACAGAAGGTCCAATATATTCCGTACAGCCACTTCGAGACGGGACCTTCATCTGTCCTTCTACGGAGTATAAATATGCCATTGACAATCTTGGATCACAACTGGCGTGATGGCACAGCCTCCTTAGCGCTGGGCCGATCCGACAGGGGTAGACGCAGGCTTGATTTTATATGCAGCTATAAAGAGCTTCCGTCCTCTTCACCAGCACGGTAGCCGTCGCCCTTTTCTCTTTTTAATCATCCATGAGTTCTAGGAGAAAAATGGAGTCGGAATCTATTCCCCTCTATCAGCAAAAATCAACGGTTTCGCCAGCCGAAGGTTGTGCCAGCAGGAGGGATATCCAAGCGTACGGAATTGCCCTGTTGCTTTCCGTCTGCGAGCCAACAGGATATGATGACAGGTGCTAATGCATGGGCAGCAGGAGTGAGCTGCAACACCTGTCGCCTTGTGCTTCAGTTGCAACAGCGCTAAACGACGACAGTGACGACGATGATATCCATAATGATGACCGTGATAGTGACGACGGAAAAAGGACAGCCTCACACACGCAAAGCACTAGATCATCGACCAAGCGAGAAAGCCCAAAGGTAGTTTTAGGAAGAAGCAGGACGAAAGCAGTTCAGCACTTTCTCCTGTTCCATGTTATCCCGATAGCCGGAGCCGTGGGTCTCATCGTCTTGAATATAACTACGAAATTCTATACCGCAGACCCGGCTTGGATACCACTCCTGCAGTTCGTTGCGAAAGTGCACGAATCGCTAATTGTGCTTTCAATTGTCGTTGCCATGCTCACATACCTTCAATACCTCCTCATTCATAGACAAGCGGTACCCTTCGGATCAATCTTCTTTGCCCATCAAATGACCCATATGGGCTATCTCTTTTCCCCAGAATTTCGGGCCACCTTGACGGCACCCGAATTCCCACTATCTATGAAGGTTGTCTTTGCAATTGCGGTCATTTTCAGTATTCTATTAGCCTCCGTTGTTGGGCCTTCAAGTGCCATTGCAATGCAGCCAAGAATGACAAACTACTCACTACCAGATTGGAGCGGGTTTGGTGTCAATGCTTCCAGCGACTATCTATTCCCGAAGGTGCTCAATAATGGTAAACCCCCTATAAAGGGCATAATGCCTCAAGAATGAATTCTGTTTTCTAACTCACCTTTAGACACCCGCCTTCCACCTTTCTGGGAGGGAGTTGAGGGCCTTATTATACCCCCAGTAACGTCTACGGCCATAGGCGAGACCTCCCAAGTTGGTGTTCAATATCAGACCAATAGTGACGGTCATCAGATAATGGTTATGCCAATCTTATATCCTTCAACAATATTAGAACGTTCGTCGGCTTTGGATCCCTTTTTGTACAATTACGCAATAGGATCAAGGACCATGTACCTGCAATATGCCCCTAACGCAACAATTGCAACCATCCCACAGATATTTGCTACGTCTTCTTTACTTCGGGCCTATAATTATTTCCCTGGTCAACCAACCGGAAAGTTCTTCCCTTCAATCATCAGTGCCAACCTGCCGCAATCCTATGTTAGCACTGTATGCGAATTGAACACTATAATGGGGGAAGATGATAATCGCCCTATACACTTCCCAGACAGCTATTTTGCCGACTTCTTCTATAACGAGACGTCATATTTAGAGCAATATCCAGTGTTGAATATACCCAATACTACCGACCACACAACAATTTCTAGGAAAGATATTTGGGAACAAAACATACAATCTCGGAGAGGCCGAATAATATGGGTTGACGGGGGTGTAGAAGTGGCTTCCCCCATCCCTGGAACCACACCAGCTGCCATAGTTGTTCATCCTGAACCTTGCAGGTCTGTAAACGGCTCTGCGTTTCTCTCAGTTTCGGCATGTGTCCTTGGAGCACGATGGACAAACACGACTGTGAAATATACCAGGACTAAACAATATGACGAGAAAGCCAAATTGGAAAATGAACTCACGCCTGACTCTCTCGTTTTTACCCCTGACTGGAGGGACACATCACAATTGATAAATATGCCCGCAGAATGGACTAATACGACAGTCGGGGTGACGCGCATATTCAACCTCACACGGGAGACGGATAGGCTATACCATTCACCCTCGATCGAACCCATTCGTATCGAGAATGCAGCCGACAAGTTGTTGAAGTCCCTGCCCATGACGGATATTATCTGCCCTGTGAACGGCACTTACAGTGGTAACCACCGCCCCGTGATGCATGAAGCTGTCTTATCGACGTTGGTTGCAAATGCTATATCATATCATCACTGTATTGTCGAGCCCAGTTTTCTTTGGAGTTCAGGTTGGAGACCGGCCATAAATGACCGCGATAGCTCGATACCAATCGATCCACCGAAGAAGACTTTTACCTTCCGTTACGTCACAAGTGGATATGCATGGACAATGCACGGGACGTCTATCAAATTATCAATTGCCATTCTTGGTTTATACTGCATTTTTGGACTCACGTACGGGGCATATTCGCTGATATCAAAACGAAGCTCGCTTGCATGGGCTTCCATCTCCGGCCTTGTTACATTGGCAATGAACTCAACGCCAACTAAAAGCTTGAAAAATACAGGAGCTGGAGTTGGTACCACTGACATATTTAGGAGGCTTATCAATGTCAAGGAACGAGGGAGCAGCAGAAAAATTGAATTAGTTTTTGAAAAAGATGTAAAGGAGGACCAGTCGCGCGATAATATTGAATACCGGAATATTATAGCAGGGAGAGCATACTCATAGGGTCTATAAACGTTATTCTTTTTGTTGAGGAAATATGGCTTTTTGGTTCAGAGGGTAGGCTTCATATTTGGATATGCTGCTGAGCAAATTGTATAAGTTATCATGGCAGTCCATAACTCTCCGCAAGGATGCCCATTCTACTACGTGTTACATAGCCAGGTGAGATCATGGTTTCCTTCCTATAACAATATGCACTTTTAAATAAAGATGCAGGGATCGATCCTGAAGTTCGGCTCGAACCTTGGCACAAAGATCGTTGACCTCTTCCCGAGTCCATTTCAGCACACGGGTATATAGGGCAGGGGTATATGCGCCGACAGCCTGTGTAATCTGCACTTGCTGGAACTTGCCTATCTCTTTCAGTTTAGGGTCCTTTGGCCAAGTACCAATTGGAAGCTATGATAAGTCAGCAAAAAAGTGCAGCATAAAAGGTAGCAGGTCAAGAATACCGTCAAAATTTGAACCTGAACATCTTTAAACCCGGCCCTTACCATCCTGCTAGGCCAGGTGTCGACTTCGGTCATGGATTTACCGAACATGGCACTAGCTCTATGCAGATTCGCAATGTAGCTGGGTAGTATTTTGGCCCTCTCCATACCTCCGTCAACGGAGAAGAGTGTTGGGTCGGTTGTTTGCATCTCAAGCCATCCCCCGGGGTTTAGATTCTCATATGCTTGAGCCATGAAGCGGTCGTGGTCTCCGATGAAGCCCATTAGCTCACGACTATGTATGAAGTCGAATCCGGATGAGTACGACCAATCTGTTTCGTAGTCATCAATTTCAAATATCACGTTCGGTGGCACCCTAGATATATGCTTAGCATGACCATAGAAACGATAAATCGTAGGGTATGCATACCATGGCGACTGAATTGCACTCAAGTCCGTGCCTGGTAGAGAATGTGAGCTATACAATATCGGTATATATGGCAAAAGACGTAGACGTACCAAATACTTCAGCATTAGGATGTTCACTGTTGACCCATTAGTGGCTGCCTGTGATAGATAAGGCAATTCATTACTTACTCTGCAAAATCATTTACCCATAAACCTAGTATCCGGTTAGCCTTGTAGCTGCTATTACGTCCCGTGGAAGAAAAAACGCACCTGTCCCTGTTCCTAGGTCCAAAACCCTCCGTGGGTCTGATATTGGAGCCACGTATAAGGCACCACCAAGAAGCAAGAGGTAGATATGGTGTACAAAGTCCATTCGATCTTGCTCCTCTTTATCATTGGGCTATAAATAAGTCTTAGTATCAGAATCTCGTAGGGGGGTAGTGCGAAGATGTATGGGCGAAGTAAATGCGTACGAGTGTGTATATTCCTTCACGAAAGGCATGGTATCGTCGACCATTCTGTATCAACAGGTGTCAGCGAAGATAGGACTCGGTATAATCTCCATGATCTTATTTTCTAACCTCATATCTAGACGGATGTTAGTGAGTCTGCACTGAACAAAGCAACCAAGAGACTGCTGCTCACTTATAATTGACAACACTCGAGGTCAAAGAGCTCAGGTAGCTCTGTTCTTCTTGACTGTCATTGAATGTTAGCTGGCGTGTCCGGTCGGGGGAAATAGCAGCGGAGGCTTTACAGTTCGCTATGCGTAGACTCGTCGTCATTCTCGGCCTGTTTCCACGCCTAGAATCAACATCAAAACCCGGTCAAACAAACTGAGGTAGGTAGACTCGAGGAAGTTTTATGGATATTTCAGCGTACATCAATCTCCAGGCTTCGATCCGCAACAGCAACCATGGCTGTTTTCAACTGTAAAGAAGGTGCAACATTCGGTGTCCTGACTCCGGCCGGGCAAGCATAAGACGAGATCACAGCAGTAGTCTCGAATGAAATTGCGGAGTCGTTCACACGGGTAAGACCAAGCTTGAGCCGAATGAGAATGTAAGTGACAAATAATATTTTGTCCAAGAGGAAAGCCCCTAAAATGCCAAATGTTTGGGCTTTAAGTATGCGAAGAAAGCTCCTTGCAAGATGTTGCCACTGTCCAAGCTTCTCCCAGGCAAATGAACCATATACCAAACAAACGGATCAACCTAAAGGGTTGAAAGAGGGCAGAAAAGGAGGAATGAAAGCGAAAACGAAGGGGAGAAAAAGGTAAGAGGTCGAGCCGTACTCCGTAGTTAAGGAGACAAAAAAGTTCAGTGTGTAAGCCTATTCTTTTCGGCACTCCACTCCGGTGCATCAAGTTTGTTCTATGCGTATGTGCATATGCAAGATGGCGCTCCTCTTCCCCGTGTGTCCGCGCTATGGCTCCAGTTTCCCCCTATGGATTGGGTTTGCGACAGGGATGATGGCGTGGAGTAGTCTGGGTAGCTTTGCAACGGGAGAAGGGCTTTGTACGTAACGAAACCGCTGGAGACTCCCTTGCTTGTCACCACCCTGTCAAGTGAATAAATATATAGATGTAACCCCCACATGATAATACTGACATGCTTCGACGGAGACAAAGAAACGACTGTGTCTGCAGATGCTAATAATAACATTCTTCCTAGCTGTTAGTTACATAGTTGGCCGTCCGTTGGGCCGAGTGAACTGCTTCCATGCACGGTCGTTGGCTGGGCTGGTCTGCTGCATAGGTAACTAGCCAACTCACTGGTTAGTTAACTACGGAGTATGTGGTTTGCATATGCAGAGGAGCGCCTCCCATCTACTTGCCGCTGGGCTAGCCATCGACCCCATACCCCTTACCCTGGGAAAAGATCGCATCTCGCCACGACGAGCGGAGGGGGAGCAGAAGGGTGCTCGACGGGACAACAAAGAAAAGCCGTCCGTGAACCGTGGTTGGGAGTATGCGGCTGCTGGTTTGAACCCTGCCAACAGACACTAGTTTCAGCCCCAGGCCAGTCCGTATGCCAACTCTTGTGACTAAGCGGGGATTAAGTTGACCTGTATCGACATTTGTTAGACGATGGCAACGCTCAGTCGGTGGGATCCAGGATGGATACAGACTTTCTTTATGAAAGGGGGCCTGTCAAACAGAGCCTGGCATTGACACTGGCTCCGGATATGTATATTGCTTCCACGCTACCACTGGAGAGTCCAACCCTCCAGGTAGTCCTTTTAAGAGGGATTAAACACCCCCATGTCATAACTTCCCATCCGCCACAGTCGCGTCCTTTTGCATCCTGGATGACCTTTTTTTCTCATCTCCAAAACCGCCTCGTTTGGTCTATCAAAATCTATCAAAATAAGTCATCGATTTTTGTTGTTTTTTTCCGTCTTTTTTTCGTCTTTTTTTTTTTTTCTTTGAAGGCTCGAAATTTGCCAAGACTTTATGACTAAGCATAACAACGTGACTTTCATTATCGATGACTAAGATAGTAACGTGACTATGACATCACCCACATGATCATGACCAGGCAGCCAATCAGCGTCGTCCTATTTGCACCTGGGCAGTGCGCAGGCCACCCTCACCGCCTTTCAGCTTAGTCATCCGTCCCGTCCTTTTTCTTTTCTCTTCGTGACATCAAAAGGACCCAAAGAGGAGCGACCAGCGCACAACATCGCCAACAACGACGCCAGCAACCCGCCAGCCAGCCAGCCGCGCCTTGTCCTGCCTTAGCCTTGCTGCACCAGCGCCTGACGGCAACAAACCTGCACCTCATGTCCGCACGCCTCTCCCGCCTGCACAGAGCTTATCGAGGTTCAGTGGCTTTGGGATAGCACCCGTCTTCGAGAACCGCTGCCACTCGACGCAGCACCAGCGCACACAACATACCTTGATATCGACGAACACCTGGTGATCAGGAAAAAGAACAACCCACCCTGCAGCCAGACCCACACGGCCGTTATCTGATAAGGAGCTGCCTGGCCCCTCGTTCCTCCGCACGAACCTCTGTGTCCCTCCATCGACGCAGGACAGTTATAAACGAGACCCGCTAGATCTATATCTTTTTATATCTATATACGGATATACGGATCATCCATCATTATGCGCGACCTTCGACGCCGTGCTCTCGAGAGCAACAAGACCGTCTCCCGCAAGGCCCAGAGCCGGGGAGTCTCTACGCCGAACTCGAGGACGCCATCAGCCCAGAGTTCTCGCCAGTCCTCAAGAAACGTCAGTCGCCACCCCTCAGACGATGAGGATGATGAAGACGATGATACCCGGAGTGTAGGAACAGCTTGGAGGTATGCCTTTGTGCTTCGTTTCCCGTGTTTATAATTAGTTGTTCATGGTCTAACAGTTTGATAGCAATGTCTCAGCTGAGGAGTCCGGTGCGGGAGAAGATGCTGAGAGCAGCCGTGCTCCCTTGCAGGATGTCATCAACGAACTCATCGATCGAAAACGCAGCAGCGTCCAGGGACGAGAGGACTATCTCAACGCATTTGTCCGGATGCTGACAGCCCACTACCAAGAAGAAGAACTGGGCAGTAAGATGGACGAGCTGCTCAAGGTGTTTGCCAAATCCATCCGATCCGAGACCAGTGAGAAGGAAACCATCCTCGCACTCAGGGCCACTTCTCTCATGGCCGTTACCATGCTCGACGACACCATCTACCCGTCCATGAGCTCCGTCGTCAAACGAGCCGCCATGGACTCGTCGTCTTTCGCCGTCAAAGCCGCCGCCATTCGAACACTGAGTGCCTGTACTATCTTTGGAGGAGCAGGAGATGACAACATACTCGAGCAGATGAACTTCCTGATGGAAATCGCCATGTCTGATGGCGCATACGTCGATGCTGCCGATGACTCGGATACCGTTACCGCCGCCATCGAGGAATGGGGATTCCTCGCCTCCCACATAGAAGACCTCGAGGTCGAGAGTGAAGAGGCTGTCGAGGCCTTTGCCGACCAACTGGAGAGCAGCGAGACCAGCGTGCAGGTTGCAGCTGGTGAGAACATCGCCCTCCTCTACGAAAAGAGCTACACGCCCAGGGAGGAGGACGAGTCAGACGACGAAGACAACTACAACGCCACCGACGACGACCGTTCCTCCACCCCATCGGACGACGAGGATGACAACGGCGCCAAACTCATCAAGCGATACGATGCATACCACAACACCCACCGCATCATCAAACAGGTCGAGGCCCTCGCCCACATCTCCGGCCGCCACATCAACAAGAAGGACAAACGCTCCCTTCATACCAACTTCACCTCCATCCTGAACACCGTCATCAACCCCCGCCGTGGCCCACAGTACAGCAACGCCATCGACTTTGAAACCAACCAAAGCTACGGCAGCCGCAAGACGGTCAAGTTCCATCGAAACAGCTACATGCGTGTCGACCGATGGTGGAAATGGATCCGTCTCGCTGGTATGCGCAGGATTCTGGGAGGAGGATTCATCGACCACTACTTCGAAGGGAACAGAGCCATCCTCGAGACGTTACCTGTTTCTCTCGACGTTGGCAGCTCTGGACCAGCAAATAGCGGTGGGAAGAGCAAGTCTGGCAAACGAGGAGCCGGACGAGTCAAGGGGGCCGATGTCCTTGGTACTTCTCATTAGTCTTTTTTTCTATTACTATCCATTATTTGCATTTTTTTTCCCTCCTTTTTGATTCCGTTTTCTGTTTTACATGGTTTATGATATCGATTTATGATGGATGTTCTTTCTCTCTGATCTCCTTATATGGGTGAATAATAAAGAAAGCATATAATAAAAGGGGAGGCTTGCTGGTTTAGTTGAGCTTACGGTGGCAAATACATGTACATTCGGGCTTTGATTTTATATTATATGACGGATCTCTTTGGATGTTTTGTTTAATTGATGTTAGAATCCTGTACTCACCTCGCTTAATGTACGAGCTCATTATCAAGGCGAGGCTATTCATGTAAACTCGCCTGCAATAAAAAGGCATTTGATCAATACGTTGATTCACTACCAGTGGCCTCCTATTCATGGCTACTACCTACTGAATAATGAATGTGATTGAATTCTATAAAGGGAGGATCTGAATTATGTACATTCCTAGATATGAGCTTCTGATTGCCAAAGGTACCATTGCATACATGCTAGAGAGGTCATTATTATGATAGCTACACAGGCGGGAGGGAGAGAGGGACGATGAGAGTAAATATGTATAGATCGAGGGTATGAAGGCTTAAGGAGAGGAAACACAGCATAACGCGATACAACAGGATAAAAATAACAGCAGAAGTGAAGACAAAGAAAAAAAAAGGGAGACTAACTGGATGAAAGTGACAAAGTGCAGTAATATAAAGAGACGAATGAATAGAATAGATGGATAGGTAAAACACTGATGAAAGGCAAAGAAGTGTTATATGGTAGAAAGCAGAGAGAAAGTAGAATAAAGCAAAGCAAAGCAAATAAGAGAGATGAGATGAGATGAATGGCGCCAGTTCAAAATGTAGATGGTTAGATGCAGGTTGGTTAAGTAGTTCAGTTTAGTCAAGAGAAGTGGTTAATCATATCCGGTTCTGCGACTGGCTTCGCCAGGAGTCAGATGTAGGGGGTATGGGTAAGGGGCCCTTTGGCGGAGGACCAGCTAGGTGTGGAAGACCGGCAGACTGCGAACCGTTCCTGGTAGTATGGTACACTGGTGAAGGTGCGGGACGGGGCGCAGCAAAGGGGCCCTGAGACGTGGATGTAGCGGAGTGAGGATACGGAGAGCGGGAGGAGCGAGGAACCGAGCCGCTAGAGTAGTTCTGGCCCTGGTTGGTGTTGAGTGATAGCTTCTCGAAGCCCATTGATGGAGAGTGCTCTATGCCGTAGGTGGCTTGGGGCCGTGATCGGGGCGTGATATCTCCTGCGATGTTGAGCGGGATTTCTCCTGAGGTCGCCTGGCGGGGGGTCTCGTCTGGGGTATGAGGGCCGGAGGAGGACGGGGATTCGCCTGATCCGCCATCGCGGGTGATGGCCTTGGGGGCAGGGGGTGCAAGGTATGATTTTCTGTTGTGCTGTTCCATCATGCTGATTGCCCATTCCCGGAGATTGACGGGGGTTCTCTTAGCCGCTAGAATGAATGCATCGTGGTCCTACAGATGCGTTAGTTAAATACCATAGAATTAGTAGAGAATATATAGAGGACGTACATATAGCTGTCGTGGAGTTGGTCGTTCTTCAGGTTTCTTTAGTAGACACTTTGCAACAAAGTCGTCCAATATCTTAGGAAAGGCATCACTCTTGGGTAGTTTGGGAGCTGGTTCGTGTACGATCTGCTGGAGCAGGTCGAGGATGCCCATGGGTCCCGCACTCGCCCTGTCTCCGGCAGAGGTATCAGAGGTGTCGAAGGGGAATCTTCCAACAGCCAGTTCCATGACGGTCAAGCCAGCACTCCAGACGTCGGACCGGACAGAGTATGCGCCTCCCTGGATACGTTCTGGAGCCATGTAAGTGGAAGTACCGACGAATGTATCTGCTATGGAATTGACTGTCTCGGTAGCAACACCAAAGTCACACAGCTTGATACTGCCTCTTGAGTTTACTAGGACGTTTGACGGCTTGATGTCTCTGTGCATGATCCGGTGGGCTTCATAGAGGTAGACGAGACCGGCGAAGATGGACTCGGTGATTTTTCCCAACACGTCGACTCTGACGGGGCCAAAGTTCTTCGAGATGTGGTCTAGAGATCTGTACATTGGTAAGTACGTATACGTCTATATATATATATATATATATCTATGGACAAACTTACCCGCAATCCATGTATTCCATGCAAAGTACAATATCTCTGGCTTCGTTCTGGAATGCTCCGTAGAATGTGACGATCTGGGCCGAATTGCAGTCGTGGCCGACCTGGAGCTCTCTGAGGATCTGCTTCCGTACTTTTTCCTTTGCATCGACTCTGATGATCTATCAAGAGGGCCTCAATTAGTATTGACTAGCAATGAGCCAAAAAAGAGGAAGAATGCCTATGCCTACCTTTCTGGCCATGACAACCTTTGTCGAGGCGTGCATGACCTTGCTGACGGTCCCTCCATTGCCGGCCCCGAGCTCCTTGAGCACTATCAGGTCCTCACTGCGCAGGTCGAGTTTGAATTCCAGGCCAATCTCGAGGGTGTCTGTCCTGTTGGAGTCCACGTTCCCGATAGCTCCGGGGATCTGAGCATCGCCATCCGAGGGCTTCAGGCCTGGCTTTGACGCTGCTGCATTGAGAGCAAGCCCCTTGACGTTCTTTCGTTTCAGCGAGCGGGCCTTGAAAGCGTCCGCCATGGTGGCAGAGTGTGTATGTGAGGATTTGCTCCAGGGACAAATCAAGGGAGGTAGAAAACCGACGAGGGTAGGTGAGGTGCTGCAGAAGCCTGCACGGGAGTAAGCCGGCTGTCTTGTATCCTTTCTGCTTCCCTTCTGGTCTCTTTGTTATATGTTGTGGTGATCTCGATCGAGAGTCAGGCAGACGTTATGTGGCACCACGAGAAAGTCCCACCAGCCGAGCACCGCAATAGAGGCAGTTAGAGAGAGCGAAGACCACGACGGTAGGCTATAGAGCGAGCAGATATCGAGACAGCAAGAGAGAGAGAGAGAGAGTCTGCTGGTATAACACGATCTCCAGGGGGAAACAGGCCTGGATCTGCAGGTGTCTGGCGGAGGGTCTGCCCTTGTGAGCGAGCGAGAGTGGTTGTACCTGAAAGAGACCAAAAACCATCAGCCGAACAAGTCCATTTCCGCGGGATGCAACCAGTAGCGAAGAGAGACGCCCGGCTGCAGGGGAAAGCCTTGCTCGTCTCCTTACCTGGCGCTGGGGGGGGGGGATCGCTGGGTGGGCGAGTCTGCTGCGCTGGACGGAGGAGGTATTGGTGGTATTGGACGGTGGGATAAGATGACGATGCCGCAGACGCAGCCAATGGACGGAGCGGATCGCGGTTCTCCCACCTTTCACCTCTTGAATAGAGCGGCACAGGCAGGACGAGCTGGAAGTTACAGAGCAAGACGACGATGCTTAACGGGCGAGGAGGAAGCGAGATGGCTTTTTCGTCTACAGCAGGGTGTTACATGCTAAGTCTTCAGGCAAAAATCTACTAGTAACGCAGCTCCGCAGCGGCGACAGGGGGGCATAACTATTTCCAAAGCAGAGCAAAGCGCCGCCGCAGGAGAGCAGCCCGTCGACCAGCCGGGCTCCTCCTTTCGCTGCTGCCCACTGTGGCGGGCGGGCGGGCGGTTAGCGAGCTTCCCTCGACCCCCTTCGACTCCTGGGGGGGGGGCCATCCACCGGGTTTCAGGTCTCTCTCCTTGCTCTCCCTCCCTGTCCTCGCCGTCGTCATCTTCTTGTCTGCGATTTCGTGGCTTTTACTTTTTTTTATATATAAAAATGCGTCTTTGGTCGCTGCCGCCCGGACTTGCTCCTATTGATAGCGCGTTTCGGCTTGCTTATGTAAGGGATAACGTGACTGGCGACTGTCGCTTAGAATAGGCGCTAGACGCGGCGCTTAGCGGTCTCCTCCCGTTTGGGACTAGCGCTGTCCTGGGCGCCTCTGAAGCTGCCAAAAGGACTTTCTTCGTCGTCCAACGTCTTCTCTCTCTCTCTCTCTCTCTCTATCTTCTCTGCTTTCTACTATCATTGTCGCTGTTATCCTGGTATTCTCCCCGTTGACATTGTCTGGGAGGAGTTTGCGATCCAGACGAGACAGCGGTTCGAACAAGTTCCACAGTCATGAGCACTCACGACCTCTTGCAGACCGAAGCTGTCCTGGACGAGGAAGAAGACGAGTCCTTCGGCGAGGAGGGCGGCCAGTCAAAGGATGTGGAAGAGAATGGTCACTACGATGACTCCAGCGAAGAGGAGCTAGACGACGAAGACGAGGATGCCGTGCGTGCGGTAGGTGTCCTGCCCTTTTTTTTTTTTTTAAATCGTCTGCGACCGGCAGGGAGAGGCCGAGCTGGCTGACACTTTAATAGGTCCGAGAAGGCTTTATTGTCGATGAAGAGGAAGAAGACGAAGAGCGGACGGCCAGGCGCCGGGAGAAGAAGAAGCGTCGGCGGCAGGAGCGTATAGAGGAAGAAGAGCTGCTGGACGAAGACGACCTCTACCTGATCCGAGAAAACAACCCCGACTTTGAACTCCCCATGCACAATGAGGTATGCTTCTTTACGTCTGTGATATTGTAGGCGCCGGAAAGGAGAAAAGCAAAAACTGACGGCTGTGTAGTCCAAGTTCAAGCGTCTAAAGCGCGGCCACAAGGTCGGACGGGACCAGCCACAGGGCATCAACGACATCTTCAATTCAGACGAGGAAGATGAAGTAGAGACATACGGACGTGGCAGAGACCGGAGGAACATGCACGATGACCTCGACGACTTTATCGAAAAGGATGTCTTCTCAGACGAGGACGAGCGCCAGCAGGAGGACGAGGAGATCGCCCGTCCAGCCAGAAAGGGACTCTCTGGTTTCGCCGTGACCGAAGCCACTGGGCTCGACGAAGCCGCTCTCGAGGATATGCGCATGGCCTTCGGAGACGGGAATGACTATCTTTTCGCCCTTGAGATGGAAGACGAGGAAGAGGAGCAGGAAGAGGACGAGGAGAAGCAGCTCGACCTCAAGGACGTGTTCGAACCCTCGCAGCTCGCCGAAAAGATGATGACCGACGAAGATAACATCATACGTTCGACAGACGAGCCCGAACGGTACCAGCTTGCCAGAAAGCCATACCAGCATGTCACTCTGACCGAGGAGCAGTTCAGAGAAGAGGCTGTCTGGATATCAAACCTCATGCTGCTGAAAAAGCGACTCGATTCAGATCTACATGAACCATTCCAGCGGGCGGTCGCAAAGGTCCTCGAGTTCATGGTTACGGATGACTGGGAAGTACCTTTCATCTTCCAGCACCGAAAGGACTACCTTATCCATGCTGTCAAGATCCCGATTCCCGACGGTGGGACCAACCCTGATGGAGGAAAGTACATCGTCGAGGCAGAGAAGCTGCTCAGCATGATCGACTTGTGGGATATCTTCGAGTACGACCTTAAATTCCGTGCCCTCATCGATAAACGAAACACTCTCCAGACCACATACGATAACCTACAGACGATAGCCAATGTCAAGGACGAGATGTTTGAGGAAATGCTCCCCGCAGCCATTACCATGGAAGAGCTCCAGGATGTCCAGGACTACCTTTACTTCCAGTACTCTATAGAACTCAAGGACATGGCTCTCGCCACCGCCAATCACGAAGGAGAGAACGGCACTGCCGCCCAGCGCCGTAAGGCCTCTACCAAGACCTTCTTCGAGCGTGTTCGCAACAGCCGTGCATATGGACTGGTTCGTGCATTCGGTATCACTCCCGATGCATTTGCGCAGAACGTCATGGAGACTGGCCGGAGACAATATATTGACGATGCAAGCGAGAAACCCACCGATATGGCCGACAACCTCCTGGACTCGAGCTTCTCCAACGGAGCCCATGCCATGAAGGCTGCACGCTCAATGTTCGCTGAAGAACTTACCATGAGTCCCAGGGTTCGAAAAGTCATGAGGCAGGCCTTCTACATGAGTGGAGTGATCGAATGTTACCGGACCGAAAAGGGATTAAAGAAGATTGACGAACATCATCCATACTACGAATTCAAGTACCTCCGTGACCAACAGATCTCGGATATCGCGCGCCGGCCTGAGCTCTTCTTGCGCATGCTCAAGGCCGAGGAAGAAGGTTTGGTTGATATAAAAGTTCACTTCAAGGACTTTGACAACTTCAAGAAGCGCCTTTATCCTGAGATCCAATCTGATAACTCCAGCGAGGTTGCAGATGCATGGAACAAGGAGCGAAAGGACGTCCTAGATCTGGCTCTCAGCAAGCTGGAAAAGATAATGAGTAAGGGAGTCAAGGAGAATATCCGCTCAGAGTGTGAGAACCATGTTGCGCGCGAGTGCAGAGAAGTCTTCTCGACAAGACTCGATCAAGCTCCGTATAAGCCCAAGGGAATGATCCTAGGAACCATCCCACGAGTCTTGGCTCTTACGAACGGATCTGGAATCGTTGGAAAGGATCCTATCTATTGGACTTGGGTTGAAGAAGATGGCCGAGTGCTTGAACATGGCAAATTTGTTGATCTTACCCTTGGCGACCCCGACCGCATGATAGCTGACGGAAAGGATGTGGAAGCCTTTGTTGAACTCGTTGAGCGCCGAAAACCTGATGTTATTGGCGTATCGGGACAGTCTCCCGAAACAAGAAAGCTGTACAAGCAACTATCAGAGCTTGTCCAAGCAAAGGACCTGCGCGGTGCTTTCTACACAGATGAGCGAGATGAGGAAGTCAGTGATATCCTGGAAGTTGTCATCGTTAATGACGAGGTTGCCAGATTATACCAGACCAGCCGCAGAGCTGAAGTTGACCACCCTGGATTCAGTCTACAAAGTCGATACTGCGTTGCCCTAGCAAAGTATCTGCAGAATCCAATGAAGGAGTATGCCTCACTAGGAAGAGATGTGGTGTCCATCCAGTTCAGACCTGGTCAGCAACTTATACCCCAGGACAAGCTATTAAAACAGCTAGAAACCGCTTTGGTGGACATGGTCAACCTGGTTGGTGTTGATATCAACGAAGCTGTCAGCGATGTCTCGACAGCCAACCTCCTTACATATGTCTCCGGCCTTGGTCCACGAAAGGCATCTCAACTATTGAAAGTCATCAATATGAACGGCGGCGTGGTAAACAGCCGTATGGAACTCTTGGGAGTCAATGCCCAGTACCCAGCCATGGGAGTCAAAGTCTGGAACAACTGCGCTAGTTTCCTGTACATTGATTATGACAACGCAGACCCAGACACAGACTACCTCGACAACACTCGTGTCCATCCTGAAGATTACGATATCGGCAGGAAGATTGCTGCTGATGCCCTTGAGCTCGATGAAGAAGATATCAAGGCAGAAACAGACGAGAATGGACAAGGCGCCATTGTTCGAAAACTCATCAAGGAAGATGCCCAAGATAAGGTCAACGATCTTCTTCTCGAAGAATACGCCGAGCAGCTGGAAAACAACCTAAACCAGCGCAAGAGAGCTACTCTCGAAACCATCCGTGCCGAACTGCAGCAACCCTACGAAGAGCTACGAAAACAGTTTGTGTTCCTCGGTACCGATGCCATTTTCACAATGTTTACCGGTGAAACCGCCGAGTCGTTGGCCCAGGGCATGGTTGTGCCTATCACCATCAAACGTGTCTCGGACGACCATATTGACGGCAAGCTTGACTGTGGAATCGATGCTCTTGTACCCGAGTCAGAAATGACAGATAGATACGACATTCCTGTTCGAAGTCTCTACGCGCCTCATCAGACTACTTTGGCGAAGATTACCTACCTAAACCGAAAGTCGTTTGTAGCCAACGTTTCTCTCCGAGAAGACCAGGTGAACAAGCCATACCGTCGACAACTAGACCACATGCGCGGCGAATGGGACGAGGATCAAGAGCGAGAAGACCAGGAGGCTATGAAGGAGAAGACCCAGACCGACCAACGTGCTCTGCGTGTTATCAAACACCCACTCTTCCGTCCGTTCAATGGCAGACAAGCAGAGGAATTCCTTGCACCTCAGAGCCGTGGTGACGTCGTAATTCGTCCTTCATCCAAGGGCCACGACCATCTTGCTGTTACTTGGAAGGTAGCTGATGGAGTATACCAGCACATTGATGTTTTGGAATTGGACAAAGACAACGAGTTTACCGTTGGAAGAATCCTGAAGATTGGCGGTAAATATTCGTACACTGATCTCGACGAGCTAATAGTCAACCACGTCAAGGCCATGGCCAAGAAGGTGGATGATATGACGGTGCATGAGAAATATCAGAGCGGCACCAAGGAGGCAACAGGTAATATTCTTCCCTTTCCAAGCATTATAATGATCGTCAAGACACTAACAGTGATTTATAGAGGGCTGGTTGACGACATACACCACCGCCAACCCCAAACGATCAGCTTATGCCTTCTGCCTTGATACCAAGCACCCCGGATACTTCCACCTCTGCTTCAAGGCCGGGTTGAAGGCACCACTGAACAGCTGGCCTGTCAAGGTGATTCCGCAAGGCTACGAACTGCAACGTACTCCATACCCCGATATGCGAGCTCTCTGCAACGGATTCAAGCTTCTTCATGCCAACATGCTTGCCGCCCAACAACGACGTGGACGGTGATTAACTACTGATGGTTACTGCTCGGTTTACGCCATTTAATTCTCTTGATGCTCTTTCAGAAAAGTCGGTCATAATGAAACTGGAATCTTGACATAAAAAAGCCACCACCTCAGGAAAAAGCATATGGATTGTTAGCCCTTTTTTTTACATCTTCTGCCGCTTCTTTTATCTTTCTTCTGCTCTGTTCTACAGCTTGCATGCCGTTGCCGTTGGGGCATTTTCTTTCGTCAAGCATGTTCTTCCGTGTACTTTATATCTCTTCTTCCTCTGTGGCTTTTTCATTAAATAAAAAACCCAACCATGTACCTCCTCTGTTAGACTAACCAACTGCCAGCAAACTACCAAATAAATATAATTCATGACATTTACTCTCACGTCGTCGCCGTCCAAATCGATCGATAATCGGTGACCGTTCATTCCGTTAATTCCGAAGTTTATTCCGATATCTGACCTCGAAACACCCTCTGCCCCTGTCGCTTTACCATCCTTCTCGCCCTTAGACATGCGCCAGCTGGTCATTTTGACTCTTTTCACGACATGACCTCGTATTCCGACGAGCAAGTCTGATAATGGGCATTCCGCAGGCAGCATCGTATTTATCTATGGCCTATATAAAGACGGCGTGGACTCTCCCTGGAATGCCGGTTAGTTAACTGGTGAGTTATCAAACCCGTCTCCCTTCAACACCTCTATTTAAAATACTACAACCATGGCCAGCGTACAGCCACAGCGTGCAACTGAGGAAGAGGAGAAGGTCAAATACCCATCAGCAGGAGCACCGCCTCAACCCTGTCGGCTTATTCTTCCGTACGAGGCAAAGGAGATAGTCACTCCGCGCATGGTGTTGGTTCCCATGACATACGACCATGCTGCACCGTTGGTCGCACTGAACGCAAAGCTGCTTGATGCCTGGAAGTAGGATACCCTCGTTTACCCAGCATTATATAAATATACATATCAGTGGCTAACATCCGGCAACCAGAAACATCCCTGCCTTGCATCCTATGCTGAAGTATCTCGTACACGGCATCCCTGATGTGTCAGCCCAAAAAGGATGGATGGACTCTAAGCGGCTCCAAATCCCAGACTCAGGAGAACTCTTCTTCTACTTTGCTGTAACACTGCGAGAGGAAACGGAAGAGGGCGCAGTCAAGCCAGGCAGGATCATTGGAGGCATCGGGATGAACCAGGTGCTGCCCATACCGAACCTGGGGTACTCTATCGACGCCGACCTCTGGGGCAAAGGATACGGCACGGAAGCCCTGAAGGCGTTTCTTGAGGTCTGGTGGGCAATACCTCGACGGCCGGCCGGTGAAGGTGAAGAGGAGAAGCCCGAGAAGGTGTATGCGAATGTGAACAAGGCAAACATTCCCAGTATCCGGCTGCTGGAGAAGTGCGGGTTCAATATCTACAGCGAGAGGCTGATGGCGGATGACTCGGTGATATGTTTCTTGGAGAAAGCGAGAAGCTGATCACGGATATCTAGATACAAAGTTCTCTTTGGTTACGGGGATGCGCAAGAATGCATGAAATAGACTTATCATTAGCGGTGTATCTGCTGTTATGTTATGCATGCAGGAGTCGGCGTATGTATCTGGACATATATTTACAGGTTATGTATGGTATGCAAAGAGTAACAGAATTTTCGATGGGCGCCGGGAAATGTAAAGAGAAAGAAGAGTGGCAGAGATGGAGAGTTAAACAGAATAAACGACCATTGGATTCTCCAAACCGGTGTATTGAAAGGAAAAAAATGGAAAGATCCAAAGGAGATGTAGAAGAAAAGCAGAGAGAGTATCAAAGGGGAAAAGGAATATGGGGCCAAAAGAGCGTTAGCACATGAAAAAGCATCCAGTGAATTAAAGCAGATCAAAAACCAAGCAGGTCACCAAGCAATTGCCGAAGATTCGTATCAAAGAGACAAGTAAAAAAAAAAAAAAAAAAAAAACAACCACCATGGATATCATCATGATCGATTTCCATACAAAGACTCCATTTTTAGGTAAGATTTTCCGTTCCCGTCCTTTTTATCCTGACCGGCCGTAGACGCCTTTGCGTTTGCACTCTTTTCTTCCTCTGTAGGAGGAGGGGTTCCCTTGTTTGCGCCCCAAATTGCGCTTGTTCTCTTATTGCTTTCCTCCTCTTCCATTGAGAAGACCAAGTCACTTTGCTCCTCGTCGATCCGGCTCGTGCTCACGGGTGACGATATATTGCGGTCCAGACGGGGATTGCTGGTCGGAGCTCGGGCGGAGCTAGGGTGAAGCGATGTGCTGCTTAACTGTTCAGAAATCATAGACATGGAAGACTGACGAGGGCTGGCAACGAAGGGAGAGATGTCGCCGGATCCGGGCAGGCTTCCGATGGGCCGGATGGCGTTGGCAGAAGAGCGAGACCCAATGACTGATTCACGCAGAGGAGAGCCGACATGTCCGTTCTGGGCGAGGGCAGCTTGGGCTTCTTCCTCCTTCCGCTGGCGTTGTTTGGCGAACAGGGCACCAAACCGAGATGGGCTGGATGCCAGCGGAGAGCCTACTTTGCCCGATCCTCCGATCCCGATGCCTATACCTATTCCAAGGCCGGATGGATCCTTGCTGCTGCTTGATAATTCGTGCTCGGTGCGAGAGAGACGGCGCATTCGTTCTTGAGGTGTGAGTACATCATCGTGCAGGTTCGTGGGGAGATAGTCTTCCTCCATAGTGAAGTTGTCCTCCCAGTCATCGAGAACCGTGGGTCGGGGAACGCTGGCGGAGAGTATACGCTGGCGGGGTACACGCTGAGAATGCATGACACGGAAGCCGGAGTTATCTTCCGCACTAACAACTGGTGGTGAAGAGCCGAGCCCAAGTGGTTTCTTGTCTGTTCCGAAGGCTGTATCGTGCAAGCTGCGGAGCACGTCGGGTGTGGCGTTAGGTCGGTGAGAGAGAGATGGGGAGTGGGCGAAGTCAAGTCCGAACTTGGATGGCATCGATGCCGCGACTGGGCCATAGCGAGCCATGTGGGATATGCCTTGACTGTCGAACGAAGCAGGCAGTGGAGCATCTAGAGCTGTACGACCGATAGGAGACATTGGGAGGCGGATCTCCTCTGGAGGTGAGCCATACTTGGAGCCGGTATCAGACACCAGCCCAGCGTCAATAAGTGGGATCGAGCCATCGTATTGCTGACCGAACTGTTGTTGTTGTTGCTGTTGCTGCTGTAGCTGTTGTTGTTGCTGAAGTTGTTGCTGGGCATGTGGAGGTAAGAGATGCAGATCATCTTGGGAGGCATACGGGTATGAGAACCGTGGATTTTGTCCGTTTATCTGCTGCTGAGAGAGGAGTGAGTTTGCCAAAGCCGAGTCCTGTGCATGGTATGGAGGAGGATGAACTCTTCCGCCTAGGTTGAGGTTTCCTCCAAGGCCCATGCTAGGCCTATTTACTCTCCGACCATCGGGTAAGATGTGAGCTAGGGCACACTTTGCTCCGAATTTGCAGTTTCCCTAGATATCGCCATAAACTGTTAGTTATATTTACAAGTTCAAGTAGCTAAGGGCTTCCCCAGCAGTTCAGGTATCACCTTTGTAAAGTATTTGCAGGGCGCAGAGTCTATGGTATTGTCTGTCGAATGAAGAAACGGGCATGCCGGGCCGGCCTGACAAGTTCCCTGACGGAAGAACTTGCATGGGACATGTTTAGTATCTGCGCGTTCACGTCAGTTAGCTGCCGTTTCGTTCGAAGCGGCCCATCCGGACGGTGTCTACCTACTCTTGCTGGCGGGTGGATTTGGCGGGCTGCGAGCCATATCAAACGGGGGACGCATGCCACCGTTTTCGTTCTGCGGAAATGGACCATGACCTCCCGGCACAGGAAGCGGGGCTCTGTTGCGCGGATCGCCTCCAGCCATTCTGGCAGTAGCAGAGGCAGTGTCGTTGAGCTTCCGCGAGTCTATCTGCTGCTGCGGTGGCGGGTATTGCGGTGTTATATGCTGTGGTGGGTGATGCCGTGGTTGCGTCGGCGGCTGTTTCTGCATTGTGAGGTTGAAAAGAAGGTCGCAGGAGGAGAACAGCCAACAGATTTTTCCGCGTCTTTTATTTAGGGTTCGTGGATCGAAGGGATTATTGTGGTGCGGAGGGGGCAAAAAGTCTCGGGATTTAGCTTGTTGGAGGATGCTTTTTCCTCTGCTCTTCTGCTTGTTGTTTCGCGCTTAGATTTTAGTGTGGGCTTTGCTGTTTGCTGGCGAAGGAGGAGAATGGGCAGGCGAGCAAAGATCTGCCACGCAGCAGTCACTCTTTTCCGAGCCTTGGAGGCCGAAAGGTATCCCTGGAAACCAGGCGGGAAGTTTCACTTCGATCTCATTTCAACGGCGATAACTATGTATTCACTGGAGGCCCGACTTAGTCGCCGAACTAGGTCGAGGATATCTTTGAGAGTGAATGAAGGGCAAGTGAGCGGCAGTTCTAACTATTTATTGTCAACTATCATGACACTGGAACTCAGAGGTACATACATACAACTCAAACAAGGAGGCTCATGACCTGCAAGCTACGGTGAGCTTGCGGCGACTGACCTCGCTGCAGCTGACCTGAAAGTAATACCGACGCCATCGTGTCGTCATGCCCACTAGCTATTAGTTAACTAATCCTTGGGATGCTGCTGGCTGTTCATCGTCATTGTTTCGTGGCATGGCAGAGACCAAATGGGTGTTTTTTTAGCATTTATCGTGTTGTCCTCGCATATAACTCTTTCCCCAGATCTTCCTCCCCCCACGACGGGCATATGCTGCTTGGACACCCCCGATTGGACAGCGGCATTACAGCTCTCCTTCCATCCCGAACGACTCCCAGAGTTCTTCCCTGCTTTTGACGTTGTCGGGCAGGACCTCTGTGCATTTTAACCACAGCTCTCGACACGCCAGTTTTCGGAGAGAAGCGTGCTTCTTCCACGTTGCCCAGTTTTTCTGGACACGGTTGCTTTCTTCCTCTGTTACTATCCTGTCTGTAGCCGTCTCCTTGCAGAGGTGGGCAAGTTGATCGTTCAGTGTATCCTTCCTCAGCTCTAACTGGCCGATTTGCGAGAGAAGCTCTGTGCTTGAGACACGGGAGTTTAGCACGGCAAGCTCGGCTTTGAGAGTCTTTTCTTGTACTTTGACAGATTCGAGTTGCTCCTTCAGAGATGTGATCTTGTCGTCCATGGCTGCAAGTTCTTCTGGCGTTACCTCGCTGCTAGCCTCTTGAATTGCATGGTAAACCATCTGTTTCCCTACGTTACACTCAGCTCAGGCCTTCAGCAAGATACCCAGTTCTATTTATACCTGAGACCCTGCACTCGAGCAGCTTCCGCTCATGCAGAGCCTTTAAAGCTTTGACCGTATATGCTATGCCTATTGTTAGCATATGGTTCGCATCTGTCTTGTCCTGTTTTATGCTAGATACCTTTAGTCACCTTATTGTGCAAATTTGCACTGATATCAATTGCCTACTCGTGGTTTAGTATCTCTGTCCTCAACGGAGAAAAGGGCTGACCTACCGAATATGGCCGGCTATGAAGTCAGTTAGTATATAATCCGATTGTCAGTTATGGCTTGATGTTCATTCATACTTTTGCTGCTCTGGCTAACAATTAGCACTCTCATGTCCATGGCACAGAGATTGTACATCCACTTACTGAGATACTTCAGAATCATGGCCGAACCTATATAAATAGCCGGAGAAGTACGGTCATTTCATCAGAATTGGCTGGATCCATAGCTTTGCATCTTGACACCGGATGAAAACGCCTACCATCTTCACTGGAGACGCTCTTCTCGCCTTTCTCTGTCTTTTCCTTTTTTGGAGCCATCGTGTCTACCTCCTGTCAACTGTGAATATTCTATCTCTATGGTCACTGCCGTTCTCTTAGTCTTCTTCCGTTGTCGTTGATGGCAATGTCAATGCCGATGAAGTTGTTGAAGTTGAAGTTGAAGATGAAAAAGACGTCGAGGAAAAGACGTCGAGAATTTCCAGTTTGGGACAACAGGCGGCAGAATCTGCTGACCGCATTCGTTTACGGCTAGACTTGTATAAATATTTATATAAATATTTATAGAGAAGAGAATCATGTATTTCACTTTCTACGGTGGGTAAAGAGTATATAATATGCTGCAGATAGTCAGGTCGGGCGGTTATCATGAAAAAACGGAAATAGTATTGTTTTATGCTCAACACATCAAATATACCTGGTCGTGTTGACCACCGAGAATGAATATGATAACTATGCGTAATAAGCAGGGTCATAAAGAAAGGGAGAAGAAGAAAAGGTGAATGAATGACAACAGACACGCTGAACAGTAGATCAAAGATAAACACCCCAGGAAAGAAAACATGGCAAACGCAAGAGAAACAAAATAAGGGCGGAGATCCCAAGATAGGAGGCGAAGAAGGCAGATATATGTATGTAACCGTTCGAAATGAGCCCCGAGAGTCTATGCGAGATAAAGTAAGGCAAGATGAAGATGTAAGTAATGCAGAAGGCAGACAGTGCTATATAATGTAAGTAATGCATACAGAGATAAATTTCACGAAGGGCATAACGTGAAATAAGGGGAGAAAAAAAAAAAGAAGTACGCGAAAAAGGGGCTCCAGAATCTCCAGAATTAATCAATAAGTTTTACCAAGATAGAAGAGGAAGAAGAAACAACGTGGCAAATCGACTTTTGCAACGACATGCAGTAGATGAAATAGAGAACACCATTCTCCCCACCCCTTTTTTTTGTTCCCCGTTTGCCCTTGACCGATAATGGTAAGGAATGACATCACATAACAACCTAGCATATTTGTTAGTATTATGGTTGACTATCAGCATATAGTGTAGGTAGTAAGATCTACTTACGCAATCGCTCTCCGACTTGCCCTGCGGCACACCCATCTCCTCGAACGTCTTTGGGCCCTTGCCTTTACCGGGAGCGGGAGGTGCAGTGGCAGATTGCTTTGGTGGTTGCGGAGCAGGTCCTGGCCCTGGTCCTGGCCCTGGACCCGGGCCAGCTGCGGTACCGGGTCGGCCACCAGGTGGTCCGCCGTGTGGCCTTCCTGATGGAGGAGCGGAAGGCATACGGTTTCCACCAGGGCCGGGTCCTGGTCCTGGTCCCGGTCCCGGTGCACCAGGAGGACGCTGCGGCTTCCTCCTTCTATCTGCACCGGACGGGTCTGGAGGAGCAGAGAAGCCGATATCCAGCTTTGGTGGACCTGGTCCCATACCAGGACCTCCGGGGCCTCCTGGGCCGGGACCGGGACCCATTGGTGGACGACCATGCGGTGGATATCCGTGTGGTCCCATTGGTGGCCCAACTGAGTGTGCGCGGAGATTGGGATTGATACCGAAAGCGGAAGAGCTGCGGTGATCGCCCGGCCCTGGACCGTAAGAGTGTGAGTTTGGTCCTGGACCTGGCCGACCTGGTCCATAGCGTCCTGAGGGGGGTCCGTCAGGGTATGGAGCCGCTGACATGGGACGGGAAGGGTCATTGAGGCTCATGCGAGATGGATCGGGCATCTCAAGAGTGTCTTGGACAGGCTGGCCTTGCTGGAGATGATTAGACTGTTGGGAGAAGCGCTGCTGAGTGCGCTGTGTTTTGATGCGCTGAATGGCCACCTTTTCGTGATCCTTGCGAGAGAGTGTTTTGGAGCGTGAGATGCTTTCAATTCGTCCTGAAGCGTCCTTGTTTCCGTTGGCAGCTGCCTTGGCGTACCAGCTTCGGGCTTCCTTGATATCTACAGGAACGTAGATACCAATCTCGTAGAAGTAGCCTAGTGCAAACTCGGCAGTTGACAGGCCCGACTGAGCTGCTCTCTTGGCATAGGTAAAGGCGAGTTCGTCATTCTTCTCGAAGACGCCTTCGTGACCGCACAGGAACCATTTGCTGATAGCCATCTCAGCATCGGGCTCACCCTGTCGAGCAGCAAGGGCATTATAATGAATCGACAGGGCCGGATTGAAGTCACAATCTAGCTGGCAAAGTTCGTACGCAGAGCCCATCTTGACTTGTGCCTTGGCAAAGCCGTGATAGGCAGCCTTTTCAATGTTGATACGGGCATTGACAAGGTCATGAGCGAGATACTCATCAGGAATAGTGACCTGAGGCAGTTCTCGAGCTAGCAGCATTCCATAGACCTGGTATTCTTAGTTAGATGTTGCAAGGTTATAGTGATCGGGGGAGGGGGTAACACATACGTAGGCGCCCTGAGGAGCGTTCTCGTCGCAGGTTTGTGCAGCATAGCGTATATGGTCGAGTCCGACTACGTAGTCTTGTCGTTGACCATGCTGTCCTAGCAATATCATCATACCAAGACGCTATAATTCTGTCAGTCAAATGGGCCATTGTAACGACAGCACAAGGATAGAGGGGTAAAACGTACGTAGTATGAAGCAGAGTCACCCAGCCTGACACCATTCTCGTAGTGTTTGATAGCCTTGAGAGGCTCGTTTGAACTTTCAAACTGCATTCCCATGCGGTACTCAGCGCGTGCATAGCCGCCCTCGGCGGCGCGGGAGTAGCACCGGAAAGCCTCCTTCTTGTCGACACGGAAGCCAAACTTGCCGAACTCGAGCCACATGCCCTGAATGAACATGGCCCGCGGATGCAGCTGTTCGGCCAGGAAAGAAACGATATTAATGGCATCTGTCTTGAGCTGGTGTTCGATCTGCGGTGTCTGCGGCCGCGGCGGGTAGGCTACCTGGTTGCGCAGTTCGTTCTGCATGGCTACCTCGACATAGGAGAGGGCATCCTGCGCCCAGGCAAGCTGCATTTCCGCATCGTTGGAGCCGAGGACTGCCATACGGCCCTGTTCGAGGTTGGCCTCGCGCTCCTCGTCCGTTGGAGGCACATTTGGCGGCGGGTTCACGAGTGGCGGAAAAGGGGAGAAGTTTGGAGCATCGTAGCCGCCGCCACTACCGCCGCCGTACTGCTGCTGCTGCTGCTGCTGCGGGGGATAGGACGGAGAGCCCGGCGCAGAGAAGCCCGGCGCTCCTTGGTTATGCATCGAGGAGCCACGACTTGGATAATGCTGCTGCTGCTGGTGCTGGTGAGGGCGCAAGTTGGAGGAGGAGGACGAGGCGTCGAGCTCGAAGTGCGCGAGATTATCTTGCATGTTCTCAGGGACTTCGGGCATGACCCTAAAATGGGCAACTGTTAGCGGGCAGCGCTCCTGGAAGGCTGACAGGTCGAACGAGAGGAACAAAAGGGCCAGCTAGTTGTTATTATAATATAAGCAATGCAAGGTGATAGCTGAAAAAGAAACGAAAGAAAAGGCCCTCTATAAATACCTCTGGGGAGCAGGCGAGATGACTTCCGGCATCTGGTAGTCGTCGACGGCGCCTGGATAGAAAGTCGCTCCCAAGAGCGGCGGGCGAGACGAGTCGTACGGAGCAGCCATGGATATAGTGTGTATTTATTTCTATTTAAATACGCTTCCAACCCAGAGGGCGCGAGATGATAGGATAGACACGCAGACGGAGGAAGAAGAAGAAAAGAAAGGAGAGAAAAAGGGCGCTACTCGTGTTCGAGGGCGCCGCCGCTGCTGGCTCGGACTGGGATGCGGACGCTGGGGGTGCTGGCCGGGGCCCTGGACGGCGGGCTTGGAGCACGGCGCATTTAAGGGAGCGGACGTTCAGCTGGCTGTCTGTCGTGTTCACGAGCTGACGGAGACGGTCAAAGGAGTGTCAGTCGGCAACGGAGGCTGTAGAAGGAGTTGCTAGAAGGCGTTTGGCCGGCGTACGGAGTAGCTAAGGAGTTGTTAAAGGTTGGTAGATGGGGCAAAGTGGAGGCCGCAGTAAGGGGTTTTTTTCTTGCAGGCCAGGGCTAGTCAGCTAGTTGGATGCCTGTAGCACTCGCGAGCAGCTTGTGACAGGCGAGGGTCCTGGATAGAGGCGAAGAGCAGGAGGCAGAAGGGTTGGTAGCCGATAACTAGTTGGTGGGCTGCGAGAGTGACTGACGTTGGATGTTGACGTCGACGTCGGCGGGGAGGTTGTAGTTATTATGTAGATATCCCACCAGGGTCACTAGTTAAAACAACCAGATAATGACCGCCAGCCGAAGGACGAGCACTGCCTCAGCAGGTTATTTTTAGTCAGTTGACGACGACGCTCGCAGCGACGGGCAGACGGGAAGACTAGTTAGCTGGCAGACGAAGCAAAAAGGAGTAGAAGAGCAGAGGCAAGTCGGCCGTTGAGATGGAGACTGGCCCCCCCCCCCCCCGTTGCTGTTGAAGTAGCCGCATAGCTAGCTGACTGACCGATGGGGACCAGGGCGAAGATCACATCGATATACGGCATAGGACGGCCAGAGGGGACGGCTCAGATGGCCTAGAGACGGACAGGAACAGTCGAAGAAGCGTTGAACGTCCTCTCGGGGCTGGCAGCGAGATGGAGAGGGACTTCCGCCATCCGTACAGGCCGTACGATATCCAGGCGCAGTTCATGGAGGCGCTCTATGGCTGCATCGAGGACGGCGGCGTAGGCATCTTCGAGAGCCCTACAGGTGAATTCTGCACCCGGGACAGCTTCTGACGCCTGTTTGTTCATTGCTGATGGGGGTGTAGGGACGGTATGTCTGTTGTGTACCTGACAGGACGATGCGTGATACCAGTGTCCATCTGACGCGGATAGGGCAAATCGCTGAGCCTGATATGTGGCTCGCTGGCATGGCTGAGGGACCATAAGCGTTCCGTCTTTCTCGAGAAGGCTGATGACGGTGTGTCACTGTTACTCTACTTGTCATGTACTGGTCATATCCAGGTCATGGCTGCTGCATGTTGATGTGTATATATGCTGACTTGGTAGATGGGGACGACGGGGAGCCGGACTGGATGGTGCAGCACGCTCGACGTGAGAGGACCCAGGAGATGCTTGCTCGCCGAAAGGAGCTGGAAGAGCGTCTGGCCAGAGTCAGGGAAACAGAGGAGAGGCATAGAAAGAAGTTGGAGCTTGCTTCTCGCTTGACCAAGAAGATGGTACTTGATACATTCACACGGCGCCCTTGATATGCTTTTTGACGAAACTGGACCATACTGACACCAAATGACTGACTAGCGAGTTGTTAATGAGAAAGTCCGTCCAGAAACCAAGGATGAAGACTTTGAATTAGATGACTATGAAAGTGGAGATGAAAAGGCTGGACGGCCGCAGGATGATGGCAACCCCCTATCATCAGATACGTTGGCCCTCCTTGAGAAGCTCAAAGGCCCTGCCCAGCGGATAGAGCTAGAGGAAGACAATGAAAGCGTCAAGATCATATACTGCTCTCGTACACATTCACAGCTGATCCAATTCGCGCAGGAGATGCGCCGGGTCATGCCCATATCCAGTATACCCCCAGACCTAGACGACAACTTGAAGGAAGAGAAAAAAGAAAACCAACAGGATGAAGGAGAGTGGATAAAACATACTCCCCTCGCATCTAGGAAAACCCTCTGCATCAACCCTTCGGTCCGGTCTCTGTCTTCTGCCACGGCCATCAATGAACGGTGTCTGGAGATACAACGCCCCAATGCAGCTGCAGAGCACAAGTGCCCATACCTCCCTACCAAGGACAACGAGCTCAAGACCTCTCAGTTCCAGGACCACCTACTCGCTCGAGTTAACGATATTGAAGACCTACCACCCTTAGGCACCAAGATGGGCATATGTCCATACTACGCATCTCGTACGGCTATGAGAGCTTCTGCCACAGAGGTGGTCACACTACCCTACCCTTTACTATTACAACAGTCAGCCCGCGAAGCACTCAACCTCTCAGCCAAGAATAGTGTCATCGTCATCGACGAAGCACATAACCTCGTCGATGCTATCGTCAATATTCACTCCGTCACCGTCTCACTATCACAGCTTAGGACTGCCCTGGCCCAGATTACCACGTACGCTAGACGGTTCAAGTCTCGCCTAAAGGGCAGAAATCGAGTATACATTGCCCAGCTTATCAGGCTGGTTGGATGTATGGTCTCATTCTTGGATGGTGTTGGGCAGAATGACAGACTGGATGCAGAGCTAACGGTGCAGGATGTCCTCGGTGGCGGAAAGGGGAAGGGAGGTGTGGATATGATCAATCCGCATAAACTAGGCGTGTACCTGAGAGAAAGCAAGCTCGCTAGAAAGGTAGATGGATACATCGAACACACAGCCACTCAGCAGGCCAATGGTGGTGACGGGGGTGGCAAGAAGGTAGACGGTGGTATGCCTGTGTTATTCCATGTGCAAAGCTTCCTACTTCCGCTCATGGACCCTTCGGACGAAGGACGCCTGTTCTACGAGAAGGTTGGCGGTGACGTACAGTTGAAATACCTCTTACTTGATCCTACTAGTCGATTCAAGGAGCTTGTCGAAGATGCAAGGGCAGTTATACTTGCTGGAGGAACCATGGAGCCAGTACGTACCCCTTGCCGTCACTCAACATTGAGCAATTGATCCTGACTTCAAGATAGATGGACGACTATGTTAATCACTTGCTCTCGTATCTCCCGCGAGAGAAGATAAAGACGTTTACTTACGGCCATGTCATACCAAAGGATAATCTGATGGCTATCCCGATTGACAGAGGAATGGATGGAACAGAATTCAACTTTACTTTTGATCAGCGCAGGTCTGAAAAGATGGTACGCCTTTCTACATTAAACTCCCAAGCCTGGTTCTATCTAACAACTAGATATAGATCATCAGCCTGGGTCGGACAATAGTCAGATACTGTTCTATCATCCCTGACGGCGTCGTGGTCTTCTTCCCCAGCTACGACTACTTAGCAACCGTGCTGAAAGTATGGTCCTCTAGCTCCGGAATCCTCAATAGCCTCTCCCGTCTTAAGCCCATCTTCCATGAGCCCCAGTCTACAGGTAGTATGAACGTCAGCGCCAACGCTAACACCAGCACTGACTCTCTCCTCTCTAAATACTCCGCTTCCGTCGACGCAGGGAAAGGCGGCCTCCTACTCTCCGTGATGGGAGGAAAACTATCAGAAGGCATCAACTTCTCAGACGCCCTAGGCCGTGGTGTTATCGTGGTCGGCCTTCCGTTCCCCAACACCCGCAACGCCATCTGGCAGGCTAAGTTGCAGCATGTTGAAAGGAAGGCATATGAACTTGCTGACTCCATCCAGTCAGACGAGGGCCGACGAGCTTGTGGCAAGGCAGCAAGTAGAGCATACTATGAAAACACATGTATGCGGACGGTGAACCAGTGTATTGGGCGAGCCATACGACATAAGGGGGACTATGCTGCTATTTTGATGATAGACAGGAGGTATCAGACGGAGAGGATTCAGGGGAAGCTGCCTGGCTGGATCAGGGGCAGTCTTCTCAAGAATCACCAGGGCGATGTCCCCGGCCAACTCCAGCACTTTTTCCAGTCAAAGCCATAGACCATCCACTATCCATAACCATTAGACATACTCCGTACAAGTCTTGTCTTGTCCATAATATTCTACTCTATAGAGATCGCTCTTCGTTGCCCCTTTTCTTGCTTAGTCATGATTGCATTACTAATACATGACTAAGAAGGTCATAATAACGTGACTAGGGCTAACCCTAAGCGACACCACAGCCAAGAAGGGAAACTTTTTGCAGTCGAAGAAAGCGAAACGAGCGCTTGAACTTCCATCTTTTCCTCCTCATCGACCGACCACAACCTCTTGTCGACCAGCGCGCCTCCGACAAGATGCCTACCAGACTCACGAAGACGAGAAAGCAGTGAGTGCCTCCCCTCTGTGCCGCCGCTGTGAGGCGCTCGATGCGCCCCGAGGAAGCGTTGAGCAGTTTTGGGCTGATTGATGAATGAATTTTTATAGCCGTGGCCATGTCTCTGCTGGTTACGGTCGCATAGGAAAGCACCGCAAGCACCCCGGAGGTCGTGGTATGGCCGGTGGTCAGCACCACCACAGAACCAACCTCGACAAGTACCATCCCGGTTACTTCGGTAAAGTTGGTATGCGATACTTCCACAAGACGCAGAACCAGTTCTGGAGACCAGTCATCAACCTCGACAAGGTACGGCCTACAATTGTTCCATGGGAAAGATGCAATGCGCTGGGGGGGAAGCATATTGGAATGGAGAAATATACTAGGAGAAAAACGGTCAATGCTAATTGTGTGGTAGCTATGGTCTCTCGTCCCCTCTGAAACCCGTGATGCCTACATCAGCAACAAGAAGCCCGACACCGCCCCAGTCCTCGACCTCCTCCCACTTGGCTACTCCAAGGTCCTCGGAAAGGGCCGCCTCCCAGAGATCCCAATGGTTGTACGAGCACGATACTTCAGCAAGGAGGCTGAGAGAAAGATCAAGGAGGCCGGCGGTGTTGTTGAGTTGGTTGCGTAAATGCCCTGTTTGAAACGATCGATGATTCGCTGCCAACATCTGTCTGTACGCTTGCTGTTGGATGGAGGAGATAGAGCCCCTTGTGGGTTTTAACGGTGTTTTTTTTCTCTGGCGCGAGAGGAGAGACCTCACTGATCGATCGCCCGTTGCGTAACTTTTGCTCTTTTTCTTTTTGCATCAACAGCATGGGATAGGGGAATCCGGAACGGCGTGATGCAGTGCAGTGGAAATGATCCTACTAAAAAGAAAGCAACATCAATTTTAATGACCAAGATCGAACAAAAAACTGTGGCGGTTTAACGTCTGCGTTTGACGGGCTGTGGATATTTTTCCCCCGTCTTTCGCAGGTATGAAATTAGGTTCTATCCCATATACTACATAGGTGGAATAGAATTCTTTTCCTATATTTCAAAAATATCATGCTTGGTCATTTATATCGTAAAAAGTATTTCTAGATTGGTCTACATCTTGGATGTTCTAACCACGGCAGACCTCGAACTATCTTGCCCTGCAGCTAGACAGTCACCGATGAACTTGACGGCTTCATCTCTCATAGGAGGTGTGACTTGGTGTCCCACTCCCTCAAAGATGATATCCTCTAGGGATATCTTACCCTCTGCGCACCATCCTTCCGGCCCAATTGCCTTCTTCAACCAAGTCAAGAATGGTTCCCCACGCGCATAAGGAACTAGCTTGTCAGCACCCCCCGAGAGAACCAAGATCCTTTTGCCTGCCAGACACCGCTTCACCACTGGCCGAAGGATATTCTTCTCCTCTTCCGTGGGATCAGGGATCGGCCCGCTGCGTTTTGGCTCCTTGGGCGGGTATTCACTTATATGACTGAGAAAGAAGCTTGTGGGATCCCAGTTTTTCAAAGTATCTACCAGCGGTTGAGGGAAAGACTCAGAGCCAAGAAAGTGAGAACCTGGAGGGCTGCTGCTTGTCCAAGTAGCCAATTTTGAACGTTCTGCCCGGTCAGTCATGAGGTTGATATAATCCGGGCAGCCAACGATTATGGTAGCACTGGTGATGCGAGGCTCATGTAGGATACAGCCCCATGCAGCATGTCCACCAAGAGAAGCACCCAGCACGAGGTTGTTGGTTATCTTCCGCTCGGATTTGGGGAAAAGATAGCATCCCATGTAGTCAATCAGGGTAGACACATCCCTCGTGGTGCCATCTATGCCGAATTAGCCGCGATCGTACCTCCACCTCCCCTTGGCGGTATGCAACAGGCAGGCGAACTCACTGAATATAGCAAACATATCTTGAGCATGGTTGGGGTTCCCACCTCTCCACGACTCATTGCACAGCTTGTCCACCTCTCTCGAACCGTGGTTCCGCTGATCAAAGGATACAGCTACTAAGCCCTTGTCTTGCTCGCCGGGAGCAACCTGCTTATTCGCCAGGCGTCTGTTCCACTCAACCACTGCTCCGATTGCTGCCCATTCCATTGACTCGCGAGTATTCGAGCGCGGGTGCAGTAGGTACAGACAGGACACCTCCGTTGCCTGCGAGGGTATCTCTTCAAGCCCATAGACGGAACAAATAAGCCCTGAGACAGGTATATCTTTCTTGGATATCTGGGGCAGCGGCGTAGAGTCGCTTGGTACCATTGGGTTAGCCATATTGAATATCGGCTTTCAGACAAAACCAAAGCTCTCTATCCTCCTTTTGGCTCCTCTTCTCTTCTGTGCCACTGCAAGAACCTTGTCTATACGTCTCTTCAACTTCCCCTCTCGGTTTCATCCTGTCTCCTGCTTGTCGTCTCCGGTATTTTGCTTTTTATATCTTTAACTTTTGCCGAGGCAAGCGTTGTTAAGCTAGCGCTTAGTCAGCAACTTCCGTGAAAATGTTAGTGAAAGCCTACTCCGTACTGGATCAGCAGTCGGTTCGGAGATGTTTTCAGAGAAATATGGCATTAGCATCTACTCCGTATAGAAAGATCCATCTCTTGTGCACTTAGTAGTTAGATAGATTGAAATACATACGTCTGCAGAACGCAATCGTCACTGTAGAAGCAGCGCCAAGTTATGCCTCACGTGATTTTCCCATGCTTACTCATCCATTTCACCATGCTCTCACCTGATTGGCCCCCCGGCCGCAGAGGGCAAGTCCAGGGGCTCAAGGAGGACGACGAGGACGACGAGGCAGAAGACGAGGCGGAAGACGAAACAACATCTAGCAGAAACAAGCAGATGAGGAGGGAAAGGAGTTGATATACCGCTGTTTGTGCTCCGTCAGAAGCATCGTTAAAGGCTCTTGAGGATACAGCACGACTTCCAAGATGCTACAGTGGTAGGTTTGGACCTCCCTCGAGCTTGCGAGAAACTACAGCGACGATTTCGCGTCTTGGAGAGTTGAAGTGCTGATGGACGGTGATATCTCACAGTTGCGGGGAGTGAGCTGCAGGATACACTCCTGCTGGGCTCCTTAAGAAGCAATCGCGCCCACATTTTTGAACCACGCAACCCCGGATTTTTTTTAAATAGCGCCCTTACCAGTATAAGCAAACTCCCCACCGACTGTCGTTATATACGACGCTAGTTATCACAGAAGATGGACGACGATGGCAGGAAAGGAGTCCGTGAGGGACAGACCTTGAACCCCAAAGACATAACCGATGGAAAAGGCAGCAGAGGCACTGAACCCTTGGCCACGGTTGAGCACGCTCATACTGTTAGTGTTTCAGGACGGGGAAACCCTGTGCAGCTCTTTTTCTTTGCATACCCTTGGATTACTTTCAGTGACATAATTAAGCTAATAATTGCTCATATTTAAACCATTAGGGACTTGCTGAGCCTAGTTCCCAACCCGCAACTGGAACATCGACACCTATAGCTCGCAGAAGTATACAGTTTACCCGTGGGGATGGTGATAACGAAGCACCAGGACAAGGACACTCATACTCCCGGCCGCCCTCAGAGTCCGCAGCGGATGAAGATATAGCTCCCAAACGTGGACATTTTCAATTCATGTCCAAGCTCCGAGCTCTCGCCCCTTCAACCTCACGCTCAGCAGGCCCAGCTTCTCCTGTAGCGCCAAGTCACGATAGAACAATGTCTGACGGCGCAGGACCACTCTCTGATCTGACAGAATTCCGGTTTCCCCGACCAGAGGATGCAGGCGGAGGAAGTGATGCAGATGCGGATGTCGAATCTAGCTCTGAAGCAGGTTTTGGTGTACAGGTGAAGAAGAAGAAACGCAAGACAAAGAGACCCCCGCTTGATCTCTCCCATACTACGCCATCAACGCCAAAATCAGCCCTATCAGTCGCAAACTCGATCAATCCATATGATGACCCTCAATCCGCCAATGCCCCACTGACCCCTCCGATTCATCGTTTACGAGAGGGTGTCTCTGAAGATGAGGGAAGAGATAGACTGAATCGAGATAACATGTGGCGGAGAAGAAGCAATTGGCTACAGGGTTCCCGTGGAAGAAGCATTACCGGACAACGGGCTGATGGACATGCATCTCAAGACGAGAGACGTCCAACAAATCTACGACGGTTCACAGGATTCGGTGGCACTTCTGAGCATGCAGACGGTATTAGTGGAGCCTGGCGCAGGCATAAAGCTGAGCGTGGCTCGAGCCTCAGTGCCCAGAAATGGAAACAGATTAAAGCTGGCTTCAAGCTGATCGGCCAGCGCAAGAAGCAGGAAAACACTGTTGACCATGTCAAGTCTGCCGAATTGCTTGCTGAGCTGACCTCGGGTGTACCCGCTGCTTTGCTCTTAGCTAGTATGTTCCAACGGGATGAACACGGAAGTCGACGCATTCCTATCCTCCTTGAACAGCTCAAAGTCCATGTCACTGATAGCGAATTCGATTCGCACTCCTCTGGTGACCGTCATCTTGTCTTCCGCATAGAGCTTGAGTATGGTAGCGGGATGACCCGCATGAAGTGGGTTATTCATCGAACACTCAAGGACTTCGCCAACCTACATTTGAAATACAAGCTGCAGATTGGTACCCAGAGATATATCCAGTTACGAAGCCATGACTCCGGAAACCAGTTGCCACGCTTTCCAAAGAGCGCCTTTCCGTACATGCGAGGTGTCCGTGGCCTTGAAAGTGATATGGAAGACGAGGAGGATGAAGCCGCAGAAGATACTGCTGCGGATGCAACCAGTGGAAATGAACGATCAAGGAAGAAGAAACGGAGATCCTCCATCGCCCTCACCAGACGAAGGTCAAGTTTGGCTTCACGGCTCGATGCCCCAGCCAACTCGGACAGGGCTGTTGATAATGGCACAGCGAGCAAACGAGAGACCTATCCTGAAAAACAGAGAAAGAAACTTGAATCATACTTGCAAAAGATGATACGCTTCCTGATTTTTCGACCGGATAGCAACCGTCTCTGCAAATTCCTCGAGCTCTCTGCGCTTGGTGTCCGCCTAGCAGCTGAAGGAAGTTATCATGGTAAAGAAGGATACTTGGTTATCCAGTCTTCCAAGGGCCTTGATTTCAGAAAGGCCTTAAACCCGTCCATGGTGAAGTCGCGCCACTCTCCGAAGTGGTTCTTGGTTCGGCACAGTTACATTGTCTGCGTTGACTCTCCAGAGGAGATGCATATATACGATGTTTTCCTTATTGACCCCTTTTTCCAGATCCAGGCCCAGAAAGTCCGCCTCAGAGATCAGAATCCAAAGGAGCTAAAGGAATCTGCAAAGCATCCACAGCATCATACCCTGAAAATACAAAATTCTGAACGCAGGATGAGGCTACTTGCGAGGAATGACCGCCAGCTTCGTCAGTTTGAAGACTCTATTCGTTTAGTGCTTGAAACTACCCCTTGGGCTAAGCCTAACCGGTTTGACAGCTTTGCACCAGTGCGACCAAATTGCTTTGCACAATGGCTCGTTGATGGGAGGGATTATATGTGGGTAGTCTCACGAGCAATTGCCCAGGCAAAGGATGTCATCTACATCCACGACTGGTGGCTAAGTCCTGAACTCTACATGCGTCGCCCAGCTGCCATCAGTCAGAAATGGCGCCTCGACCGTTTACTTCAACGAAAAGCACAAGAGGGTGTGAAGATCTTTGTTATAATGTACCGCAATATTAACTCTGCTATTCCCATTGACTCGGAGTATTCCAAATTCTCGCTCCTGGATCTACATCCCAACGTCTTTGTGCAGCGTTCTCCAAACCAGTTTAGGCAGAACACATTCTTCTGGGCTCACCACGAGAAGATTTGCATTGTTGATCATACTCTAGCATTCGTTGGTGGCATTGATCTTTGCTTTGGTCGATGGGATACCCCGCAACATCTAATTACAGATGATAAACTTACAGGTTTTGAGATGACCGATGCCCCCAAAGATGCGGATCATTGTCAGCTATGGCCGGGTAAAGATTACTCAAACCCAAGGGTCCTTGATTTTTATGACCTGGATAAGCCCTACGAAGAGATGTATGACCGTGAGGTGGTTCCACGCATGGCATGGCACGATATATCCATGCATGTTGTAGGGCAGCCCGCTAGAGATCTTACCCGTCACTTTGTTCAAAGATGGAACTACATTCTTCGTCAACGTAAACCTACACGGCCAACTCCATTCCTTTTGCCTCCACCGGATTTCAACCCTGCCGACCTTGAAGCTCTGGGCCTAGATGGAACATGTGAGATCCAAATTGTTCGTTCAAGCAGCATGTGGTCCACCGGCACCCCCGATGTTGTTGAGTGCAGCATCATGAATGCCTACGTCAAGATGATTGAAAAGTCTGATCATTTTGTCTACATTGAAAACCAATTTTTCATCAGCAGCTGTGAAATCGAGGGAAAGAAAATAGAAAATCATATTGGTGATGCATTGGTCGAGAGAATTATTCGCGCTGCCGACAATGAAGAAGCATGGCGTGCAGTCATACTGATACCCCTTATGCCCGGTTTCCAGAACACCGTGGATACTGAAGGCGGAACTAGCGTGAGACTGATCATGCAATGCCAATATAGGAGTATTTGCCGTGGAGAGTCCTCAATCTTTGGTCGTCTGCGTGCTCGTGGTATTGAGCCCGAGGATTACATCCAGTTCTTCAGTTTAAGATCATGGGGAAGAATTGGTCCAAAGAAAAACCTTGTCACAGAGCAATTATACATACATGCAAAGTGCATGATTGTTGATGACCGGGTTGCTATCATTGGATCTGCGAACATTAATGAACGTTCTATGCTTGGCTCAAGAGACTCGGAGTGCGCTGCTGTCGTCCGGGACACTGACCTCCTCGAGTCTAGGATGAATGGGAAGCCGTATCTGGTTGGACGGTTCCCGCATACCCTTCGAATGCGTCTGATGAGGGAGCATCTTGGATTCGACGTTGATGAGATTGTTGAAGAATATACCTCTGCCTTTGAAACAACGAATATAGACAAGACTCCTGGACACCTGCCTGATGTTGCAAGCCAGCATGAACATGGCCCTGCTGATGGCGAAAATCAGGCTGAGAAAGATGATTTAGAGAGAAAGCAGAAAGTCCAGGAGGAGTTCCTGGCCCGATTTGAAGAAATGCACAGTTTCAATCATGACGTCGATTGGGAGCAGGCAGGCAATCCAAATCTCAAATCAAATAGGAAACTTACCGCAGACGCCAGAGTGACAAGAAACGAAGACCACCGGAAAGACTTAGAAGGCCATGGAGTCGATCAGATGAAACGTAATGGAGAGATCGTTGGCACTACCGGTCGCGATACTGTCCTCAAGAACAGTGTCGAAGTTTTGGTTACAGGCACAGTCAAGAATAACACGACCCCATCCACAATGTTATGCGATAACGCATCTGATTTAGCAGGTTCAATTGCCAATACTAAACAGCCAACTGCCCCAGGTACGCCAGAGACCCACCCAAGGAGCGTTTCAACATCCAGCCCCCGAATGACAGTGCAAAATCGATCTGCTACAGCCAACGCCACCGATGATCATATACAACCCTTCTCTCTTGACGCCACACAGCCGAAGAATACCTCACATTTCCTTTTGGACGAACCGAGACGACCAATTCTCGACAAGGATTGTATGAAAGATCCGCTCCTCGACTCGTTTTATCTGGACACTTGGCAAGCCATTGCAGAGAACAACACCAAACTCTTTCGGAGCGTATTCCGCTGCATGCCAGATAGCGAAGTTAAAACGTGGAAGGACTACAAGGAATATACGGCATATGCGGAAAGGTTTGCTGACATGCAAAACCATTGCAATGCCTCAGCCCGAAGTCAGTCTTTCCCTCGTAACGGTCCTCCTGGAGCAAATAACGGCTCTCCCAATGGCGGAAAGTTGGGAACCGAGCTTGGAAGTGCTCTCGAGGAGGTGAAGGAGAAATTTGGAACCCATCATTCTTCCGAAAAGGATAAGGAGTTGCATGCAAACTTGCACCAATGGGCGGTAGAGGCCAATCAGGCACAACTCGAACGTCAACAACAGGAACAGCTCCACGTCGATAAGTCCGTTCCACACGCTGATATTCATTCTCATTCCATCAACAACGCTGATGCAAGATCGTCTAATTCCAGCCGTAATGCGGAATCTTCCCACACTCCTGTGGCGCCAGAGAAGAACGTTGAGGTACCTAGGTCCTCACAGTCTGAGGCCCCGGCCCCAAGTATTGGCATGTCACAGCGACGAAGGCGAAGGGCAAATACCCGCAGTTCAAGAAAAGAGTTCCACGCGGTAGATGATATTATGGACATGCATGAAGCAGCCGAATTGCTTGGCTCAGTGCAAGGCCACCTGGTTCTTTGGCCGTATGAATGGTAAGCTGACATTCTTATTCCAACTTAAGCGATGCTTAATACGCTTTACTGACAATTTGCCCATTTAATAGGCTTGAACGCGAAGAGCAAGGAGGTAACTGGCTATATACACTTGACCAAATCTCTCCCCTTGAAATATAGTAAGTACTCCTTCCCACAATATGTCGTGGTCTAGTGCCTAACCATGATATAGTAATTGAACAAGAGCTTTCTTGCAGTATATATATCTCTGCGCTCGTTTCTGCGCATTCTATTAATACCCACAAACCCCTTTCTCTCGTTATTATATTTCCTTTAGTCTCGTTCCCCTTCCGCTTGGAGCATCTGGAGCCACGGTCATCTATCGCTTGCTTGATAAATACTTTTATAATTTTATACTTACTTCGTCTGTTAGTATTGTTGATTATATTTAACGCTTATATACTATTCCTGTATATCTCTGTTACTTTTGTCTTTTCATTGCATCCTATTCAGTTTAATATAGATTTCTAGCCAAGTTAATAATATAAAATGCAACTCTGCCTCCATACATATTGCATATAGTGCATGCATATGCAGCGCTAAACGACCAGGTCTTGCATACTCGATGGCTTTTCCGAGAATTGGCTTGCAGGCAATATGCATAACTCATCGTGATATGAACACGATGTGCATCCACTACAACGTGGGAATCGTGTATATTTAGATCAACCTCATGCATAAGCACGAAAAAGCCAGAAGATCCGACCCGCTCCTTGTTTACGAGATTTGACGGATGACTGACAGATGATAAGCATTCAGCCTGATGAACAAGGAGGTGCATTTCAGGTAGATATATCAATCCAGTCGGGGTCAGATATCGACCGATTGGCCTATATGATCTGGTTGATTGCTATATATGGTATCAAAGTATAGACAAGGCGACCTATGTACAAAACGCATGATGCATCTTGATTTCTGCATGTAATGCTCATCAATATATCGCAAATTTGCGAAATTCTCCGCGGCGAAATAATCAATTAGTATACAACCCCCCCTTTTTCGATGTGAATGGTATATTGGCCCAGTAGTACCCAAAACTCCCGCTCAAGTTAAACGTCAATCATGTAATGAAAAGAAAAAAAAAAAAAAAAAAAAAAAAGGAAAGAAAAGGAAAGAATTTGTAATGTTTGGTATCTTCCCGATCGCCTCGCTCTTGAGATATACGAGACGATCGATCATTTCATCCATGTCCATATCCATTTCACGAACGTTTTTCCGTTCTCTGCAGTAAAACCATCGTCTGGGAATTCCAAACGTCCCTTCCTGGTCTTGCTTGTGACCTGGACAGTGTTTTGAAGATCGTTCGAGCGTTCAGGGCCCCATCTCGAGAAGTGGAATCCGTGTTTCTTGAATTTATAGCCGATAACTAGAAGGAAAAACACGGGCACTCCGATATACGCGGCAAGGAAATGCCTGACGTTGAATGGAGTCTCCAGGAAGGCCCCTACTCCGTTAAAGATAATAAGGATGAGGCAAGAAAATAGCCCATATGCTCCTTTAAGCCATTGGCCATGAGATTTGTATGGGTAGCGCGGGTGGTCTCGCTCGTAGCAACCAGACTGCGCCTGGGAAGTGTTTCCAAGGGTTTTTGCTTCATCAAGTCTGGAGATACGCACATTAGTACATAGTTTTGAGCAATGATGGTCCCCAAGATTGCTCCTGCGGAAGTACTTACGTTCTATAAAAGCACAGATACGTCCCGCAGATTGCAGTATATACAATCAAACATGAAACCGTGCAGTTTGTCGCAAGCTCACCTAGTCTCTGTATGAATAGTTTGTATTAGCATAAACCTACCAAATGGAAAATGAAGTTCAACAATAGTGAATTACTGACCTGACCAGGACCGCCAGTGGGACCCATATATGCAATCATCATCAGACCAGCTGTTGCAAAAACAGTTCTCAGGGGTACACCCAGATGGCATTCTTGTAGCCTTCGAGTAAGCCATCTTGGGCCGGTTTGTTCTCGCAGAGCCAACGTATGTAGTACTCTTGATGCCACGTACATCGAGTTTATAGCGCAGGTAAAGGCCGAGAAAACATACATGGCGTTGAAAAAGTGGGCAACGGCGGGTAGACCAGCTTCGACGACAGCGATAAGGAAGACAGATGAGCTGCCGACTGATTGTGCCTTTCCGTTCAAAAATGGATGGTTTCGTGGAACCAGGAAGGAGGCAGTAAGCATGGCGAGAGTATAAAGCGTTATGACACGGAGGTTGATCTTTCGGGCCGCCATCTTCATGCTCTCAGAATCTGCAAGGGATTTGCTTTCTGCAGCTGTAGCAGCGACAATGTCCATTCCCACGTATGAGAATATCACGTTAATGATAGTTGTCCTGACTAGAGGTTAGATATCATGAAACTTTTTTAACAGTCGTCGAGGTAAAACCTACCACATCCCCAGGAACGAACCCATGGTTCCCTTGATTTCCATCTGGACAGCGTTGTCCTCTCCTCGTACTTTGTAATCCCTACAGATGAATGAAAACGGTTGGTCCCAGTATTTAGTTCCAACCGGATCTTTGTAGTACGCATTTGATCGAGCTGTAGCTGAAGGTTAGAAAAGATGACGCATAAGTAAGGAAGTATGTGATTTGACGAACGTTGCATAGTATCAAGCACAACCATCATGACGATGATCATTGTGATGAAGCTGAGTTTTATACTGCCGAATAAATACTCCAACTCGCCATAATACTATCAGACCTGTCAGTAATGGAACGACGATGGTACAATAGGATATCATGGTTGCCCAAACCTTCACAGGAAGCATGTTTATCATCGTAACGAGGAATAAAAACAATGATATCCACACTGCAGGATGTACGTTTTCACCAGTTTCCCAGTGTAAGAAAGTCTTCCCGTCATCGTATCGGAATCTGACGGAATTAGTCACTGCAACAAGTTGATCTGCTGCGAGCACCGCGTAGGCAAACCTGTGGGCCAATATATATCAGCAAGTTGTTTTCAAGCGAGGTTATGATCGAGGAATAGTCATAAGGGGAGTCTAACCAGTACACCCAGCCAACAGCAAATCCAACACCTCGATCAACGAAACGCCGGGGAAACTCCATGACCGGGGCATTAACAGGCATGAGAGCTGTCATCTCGCCTAGACATGAGATGACAGATGATATAACGGTAGCCATCAGTAGGTAGCAAAGCACAGCACCTCCAGGGCCAGCGCCAGCTAGAGATCTTCCACTCCCGAGGAAAAGACCTATAACCAGAGTTAGAGCGAGATAACGGTATATAAGCCGCGTCTGACAGAGTCGACTTACCATTTCCTATTGTTCTAATAGGTAGCAAAGTTGCATGTCAGTAAGAGGTCAACAGTCTAGAGCAGGACTTTGTGTAGATGGGCCTACCCTGAGAACGCAATCATCTATAGTATCACGCATGTTAGCAACCTCCAATTACTCCATCAAATGGAACCAAAATGAAAATATCCTGTGGTATCTTGATAGATGGGGGAGAGGAGGTGGAAGACTTACGTTGATCTGTCTCTCGCCCAGCACTCGCCTATACAAAGAGAGAACTTGATGTCAGCCAACGTCCAACGTCCAACAAACAACGACATCATCTTCATCATCACCAACAACAACAACGACAGCCATAACTCATATCAATGGCAACCACCTTCGTCACGGATCAAGAGAGTGGGTTCTTATATACCAGACACTGAATCCCTTACGAGCGCGCTGCTCTGTGTCAAAAGTCGGTTCCTCCACCATCGCTTCCACCATAGTTCGTTCTGTGGGCGGATAGTCTGTACTCATCATCGTGGGCTCCGTGTGGTATTCATGATAGCTTGGAAGCGAGTTTGGGGGCTTCTCAGCAGGATCCATGGTGTTCGATACTGCCGTGTCTCGGTGGGCTTTTGTCCATATACAATCCTCCTCCAGCCCCGGATAACAGCCCCTTCTCGGTCAACCAGAAATCGATATGGTCAAGGCCTAAGACGTCTTTAAAATGCGGAGGTCGAGAGGCCGGGTTTGAGGGTGTCCTCCCTGAGAGACGACCGAAGAGTCTTCTGGCGGTATTATGGACCAAGGAATGGATGTACGTTCAAAAAACGAGTAAAAAAGAAGCCGTCAAAGCCCAATTTAGAGGTTACGAGAGCAGAAACTTCGGAGAACGGCTGATATCGACATCTCTTGCATCCCGTCGGTTGTCTTGTCGCTTAAACGCAGGAATAATAATAATATTTGGCCCTGATTGCAGTTTCAACCCCGCGGGTAGATCAACAGGCAACGGCTCGGTTTACCCAAAGTTGCAATATGAAGGAATCGGGGATGCTTGAAGAATAAAAGCCACTGATTCAGAGCGCGGCCTGCAATTACTGAATAAACTTCGGGTGAATGGTGGAAGAAGGCTGATCATCGGCTTGCACTTCTCGTATCAAGACACACTAGATGCTGCGGTACCAGGACTTGGGCACTGCAGGGAATCACTCCCTGGTCTCTGAAAAAGAAAAGAGCCATGCCCCCAGAAGCAAAAGGGAAAAGCGTAAACCCTGAAACGGGCCATGGTGGCGCGGTACTACTCGGGAAGTGGATGAAGATGAATGCTGGTCCTTGTCCATCAAGCCTCGATGGTGGACTAAAACCCACTAGCAGGGCTGCTACAGGAGTCAATCTACAGCTTTACAACACATACCAGCGAAGTTTGTTCCCTCGCCTCGCTCGTGATGCGTCAGAGCGTACAAGAGGTTTCGTGACCATGGAGAACTACGGAGTACGGCTTCTCGTCTGATCAGGGGGGTGCTGAAGGGAGCTGGAGCCTCCGGTACGGAGTATGCGGTGTGGTATAAAGACGTGGCCAACTGTGGACGATTGTATCAATGCACGTTTGCTGACCTCAAAAGACATCACCAACCAGACCGTCGAAGAGATGAAGTCATTGTTCCTTTTTGTCTGGCTTTCACGGGCTGTTCGATGGCCCGCCTCCCGCTCAGCCTCAATCTTTTGAACGAAGGGGAAATCCCATATCTCGGCGAACCATGAATATCATCGGAGCGATGATCTTCGTAAATACTCTGATGGGCCGTCCAGATAAAACAGACAGCATGGGCGCGGACTGCAATGATGTGAGTGAGCGTGTGAGCCAAACCCGCAAAAGAAATCAAATGTCGTCGTGTGGTTATTTTGCTTCGAGAAGCCAAACACCCAAGCAAGGCCCTCGGCAAGGATAGGACATATTATATATCATTTTTTTTACTCTCTTCGACAAAAAGAAAATGGTGTTAATAATCTGTCGCCGCGCTTGTCTTGGAAACCGAACTTATTATCCCACGTTATACGATAAACGTGGGAAACGAAGGAAACAATGGATGAAGGATTTAAGACAGGAATAACTAACGGATAAATCTAGCATAAGATTGGGAAACGGGCGGTCCAGAGAGAGGTACAATTTTGTTACTCAAAGATTCCTATCTGCCTCACCCTTGAGAAGTTGTTGCGATGAGGTACTTCTTCACGCAGCCTTCTGTACGATCCTCGGGGGCGTATCACTGATGCCAGCCAGTTGGAGGGCTTGTTCACAAAAAATGAATGGGATTCAGGAGTGAAAGTATAACATCCCAGGATCTACGTATATATACGAGGCCGCTCTCCACACCTCCTGGGAACATTCCCTCGCTTTCGTCGCATTATTCGGCGTGTTTCTGCAAACACCTCTTTCGTCCATGCTGGAGCGACATGGCAGTGGAGATAACTAGCTAACTAACACTCAAGCTAAAATATGGAAGAGAGGAAGCACAATGTCCATATAATAAAGCAAGACAGAAGACGCTGATACTCTTCCCCAGAATTTGACCCTCTGTCCGACCATAGCCAAACGACGAACGGAGAACACCCCCAGCTTGGGCATCAGCGCAAATGCCAAATTACCGCTGGAAGCCGATGCATAAAGGGGAAGGGGGAAATAGTCGCGAAAACCCCCCCTGATCGCTGACCTTCCTCGCGATGGCCGTGGCAGTTGATCGTTTCCCCAGGAAATTCAGGAGATAATCACGCTTACATTCCTGCCGCTGGAGGATAAAAAAGATGACAGCCTTGGCTTTCTTTCTGCTCTTCTTTTCCTTTTTGTTCGTTATGCCTTTTGCCGCAGCGTGTCTCTCTTATCGTCAAAAAATTTGATTGATAATCCCACCCTCGGCAGGCCTCTAGACCACGGAAAAAGAAACGAAGGGCAAAAGGAGTTTTGTGCTCCTCACAGGTGCAGTCAGGCTACAGCCAGTCTGTTCATGTGGATTTACAGCCCAGCTTCCGTACCCGCCCCCCACCTTGCTGGCTGCCATTTGTCCTCTCGCACTCCTACCCCCCAGACTGAGCTTATGAAATGGCAGAGGCAAACCCTTGCTGGGAGGGCCCTAGCCATTCTCCTGGGGAGACGCACACATGTTGCGCAAGCGGATCCTCCCACCGCAAAGCGTACCAAGTGTAGAGACGCAAACCAGTACGTAAGTAGAACTCGGGGAGAATGCACATCCTCCTTGAAGATGTGCGCTGCCTTGCAGTACGGAATAGGCATCCAGCTATCATGCTGTCATCGACTCCCCGTTGCCCAGGCTCAAACGCCGCCCATCAAGTTCGGTCTTCTTCAGCGTTGCCCACAGGCTCCCTCTCCCACTTGGCTTTTCCTGTGACCCCCCAGCTGAGCCAGGCGCTCTTATTCGACCGAATGGGAGGACCAGCAAACTAGCTCATGGAGCAGCAAATCTTATCGTCGCTGGTGTGTTTGGCTCCGCCTGCTCCGCTTTTTTAACCAGCAGTCCCTCGCTTGTGGTGTCCTTGATCTGATCCCAGCCACAAGGATCTGGGGAGAGGGGACCCATCAGCAGCCATTCGACAGGCAGAAATGGAGGACGAAGAAGAAAAAGAGAAATCATCCACTTCAACGAACAGTTGGGAATGAAACATGCACGGAGTGTATTTTTTTTTTTTTTTTTTTTTTTTCTACAATCGAGGCAGCCTGACAAATGAGCGGGTTGGTCTGCCGAGCACTTGCTTGCGTCGTTTATATCGGGAAAAAGCGCCTCCCGAAGCCGCAGAGAAAGAGAAAGAAGCTGACCAGAAGAAGACGAGATAACGGCCGGGGGAGTTCAAGTCCAACCAACCCTCTTTGAGCCCGCCCGAGCAGATCCTGTGTCATAGTAACCGCACTAAGTGACTTTTCCTGGCACATCAATTTACAGTACTTATTTCCCCATACTCTCAGCCTTCCGCCTAACCAGAGGAAATTAAAAGGAGAAAACAAAAATTACAACAACGACAGCCATTCCGGGAGTTTATTGTATTTCAAACCGCCCATTGGATGTGCTTCCCACAGAACAAAGCCGCAGCTGTTCGAATTCTTCCTCATTGTCATTCGGCCCGCTGGCCAACGGTCGTGGATAGAATCTACAAAAGGGCAGCTAACTTAGTTATTTTGTATGGAGAAGTGAGCCATTCACGCCAATTGCGGAGTACTTATGGAGTATCTGCTCCAGTTGTCGCCGGGGAGAGGTAACAGATTAGCCATCTACTCCATACAAGTACAAGCACTCTAAAGTACGGGAGGTACTACAAGTAGCGACATTCCTAATCTCTCAGAACAACCCGACTCCTGGCCGCGAACAGCCACATGAGCATATACATTTCATGTAACGACGGAGCTGAATGACGTCCAAGCAGCAGGCAGAGACCAAACATCGCCTCAGAAAAGCAGATAGATGCATGTCAGCAGAAACAGACAGTTGGACCAGGGGCTGAGCCGAACAGAGTATTATTATTAACTGATACATACTCCGTACGGAGTACTTCACTGGCCGCTCCAGAGATACATCACTGCCTGTCTGACTGACAAAAAATATAAGCACGGCTGCGCTTCTGGATCGTGGCTGGGCAGCCGCCTGAGTTAAAACTCTTGTATGTCCCACTTGATGCAGAGGGATCGTTAATTCGCTGGCCCGTTTGAAATTCGATATCTGGTTATCCTCCATCGTCGCCGTCACTGCCGTCCACCTGTTATCGTTACCGGCGAATAGCCATCTATCTGCCTGTGGTCGTGCTGGGCCTGTTTATCTCCTTTCCGACGGTCTACTGAGACTAGCCTGGAGCTGTCCGGAACTCCTGGTTTCGCTAACACCTTGAGCTTGCCGCTATGAAATGCCTTGCATTCCATCGTACGAAAGGCATCACCGAGCTATCTTGTCGCTGAAGTCGATCATCCGTTTCATGCCTGGCTAGGGGATCGGACCTGCATACACGTTGGTTCCAGAGTGTCGAACGTGCCGTATAGTTAACTGGAGTCAAGACCTTATAACTGAAGCCCTTTCGAAAGGAAGCCGGTCTGCAAAACCAGAATACTGATTAGCAGAAAAGTGGGAGTAGTGTGAGAGGAGAAGGACGGATACCAGCAGGAGGAGAACGGGGAGCGGTTCATACACTTTTTCGAGGATCCGGGAATCTGAATACTCTCCGTCAATCGAGCCCGCAACGGGCGTACGACCGAACCCCCAACCGGGGCCGATGCCATGGCTCTTGCAACTGCATCTACCCAGTTCCTCCACCTTGCGAACGTTTTCCGACTCCTCAGCCTTCGAAGCGATGCCGATGATATAATTTTGGAGCTCCTGGGCAGGTTCTCGCTGGATAGGATATACGCTGATAGCAACCGTGAGAAGTTCCAACAACTTGTCAGCACTCTGCTATCGCAACTCAACGCTGTTCTCTATATCCAGCGCCTATCGCTCCCTTCGGACAAGGAGCAGGTTGAAGAATATGTGGGGTTCCTGGCGAATTGGGAGACCATCTCGCGGTCCATAGAATTCGTATTACAGGTTGTTCTCGAGGGACACGAGAATCTGTTCAATGTCCACCAGCAGCTGGATGTGCAGCTGGCCGACCTTGTCTCTACAGCGTTGCGTGTACTATCATTTCATCCCAAGAGCCTTCCAGATATAAAGGATCAGAAGCACCGGTTTGCTCGAATCCATCGGCTCCTTGATAAGCTACACGACCGTTACCCAGGTCCAAGGCCATGTCTCCTACTTATCTGCCGAGATATGGCTAATGCGTTGCGTATGGATCCTACATCGCTCCCACTGCCCACAAAGCTGATGAAGGAGATGCCCAACTTGGCCCTGGATTTGGTATGCTCATCCCTTCCATATATCTCGTTATCTTACTCCCTCTATAGTTATCCTTCCCCGCATTGTTAAAGCTAAGTTGCTGACTGTATAACGAAGTACCCATTACATGACTGCTTGTCGGAGCGATATGTCTCTACTATTGCTGAGCAGGAAGGCCCTTTTAACAACTGGCTGACACAGTTTTTGGCTCTGAGAGATATCACTCAGTTCGTTGTTGGCGCCTCGATTCAGTATGCAGTTTCGGAGGAGACTGAAGACTTTGACCTCCCAGCATCATGTGCCAAAACTAGAGATGCGATCCTATCCAGCCTGGATAAAATATACATGCCCAACAATTACCCAAAACTAGAATTGCTGTCCATGTTTAGTGAAGCATTTCGAACTATTTTACCAGATACACCCCCAATTAATGGGTTCCGAAATCTATCAGGGCTTCTTGGTGACGTCAATGGCGTAGAGGCCATCAAGTCATTCTGTTCATCGCTTTCAAACAGGCAAATCATTCATCGGTCAAGCGATGGACCTTTGATGCATGCTATTGCAGAGGTGAACAGACGCATAACTCTTCTCGATGACCCAAATGAGACTTCCGAAGACACGGTACCTCGAGTGCCCCGAGTATATGCGCTAAATTGCAAGTCCTGTCACCTCGCTGGGAATACTCAATTACGAGTTCTGGAGCAACTTGAATTTCCGGTACGTTTCTTCCGTGCAACTATCTCTGGTGAGATAATACAGACGCTAACATTATCCACAGAAACCGACCGAAGGGTCTGAGATTGGCCTACCCTCAAACACGAAATGTGTTCAATGCAAGCAAGTAGTAACTCTTGCGCGGGAGATACCCCTCATCAGAGAAACATGGGAGCTCCTAAATGATGTTGAATACAATGCTGATCCTCCCAGCGAGCTTCGGCACTTCTCCCCTCCGTATCAACTCTTTCCACCCAAAGTTCGTGACATCAATATATATACCTTACATTTTGATTCCGGTAAAACTGATAGTATGCATATAGATACTCTCCGACCCATCGTCATCTCTTAGGCCTCCACAGAGTCCTAACCCAAACCCTAGCCCGATCACTATAGGGAGATCTCCTACCACCGCTACTAGCATATCTCCAGTGTCACCCGATACAAGGCACGCTTTTGAAGATATTCATAATCAAGAACATTCATTAGGGTCAATAACCGAAGTGGTTAGCCCTGACGCTGAGATTTCTAGACAACATCTTACCAATACATCCGACCATTCTACCCATAATGGTTCTGAAACCCATCGCAAACAACCGGTTAAGATAGCAGATATTCATCGTACAGCAAGTCAGCATAGTGTTTCACCTCCTCGTCTTGGTACTTCGAGTAAGTCATTGCCTGGGAGGAAAATATCGAGGTTGTTTAAACCGAAGAGAGAACACCGGTCTACAGCCTCAGGAGATGCAAGCTCCCATTCGTCTGGATCAATGGAAAACCAGCGACCAGAGGAAATCTGCCTGAAGAATCTGACTAGTGCCGCAAAATCCCAAGGAAAAGGGAAGGTTTCAAAACTTATGAATGTCAGTCTTTCACAGAATAGCACCAATGCCCTATTCTGGATGCCCTCAACTATTCAAGTATGGGATGTTGGTGTGACGCCTGCAGCCGTGACTAGGATCATTCCCACCGAAGGCTCATGTCTCCTTGCTGCTGTTACAAAAAGATATCTAGCGTATATCGTTGGAAGTAAGGACCAAAAACTCACGGTATGTGCAAGCTATTATTGCCTTTAATGTTTCGTTTCTATCATCCGGCAGACGCTCATGACTATTACCTGTAGCTTCGAATCACCAATCTTTCTTTCCCCACCGCTGCACCCCTGGAATATCAAATGCCTTCATCTCAGTGGTGTAAAAGCATTGCCATTTGCCCAAGAGAGTCACACGTTGCTGTCGGATTTGAGAATGCTACCGTTCGATTCTTTAAAACCACCATGTTTGAACCCCAACGGGAGTTCCGTCTTCATAACCGATATCATACCCCTAGCGAATGTGAGAAATGTCCACCTGTCGACACTCTCTCGTTTTCGCCAGATGGGGAGACGCTCATAGCAAGCACAAGAAATGCGAAAGGCGTAATACAAACCTTCCTCCGGCGAGCGTCAACGTTCACTTTCCAAGAGCTCTCCAACTGCCACTATCCTATTCCACTGCATGAATCGGAAGATGGAGGAATCTCCTCAGTCCTGTATAGGCCTGGCGTAGGTGGAGAAGATGACTTGGTGTGTATCACAACATGGACACAGTCAGGTACACCGTTATTGTTGTCTCCCAAGACTGGGCATCGGGTCGAGATCAAAGCCGATGGTTCAGGGCATGGACGTCGTCTCGGCACACGGGTACAATGTGGCGCTTTCTCCTTAACTGGAAAACAGCTCGGCATGGTAAACGACAAAGGCCACCTCTACCTTGTGACTAACCTTAATTCAAGTGTGATGGAAGCACGAAGGCTTGCTACTACCAAGGAGCTTACGGCAAGATGCAGCTTTTTCGCGATGTCGTTCATGGTACTCCAGGGTGACGAATCAATAGTCCTCGCTTGGGCAGATGTAAACAAAAGCGTGGGCTATATTCGCAGGATACCAATTCCATTTACTGTACGTATACATGCCCAACCCCGCTTGCTTCCCGTGGTGATACTAACATATGTTGTACAGCATGGCGAGTCTACGGTGACGGACACCGCTTTGGCCCATCACCAAGATGTTACTGAACTTCCCGGAGACATTAGTGGCGGCACTTATTCATCATTTACTGACAGGTCTGGTGATACCTACCAGAATGCCACTCAACTGCCATCTCGGCCTGCTGCTCGGTATAGGACCGTATCGTCGCGCCCAGTGGAGCTTCCTGCTACTGACGGGCTGAGATCCTTATCTTTAAAAACGCAGTAGACTGGGAGTTTTCTAAGGCCATGAAACAGGATATCCTGTCCGAGTTCGGTCAAGGCATGCTCTTTGTGCTACGACATCGCACGCAGCCGAGGAATCTGGACATATACATACAACTTCAGCCTTAAGCCTCCTCTCACACTAAACGTGAGGTGGAGGTGACAGCTTGTACCTTCAAGCTGAATGTGGCTTCGCGCCGTATCCGGGATCAGACTCGGCCGGATAATCACTCAAGGTCCACTTGAACCAAGCTAACAAGCGACACCTGAGACGAATGGTAACTATTGACGCAGCGGGCGGCAGATGCCCAGCCTGAACGCCGAAAACTTGTAGGGAGACGATAGTTATTTTCGCTCAGACTTCTCCGTCAACCTATCCCGATGACAATCCTTCTTGTTTTGGGAACATATCCTACTTATCATTATTTAACTACTGGCACAATTTCGATGGAGGGCCGGATAGCTATCAAAATCCAGGATGAGGTCATACCGCACTTTCCGAGGGGAATCTGGACATGTACTTATTTATGCACGTTACTTATACGAGACGAGGGGAGTACAGCTCTTTTGCTTTTGGGCCTTGAATCTAGACACGGATATTATATATATAATTCATTCTGATTGTACTAGTAGCATGGATGAGAAGTAAAATATGAAAGCATGAAAGCCGTTGGAGGGTCCAAGCCCCTGTTATGAGTTGTTTGCTTCGCTCCTACCAATCAGAAGATGGTTGTGACATACCCTCCTTGGCTGCTACTCGGAGGCGTTAGATATATAAACCACGGAGAAACAGACGAGGACGGGAGTGAATATCCGCTATTTTTGCACTCTGAAAGCCACTGTATTGACATCTTCTGCGGGTTATTTTGACAGACAGTTATGGAGAACCAACAGGTTTATAACGATGTTCAGAAGCACTATGGTTTAGCCGCGAGAACTAGTGACGATAATGCCTATAGCCGGAAGGTGGCGGCGGCCTTTGGATACAGCGAGGAAGAACTGGCCAACACGCCGGCAAACGCCAATCTTGGGCTGAGCTGCGGCAACCCGCTGGCATTGGCAAACTTGAAAGAGGTCTGAGATTTGTTTAATTGATTTGCAGTACATCGCTAACTCGGTAAATAGGGTGAATGTGTGATTGATCTCGGCTCTGGCGCCGGATTCGATGTATTCTTAGCTGCGAAGGCCGTGGGGTCTACCGGCAAGGTCATCGGGGTAGACATGAACAAGGTAATGGGGGGAAACCATTGTGTCCAGTAGTTTGTTCAGACCATGCCGTCCAGCCGCTGACATTTGTTTTGGGATAGGACATGCTCGAGAGGGCCAACAAGAATAAGGAAAACGCAAAGGCAGAGAACGTATCCTTTGTCGACTCGCAGATCACGGCCATCAACCTCCCTGACTCCGTTGCCAATTGTATTATCAGCAACTGCGTGGTGAACCTTGTCCCCGAGTCAGAGAAGCAGCTTGTTTTCAACGAGATGTTCCGGCTCCTCAAGCCAGGTGGTCGAGTTGCCATCAGCGATATCCTTGCTAAAAAGCCACTTCCAGCAGAAATCCTTAATAGCGTGGCCCTCTATGTTGGCTGCATTGCTGGTGCCAGTCAGGTTCAGGACTACGAGAAGTACCTTCGCAAAGCTGGTTTTGACGGTATGTTCCAAGGGGGTAGTTGGATGACTTTGGATCCTCTAATGGCCATGTATATGTGCTCACGATTCATACAGAAGTCCTTATCGTCGACACCAAATCCGACCTGAACGTTTATACAACCGCCAAAGACGACGGCCAGGCTACTAGTGGCTGTGGTACGAAGAGTAAGCCAGGTTGCTGCAGTGGTGGAGTGGTCTCAGCCGAGTCGGCGGCTGAAGTTGCAAATGTTGACTTTAACGAATGGGCGGGTAAGTTATATAACTTGTTTTCTTTTCTTTTCCGATGGAGGCTCCACAGACTATTGACGAGGTTATAGGTTCCTTCAAGATATATGCCATCAAAGCATGAACAAGTTCCCAGATCTGTCATTTCCAAGGCCCGAGTGTCCTTTTATCGGAAATAGAAGAATATTTAATTCGAAAGGCGGGTAATTGATAATCAATTCGAAATTAGACTGCCATAATGAATCATGATTTTGAGCAGGAAGCTCAGGCTCTTTCCCAGGCTCTTTCGTTTCTCTCGTCGTTTATAAAGGTAAACAGTCCAGGGATCCTCGCAGAGAAGGATAGACGGATCAAGATATTAAGAAAAAAAAAAAAGGGAAAAAAAAGGAAAAAAAGAAACTGTTATCATTTCAGGGTTGACCTCATTATCGACGACCATGATTTTGGACTTGTCGGGATATCATCCCCGATCCATCACCTGGAAGATGGTCATGTTGTTGACCATGCAGCTTGTGTTTGATCCGCATCCCAATTCAGCACGCACCGATTGCTCATCGCAGTCCCCTCGCATGCTCGCGATTATTCTCGCGGCCTCTTCGCAAGGAGTGGTGTCTTCACTCCATTGTTTAGATGAGCTGGGGGCGGACACACAGCTCGATGATGGATTATTATTATTAGCGACATCAACTTGGGCCGTGGTGCTGTCAGCCGGACCAGCGGAGCAAGCCTGTGGTGCTGCAGAGGGTACTCTCTCAGCCACTACTGGGGCTGGACATTCCCGGGGTTCCTGCTTCGGCTGGCAACACCTTGATGGTGCAGGACTTGCGTGAACGGGTGCAGGCGAAGGTTGTCCCACGGTTGTTGCTGGCACCGCTGCTGGCACCACCACTGGCACTGTTGTAGCGGGTAACGTTGCTGCTGAAGTTACTGGTGAAGTTTCTGGTGCAGTTGCAGACCCTGTTGCTGGTGCAGGTGCAGCTGCAAGGACCCGCTTCTCAGGGGCAGAGCTAGGGCTGCTGTTGTGTTCTTCAGCGTATGCGAGATACTCGTCTATCTTTGCATCCGTGACCCCAAAGGAGTTCAGCAGCGATCTCAGCATGACATTCTGTCTCGCTACCTTCCTGGCTGCGGTCTGCACTTCGATAGTGACGTCGACTCCATGGCGTTCGTATCGCTGGAGCCGGGCTTCGAGGTCCTGGATGTATTCCTTCCGGCGGGCGCGAGAACGGCGTTGGTTCTCACGAACACGAGCAGCTGCTGGATTGGCAGCCATGGCCAGCCGTCATGGTCTCCCTAGCGGGGGCGTCTGGAGGCCAGCTGGCGACAAACGGGCATGCCAGGTCGATCTTCGAGCGCGGTCGTTGATCTGTCGAGGTTCTGATGAAGTCGAGAAAGTCGAAGATTTTTCGCAGCGCAAAAACAAGGCAGAATTTAACGTTTGGCGCCAGAGCCAATCAGAGGACGCCCGTGACATGCAGCGCTAGGCTGTTTATATAGGACAGCGTATTTCTTCTATTATTTACTATCTACTATCTACTGTCCGTATTTACTTGCTGGCTACTTCGCTGTCTCTGGCAAAGGATGGTGGATGGAGGGATCTTTTTGATAGAGATCGATATATCCGCCCGAGTGGGATGAGGAATGCATGCCTAACTAATTTTACTCTGCTCCAAGCAGCCAGGAGAAAGAGTACCCTGTGGAAGGACGAGCACCGAGGGAGCAACAAGGGCGAAGCTGAGCAGCAGAGACATGCAGAGGAGGAGAGCGGGATACTCCGTAGCGTCGTCTTTTAACGTGGCCGTTGGTGCTGGCTATGGGGCGTTCAATTCTTATATTCATACTCATGCATCCGGAGTACGGAGTACGCCGTTTGAAGACAGGCATCGCCGTCTAGATAGCTTCAATTTTATTCTAGAAGACGAGAAAAGTCGGGCCCAACCTTAGCAGTAACATGCTCATGACGCAAAGCACTAGAAATCCTTAGTGGTGGCCAGTATGTCCTCCAGTGGAGGCTCTCAAGGGGCCCCCGTTAAGGACAGGGATGACTGGTGAGCCAGCTAACAAGCTAGCTAGTACAGAGTTACAAGCTAGCTAACTACTTATATGCTGTCGATGCCCACGCTGGCGGGGAATTTTTCTTCTTCATACCAATCCGTCAACTCAGCAATTTCACTAAGAGCGGAGGTATGAGAAGATATAATCGGGGGAAGGGAAGAGTTATCTGATCGAGCTAGCAGCTGGGCCAGCCGCTAAATTGATTTAATATCAGAACTTGTGGAGCCATCTGATATCGCCAGCTAAGCGCCGTGAATAAGTCCGCCACAGAATATTATTACCTGCAGAAGACGTTTCGAAGTCCGGATGCAAGCCAAAGACAGTTGAGAGGCGGACTAGATGAGCAATGTTGACCTTTTTAGTCCAATATTGAGAGCATCGTCTCCTAAAGACGGTAATGATGCTGCCAACAACCAACATATCTATCTAGCAGCGACAAGAAGAACGCTGCCTCACTAACGAACAAGAAGAATGCTGCAAGAAAACTCAACTAACTGAACGGTGTTGGCCGTTGGGCCTCGCCCTTCGACTGGCCGCGGGCTGTGGGTTCATATTTGCTGGCTGCGAGAGCATAACCAATGGCTAGCAGACAACCCCTGGTGACACCACGAGAGCAAAACACGGCGGTACAATGGCCTGTCCTCTTAATATCGGAGCACTGCTCGTATTTCTATGCAGTCTGCCTCAACAAGTGGGCTTAGAGTCGACCAAAGGGCTCTATTGGGCCGGAGATTCCAACGGTCAGGTGGTGTGTATAGAGAATTTGAGCTACCCGCCGGGTAAGGGGGAGGAGATTTCACCAAGCGCCGGCCAGATGCCTCCGCTAAATTGGGCCCTTCATCAGGGGTATAAATACAGAATAGACCCTTCTCTATTCCCCCAATACTTGATGAAGAAGGGTTGCAGGGCTGCAGATTTCTTCTTCATTTCTACTTCGTTCTTCCTTTTTGTCTGTTTATATTTTATTTGATCTGTGTCATTGAGACGTAGATAGATCTATAAGACAGCCCTTATACATACCATCTCCCTACCACGAGTCGTTTACATATCATCTTACTCCTTCGTGTATATTTGTTTTCTGTACATTGTACAACTGATAACTGCCCCTCCTTTTTTTATTCTTTCTTGGTGTAAGATGCAGTCATGGGTTGGTTACATCATGGCATCGTTGCAATGGCAGCGTTGTCTTCCATAATTCCCCAAACACTCGCATTGCCGAGTCCGATATCCTCGAACGCAAATCAGCGCCAGGAACCCTGTGCACTGATAGCCAAGGCGCAAGAGGAACAGCGAAAGAAGGATCCATATGGTAAGCTACTTCGTAGCTCATGGCTATTCTGTGTGCAATCTTATTGAACCTGTCGTCTATAGCACGGGCATTACTCATCGAGGCCGGGCTGGCTCATGCCTGTCTAACATCCGTTCCGATCAAAAAGTCACACGCTCTTAAACTCATTGATGGTCTTTTCCCCTTTCTCGAATGGCAGAGCACAATTGATTATCTCAAGAATCCGCCCAAGGGATATCAGCTTCCTGGGGTTGACGTGGAAGGCGGCCTAAAGAAGATAAGGGATAAAGTGAGCCGTGGCGAGTATCCCAATGAGTATTCGTTCCAAAATGAGTTGACTGCACTGATAGCATCTGCTCATGACGGACATTTTTATGTCGACTTTGACCTTATGAGCGTGTTTAAGTTCGGGAGACCTGACATTGGGCCGCTCGTCTCTGTCTCCCAAGACGGGGTGAAGCTCCCAGAGGTATACGTCTTTAGTATGTATTGCAAGAATGCTTCTTCTTCTTCTTCTTCTTCTTCTTCTTCTTCTTCTTCTTCTTCTTCTTCTTCTTTTCTAGCCTCGTGTGCAGTTAGTTGCTAACGGACATGTAATCTAGGTGATTTGAATGCAACTGTAAAGGAGGGAGCAAAATGGAAACCGTCTGCAGTCACACAGATCGACGGCGAGGATGCCATCGACTGGCTGCAGAAGTGGTCACACCATGGCGGCCAGCGTGATCCAGATTCATTGTACAGCGCCCTCTTCTACTCTATTCCAAAGATCGACCAGGGCTGGTACGGAAGCTTCTATTCGATGACAGGTGTGTACCCTGGCGATAACACGACTCTTACCTTTGGAAACGGCACGACGAGGTCGTTTTTGAATCGTGCCAGTACCAGGGAATTGTGGGCCGGGGTGAAGGATGGTGAATCGTTTTACCGTCAATTCTGCAATGATGACAATGCGGAGGAACGACGGAAGAGGAGGGATAACAGACACAGTGCCATTACGACTGTTAGCCAGAGAGAAGTCCACTTTGAGAAACGGGATGAGCCTGGCAATTCGCCGAGACCACTCTTCCCAAAGGCAGTGGAGGAGTTTGGAACTGGTGCAGTAGCAGGGTATTTCCTTGATGGCCGTAACGACGCAGCCGTGTTGTCTATCAACTCCTTCCTGGCAGAAGACAAGTCCGGCGGACTGCAATTCCAGCAGTATAGTGCTGTGGTCAGCAGGTTCCTGGCTGATTGTGCGAAAGAGAAAAAGTCGAAGCTCATCATCGATGTGACTGGAAATGGAGGCGGCACCCTCTTGATGGGCTATGATGTGTTCAAACAGGTAATTCTCCCCCGGTTTGATATGTTTCCAGTTTTTTCGAGACAAAGACCTAACATGGCTCTAGTTATTCCCCAAGAACGATCCCAATGATGCTTCTAACCTGCGGGCTACCGACCAGCTTGATTTCGTAGGCAAAAAAGTGAACAAGGCACTATCAGATGGCAGTGGCGGCAAAGAGGTCGAGGCCCTGCGAGGAAAGGAGTTCGACGCTTCTGTGTTTATGGACATCCATGGACGGCCCCGGAAGAACTGGAAGGACTTCTTCGGCCCTGACGAGGTCAGTGGCTTCAAGTTCACGAGCCTGTCGACCTGGGATCTGGGGAACAAGGACGTGGCTGGCTTTGCAGGGCAGTCAACGGTGGCCGGGTACCTGGACCGAGCTAACCTGCCTCCTCCCGTCTTCCAGCCGGCGCAGATGGTCCTGCTGACCGACGGTGCCTGTGGCTCGACCTGCGCGCTAATGGCCGACCTGCTGAGGCGCAACGGGGTGAAATCAGTGGTGATAGGCGGACGGCCACGCCATGCTGGCCGGGTCGAGGCAGTCGGCGGCGTCAAGGGCACGCAGACGCTGACCTTGGATCAGATACGTGGTGTGGCCATACTGACCGTCGACGACCTCTCCGACAAGAAGGAACAGGAGCGTCTGGCAAAGACAGCCATCGGCAAGGTGGCCCGGAACGGCGACGATGCGCTCTCTCGCATCAAAGAGGGCGGAGTCAACTTTCGCAACGCCGTCCATCCGGACGATAGCTCGAAGACGCCGCTACAGTTTGTCAGCGAGCCAGCGGACTGCCGGCTCTGGACAACAACGCCCATGCTGTTCGACATGAATGAGGTCTGGCGCACCGTGTATGACGCTGCCTGGGGGGATGGCAGCAGCTGCACTCCGGGATCGATCGTCTAAAGCACCAGCACAAGCATCAACACCGGTAGCTAAGTAGCTAGTAGCTCTCGGCAGCATCCATGTTCCCTGCTCGGCCCAGACAAATGACATGCAGAAGATAATCTTGGGATGACGATGGTCGGCCTGCGAGGTAGTTTAGTCGTTCGTCATATCGTATCCAGGCCTGTCTGATGTATATATCATCTCGCACACGATTCCAATATATTCCCTCCCCCTGCATATTATTATTATTCGGTAGCAGACACATCCTCTGGCCCCTCTCCCCCTTTTTTTTCCTTCTTTCCAGCGTTGCACCAGTTGTATGTACAGAGTACATGGATTAAAATGAATCAGACTCATAACAGCCATATAGAAATACAGCATCCAGCACCAGCACCAGCACCAGCACCAGCACCAGAACCAAGCACGAAGCCCAGAATCCAGCGGAAAAAGCAAGCTGTTCCCTCCCAGCTTCTGGACGCTCGAGTTGCACATCGCAGCCAACTCGGGGCCTGCGCGATACTGCATAGGGCATAGACAGCAACCAAGCAGCTGGGGAAGGCCCTTTTCTTCTTCCTCTCCGCTCGTCGTCCTGCGAGGCGATAGCTTGTACATACTTAGTGTAGAGACCACGCAGCCCGTATAAGAGACGAGCGCACACCCGGTGGGTTCCAAGGGGGGGAGCGGGCTCCTCAGGCGCAGGCAACCAGACAGACGATGGCGACTCTCTGAAACACGCAGGCCAGGAAAAAAACCAGCGCAGGCAAGGCGACAGATCGCTTTTCTCACGCCATATTCGCCGGAGGACGCTGACGGACGCCGCTGTTATCTTCGCCCTAGACGACCAGTTAGCAGAGACTCCGATAGATATATATATTTATATACACACACACACAGAGAGAGAGAGAGAGACAGGCTGCTTGCGCTATAACTCCCTAGTATAGGCGGGCTGGCCGGCGCTGCGACTCGAGATCCCACCCCCGGGTCGATACGAGAACGACGGCGGAATCGTCTTCGCGTGCGTTTGCCGGCGCTGTCCGCAAGCCCATGGCGGAGACGATTTCCATTACTATCTGCGGTGATGGAGGATGCGGTACGTTGTCGTCGTTGTCGTTGTCGTTGGTGATGTTGGTGTTGGTGTTTGTTGTTTGTTGTTATTAGCAGGGCCTGGACAGTTATATAACGACCGGGACGGGATGTTTTGATAGCTGACTGCAACCAGGCAAGTCGTCGATTACGCTGCGGCTGGTCCGAAGCCAGTGGACTCACGAGTAAGTAGAGCCGGTTATCCAGGCATCCAGAGATCCAGCGAGGCGTTTCGTGGGCTAACATCGCGGCCGCAGGTATGATCCAACCATCGGTACGTCCAGACAGTGATAGACAGAGAAGAAGAAGACGGAGACGGAGACGACGAAGAGCAGTCTAACACGACGAGATGCTATAGAAGACTCCTACTCGGTGACTCGGACGGTCGACGGGCTGCCGTACTTCCTCTCGCTCACCGACACGGCCGGCCAGGAGGAGTATCGCGGCCTGTGGGCTGCGTCGAATCTCAATTCCGATGCCTTTCTGCTGGTGTACGACATCACCAACGAGCCCACGCTCGAGACGCTGGGCCACTTCATGGAGATGATAGACATGGAGACGGAGAACCGGGAGGAGCAGAACATCCGCCTGCTCAAGCAGTTCTATCGCGACTATCCCGACCAGCCGCCCGAGGACGTCCCGCCGCTGGGCATGCCGCCGCCAGTCAAGATCGTGGCCGGCAACAAGTGTGATCTCAAGGAAGCCCGGGTCATCAGCTCCAGACGGGGCCTCGAATGGGCCAGGAGCAGAGGCTGCGGCTTCATGGAGACCAGTGCGTGGGAGATGGTCAATATCGAGGAGACCTTTGCCTGTACGCCGCATCCCTTTTTTTTTACTACTTATTATTATCATCATTATCATTATCACTGACTAACGGTGGACAGTGATTGTACGACGGGTAGTAGAGGCCCGTAAGCTACACCGGGAGCAGCAGATAGCTCAGCTCCATGCTTTCAAAGAGGCAGAGCAGCTCTCTTCGGCCTCACGCTTCTTCTCCGCCGCCTGCAGGCGAGCCACGGAGCCCATAGCCCTCAGCCAGACGGCTCCTCTCACCACAGAAGAGAGACAAGACCCTACAGGACGCAGTGTCAGCTCGGGCGCTCGCTCCCGTCGGCGAAGCATCTGGCTCATCGTCCAACAGGCACTGACCAGACGGGCCAACGCTGCCAATTCGAAACGTCCCAGGTCTGGTCAGCCGATCCTCAACCCCAATCAGTGGGAGAACCAGAGCCAGGGCCAGGGCCACAGCCAGGGGCAGTCTCGTCCGGGCACCCTGTCCACGCATTCGAGCAAGAAACCAGACCCGGACATGGGCGAGCCAGGTTACCCTAGCAACTATCCTCACTCAGACCACAGACAGGCTGGACTCGGCCAGTTTAAACCTTCAGAGCGTGTCTCCATACCGTGGTGGAAGACGCTGTGCTGCTGTAGCGGCAGTTAAGCCATCCACCCACGTCACTACAGCTATACTTAAGCTATATATACACCATGGCTAGCCCCTTCATTGCCCCTGAATATCCCCTTTGTTCACCGTCACCTGGCCACCACCAATCCCGATTACTACTCTAATGCCTGTCACACACAGCTCGCTACCTCGACTCGACCACGCGACCTCCTTCCTGATCTTTCTTTGCTTTTCTTTATTAGCTATATAATTCCCCACGGCTGGATCGGAACCTCTCATTCTTGCCCTTCTCTACCTAGTTTTACTCGATTTGATACATATATAGAGGTCCGCACCACTGCGTCTTAATCCCGTCTTGCTCTGGGTGGATAGTTTTGCATTTTATTGCTTTTCTTTATTTATTTATTTCTTTCTTTCTTTCTTGTCTTGTCTTTTCTTTTGATTTTGATTTAAGCTGGCTGGATGCATGTTTCAACATATATCTTGCCTGTTTATCCTGCCTAACGATTACGGAGTATGTCCACCCACATATATACACATTTCTACGGAGTATGATTTGAGTGTCTAGCAGCAATCCTACTGTTTTTTTGCATTGTTTGTGTTTATTTACTTTGCACCCATTTATTTAAACTTAGCTTTAATTGCCGACAGTAAGTTTGGTCAATGGGACAGGGACAGGGACACCCTAATTCTGGGGCCTATGAAGGAGTCGTAACATGCAGACCATCTTCATAAACATACAGCTGCTGAACACCTGCTAGAGCCACCGTTTCTTCAAGCTGGCCGAGCGAGGGATTGCAGATTCGGTCCTTCAACCGTGCCAGGGATATGGTGAGCAAGGGGGACACCCACTCTCATCATCTATATCCCACGATCCATCCTCCGTAGGAACCAGGTATCAACGACAGTAATAGCAGAAGACTCATATACCAGCTCCCTTCCAACGGGATGTGGAATCAAGAAAACAAATCGGTATATTAATTGAACCCAGCGCTTTTATTCTCCACGGAAAGCTCCCCCGCGGATCCTGCGGCTCGGCAGTAGGTGCCGCTCAAAGAGTCTATTTTCCCCCACGGGTGGTCACTTGCAGCTCTGCCCCTATGTATGCATTATTCAATGGTCTGTATGCATCTTCGTCTAACGCCCCCCAGGCACGGAGCATTCGGGCTCGCAGCAGTGTGATTGAGTGGATAATGGGGCGCCTCAACCCAAAATTCCCCGGCTTCTCAAGCTCAAGAACCTTTGTTCATTCTCCTTCTTCCTCTCAACCACCTTAACGTCTCGCCGTCCGTGCCGAGCAAGGGTAAAAATGGCACAGTATCACACCACCACCTCTTGCACGAGTGGGTGGCCCGTACTGTGCATATCACCGACATATAACCTTGAGACGTCGGGAGCTCGCCTCGCAACATGGAGAGTCCGGGGGTTGCTTAACGACTATGTTAGCGGTTTAAATCCTATCAATGTACGCTTATGTGCCTCTTACCCGTCTTATATTAACATAACTTCTCAATTGACCAGGGACAATGAGTCGAGTCTCCGGTCTTGATGTTGATACTTCATATAGATAGATCTATGCCGCTTGAGCCGCGCTGAGAGAGAAGAGCTGCCATCCCGCCCAGGAGCAAACCACTAGTCAACGATGTACCCCGTATTGCCGTATTATTCCTTCTCTTGGGTGAGATTCTTCATCTTCATCCCCGTCTTGTTTTCTATCATCGTCGTCGTCTGTCATTGTCGTCGCTGTCGTCGCCGCCAGTGTTTATGTTCATTTTATGCACCACGTGATATGAAATACGCTTTCCATTATTACAGTAACATTACACATTTTCAGTGTGAAGTTTCGTATTGTATATACCTGTAATGTAAGCACGTGATATGGCTCTCCGCAAGCCCCCAAAAAGGACATCGACGACAACGCTAAAGCAAAAGTAGATCCAAACAATCAATTTTCAACCAACATCGCGATATTGACGGCTGCAGAAGAGATGCCATGCTGGAAGAGGGCAAAAGGTGAGGAAATGAATCCGAATGAAGGCTGACTCGGGGCAATGACAGCACTGGATTCAGCCCTGGATAACCAGCCACGGGATGACGAGTCGAAGCTGCTGCTCTCCAGCTCGCTTACGAAGTACACAGACGTATACGTGTTTAGGTCGCGGCCCGTCGACAGGCATTGTGTTTGATTGAAGGGGGATTCAGGCCAGTAACTTACTCGCCGGCGATAGTGATGCTGTCCTTACAGGCACACAACGTGGGGTACGGCCACTCTAACGCGGGTCTGCAGCCGTTGGTCGAAGCTGCTGGTCTTGTGGCCAGCTTTAACTATACAGGGGGGAAGAGACATAACGAGAGCCTACATATGTACTCCATACTTCCTCCCCCCTTTTAGCCTGATCAGGAGATCGCTAGACGAGGGGTATATCGTGATGCGAATCCCGTCTTTCTGCTTAATACCGACCGGACGGAGAGACGGAGGACGGAGTTACGGTGCGCAGCCTCCGCTCTCGTTACTTAGGCACTTGTTGTTGATATTCCAGCCACAAATCGCAACCGTTGCCCAATACAGGTACAAAATCGTATTTGTGGTGGATGAGCAGCTCTTCTTACAGGGGCCGTAAAAGCCCACAGCCCACAGCCCACAGCCCACGCGATGCACATCAATAATAAATAGCCAGGAGACGAATGAATGGAATCTTGCTGCCTATCCTCCAGCAAAGAAAGGGGGAGAATCGGGTTCTTGGCCTCGCGAATACGCTGCTGCGTTTGCGCCCTGGTTCCAGGAAAAAAAAAAAATGCAAAACATGCTAAGAGAAGGTCAAAACGAAAAATTAAAAATGAAAAAAAGGCAAAGAGGACGATGAAGGAGCAAAGTCATGGCGGACGAATTTGTCAACCATGCGGCAAAAGCGCTGCAATTCACCAAATAAGCATAAGAATTGTTAAGAAAAAAAGCAAGATTCATGTTCGTCCGGGATGGATGGTCGCAAAGTCCGGTATTTGGCTTACAAACTGATACGTCTCGGATACGGCACCAGAAGTCCTCTCTCACCAATAATTTGGAATCAAGCGCTCTGCATAACTAATACAGCTTGGATGAGTCAGTTTGCAAAATAAGAGGCTGCGCTAAAGAGAGGTCGGTTGATGATCTCCTTGTCTCGCTCCGGGCCCGACTCGGCACCAAAGTTCCTCCTTCCGCGGACGAGGAGAGGTAACAGACGCAGAGCGAGCCAGAGCCAGAAAAGACGAGAAAAGAAACCGGAATGACGGCAGTCACACATTCAGAAAGACTAACAAGGGCCATGAGTTACTTCTACTCACACGGCAATATGGAGCCTTTTTATATTCCTGGGTTCCATCGTCACGAGCTGTGGTCGAAGCCTAGACAAGAAAAAAAAAATAAAGGCGAAGTTTGCTCCGAAATAGTTACATTCCATGCGAGATGCAGACAGGCGTATACGCACTCTTAGCAAAATGTATGTTAATGTCATTGCAGGTATGCAAACGAATACTTTCCAACATGACAGGACCGACCAGCTATGATCCCAGGATCCAGGGACATAACCAGCTCGAGGCCCTTCGGCCAAGGATAAACAAGAACAATAGTTCTGGGAATGACATCAACGGCTCGGCGAGTAAAGCGACATTATTGCATGCTCGCACTCCCTCGACCATGGAACTGTCTTATTTTTAGTTTTCCTTTTTCTTTTTACCTCATGTTGGCTTGTCACTCATTTTTGCATGAAATTTCGCAAAAAAGACACTTTGGGGGTGGAAGAAAGGGAGCCCAGCTGTCATCCAGCCTCCATTCCTCCAGCCCACACACCCACCCCAGCCCAGTCTAGTACGGAGACCGACTCCGTGGACTTTGACTAGGTATCATTTGCTTATGATCAATCGGTGCCGCGTTGGAGTACTGCGATGTACTATATGTACTCCTGCCAGCCGAACTAACTTTCGGGGTTCCTTGAGATGAGCAATGTCGTATAAGATAAACATCACTGCCCTTTCTCTTTTATATTTCTTCCTTCTTCCCCCCTAGTTGGAAGAAGATAGGATATTAGAGCATTCACTCTCCATATTTTCCACGGCTTTCTTTCTCTTTCTCTCTCTCTCTTGATACTTCGAGTTGATCTTGACCTCAGAACTAGAGAACAATAAGAAAAGGTGACACTTGAGCGTCACCATCTACGAAAGGCATTGCTCGTTGCTATTACACTTATGCCGCCGCGATCATTCCTGTCACCAAGAAGACTGTTCAATTAAGCTCGCTAAGCTACTATATACAACTCTACCAGGCTCACGGCTTACCAAAGAGTCGCTAATTTTAACGACTTAATTGCTTAATTTCTTTTCCCCCTTCCGCACCATTTTATCGAGCGCCTGAGGCATCGTTAGTGAAAAGCGCAAACGAAGCAGGTACCAACATCCATTAGCATTTTCCCGTATAACTCACGACACAACCAACCAAGCGTCTGGAGATACCCATCCGTCAAATAAAGGTTCAACATAACCTGAACAAGCAAAGGCAGAAAGGAACGGGTCCTCTCAGGGCGTTCCATTGCCCCCTCAAATACCCCTGAGCATTGAAATACAAAGGCGCAGTAAAAGATATTACTGTTATTGGTGCCATGCCTAGCTCGCGAGCCATGTCGTCGTCGTCATCACCAAGGATGTCAAGCCTGTCAGACTCTAATGACAGCAACGGCATTCGCAAAAGGGTCGGCAAGGCCTGTGATAGATGCCGACTTAAGAAATCAAAGGTACGCACAGAGCCATAGCAGAACGGGACATACAGTTTGCCACGTTAAACCATGTGCTAACCGACGGGCCCTTTTCCGTTTTACGTAGTGTGATGGAGATTTGCCCTGCGCCCGATGCAGTGCTGATAATGTTGTCTGTGTGTATGGAGAGCGCAAGAGAACACATGACAAAACTTATCCCAAAGGGTAAGTCAACTTCTCCATTTCTGGGCATCAATCCCTATATTGATCGTTACGCTATAGATATGTTGAATTGCTGGAACATCAGCAAACCTCGCTGGTTTTTGGCATCCAAGAAATGTATAAGTTGTTGATTAAAGGGAATAAGTGGCCTGGCCAACCATTAAATAACTCCCATAATGGTCATCCGTTGACACATGACATACTGGAGCGACTGGGGGCGTTGAATGTAGCAGATGGGCCAGCCAATGCCGGGCTGCCGAGATTTGAAGAGGATTTGGAGGCGATGCAAGCTCAACTGCTACGCAAAAGTCCAGAACGGGCGCAAGTGACCCAGCCTACCGGGCGAATGGAGCTAGCCGAACAGACAGATACGATGGGTCTGTTAGATCAACCAGAGAAAATGGACCTTGAAGAGGAACAGGGCCGAGGAGAATCGATGGATTCAACTTCTGAGGGGACATCCCCTCCTTCTCATGCGACCGAATCCTCCTCCCCATCGAGTCTCCCAAGCCCGGTGCTGGAAGACACCTTTGTCATCGACAGTTTCCCTCAGGCGCTCTCCACTTCAGAGCCCCATCAAGGCCATAGTCAACTGGCTGCATCCTTACAGCAGCTATATTATGCCCAGCAACAGCAACAGCAGCAAGACCAACAGACGGCATTCAATCCCGCAGCACTCTTTTCGGACCTAGCCACAGCACGGAGTGAAGGCATTGTCTCACCACAGAACCTCCAACTGGGATTTGCAGATGCGCTGCTGACGTTTGACCAAATGGAATCAATTCAATCTCAGTATATCCAAATTCCCTGAATCCTCTAAAATAACTATGCATACTAACCAGTTTTAAAGTAACATGTTTCCAGACCTAACGAGTTCTACCCTTGTCTAATCCTGATGACCTTACAGTATGGCCTACGAATCTCTTTACTTTTTCTTTAATATTCCCCTGGAATACACGATTATTCGCTCCTTGGATGTCTCTCATACTACGTTTTGAAGGAAAGGATAGGGCATGAATGGTTTTCTTCTTGTGCATTTGCTGGCGTTAATGTTTTTCCCTTGGTTGTATATTCACGTTTAGCAGATGCTGGTGGCAAACGCTGGATAGTTACCAGGTTCTCCCCTCTCATTCAATCATTCTAGACTTTTGATGACGATCGATGCTATCCCTGATTTCTGTTCGCGCCTTTTCCTCGTCCCTTAAAAATAGGAACTTGAAAGTTCTAGTTAAGCTACGTAACTAGTTACCTAAGGCAAAAAGGAAAAAGCAAAACGAGGCTAGAAAAAAGAAAGGAAGCAATGGTAGGAGTTACTTGGATGCTCGACAGCTATAGATCGATCTCTAAGCGCTTGCTGACGTTGCAATTGACCTTCGGAGATCCTGTAATATTAATAATATTCGTCTCTAGAAGACCTAGAAGAAGGTATTTTTGTATATAAGCAGAAGTGATCGGCCGTTCGGATACAACTTACTAGGGCTTATATGCATCGGCTTAACCAGTTGTCCCCCGGTTTGTCCAAAGCCACTGGACAGTAGTTATATCCAGCTGTGCAGTACCAAGCTGTTGCTCGTTCTCGGCTGCTCTACCAAAATGATCCAGCCTTGGCCTGTCCTCAGCCGTGGCTAATAGGGGCATCTCAAATCATTGTACTGTACAGGAATCGGATAGATAGATACCAGGGCACCTTTTACCCTCGTACGAATCTTCCGCTCCGAATCCCGGTCTCGTCTGCGGAACGAGCTTCTTCATCCGTTATTGGCACATCCATGGATGGATAAATTAGTTATGCGGTTAATGCACAGTGAATGATTCTCTTCGCGCATCCACATGCATATCCACACATATCGAGAGACGGCGATTCTCGCCGCAACGAGGTCAACCTTCCTGGCCAATTCATGTCCGATCGTGGGTCTCTACCCTCTCTCAAGACTCCACTACCATGTGTTGTTGGGCGTCGTCGGGACGGCTTGCTGGTAGTTAATCCCTTTTGTGCACCGCTGTGAGCGTTACGAGACAAGCAACACATGCATGCATCTGCGCACTGTAAATGGATGTCTATAATCTCGGAGCAGGGATAAGCGGCCATCCGCTTTGTCTGAGCGCAGAGACGGCGTTTTCGAACATGTATCGACCGGGGCCAGCCAGCTAGGGTGTTCCCCGTCCGTCTGTTTAGGAGATTGCTTGCTTGTTAGCTGTTAGCCAGCTAACTATATAACCAACCACTCGGAGTTGTATTGCTCTGTCGACACGGCACAGGAATATATCGTTGCAGGAGAAACTGACACACAGACACACAGACATGTAGGCTGACAGAAAGTCTGCCGCCGTCTCTGCCTGGTCCTGTAACCTCCGGCATCGTGAGCTGTGATGTGTTTCTGTGGGACGGTTTTGGCTGGTTGCCTCCAGTGACGTCAGTGGCTTGTTCTGTCATGGCTGCCCTGTCCAAGGATCTTACGGACGACGATGCTAGACGACGATGAGGAGGATATAATCACTCTGGTGAAGAAGAGAGAGAGAGAGAGAGAGAGAGAGAGAGATCTTGAGAGTCTCGGATTGGCTGATGGTTGATTCGAGGCGGTTTGATAGTGCTTGACATTTGCTGATTGAACGGAGCAAACGGTGAACAGTCAGTCCACCATGGCCCAGCAGCAAGATACACACTTCGCCTTTCTTCCACTTGGGGCCATCATCCAGGAGTTCCGAGTTGCCGGTAAGAATATTGTTCTCGCTCTGCCTGATGAAGAGGCGTACAGGAAGTACAATGCACCGTACTTTGGCAGCACCATCGGCCGCACGACCAACAGGCTCAAGGACAGCGTTGTAAAGAACCTGAACGATAAAACATACGTTATAACGTCCAAAGAAGGGCCGAACTCTCTGCATGGAGGCAAAGAAGGATGGAGTTCTCGAGTTTTCGAGGGTCCGAAGCCTGTACATAGAAAGGGCCGTGAATCGGTCGAGTTTAGGTACACCAGCAGACATGGTGAAGAGGGATATCCTGGCACCGTTGAGCTGCGAGTCTGGTACATTGCTGGAAAGCAGGACGGGAAAACGGAGCTGGAGATTGAATACGAGGTCGAGTTCACAGGCTCGGAGTGCGAGGAGACGGTCGTGGGGGTTACAAACCACAGGTCTGCCTATTTCGCTTCCATTCTCCGGCTACCATTTTAACTGTTTACTGACGAGATGTAGCTACTTCAACCTGAGCGATGATCGAACGATCAATGGCACAGAGGCAGTGCTGTCGACTGATAAATATCTGCCCACAGACTCGACGGGCATTCCTTTGGGAGCCATCGAGTCCTACGGCCCATTGAGAGTCACAGAGCCCTTCGTTATTGATGACAAGTGCCCTGATTTTGATAGCTGCTTTATAGTCGATACCGATCCCCAGGATATTCCACTAGATACCAGGCCTAGAGATCTCAAGCTCCTGGCATCCTTCAAACACCAGGAGTCAAAGATGCACCTGGAAGTCCTCAGCACTGAGCCAGCATTCCAGTTCTACACTGGCCAACACGTCGATGTCCCACCCGTAGGCAAGTACCCAGCCCGAGGCCCTCGATCGGGATTCTGCATTGAGCCCAGTCGATATATAAATGCACCCAATGTCCCGGAGTGGCAGAAGATGTGTCTGCTGAAAAAGGGACAGACCTGGGGTGCGAGGACGCTATATCGCTCCTGGAAAGAGTGAGATACAGAAGGAAAAGGAGCAGGGGGGAATTTAGAGTATGGTCGTCGGTTTCAGGAGCCTCTCTATTCGTTCTCAGTGTCTCTTCTTTTATATATATATGCCTCTCTGTGTTGCTAGAGATGCATGTTTTGCCGTTGGTCTTTGTGGACTCGTCAATGAAGATTGTCAATTGAAACACAGCCGTGGTAAGCTCCCTATTGCCGTCGACTGTATCGAATACACTCTTTGAGCCTTGGTTCTTCTTCTATAATGGCCTTTTACAATGGAATATAAGAAGTCTGCGTGCTTCTGAAGGTACTAGACAATAGATCAAAGTGGCTACGTACTTTCTCCTATCAATGAACAGACCAGCTCATTGTCCTCCTCCTCTCTCTCTGTCTCTCTCACTTTCAATATCTTCAGTGAATGGATTCGAGTGTTGTATATATTGCAAGGTACCGTGCAGATATCTCACTTTGATCACTTCGTATCTTCATCTTTTCAACCACCTACCTATTTCATTTGATCAAAAGGCACAACGTACACCTCTGACCGAGACATACACGCCGGCGCAGCAGCAGGGAGAACAGCTCGAAAGATGTGCCGCCAGCTCTACAACCAGTTCACCTGCGGCCACGCCAGCTTCGTGCGGACGAAGACCTGCGGCAAGAAACAGTACTGTCCTCGAATCTACAGAGAGCCGATTTCCATCCTCCATATCTGCGACGGCTGCGCAGCGAGCATCCTGATGAGCATGAGGAGAGATTATCGATACCTGAAGTATTGATACAAAGGAGAGTCTCATCTGCTCCCAAACATGCAACATCTGCCTCCTGAGACCCTTGTCCCTTTTTTGTTTCTTTTGCCTTGCCCCGTGTCTTGTTTCACATCGAACCGCTTCCAAAGCAAACGGACTCGACCCTTCCCTGCGCCAGCCAGGCAGCATCCGCCCTCTCCACAATGTGACTCATCCCGCAAAGAAACTCCGTCTAAACGAGAGGCCGAGAAAGTGTCCATCTTCTTCGTCCTTTTTATCGATAAAAACGCCAAAACTTCGTGTTTTTGCTTGTTCGGCGACGCGACGCGAGTCCAATTTAACCGCATTTGGCTAAATTGTGCGAAACACGAACAACACACGTCATCACGTGAGGGTTTAATGACCATCAGCCAAAGAATCTGGGTCAAAAAAGAGATGAAAGAGAGGGTATAATGGGCTTCAACAAGGTGTTGCCAGGGATGGGCTTGAGACTAGCCATTGGGATGCCTTGGTTGCCTGGTTCGACGGCAGGGATGGGTGTGGTTCACGGTTCGATTGTGAACGGCACAGAAAAGAGCAGCTGAGAGTATGGAGGAAAGGAGGAGGACATGAGGACGGTGAGATGGAAAAGGCATATAAACCCGTTCATTTTCTCCTTAGGATCTGCCTGGTCCATTGCTCCCGATTGTTGAGACCAAAAATTCCCTTGGAAATTGCCCAAGTTCTCCTATTTTCCTCTTCAGCCATCATGTGTGACACCTGGACACCCCCAAGTGAAGGAACCCCATGCTGGGTTGAAATCTTCGCCACCGACCTGGCTCGTGGTATGCTCCCCCAACTCACTCATTGATATTATTCACTCCGAGTGCATACCTGTTTTAATGTTGGAAAATGGAACGTGGTGGCACTGCCAATCGCTGATTGAGATTGCTGGCTGATTGCTAACCTGGTTTGCCTGGCGTAGCTGAGAAGTTCTACTCAACCGTGTTCAACTGGCAGTTCAGCAAGGATGGCCCTGGTCGCACTGAAGACGTCGCAATGTTCTCATTCCCCGAGAAGGGGCTCAAGGGTCTGGGTGGTAACATCTCCAAGATCAAGCCTGGAGAGCATACCACCGGCCCGAAAACCGTCAAGTTGTACCTCTATGTAGAGGACCTCGAGAAGACGATGGAGGTGAGTAAACCAAGTTGCCGTTCATGCGTTAGTGTGGGGGGAGGTTTCTTCCCTTCCGCTTTTACCTTGTCGACCAGGGGTGAGCGCTCTGACGTGCATATTAGAAAATCGTTGCAAACGGGGGGAAGAAGTGCAGTGATGTTCTTCCAGAAGGGAATCATGGCCAAGTCATGCATCTTCAGGACTCGGAGGGGAATGGCATAGGCATCTATGCAACCAAGAAGCAGTAGACAGGTGTCTACCAAGTACAAATGAAGTTACTCCGTTCATAACTCTTTACATAACCCACCTGTTTTCCCCTTCCCCTATTTTTTTATTCACCTATGTATCCCTCCGATAATCACATAGCATTGGGTACATTGCTGGTTATGTACCTTTCTTTGCTGGTGGGTGGACTTAATATAGCTATCAAGCTTAGTGCACTCATCACCCACCTCTTCGTTCGTTTTTCTTTTTGTACGTCAACATCCCTAACTACCTAAGAGATAAGATTAACTCCCTCGTTTTCTCGGTTTAAATAAAACACCGATTGGAGCCTCTTAACTCCGTCATGAAGGGTGGGAATTCTAAATTCGACCGAGGTGTGCACAATTAGGCTAATTTTATGCATTCCTGCATCTCTGGTAACTGGATTACAGTCAGCTCATTTTTGCAAATACAATATAATACAGAGGATCAGGGTATGCATCACTTACAATACATATGTACCGGTAATTTTTCGGCACTTGCACAACTACTCAGGATAATAAGTACTTACAATGCGAACGGAGTCGTGAAGTTCAAAACTTCCACCCTGTGGGAGCAAACTCCTCCGATAGGATGAGATGCACAGACACGACCCGATTGGGGGAGGGTACGAGTACGATGACTCGCATCGTATTAGGCGTATAGATCTTTGATTTGGTCTATTCCCGAATACGAAAGCCATTCAAACCCCGCTGAGGGTGAGGATGATGACTTCATAATACTCCCTTTGAGGTTTTGACACATGGCAAGGCTATCTGCCCAACATTGTTGCTGTTTAACTGTCAAAACTCCCAAGTCCTAGGCGAATTGATTTATACACACCTTAATGTGTGTGCATGGACACATGCATCCTCAGCCGCGCCCAGCGAAAGGCGTATTGTCCAACCATGATGGGCTGAGAATCCCTTCTTTCTGCCTTGCAAGGAAATCTCATCAGGCTTCCCAGCCAAGTCCAATTCTCATTTATAGTTTCTCATGTACGTTGTGCATAGACGTACAATTGTCCTCTGAGAGAGCAGCTGGTTAAAATTGGACCGAGGTGGTGGACCTGTCATCACAGCGATGCTTGCTCATTAAGCATATCTTCGGGCTCTCCGAATTGCCCAAGAGTACTCCATATCTCTCAAGGACCAATCTCTCTTTTACAGGAACTCTTGAAACAATAATGTCGAGACGCAGGTACTCGGGAGTTGGTTTTTTCTATTCCGGACAAACTTTGATGATAGCCGCTTTCCCGTGCCCTTGCGTGCCCTTGCGGCTCTCGGGCCCGAACTGATACCGCCAGCCAGAGTTCCAGAAGGAACAGAGATATTCCATAGAGCAGAACGGAGCTATGCCCAGAGTATGGAGTATACGCAATTAATAATGCGTGAAGTGGGCTTGATTCCACCCTGAGACCCATGGAGCAAGAATGGGATGCAAAACACATGCCGCTGTCCCTACACGGCCTGCAATAATATGCCGTTTGCTTAGCCCGCGCCCTGAAAGTGGATATCAAGGGCGGACTTCCCATGCATGATGATGTTTTATGTTTAATGTCGATGTTTGATATCGAAGTCGAAAGTTGCTCTCGAAGTTTTCTTTTTTGACCTTTTTTTTGACTTTTTGACTTTAAGGTTTTATACCAATCACATGATATCGGAATGTCGGAGTTTCTTTCCCTCCGCGCCGACATCACGTGAATATCACCTCATCCGCCAAAAAAACAAAAGCCGAGGGAAAACAAAAGCCGAGAGTTGAACGACTCCAAAGCGACCATTTGGTATCTATTTGTTACATTCGACCAATTACTTTGGCATCTCTGATTGATCCTCTGGTGGAGGTGCGACTATCCGGGTCATAGACTAGGTACATAAGTATTTAGCGACATTACCGTGAACAATCACTGCTGCAGCTAGTCATGGCGGCCGCACATGGAGACCTGAGCCATCTGTTGCCCCTTAACTATAAGCGGATCATATCAACATGGCTTGAGGAAGACTGTCCCAGCTTTGACTATGGAGGCTTCGTCGTTGGTGAAGCTGAGGGAGAAGCAAGGCTCCTGGGGAAAAGCAAGGTATGCTAATGTGCGCTGCTGTTCTTGCTTTGATAGTACTATGCATGTGGTGGCTATTGGTGTAGATCTATGATCTTCAGTAATTGGCAGCTATGTTTCTATTGTTACTTGCTACTTCTTTTGTCCTAGTACTATCTTAATGGATGTTATATTTAAGATCCTGAAGTCAAGAAGTTGGCTAATTCTTGACCTTTACGGTATATTAGGGAATCGTGGCTGGCGTTCCCTTTGTGAATGAAGTATTTGCTCAGCTAGGCTGCACGTAGGTTACTCTGTCTATTTAGACTTGATATACAACTGCCCGAGAATATTACCGGATACTTCTAATACGATGCATAGTGTTGACTGGAACGTCAAGGAAGGTGAACGAATCGAGCCAGTCACCGTTTGTGCCATTGTGCGAGGACCGATGAGAAAACTCCTCCTCGGTGAACGAGTGGCTTTGAACATTCTAGCTCGGTGCTCAGGAATTGCAACAAAGTGATTACACCTTCACGGTTTTCCTTTCATCTAATATATTCTAACAAGTTATGACAGGACTGCAGCCCTTCTTACCATCCTTCGTGGCCAGGGCTGGAAAGGTATACTGGCAGGCACTCGCAAAACAACGCCAGGATTCCGTATCGTTGAGAAATACGGAATTCTCGTTGGCGGTGCTGATCCTCACCGCCACGATCTCAGCTCCATGACTATGTTAAAGGATAACCACGTCTGGGCATGCCATAACAAGAGCCAGGCCAACACAGGTGCAAGTGAAACCCCCAGTGCAGATGTAAGCACTATTGCCAAAGCTATACCCTCTGCAGTCCAAGCTGCTCGTGCAACTGCCGGCTTTTCTACCAAGGTTGAAGTAGAATGTCGTAGCATCGAAGAGGCAAATGCTGCCATCAGTGCAGGTGCTGATGTTATCATGCTGGATAATTTTACTGCTGACGGGGTGCGGGCTGCGGCAAAGCAGCTGAAGGACGAGTGGTATGCGAAGGGCAAACCACGCGGAACTTTCCTTGTGGAAGTCAGCGGTGGGTTGAACGAGACCAATGCTGCAAAGTTCGTGTGCGATGATGTGGACATTCTGTCTACAAGCAGCATCCATCAGGGTGTTGGAATCATTGACTTCTCGTTGAAGGTATCGCTGAGATAGATATCGATTGTACCCACTTGGATATGGGAATAACCATTAGAAATATACACAAGAATGAAAGTGCATCATGATATTCACTATGCTCTAAACCGTGTACGCCAAAGAACGGATACCAATTATCATTAACACGCTAAACATGAGACACCAAGATATAATATAAGGGCATGTCGTGTAAATAAAGGGGTAATAAGAGAGAAGAAATAGGAATCCAAGAACTAGGAGTCCAGCCAGAACAATTAACGCCCAAAAAAGAGGATACCAAAAGGACATAATCGTTACACCACGACTTCAACGCATAAACCACCGTCATCGTCCGTACCCGTACCATCGTCATCGTCATCGCCTTCGCCGTCATAACTGCCTGAGCGGGTGCTTCGACCTTCGCTGTGCCCACGAGAATCAGGCTCATATCCATGGTCAATTACTACAACGTCTGTTCCACTTGACCTGCTATCGGCTCTCCCCTTGTTTCGATTGCCCCTATCTCGACTGTTGTTGTCATGGCGTCGGGCTCTCTCCGGTGTGCGCGGGTTTCGATCCGGCTCGTCACCTCCAGCATCAGTCCCAAAAGAACTGGCAACTCGATTCATTCGTTCCCTCTCTAGAGCCGCACGGAGTTTCTCATTCTCTGCATTACGTTCTGCTAGCCTCTCCCGGGCCCCAGAGCGGTCCAACAGTCGTGCTTCTCGCTCCGCCTTCAGCCGTCGTTCTAGATCTCGTAGACGTTGTATCCACCTATCCTGATTGGCCTCGCTCTTGGGAGATAGATGATATCCTCCGTGACTAGGGCCGGAACCGTGGTGGTGAGCGGAAACTTCTGAGCTGCCTTGGTTATTTGCGAGTGTGGTGCTTGAGGAAAAGGGAGATGGCTGAGCAACATTTGAAGAGCCGCGAGAGACTGAACTGTTGCTTCTTCCAGATCGTGTGTTGGTTGGGGTCCCTTGTTCTGACCCTGTACTGAATCTCGCAAGGGATGACCCGACTGATCTTGAGCTTGCCATTCTTGATGGCTGCCCTCGCGCAGAACTATCGTTGGCAACCTTAGCTCGGGAGTGAGACTGTAGAAGATTGAGCTCGGCTTTGAGTAGCCTATTCTCTCCCTTGAGTTTTGCTAATTCGGCGTTTGTATTCGGAGGAGTGTTGTTGGATCGTCTAGGGTTGCTCTGCATCTGCCGAACAATTTCTTCCAAACGATCTAGTTTCTTAATTCGAGCATTCATGTTGTTTTCCAGGGTCTGGTATTCTTTCATCAGGTTCCGCTCCACGGTTCTAACACGGGACTTGAATCCATTTATCGAGTTTTCCACCGTCTTCACAGCTAGGAGCAAATTCTTGCTGAACCCAGGCCAGAACAGCATGTTTCCAATGACCTCCTGACTAGGGAGGTTGCCATTGATAAGGCTGTTCGAATGTGACCAGTCAGGCCCACACATTGCGGATAATCGTTTCCACAAGGTAAGAAACATTACATTCCGCTCATTCAACTGGTCCTTGTACTGTTGTTCAAGGTGATTAAATCGTTTCCGGTCTTGATTCCGTGCACCCTCCAAGTCCGTGATTCGAGAATTGTTCTGAACGATAGTTCGAGAAGCCTGGTGATGAGACTTGAGTGATTGTTCAAATGAATGCTTATCGGCACGACGGGCCTGTCTTTCACGCTCTAGGAGGTCAGCCAGTTTTTGGGTCTCAAGCCCATGGCTCTCAAGGAGTGCATCACGATTTCGAAGGAGGGCCTCTTTTTCGTCTAGACTGGCGCGGACACTTTCCAGCTCGAGAGAAGTAGACTCAAGTTCTTTCTGCAGTTTTGTAATTGATGTGAGAAGACTTGAACGGGTGCCATTAAGGTCACCAAGGGCTTCACGTAGGCTGTTCTCAAGCTCCATCAAGCGATCTTTCCACATTGTGGCCTCAACTTCACGAGAAGATAGGTTCTTCTTCAGTTTACGGATTTCTTCCTTCGATGCCGTGGACTCACGATTGAGATCATCTATGATGCGTTGCACTTCTTGCTTTTCTTTGCTGCTTACCATCTCATGTTGGTATCGCTCGTCAGCAAGTTGTCTGTCAAGCTCGCTTGTTTTCTCCTTCTCGCTCTGTAGGCTGGTTTGGATGAATCTGAGTTCAGACTCCAAGTCGCCAATTTTGATCTTATCACCGTCTTGCTCCTCTCGCAAAAAGGCAATTTCGTTCTGACTGGATTCCTGTTGAACGGTCAATCGTTGGACCTTGTTATTGGCTTCGACCAGGTTCCTTTCCATAGAGTCAATCTCTTGGTTAACGTAATCCAGCTCTTGCTGTACGGCCTTGTACTTGAGTAGATTACTCTGTGCATCTTCTTCAAGCCGGGAAATACCCTCATTAGCGGATCTGACCTCTGCCTGAAGAGCGTCCAAGTTCTCCTGCTGGTTTCGGACCTCGACCTCCAAGCGCTGGCAGTCTTCATGCTTAAGGTCAAGCTCTTCTCCCAAGATATCGAGCTCCTCTTGTGCAGCTGCCTTGAGTTCTTGCAATTCTGCCTCACGCTCTTCAATGGCCTGAAGGGCCTGGTCACGCTGGGCTTGAAGGTCTCGTAACTCCTGGCTTACGCGGTCTAGTTCTGTCTGATATTCACGTTCCACGGAGCTTAGCTCGTTTGCGTATTCGTCCAATTGACTACGGAGGCCCTGATTGTCCAATTTCAAAGCTGACACTTGGTCCCGCAGTTCGCCGTTCCTATTTTCCAGTGTGTCACGATCGTTGTCACTCGCCTGTGACATGGCTCTTGATTGTGCTCTTGAAGCAGAACGGTCGAAGATGCTATCGCCAGCGATGGAGCGACCTTCATTGCGTCGATCAAGCTTCAAATCCTCAATTTCCTGATAGAGTTTTTCCTTCTCGCGATTTCTAGACGTTAGCATCGAGGTCTGAGCAGTCACTTCTCGACGAAGTGCATTGTTTTCCTGCCTCAGCAGTTCAAAGTCCTCCCTAGTTGGGTTAGAGGTTGCATAGCTACGAGAACTTTCGTAGTCAGAACCGACTTGAGAGAAGGTTTGGTGTCCTTTGCGGTAACGAGTCTCTCGGCACTGATGGGAAGATATGTCATTCTCCAGTTGAAGAATCTGGTTGCGAAGACGCTTATTCTCTTCTTCGCTTTGTTCACGAGCTGCAGTTTCGGCTTCCAGTATATCTTTCCACATGTCCTAACGGATATGCAAGTAAGCATTGGAACAAACATACGGATATAATGACTTCATCGAAAAATAAAGGAAAAATGAGACCTACCCGTTCCTCGCGAGCCCCAGAGTCTGATATACCGCTTCTGCCATCGCCGAGCGCCTTCACCATCTCAGCCAGCTTTCTCTTCTCGCTCTCTCGGGTGATGTTCTCAGCCCTGAGTCTTTCAATCTCAACTTCATATGTTTCGAGTCGTTCACGCAGATATAGGAATTCCTCGTCGTCGATAGTTCTCTTCCCAGCCTCAGATATCTGTTCATCTTTGTTCTCATCGGCAAGATCAGCTTTTTCCTTGAGTTGTCTTTCAAGCTCGCGAATTGTCCTTCTCAAAGCCTGGTTGTCCTTTTGAGCTTTGATTTTATCGGATTTCAGCTCAACATTCTCAGAAATCATCTCTTTGATGCCATCTTCTGACCGTTTATTCAACGCCTGGTTAAGGAAATGGATACGCATCTTGAGATCAAAATTCTCCTTTGAGAGTCGATCAATAGTGCTACTCTGTTCTTTCAACGTCATATTCTTTCCTCGACCAAAGCCTGGTGTCCGGCTTACAGACCGTTTATCAGGAGACGGCGCTGCAGTTTCTTGATATTTTTTCACAGTACTGGGAGGTTGCCGGTTGTGTATCTGCGTCAAGACAGTTGCAGGAGGGGAGGATGGATCCGTAGTTTTCGCCTTTGGCGTCATGGGAGCAGTTTCACCACCATGTTTGACGGTAGTTCCCGGAGATACTGGCCGTTGGGAGGCAGATTCCTCTTCATTCAGGGTATGAAGACTCAGTTCAGACACTCCACTAAAAATCCTTCTTTCATAAGGATGGTCATCGCTCAGATTTGAAATGCCAGATGCCATGCTCCCTAGACTGATGGACCTTGACAGGTCCCTTTTTTGTTCATGGCTGTGTGACGCTCTTCCACCATTTGACGGAACTGCACCGCCAGATTGTAAGGCGTAGTCCATTCCCATTGTAGCATCGCTGAGGGCACCGTCTGTATTAGCCGTAGCAACCGAAGACGTGGACAAGCGGTACGAGGACTGGCGGTTAGTTAGAAACTTGGGTCTCGTCCTTTGTAGCTCGATCGAATCTGCAGCTCCCCGGAAACCAACCGTCTGACTGAGATCGTTGTCATCCGTGTTGACGCTCTGTAAAGACCGAGAGAGAGGCGTAGACTGGCCAACAATCTGCGTGCGAGGTTTGCGAGGAGTAGCCTCGATATCAACTTCTCTCTCCGTGTGTGATCCCTCGTCCTCAAAGCTGTGCCCGTGGCCATGTGCTTGCTGTTCTTCACCAACAGAGTCTCCGAACCTTCCAGACCGGCTGCTCGCGGCCGATATAACTCGTGAGACTGTTCTGGCCGCAGCGGCAGTGGTTGGGGGAGTAGATATTGTCTCCAAGGAAGAAGTATTGATTCCAACCAAACTGTCCCCTTCCAGCGTCTGGTTCCCCGGCTCAACCATTGAAGACTCCGGATCCATCGTCCGGGCTGGCGCAGGTGTCTTGAACATATCCCTTGGTAGCTCTGGAGATATCAACGAGTCCTCGCCTTCAATATCTCCCGTCTTCTGTGGTGTACTGGGTGCATCCGCTCCAGCCAGGTACATATCGTCTCTCCCAGCCGCAGCGTTTCCCCCGACATGCAGCGTCGAGGGCTCCGGGAGAAAGCTAGACTCTATATCCATCAATTTCCTGTGCATCTCGCGTTCCTCATTCAGCGTGCGGTTCAGGCTGGTGTCGTGGTCATCGGGAGGCAGATTCGAGTCGTCACGGTCGTAATCGTCCGCATAGCGCTGGACACTGTCCTCGTTCAGGTCATCATCGTCGCCATCGTGAGAAGGGAGAGGCGGCAGCAAGCTGCTAGAGTCGTAATCCTGCTGCTGCTGCTGCTGCTGCTGCTCGTCGTCGTCGTCGTGCGGCGCTGGGGTAATAGACGGGGGAGAGGAAGGCGGCAGCGGAACGTCTGACATCGCTGCGGATCGGAGGAAACGAGAGACAGGGAGCAGTTCCAGCTAGCCGTAGTGATAACGATTCCTGCTGATTGCTAGGGCTGTAGCAGCTTGTTTCTCCTTTTCGATTCTTCCTCGTTCGCATCGAGTTTTTGTGCTGCAGGGCGGCTTTCTTTGCTTCTTCGCGTCTGCGTCCAGCTGGTTAACTAGTTGACTACTGGAGACAGCGCATCGCCAGCAGACCCGGTTGGCCAGGCGAGGCGCCAGAAGAGCTTCTAGAAGAGCGTGCGCAGGCGGCCTCGAGGCGCTCCAGCATACGACGGCGGGTCCGAGGGGCTGTCGCAGAAGGGTGCTGCTGTGCGGTCAAGTTGGGCTCGCGGGTTTGTTGATGTTGTTTTGTGTTGGTTGTTTTTTCCTGCTAAAGTCGAGCTAGCGCCGGCCATGCAAGGGGGCCGGCCAGTAACTAGTTAGTTAGTGTTGATAGGATAGGTGTTGATACGACGGGCCCTTTTTGTTTACTTGTACAGGGATCAGATCAGGGACGGGGACCTTTGGAAGCTGGCTGGACGGGCGGCAGCGTGACGGCTAGATAGCGACGGTAACTCTCATAAACTCGTTCTTATGTGAAGCAGACTATATATGTACAGGCAGGGCTTGGAAACAAGATGGATTATAAAAGATATACAGGCAAGAAGACAACTCCAGAACTCGGTTTAAGGATGGATGGATGGATGGCTGTAAAGAAGGAAAAGCAAAGTCGCTTGGACTGGAGAACGCTGGTGCATCGGCCGTTAGAAAGGCATTAAAAAGGAGCTAGGATAGTCGTGATTGTGGATTAAAGGGACGCTGTGGGTGTTTAGGCGGCCTAGGGAAAAGGGGAAGCAGGATAGTGAAAGGTCAAGGACAGCATGTCAAGGGGGATTCTGGAAAGACGGTACGGTCAAAGAGGACAGGAGATATCAAGCCTCGACAGGATCTTGGTTACTGCCGGCGTTCAGCTCTTTCTCCTTGGCTGCATCGGCCTGGTGGTAGATCCGCTGCCTCATCGTCTCTGCCCACACCAGGCTGTCGATGTAGGTGCGGAACTTGACTATCTCTCGGAGAAGATACGACGACTTGCGTTCCCAGTTGTGCAGAGCCTTGGAGTAGTTTGCGTGTTTCGGCGTGAAGGCGAGCATGAGAGCAGGACGTAGCTCGTTGTGGCGCTGGAGTTCCTGCTCCACATGCTTCACGTAGCTGCGGAGCGTCTCCAGCTGTTCCGCTTCGGAGGAGGTGGACGCCATCATGCTTTGCTGAGGCGGCCGCCAGTCGCTGAGCATGATCCGGTCGGCTGGCAGGCGAGGGCGGACGCTTTGCTGATCAATCGAGCTGCGGATGGAGCTCTGCAGACTGGGTCGGGGAAGGTGAGCCGAGCCGCTGGAAGATGGAGCGCTGCTCGGGAGGTTGGAGTCGTCGATGCTGGAGACGGCGTTGTTGATGACGGCGTCACTCCAGCCGTACTCGATGTTGCTGACAGCGCCAAAGAGAGGACCCTTGGACAGCCGGGCACTCCAGTAGTTGGCCGTCGAGACGAACTCCTTCACGATGTCTGCCGTGCCGACTTGGAATAAGTGCACGGCACCAGTGGGCAGGCTGAGAGCCCATACGTGAGGGCGTGACTTGGAGTAACCGGGAGCCGGAAGGGCGCTGGCAATGGTATGTCGGAGGAGGAACTTCCAGGTCTCGTCTGCGTTTTCCATCCAGTTGCCGCCTCCGACTACTATTCCTCCGTTCTGGCGTTGCTTGCGCTTCAGACGACTCGATTTATTGTTGGAATTAAAGGAGAAAAGACGCATCCAGCCTCTTTGGATGACGGCAAAGGTCTCGTTCCAATTCCTATCCTTGGCCCGTTTGTCGATCGAGTCAAGATGGTGTTTGTGCTTCAGACTTCCTTCCTTTGCCCAGGGGGCACCAGCAAGCTCGAGGCTCTCGTCTTCAAGAACCATTGCAACTCGTGCGGGATCTTCTGAGGCGGCTATTGAATGAGTTGAATCCTCACGAATGATAGCATGGCTCAAAGCATTTGCAAACCCAATGGATTGCTGGTAGTCACCGCGAGGATACTCGGATCCCAGAGAGTCAACCGACATCGAAGTCAACGTCTTTCCAAGAGAGTTCTTACTCCAAGTGCTCGAACCAGATGGCGACCAGACAAACGACTGGTCGTCTAAGCTTGTACGGCTCGAGCCCATGGCAGATGGTGGGTAAAGACGAGGGCGAGATCTTGCCTTTGAAGACCATCGGGCCGCATTTAGACGGTTTTCAGCGCCTCGTCCACGGTACGTCTCTCCTGCACCGGTTCGACTGATCGTGCTTGGAGTTCTTCGGAGCATGTTATGAGTGAGCGTAAGGAACCCGCCAGGTGCAGAGATATGCTCATCACTCCCCGTAGTGACACCCCTAAGAGGAAGTTTTTGTTTATGGATAGAGATGTAGTAGTCCTTGAGTACTGTCTCGATCTGAGCCTCCCATGCCTTCATCGTCCCATTAAATGGTGTTGAAACCAGCGGGCCAGCCAGGGACTGCATGCCATGACCTGTGTCGAGAAACGAGGCACGGCTTGACAGACGGGGAGGCGGTACGTTAGGATGCTCAATGATGGGGATATCGATAGTTGGTGGTTCATCTGACTTCTCAGCTGCCGTGGGTGAGTGACTAGGCGGTTTCTCCAGAGGAGGTACCGGAGAAGTTTTCGTATGGCCTGTTCTCTCTGATTCAGCAGTCTGCTTAGTTTGAGGTTTTGATGGTTGAGCTGTACTGAATGCTTCCGGAGCAGCTTCAATTACAACTCGTTGAATGGTGGGCATCGTGTTTTTAATAAACTGGGGCTTGGTCATCTTTTGGTCAATATCGGCAAGATGAAGATCAGTATTGAGAAGTAGCAAGGAGTAGGATATAGTATGGACAACATCTGCAGTATTATTATTATTAGCCTCTAGCATACGCACAACTTCGTCTGGGAGAGAATGAGTGGGTTAGACATACCGGTTGCTTTGAATCCATGGTTTGGATTACATTCGCACCATCTGCACGAGAATGCATCCAACACTCTGTCCACTTGCTGTGCCTCGCCCTTCAATGCAATTTTGGTGCATAAACTCCTCAATGACGAGAGTATATTCATATCTGACCAGTCGAAGAGATCCATATACGCCTTTCGAAGCATCGATCTGTCCGGCGTTCCCAACCAGGCAGCCGTGTATTTCCCAGCGGCCAACTCCTCATCATTGTTGTCAAATATCTTCTGAGCCTGCTGTCTCTCTTCAGGACTGGGGGTGTTCTCATCTAGCCCATCACCAGCTGCGTCCGCACTGCCCTGCAGTGGTGCCATAGCTGTACTTCCCCAGGCGAGATTCTCGTCACTGCTGGGAACAGGGGTGCTCTGGGCAGTGTGGTAGTTAGATGTGATAGATGTTGATGTCGATATTCTAGGAGATTTATCCTTCTCTGTCGTAAATATGGTTTTCCCAGAAGTATCAATATGGAGACCTGGCTGTTTCTGTCTGGAGGGAGTGGGCTCAAACTGCATGCTTCTCGGGCTGGCGGGAGCTGAGGTCTGCTGGTTGTTCTTCGAATGTGCTGAAGAGGGAGCTGGTTCCAATAAGGAGCTAGAATTCGGGTCACCGCTCTGGGATTTCCCGCCATTTACCCGGTCCGAGAGAACGGCATCATGCTTGGGTCCTGGAGTAGAATGGTCGGATTGTTGGGGTGGAGGGTCGGGACTTGTTTGCGGCCTGCGCGATCGCTTGTCTCCAGATTGTCTTGAGCTCAACCCTTCATTTCCACTGCTGTCTGCCAGGAATGAACCATCATAGTTGGTGGCCCTTGAGTGGGACCTCGAGCTAGATTTTGTCTTTGATGCACCTGTAGTTCGACGGGGCTTGGAGCTAGGTAAATAGCCCAGTTTTTGAAGTTTCTTAGCAGCTTCGATTTCAGATTCCTTGACCCGGGCCTTTTCTCTTTTACGAGGAGATCCCATATCAGACTCGTCGGTTTCCTGCCGGTCTCGTGACTTGCGACCGCCGCGGCTGGAGGGTTTCGGTGATTCTCTGGGCGAATTCTTGGGCGAACGTTTGGGAGAATCCATGTCTGACAGGTACGGTTTCATAGCCTTGCTGAGACTGTCTGTGCGGATAGAATCCGTTGCGGTACTGATCCTCAATTTCTCGGGGCCCTGGGATTCGGGTTTAGATACGTCTGTAGAGCTTAGATTCGAGAGTGGGAGCATGGGTGGAGGCGTGTTTTCAACCACAGACTTCTTGCGACGTCGGAAAAATGACGAGGGCTTCTTCGTTACCGCTGGCGGGTTCTCGCGCGCCGCAGAATTGGAATTGGTGACTGTCGAGGGATCGCTTGGAAGGCGTGACGGTCTGTAGGGTCTCGGCTGATTTGAGGCGTTATCGTGGTTGGAGGGATCGCTCTCGTTATCCCGGGTCGAGTGAGGGCTCAGATCGGGCTGTTGTGAGGGGGAAGATTGTCTGGAAGAGCCAAAGACCCGTCTGAAAAACCCCTGACGCTCCTTCGACGGAGGTGTGTTGAGGCCTTCAACGGGGAAATTGGTGGGAAGCGGTTGCTTTGAGCGCGCTATGGTAGGACTGGGAGCCGACGGCTGATTCAAAGTGGGCACAGGAGGAATCTGATCTTGCGAGTCTCCGAAATATTTATTATACTCGTCACTTCGACCTCTGATTGTCGAAGTCCCCAAGGTGTCGCTCTTGTTCTTCCTGGAGTACATGCTGCGCGCGGACCTTGTGCTATTCTTGTGAGCCAAAGTCGGGGTTCGGGAGGCGGTGTCCGGAGGAGTGGAAGAATGAATGATGCTGGCATGATCAGGCAAGACCGGCGGAGCGAATTCTTTCCTAGGCCCTAGCAGGACCGTCGGGGTCGGGGCAGCGTTCATATCATCGTACTGCATCATGGTATCACGGTGACCAAAGGAAGTGTCTCTCCCATTGGCTCGTGACGGCAAGGTAGAACCGTAGTCAAAGCTGGCCGATCTTCGTGTTCCATAGAGAGACGTGGTAGCAAGCATCTCGTTAAGGTCAACGCTAGATGAAGCGCTCCCGGTGCTCTCTCTCCTTACAAAGCGAGGGGTTGTCCGACCCTGAGAACGGTCATTGGAGCCAACTGCTCGCTGAGAATCGTACACTTTACTCCTATAGCTCGACCGTTCTCCCTCAGAGCCACCATCGACGTGCCGAATCGTGGGCTGCTTGCTCGGATTACTATTGCTGCGATATCCTCTGCTGTTTGACCAGTGGTTGGTTTGGAGACGGTGGCCCTCACCGTGCTGAGTGTATGTCTCCACGTCCGACGAGACAGAAGAGGAGAGGGTGTGAGATCGATACCGGGTATTCTCGCTGCCCCTATTGTATTGGTTGTTGATTCTGGTGCTGTGGGCGCCGGTGTTTCTCCCGCTGGCGGAGCCGGTGATAGTATTATCGTTATTACTATTGCTGTTCGAGTGGTGATGGTAGGAGGAATAAGCCGAGAAGCTCTCCTGCTGCTGGTGAGGAGAATCGTAAGGGAGGCTGTCGTCGAATGAACAATCCGCAGCGTTGGAGGCGGAGAATTGGTCGAGGGAGAGCAGCATATTATCTACGACCGAGGAGCGCACACCGAGAGCCGGATTCAGGGACAGATCGTGTGGATCCCGCTCTTCTTCGTCGACAGAGTCCCCATCCTGAGTATCGCTGTGACTGTTATTATGGCGGTCGATTGGAGTGTAGTCGTCGAGGAATGTTTCAGGAAAGGAGGGTCGAACGTGTTGGCGGCTTCCAGTCGAAACGGTCTCGTTGCGGTATTGGGGTGGCGTCTGCGGACGGTGATCAGGGTGTCGGGAAGCCCTGGACAAAGGGTTCCGGTAGGAATAGGGCATGATATCTGAGATATATGATGGCCGTCTTGTTGGAAGTCGAAGGGAGAATGGCTCTTGCGGGCCGGCTGTGTTCTTTTTGGGTAGCCTCTCTCCCCGGGGGGAGGAAGTTCGACGGGTTCAGAAACCAGGGAAAGTCGTTGGATGCGAGGGAACAGAACCAGGTGCCACTGGCAAGGAGACGCCTCAATGCATATCTCCAAACCGGAAAAGAGGCCTGAAAGAAACCTGGCAAGCAAGTAGAAGACCCAGCGCCGACTTCAGCGGTGCAGCGAGCACATCTACCGGAGAAGGACTGACTGCGTCCAACGTCAAGGGATGGCCTTCTTTCCTCTGCGTCTTCTCTCCCACGCCGTTACCGAAGCCTGGTCCTGTTGTATGCGGATATGCGGTCTCGATCGGTGTCTTCCGAGTTGGATGCTTCGCTGCCAGAGCAAAGAAGAGAAGCAGACAGGCCAGGTGGAGCGAGGCCGGCCAGGGATGCGAGGCAGGACGAGGGCTTGAACGGCGGGTAGCGGGAAGCGTAAAGCGTAAAAAACGGCTGCCAACTTGCTCCAGAGACCCTGCGATCCCCTGCCCGGTGGCACAAGGGATGGACGAGCAGCAGACGACGGCGATGAGCAGCAGGCGGGCGGTTCGCTGGAGTCGAGGGCGTTTGGAAGACGTTCGAGGGCCGTTTGAGGGTTTGGAGTTTCGAAGATTTTTTGCTTCTTTTTTTGCTTCGACCAACTTTTTTCCTTTTTTTCAGGCAAAGGGCGAAGGAGGACGTTGACGCAGTATTCGTATTACCGACAGGGGGAGGTCAGTTTGCCCTGTTCGGGACTAGCGCTGTATTGCACTCCGCAGGCCGCCGTTACATGCTGTATCAGCCGTTACAGGGGCGATTCGGCTGGTCTTTGATTTCTCTGAATTCCTGCAGGGAACAAGGAAGAAAAAGCAGATGGACGGCGTCGAGAGGGAATTCGTTAACTAATGGCGGGCGGCGTTGGCCAGGGATTTGCAGGGAGATCCGCGATGCACCTCGCATGCCCGACGGAGTCGACGTCGAGCCAGCGTCAAGGGCTGATTCGGCACCGGCAGCGAGGAACGCATGGATAAGAGGAATTAACCTATACGACTCCAGTCTGTCTGCCGGGCTTGGGATGGGCTATATAAGGGGGCACAGGTCAGTGAGACGGTAGACGGAGTGTCGACAGGGAGCAGACGAACTAATATGTTGACAGGATGATATGCATCTGATGCCCGATTGAGAGGGAGATGTGCGTCTGCTTGCGTCTTGGTCTGGCGAGACTCTCCGCAGGATACGAACTGCCTTGCCTGCTTGCTGCTGCCTGCAGGTTGACATAAACATGACATGGCATGGCCAGCGGAGATCCAGATGCGTTGTCTCCCTCGTCTTGGTCTGGCCAGAGCCGTCAGTCGGAGTTGGTTGGCCCCCAGTCCCCTTACGCAGGCCATGGCTACGAACAGTTGGCTAGCTGAACTGTCCTGGAAACACTTGCGGCTAAAAGGGTCAAAACAAGGGGTTATCCCTAGTGACCAGTGCATGAAAGTGTTGTTATATCCCGCAGCGTTTGAAGCATTAGCCTCGGGGTATCATCTACTTCCATGTTAGCTCTATCTAGAAAGGACCGGAATGAGATGACCTCCGGCTGATAGTAGTCACAAAGACAAGGTCGGACACAGATCTGTCAATAATGCTGGGTATTTCCCCTCGTAATCATCTAAAGGCTGCATTTCCACATATCAGACCCGTTTGACCAAGCTGCAGTATAAATATTAGCTTTAATAACGAATATTGTGGTCCGGCTGGGGATACTTACATACGGAGTAAATCAGGATGACACCATAGGTGCTGATAATTACGTATAATGTGGTCCTCTTGATGAATATTTAGGTGGGCGATTATCTCATGGTGACCGTCTATAAGATATATATAGCCTGGTTGAAGAGCCACAACGGTCCAAGTAGGTATAAAGGACAACATCCAGAGCATGTCCCGCCCATACTCCTTGGTGATCATTCTCCAGCTATCAGTTGACAGGCCCTGGAAAGGACGACTTCGCCATATGAGGTTGGATACGCCAAATCTTTCCTCTATTTTTGCAAAAAGGTGCGGAACAGTGGCTCGATGACGCCGTCAAGACAGTCAAGCTGTAGCTACTGTGAAAATATGCTGCAAAAGGGAGAGAGTAGAGATATCCATTCCCAGATACGACGGCTAGAAGAATAAACGCTGCAAAAGGACTCTACTCCTTGTCAAAGATGAAGGATAGCTCGCTGCCAACATGCCAGCATCTCTGCAGGCTGCGGGTATCAAAGGCGTGCTTCATTCTCCAGGGTAAACACCGTTAGTTGACGGAATGTCAAGCCCAGGCATGGAATCAGCTTCTGGCTCGATCATCAGCGACACTGACGGTGACTTTATAGTGAAGCCATGGCCGCTCGAAGCTGTACACTGTATGCAGATTAACTATCTCGCAACTACAAAGTCGACATCATGCTCTTTAACACCGCCAATTCTCCCTGCTACGCCAATAAACATCACATAACTGATTAACTAGCTAGTTACCTGGCTCCGGGAATGCTTCCGTCGATAGCGTGCAGATCAGATCAACGCATTCAGTCCTACATCCCAGATACAAGGCTAACCTGGTAACTACGCAATTCGGCCGAAGAGAATCAGAATGCCAATGGCATAAAAGTATTCTGTGTAGGCTTCGACCTGGAACAGCGTGGCCGATATACCCCCCAAAGCTATGTGCGCCGTGCCACAATTGCAGTGCAGATTGATGGAAGCAAGGGTGCTGTGTTTTGAGGTCTTAAAAGGAGGGAGACAGGCCTCACTTTTGTGTTTTCGATTGTGGGTAATTTCGCCCGAGATATTCCCAGTAACGCATATTAATCCTAGTAACATTCGCGGGGTTAACTGTTTATACATAGGCATCCTCGTAAACCGGATCTTCAGCCCTCGTGCTAACTGCCGTATACCTAATAATGGTTATCGTACGGGTGATGCGGCAAGAGTAGGATCACTGCTAACCCGGTCATCTTACGGCTGTGGACGGGGGTTACAACCAAAGCCACATATAAGAACTGTTTGCGGCCCCGTAACTCAGTTTCTACAATGCTTGCTACAGGCACTGTTGGCTGCTAGTAGATCTAGCTCTTCCTCTTCAACATGGCCAAATACGATTTTGTCATGCTGTGGATCTTGACGCTGACAGCCGCCATTGCGGCTGCCAGGCCCATGGTTGTTGACAAAGGACGGCAGATAACATACACCGGCTTGGACCGCAATGGAATAGAAGTGTTTTTGGGTATCCCCTTTGGCCATGATACGGGCGGCAAAAATCGTTTCAAACCGCCAGTGGCCGTTGTTCCTCCACGCGGGAGCCATATCAATGCTACTGTATATGGGCCAATTTGTCCCCAGGAGCTACGTGCTGGCTCACGGGGTAAGCTGGTAATTTCTGAAAATTGCTTGAATCTCAATATCGGAAGGCCGAAGAACATGACGAGTCATGATAAGCTGGCGGTTATGGTAACCATCTACGGCGGGGGTTACTGGGTAGGACATAATCAGGATCCGAGGTGGCACGCTGATAATATGGTCAAGGAGTCGGTGGCCAATGGTCGTCCAATCATTCATGTTGCGATGAACTATCGTCTAGGAGGTGAGTATACACCCCTTCTCAACAAGCCAAAAGAGACTCCTATTCTAATGCGAGTACTAGTGTTTGGGTTTGCTCAGACCACGGCTCTCAGAACCGAGAGATCAGAGAATGCAGCTCTGAGAGACCAACGGTTGGCACTCGAATGGGTTCGGGACAACATTGCCGCCTTTGGGGGTGATCCGAAGAGGGTAACAATATTCGGACAGTCATCAGGAGGTATTCTTGCCCCCTGATTCCACACACTTCTTTGACACCCACTCTAACATAAGCCAGGCGTGTCTGTCGGCATGCAGATGTTGGCATATGGAGGAAAGCAGCCAGTTCCATACCAGCAGGGCATCTGTCAGAGTCAAGTACTTGAGCCCGGCATAACCGGCAATTTCACGAGCACAGCAATGGAGTTAGTGACGGACAAGGCAAATTGCACTTCCGGAGACTTCAACTCGGAAGCGGCGTTAGCATGTCTACGAGAATTGGATACTGAGACATTACTCGCAGCAGCTATTGCTACATACCAAAACGGCGTTGACCACAATATTGGAGATATATGGCTGCCCAGCGTCGATGGCGATTTTCTTCCAGATGCGCCATCAGTACTGGTCGCTCAGCGGCGCTTTGCCCCCGTTACCTCAATGATGGGATGGTGTGAGGACGATGTTACTCGTTTTGTGTATCCAAACATAACCACATCAAAGGGAGTAGCGGACTTCATTGCATCCTATGCACCGAATGTATCTCGGAAAAACATCGATACTCTTCTGAAGTTGTATCCTACAGATGAGTTCCCTGAGAACAAAACCGCCGGATTATCCAGAGACTTCTATCGCACGGCCAGAATCTTCCGAGATATAGTGATGACATGCGAACCATTCCTTGTTGGAGAACATGCTGCAGCAGAAGGGGCTGATGCGTATTTCTTCTCCTGGAACCAAACTATAGCTCCAAGCGCACTGGGAGTGTTGCATGGAGCAGATTTACCATACGTCTATGCCAACCTTTCTGCTTACATACCTCCTGGATCACCCATACGTCCAACCGCATCGGACTATGAATTATCGCATAGAGCCTCACGATCCTGGTCAACATTTGGCAGTACCAAAGAACCGAGTTTACCGGGCCATAATACCTTCAAAGGGTTTCGAAAAAGCTTCTCCAAACACAATGAGATACTAGTATTTGTTGCTGGTGGGCCCAACGAAGGGCTGTCGAATATTGACGACCATGGTCCGCATAGCGTCATAGGAGGACAGAAATTGAGAGAGAGGTGTGCCTTCATCAACTCTCCGGAAATGATTCATGAGTTACGATTCTAGATATGTTGCATTTGCAACATTTCGGACATAGCTTTATGCAGTGAGCTTCAAAATAACTCCTCTCCTTATCAAAGTCCTTAGCTTAGAATACCGGAGGAGCGTGGAAGGATGTTATAGTTGGCTAAGCAACTACAATACAAAATCGCATAGCCTAGGAAGTAAGTAGAATATCCTCAGAGCCTGGCACTGAAGCAAATCCGAGGGTGCTTGGGCGCGTAGTCCGTAATACCACTCCATAGCCTTGGCAACTAGAGCCTTCAAAATGCACTGTCACCTAAACTGCTTCGATCTCCATGAAGAGTAATATGACGCCAATACCATAGCCTCTGGTCCTTATGTTGGCACTTCATTTACCAATGCCTGGTGGACCCAGCTTGGCTAAAGCTAAGTGTCGATCGAGTGCGAATGGCCCTGGCAGCTTAATAACGGGAACTACCGTGGAGCAAGAGAATATATGGTGAAAACAAAAGCCGTAGAACAAAGCCGGCTCAACCCCTTCGCCTTCGTTGAGTCGGTCATCCGGGTATACCTAAGTTGGGCAGACAACTGTCCACTTAGAGGATAAGGCGAGTGTGAAAGACATCATAAGATCGTCTCATCGGAATCATAACGGGTATCCATATTCCGCCTCCTTGGCCGTCCATCGGCATAAGCACGCATAGTATCCATTCGTAACAGCTATGTAATAGCTATGATGCGCAGCCCATTCGGCCGCCAGAACGCAGCGGTCATATCCCGCGGTGTCTGTGTCACACAGCACCCTTAGCAAAGCTGCCCACGCCACGATTAAGAGGTAAGGGTATCGCATACCCCGTCCTCGCTTCTCGTCTCCTCTTCTTCTCTTTGAGATCCATGGATGTCTGATGTTTGTGAACCAGAAACTTCCCCGTAGCCTCGCCGCGCCCGTTTTACCATAGCGGATAAAGTATGTTTTGCGGCACTATTATCTTCCGTAGAGACATGGTAGTAA